TGGCGTCCGTGCGACTGCCGAAGTCATTCGCACCCTTGAGCCAGCTGGGCATATTTCGGAGTTGGACAGTGATGATGAACTTGATCCTCCAACAAAGCGCACTCGTGCAATGTCTCCTGTGGATGATGTTGAGAATGGCAGTAAGGCTCCTACGCCGCCTCCTCCATCTCCTCCTATGGACTTTGATGTCCCAGGAACTGCCTCTTTCGACCCTGATGAGTTGATGAACTTCGACTTGGATCGTGAAATTTTGGCAATCACTGGATTCATGGACACCATGGGGTCAGTACCCTCCTCTGATCTTGACCATATGGGATATACTAACGCACCTTCATCGGTTGCAGTGGCGAAGACATGCAAGTCGGCCTTTGAGCCTGATCTCTTGTCCCGTTTGTATAATTACCGTATCGATGCCAAGTATATATCCAATGAACATTTTTGTGTACATGACGTTTCATACTCTGTGTGCAAGAAGTGTAAGGGTAAACAGAGAAATCAACCTAAATGGTGGATGAACGACTCTGGTTGTTCTGAACACACTACCTTTGACTTGAGTGACTTCATTGAGTATGAAGACCTTGAGGAAAAAGTGCTCATAGCAACTGCAACCACAACTGCCTACATTACTGGCGTTGGGACTGTCTTGATAAATTTCAAGGATGTTAGAGGTCGCATGCATTCGGCACGAATCGCTCCAGTATTCTATATGAAGGAGTTGAGTCATCGCCTTATAGCACAAGGACGCTTCCTACAAGATGGCAAAACTGTTCGCGGCAACGCAGACAAAGTTGACTTCTGGGACAAAGACGGTTTATTCCTGTCATTTGAACCATGAACTCACAACGATACAATCTACATTCTCAAAGATTATTCGCCACAGCCTATGGCTGTAAACCTAGTGATCCACTCAGTGGACTACACTACCATGCATCGTCGCATGGGTCATCCATCGCGCGAAGCACTCACTCAACTGAGGAAACATGCAGAAGGTGTTCCCACCTTTAGCATTCCCCATGAGGAAGATCTATGTGAAGGTTGTGCCAAAGGAAAGATGACTTTACGTCCATTTCCGCCAACTAATCGTCGGGCATCACGTCCCTTCGAGATTATTCACTCAGACCTCAAAGAATGGCCTACCATTTCGTACCACAAGTACAAGTATACGATCTTCTTCATAGATGACTATACTTCGCATGGGTTCTACTGCCACTTAAAAAAGAAGAGCGGAGCTCTTCCGGTGATAAAGCAATTCATTGCCACAGTCAAAAATCTATACGAGACTAACGTCAAGGAATGGATGTCTGATGGTGGCGGAGAATTTAGATCCAATGCACTTGATGAGTTCTTTAAGAACGAAGGTATTAAAGCACAATGGTCATCTCCTCATATCCACCAGCAGAATGGAAGAGCCGAAAGGTTTATCCGGACTATTATTGAGAAAAGTGAACCACAGCGCTTTCAAGCCTGTATTCCTGATTCCTGGTGGGAATTCTCTGTTGCACACGCTGTGCATGTGTATAACCGCACTCCTATGCGTCGTCACAAATGGAAGACACCATATGAGATTTTGTACAACAAAGTTCCGCGCATAGATCACTTGCGTGTCTTTGGCTGTGGCGCGTATGTCTATCTTCATGAAGAAATACAGACAAACAAACAATCGCCTAGGTCAGAACTAATGACATATCTCGGAGATTCTGACGGTGGACACGGAAATATCTACATGCGGTCGAACAATGCCATGTTCACTGCTATGCACGCTGTGTTTGACGAGCAATTATTTCCTCGTTGTAAATCCTCAGAGCGTCATCGCTCTACGCGACTACCAGATCGCAACCCAGATCCTAAAGATCCTATTCCTCCACCCACCTGGTGATGATGATGTTCCCATCTTTCATCAACCTACCACTCCCCAAATGAGACAGGATCTGGAGCAAGACGTTGCACCGCCTGTGCCAGCTGAACAGCCAGCACGAGATCCTAGTCCGCCGCCACAACCCCGGAATGAACAACCTCCTGCTCAAGAACAGTTGAGACGTTCAGGTCGTGTGCGGAGACCACCTACTCGTCTTACCGGTGATCCTAGAAGCAGCACTAAGCTTCCTACGGAACAACAGGTAGAGAGACCAAAGAGGGATATTCAGAGACGCGCACCACAGCCAGGTAGCTCCTCGGCTGAGCAAGAACATCCTGAGCCAGAACAGGTTCCCGGACCTAGTACTGAGCATCCTACTCCTGAAAATGGAGAACAACCCTCTGTCACTCCCGGTGACGAAGCTAATACCCTGATCAGACTATGTCGGGAAGGGGGAGCTGAATTAATATATTTTCTCATGGCTAAGGCCGTTCCCTTTGAGGGGGAGCTGAAAAGCTCTGAGAACGTCCGTGAATGGACTTACAAGGACATTACTCGCCTACCTAAGGCTGAGCGTGAGGAATGGCTTAAGGCCTGCCAAGAAGAGCTTGAAGCGCTCAAACGGCGTGGTACTTTTGAACTCATGGATCGTCCAGCAGACCGAAAGGTCATTAAGAACCGCTGGGTCTTCGACATCAAATCTGATGGTCGTAAGAAGGCACGCCTTGTTGTCAAAGGGTTCTCACAAATTGAAGGTCTTGATTATGACCAAGTCTTCTCTCCTGTAGTACGGTTTGAGACTGTTAGACTGTTGCTCGCCTTGACTGCGCTGAACAACTGGTATCTCACTGGACTCGATGTTCGAAATGCCTATCTATATGGCGTCTTACATGAGACTATCTACATGGAACAGCCTGAAGGTTTTCGAATCAAAGGCAAAGAGGATAAAGTCCTCTTACTGCGCAAAGCTCTGTATGGACTGAAACAAGCAGGTCTTGTCTGGTGGCGAACACTGGACTCATACATGAAAACACTCGGCTTCAAACGCCTGAGCTCTGATGCAGGTATTTTTATCCGACGAGGAAAAGATGGCTCTCTAGTCATCGCCATCATCTACGTTGATGACGCACTCTTCGCTGGACCTGACAAGAAACTCGTAGATTCCCTTAAAGGGAAATTCATGTCACATTGGGAATGCAGAGATCTTGGTGAAGCCAAAGAATTCCTTCGCATGCGGATTAATCGTCATGGCAAAAAGATCTATATTGATCAATGCGCCTACCTTGACAAAGTCCTTAAGCGTTGCGGTATGGAAAATGCTAAAATGGCTGATACACCACTTCCTGCAGGGTTCCAACCTGAACCCACCATAGGCCAATCGAATTCTGCTCTTCGTAGCAAGTTTCAAATGGTTATTGGTTCCCTTCTCTACCTTATGTTGGGTACACGTCCCGACATCTCCTTTGCTGTTACCAAGCTTGCACAACATGCAGCTAACCCATCTCAAGAGCACCTTAACAAGGCACTCTATATTTGCCGCTACCTCCTAGGTACTAGATCATATGCACTTTGCTATGATGGTGAATCGGGTATCGGTCTCAGCGCTTGGACTGATTCGGATTGGGCTTCCAATCCCTATACACGCCGGTCACAGACTGGATTTTTTATGAAGCTTGCCAATGGCATCTTCTCTTGGACCAGCCATGCGCAGAAGACAATTGCTCACTCGTCTACAGAGGCTGAGTATATGGCATTGTCTGATTGCAGCCGTCAAGTGGTTTGGATCCGTAATCTACTTGAAGAACTAGGCTATAAGCTTGACGCTATTCCTATTGCTGGAGACAATCAAGGATCCATTTTCATGGCATCAAATCCTGTCACTAGCAAGCACTCGAAACACATTGACATCCGGTATCATTATATCCGTGAAGTTGTCGAATGTGGCCTTGTGCAAGTATTCTTCGTAGATGGCAGTAACAACCCTGCAGATCTTTTCACAAAGAATCTTGGGCGTATCAAATTTGAGCTATTCCGCTCAATGCTTGGACTTGAGTTCTACTCGTCCACCAATCCTTAGGCTATCTGTCCTGTCTGACGCCTACCGCTATTGCTTTGAGCAAAGTACTTTACTGTGCTGCTCAGCAAGGGGGTGTGTTGAACGCGGCTATGCTGTTCACATGCCACTATTATGATCATGTGTTATAATATGTCATATGTAGTCATATCTAGTTATTTACTATATGCGGATTCCTCAGTACTTCCTTATGTAATACTGTCATACAGTTATGTATATAAACAGGCCATATCCTGTACTGGAATCCAACTTGCTTCTCTCTTACTTTTATTGCCTCACTGAGACACTAAGCTCTACTACCAGGTATGGTACTGGAGAGTGTTCCCACTACGCACTCCTTGCCTGCTCAACACTTTGGTCCTTCTACATTTAATTTACTCTCTCCAATTTGCTTATATCAAGTATTGAGTGTTTATGTAGAAAAACACTTGCATCGTTCATGCTTTGTTCTTTTACAAGCACTCTGCCTCTGTGCAACAACTGCAATTTATGTGCTTGCAGATCCTTAGGAGGATTGCCTTGGAACTGAACTCGTACCAGCCGGCTCATGGAGCCGGCTAGCAAACAAGTTGTAAGCATAAGCAAAATCTCTATTTGAAAGAGCAGATATTCTCTCAGTCAATAAATTCAGCAAGATGAATTGCTTACCCTTGAATCTGAAATTTCCATTTCTTGCACTGGCATTTCAACAGACATGATGAGAGCCAGAAGAAAAAACACATGAGTAGCTTTGCTTTTTATATACGCTACAGTCTCAATTTGCAACGTGATTTATTTGAACGGACAAATAGACGGCCCGGAAAATGCCTGAAGCGGGAGAAGCATAAGCGATCTTATCGATTCGAATCAAAAGGAAACGGTTAAGCGATAGGAAAACGTTTTTCCCTTTCCTTGCTTCCACGTCGCGCATAATCCAGTACACGCAGCGTTCACCAATCGCTCCTTTACAGAAGGCCTAAAGTTACAAGGGAGAGATTCCACCGGTCTGCGCATATCGTAAATTTCGCTCTGGGTAGTTCGACATCGCGGTTTCTGTGTTTGGGTGAAAGGAAGAAGAGAAGACCAGAAACGATGTCGGATGCTACTACGAATGCAAGCCGAAGCGGACAAGAAGAACCTTTGAAAGTCAGTTCTATATGTTCATTTGGTTTATGACAATCAGATGTTGAGGCTTGTTTCCGTGATAGAACGTCCTAGTCACTGGAGGGGCTGGGTATATTGGTATGAGTTTATGCTCACCCTTGCAAAATACTTGCTTGAACTGCTACTCGTAGGCTCCCACGTCGTCTACACCCTCCTCAAAACGCGTCAATACAAAGTAATATCCATCGACAATCACCATAATTCTCTCCCAGCCTCTCTCGCGCGCGTCTCAGAACTCGCTTTGGAAGAGCACAAAGCGTCATTAGGGCCGGATACTCAACTTTCGCAAAGAGATATTGATTCGACAATCATTGATGCGCACGACTGCGATCTCACCAATCACTCTGCTGTACGGGAGATATTCGGGAAATATTACTCTTCTGAGAACGGGAAAGGTGGTATCTGGGGCGTAGTACATATCGCGGCATACAAAGCTGTTGGTGAATCTACTTCCATTCCCCTCACCTATTACCAGAACAACGTATCCGCAACGATCTCCCTTCTCTCCATCATGCTTGAATTCGACTGTACCCGACTCGTTTACTCAAGTAGTGCCACGGTCTATGGTACACCACCGGAGGTCCCGATTCCGGAAAGAACGAGAAGGGAAGCAGATTCGCCGTATGGCAGGACGAAAGTTATGTGTGAGATGGTGGTGGAGGATTTGTGTGAGAGTAGTGGTAATGCGGTGGCGGATGGTACGTGTCACCTGGTCATTTTGTTGGTTATTTGTTCCACCTAACGACGGCGAGGATAGGCTCTACGAAAACGCCATTCCAAGCGATATCCCTCCGATACTTCAATCCGGCCGGCGCACACCCTTCTGGTAGAATAGGTGAAGATCCCCGTGGACGACCAGGTAATCTGTTGCCGCTGTTAGCGCATATGGCTGTTGGGAGAGTCAAAGATCCTGTATTGAAGGTATGCTTCAACTGCTCTTCATCGTTCTCCCTTTCTCATGCTACGTCTTTACTGGCTCGTCCATTCGTTCGTTACCTCGCCAGGTATTCGGCAACGACTATCCCACCGTCGATGGTACCTGTGTCCGCGACTACCTCCACGTCCTCGATCTCGCTGGTGGTCACGTCCTAGCCCTCCAAGCGCTCCAAGAAGGGTCTACTCTCAACGAAAAAGTTTTCGCTAGTGTAAGAGCAGGCAAAGGCAAATTCAAAGCGTACAACCTCGGAAAAGGAAAAGGGATGTCCGTATTGCAAATCGTTGAAGCCATGAGGAAAGCCACCGGATTCGAGTATCAGACAGAGGTTGTTGGCAGGCGGTGAGTTGTTTACTAACTTTGTGTCTATTCCATCTCCTTCGCCAATTTAATCCGCACTGTCAGAATAGTTTTGCTGACTATTTATTTCTTGTTCACTTACAAAACAGTCGCGGCGACGTCCCCGCCCTAATCGCTGACCCTTCCCTGGCACGCACCGAACTCGGCTTTGACGCCCCACACGATCTCGAGACAATGTGCAGAGACCTATGGAATTGGCAGAAAGGTAATCCTGCAGGATATGTGTAAGTTGTGGATCAAAATAGTGGAGGGGGAGATGTTTGATCGATGATGATAGAATTCTACAAGTTAAATTCTGATGAGTTACACACCAAGTAGCAAGTATCCAGGAACTATAATACCTCCTTCAATAATCGGGACTTTCGATACCTTCGATAACCAATGACTTGAATATACCTTCGATAGCTCCGATACTATAAGGGAAAGTACTTCAAAAAAATACAAGCTTCTGTAAACCTTTTCTCGATTCTCATTTTCAAGCTTTGAATCTGTTTTTTAGAATTTGCTGTCCTGCTCCTGCAACATGCTGATATTAATTCCGGAACCGCCTACTTATTCTACAATTCCTTTTTCCTTGGATGTATCCTCCAATGCACTAACCCACCAAGTAATTTAATTTTCGCTGAATCTCTCCCATAGCTTCCATTTCCTACATATTTTCCAGATCCCTTCTTCTTCCTCTGAATTCGTTTAACCAGGTGCTGGACTTTCCTCTGTACATCTTCCCGTTCTCGTCGATGTTTTGATTCTAATTCTCTGTACAGCACATTGGAAATTTCATTTGAGGAAGGCCGTTCCCGAGCATCCTGTGCCCAGCAGCGAGACACAAGCTCCCAGAGATTATCTGTACACCATTCATTTGATATAGGCCGACCCGGTCGTTCACCTTTCATAAGACTACAGAATACCGTATACTCGGTCTTGCAGTTATGAAAAGGTATGTTTCGAGTTATAATCTGTGATACAAGTATTAGACGCAATAAATAAGTGCCCATTGTCAATTATCCGATTTGCTTACTTCAACCACTGTACAGCCAAATGCATATACATCTCTTGAAGAGTGGATTGGAGTTGGTGCTAATCCATCGGACTCGAGATATTCTGGAGCCATCCAACGTAACGCACCCTTGGTAGTTCCCGATGATGTGATGGACCATACTTGAGTAACAGATTCGGAAGTAACTAAGGCCAAACCGAAATCCGCGAGACAGCAACGACCATCGTTTGTAACAAGAATATTGGCCTTGACGCAACGTGAGTTGTTATCGCAAATGGGATTGCGAAAAGATCGTACCCCACGAATATCACCATGAACAATTGGTGGGTCTCTTGAATGCAAATAACACATCCCTGCTGCGATATCAATCAGCTAAACAGCCATATTTCAGCCTTCTACGAAAAGAGAAATTTCGACCTGAAATGTTTCTTACAGCGCGATATAAATCATGATCAGGATTCTTTCTTAGATATGTGATGATATCTTTATTCTCCATCCACGGAGATATGAGACAAAACGAAGGAAGGAATAATTCCATGTTTACGCCCAATAAAGGAAGAATATGAGGATGCTTGAGTTGTCGCCATACCAAAGCCTCGCGGCAGAATCGCTGTATAGGAACATGAGTACCGACCCTCAACAGCGAGATTGATTGCGTGAAGCAAAGAACCTTGCGGACCGTGGCGCGAGCCCCTTCATCCTGTTCAGTAACGAGGCGGAGGACCTTCAAACACACAGCTTTTCCATTCATAGTTCCGCGCCATACATCCTGGAAGCACATTTCAATGAAAATATTTGAGCGGCGACAGGAATAATACTCACCGCAAACCCACCACCTGCGACCGGATTCTGACCAATTCGTTCAACATTCTGGATAACCAATATTGAAAGAGGTAAAGCACGAAGCTTTTTGACCAGGAAACAAATAAGACTAAAGCATGCTCTGCGGTGTGTTTCGCTGCCCTTGTTCGAGTCTAATTCCTTGAAAAGAGAGTTTCTTAGTAAGTCATCTTTTCAATACCGGTTTCGTTCATATAATGAAGGATGGTCTCACTGCTTGTAAAGTGACCATCATACGCTGAGCTTCCGTTGCCCCGAGCCACTGCAGTGGCTCCCGTTTGAAGCTTTGACTAAGGGTTCTAGCACGCTTGAAAGCGTCATATTCATCGAGAGCGCGTTGTAAGTCTGAGTGAAGACTGGCAGCTGCATGAGACCGGATTCGTGCACTGACTGACATACTGGAATCGCGGGACTGGGGGGTTCATACCCACCACATGTCGGCGTTGCTTTTATTTCAATAGATTGGGTCTTGGCCTTATATGAAGAAGCTGTGGAAGGGTATATGACTCATGATCCATGTTTAAAACAATCCAGACTCTCGAGCAGGACCAGCTAGGGCTGGCCATGGCGCTCCATGGCGAGACTAGGCTAGCCGGTTGTAGCTGTAGAGAACGCAGGCTATCCCAAGGATGATACTGATCGCATCGAGGAATACGGCGGAGGATGGGACTGCAGTTTTCGAGCGTACAAATTATTCAAAAAATCGAATCGAAAACTAGAGTTCTCGCACAGATACGTACTGCTTAACGTGAAGCAGTACATATGCGACCCCTCTATAGTAGGTCATCAACTAGTGAAGGAATCAGATGGGACACAGAAGACAATCGCATTCTGAGTATGATTGATATTTCCTATACCGATAAAGTGGTACCGAGCAGAATATTTCGTGCACCGAGAGGCTTGTAATTGGAGCGTAGAAAATGTTGCCCGAATGAGACAAGATAGTCATTCAGGATGTTTCGATTAACCAAGCAGCAGTGAATGAGAGTTTATATGGGAACAGGAGAATCGAAATCGTTGCATAATAGGCAAAGCAATTAGGGTTAGGGCAGTTCGCACCGGAGAGACGTTGACTTGTTCCCGTTGACTATATAAAGGAACTTGTTCATAGTTCAGGCCCTCCTCCTTTGATGTCTAATGATAAACTGAATGGTACCTCCACTATCATCAATAACAATACTCAGAATGTTTCTGGGCAACTTTCATCCATGCACCCAGACATCTCCCATATCGTTTCCGTCCTAACAGAAACCCATATGGATTCAAACGCAGACGATAACAAAGACATGAGCGAATCAGACCTAGCTGCCTTGTTCAAGCAAATTGATGGTGCGAATGGCGTGCTAAATGGGGTGGAGGATAAGTTGGATGGGATATTAAACAACCTGGATACGTTGCTCGCTGTTTTAGAAGACGCTGGTGATCAGAGTAGCGGTGAAGGAGAAGCTGAAAGGGCGGCCTCCAAAGATGAGGGCAAGGAGAGCGCAGGAAACAAGGATTAAGAACTCGAGATCAAGTGAGTCTAGACATCTTTTGCGGAAGCAAATGTATCTTGATGTCGAAAACTCAGTACGTTCTGGAAGAACAGCCGAATGCGCCACAAAAAAGGGATTTTGGACCGCCAACGCGCCTTGCTGTTCATACGATTTGCCAGTCAATGCAATCGCTTTGGCGATCCATATCCGACACTGTTCAATATTACATATAACACTTTACAATTACTATAATCTCTGTCCTAATTTTTTTCTTGCGGAACATGATTAGCGTCAGATTGGCGTCCTCTTCGTTCAACAACAAATCAATGTACCACTCCAATCTCCTGCCTAGCACACACAGTCTCAATCAACAAGCATTCTCACACCTGTTCAACGCCAAAACAATAAATATGTATATTCTAATCGAGACTAAGCATTGCCAACCAGCTATCCACAACACTATTGCGGCATCAATGCCAATGCACTCTGAGCCATTGCTTGAGCCTTGGCTTTCTTCTGCGCTGTGGCCGTAAAGGCATCCATTTTTTCCTTGATGCCGTTCCAGTACGCAAGCTCCCTCTCATTTTGAACAAGATTGTAATCGTTCTTCAACATTTTCATCGCCTCATAAAGGAACTGAGCTTTCCCAGTAGGTTCGATTGCGTTAATCTTCGCGAACGCCGAGTTTTTTCCGTCTCGATTCACCAAATTAACCCGACCAACACTACCACCAACAGGGAATGTTTTCAGAACTTCTTTGATTTGAAAAGTCACAACTCCATTGGCAACCACTTCTTCGGCATGGAACCTACTCATGCGTTCGCCAAACTTAATGGCCCAGTTATCCTTGTAACTCAATTCGCGATTGTAAGGAAGAAATGTGACTGCAACATTGTCCCAATGATAATCTACATTCCAGCATAGAATGCATTAGACATTAGGCGGTGTATGGAAAGAAGTAAAACCTACTGTCACGTTGTTCTAAATGCGCTGTGGTATTCACAAAGGCATTGTTGGATGCCAGAGGAGCAGCCGATGCACCAAGGATATGCAGAAATAGGATGATTCCAGAGAGAGGACGCGATAAAGATAGCGGAAACGTGATGACCATTGTTAAATAACAGGAGCGAGAAAGAATTGTTTGAAAGGCTGGACTGAGAACTAAGAGGTAGTAGTCAGATGGTGTGCAGTGAGAACGCTTGGTAAAACTGGGACGATAGCTAACAGGGGGAGGTAGGATGGCGAAAGATCTATGGCATGCACAGGTACTCACCGAACCGGCGTGAATAGATATGATAGACTTGACCAGCAATTCTACCCCCAGAACGTACGTGTAAAACTGAGCTGTAAAGCTTGAGAGATTTGAGTGAGTTTGAGTGATGACAAAAGACGAAAAAATCTCACCGAAACGATGTCGAAGTGGGAAACAAAAGAAACTTCAAACAAATAGGACTACTTATAGGGCAACGGCTAGCGACGGTCAAACTGGATAACCTTCCCGTAGGGCCGTACTGGGGCCGTAAGCTTTTGCAGGCCTTTGTGAGCCATTCTGATGCGATCAGACCGACAGTTGATACGCTGCTCGCTTAGCTGCTAGCCTCCTACTACTATGAGCTCCTATGCCTCCCTAGTCAAGTTCTGCTCAGGATGTTAGAAAGAATGTACCGTCTAATAATTACCTTGCTTGCTTGCAATGGTCATTGAAAATCCATAATCTCGAGCGCCCGTGCAAAATCTTTTTTAAAGCTGTCTTTGTCCGTTCCGACGGCGGAACAGGGTCATATTTATGCCTTATAGGGGAAAAGGGATCCGGATGCAGCCCTTTTACTTTCCCTTCATCTAACAAACTCCGACTCCAACCCTGCACTTTACCAGCCCCACAACAAATTCCCTCACCATATCGCAGCATATTGCATTGTCCCTAAGCTTTTCTGCTTGCCGTTTCTATCCCACATCTTCCTGCCCAGGTACAATCTTTGCTTACTGGCTACTGAAACAAGCATTCATTTATTATCTGTGTGTGAACTGAACACTGCAATTTTCATGATGTATAACAAGGTTTAACTAATTAAAGAACATTGTTAGGCAAGTGAGAAGTAACACAAGCAAGGTGTAATGTCCCCCAAAGGTGAGCCTGTAAATGTTTTTTCTGGTGAAGTTATATTCTGTAGAATCAAATAGCTCTGAGATCATGTTAGACATAAGCCTCTTTCATCTATTCCATCTTAACATCACTCTCTGTATCGAGCTCTTGGACCTGAGGGCCTGAAAACCCAAGTCCAGGAGGATCCAATTCTCCCTCCTTCTCCACCTTTTCGTCGGTCTCCAAATCCTTGTCAACATCCGGTTGATCAACAGACATTGAACCTTCCTTCTCGTCCTTTTCCGCCTTCTCCTTCTCCTCCCTCTCCCGCTCTGCCTTATCAATCTCCTCACAAAGCATCCTCACATCCCCTGCCCCAATTTTACTAAAATGCACGAGATGGCCTTGGGCGGAATCACGAGCGGAACGAAGAGCAAGCCATGTTATGCGGGTTTTGTTCTAGATAAGAGATAAAGAATGATGTCAGTACGCCGATGGAATATAAGATAGAACTTCATGAAAATTCGAAACTTACCTCCTCAGCCTTACGAATCTGTTCATCTTGTGGTAAAGCCAGCACTGTTGGTGCTGGAGTTGATGCAACTGCCGTCGTCTTTGGCATGGTTATGGTAGACACAACTGGGGCTGACGTTGGCAGTGCGTTGGGCACTGGAGTCGCAGGTTTTAGAGGAGATACAGCCCTCGATCCGGGTTTTGGAGGTAGCGAAGGGTGTATTGAAGAAACGTGGACCGGAATCGGTTGCGGCAGAAGCTCCGTCTTCACAGAGGGCAACAAACCGTTCTCTGGAGATTTCATTTCCACGTCATTACACTCTTTCTTTACATCCGTCATATCCACGTCTCCCTTCTCATGCATCGCTTGTGCTTCCTTCTCTTTTGCTTCCCTCTCCGCTTTCTCTATTTTCTCCCTCGCTGCGCGCTCCATTTGCAGCCGTCGTTCCTGATGCGCCCGGAGGGTTTTGGTTCGCAGCTCAATCCTTTGCTCTTGGAGGTGAAGTTCGTGAAGAAAGTCGTGTGGTGTCCCAGGGCTGTTTGAAGGAAGATAGTCAGCATTGTGAAATATCGTACGTCGTATGACCAATAAATAATACTGGAAATGGAAACAAAGGGACGAAACACCCACCTAAACCCTCTCTCCAAGTCCTCCAGCCCTCGATACCCCATAGTCCAAATTTCCGTCAACGCCTCCGTCCCAAGGTCCCACTGCCAGTCCCTCTGGTTCTCCTCCGTGCTATAAAACGGTCCACGCATCTTGGCCCGCAATCCACGACTAGCTTCATACATCGTCTTCGTCTTCGGCTTCTTCCTTCTTCCTTCCTTCCCCTCAGCATCCCCAGCCGCTTTATTTTCATCATCCAACTTCATACCTTCCTCGTCCTTCCCTCCCTCAACCGAATTCAGAGAGTCGAGTAGCTCGTCCGAAGGCTCCCACACGCCCTTCTCAAACACTGTTCCGTCACATAATTCGTTTTTCCACCGGATCCAACCCTTTTCGCGTTCGAGCAGGGACTGGACGGTAGAGGCGAATTCCCGGCCTGTGAGACCATTTATGGCAGTCACTCCTGCAGTAGAGGAAGCAGGGCCGGATACGCCTGCAGATGAGAGGGGAGGAGGTTGAGTTTGCCTTAGTTCTTCGATCGTCCTTGAAATAGTGAGGTGCGTCCACTTTATGGGATCCATGCGTTCTGGTTTATCTACGTGTTGTGCATTGGAGGACGGGGTGGTTGTGATATTGGTTGTGTTCGTACTAGGTAGTGGGATAGAGGCGGGCACAGAAGTTGAAGTCGCGGATGCGGTAGGGAGAGCAGTAGGAGCAGATAAAGAGGAAGGTTTAGAATTTGACGGTTTCGCAGGGGTATTTTTCGCGTTCTTTTCGGTTATCTTTGTGCCAGTGACAGCAGTGGTCGTCACTGAGGTTGACGTGCCAGTACCTTTCATTGCATCTAGACCAGAAGTTGCACTGGGTCCTGTTACAATCGTCGCATTAACATCAACGGGACCTGTATAGTTTAACGCATCGTCCAAGCTCCACTCCGGAATGGGCATATGAAGACTCCGATTTTTGGTCGTTATCCATTTGGCTTTCTCGGTTTTGGTATGTGTAAGAAGGTGATCCAGGAGGATGAGGAGTTGGAAAAGTATTTGGCGACGGAAGTGGGTGTCTGCGAGCTGCGTGGACAACGGATCGTCAATTTCGTATCTTGGAACAGAAGAGAGGATAAAGTCAAGGTAGAGGGACAGTCGACCGAGAACTATACGTAGAAAAAGGTGCAAGGAGGGGCTTACCTCCTGGTCTAATAGCTCAGGACTCGTCAAGAACTTTGCAAAGAAATACTCCATCGCTTTTTTATTTACGTTTCCTGTGACCACCGTTTCCTCACCCTGCCCACGTTTCCGCTTCAACGTCGCGGGTCCCATCGTGGAAGCACTCCTTCCAGCACCCATCATCGCTCTCTCCTTCGCCGTAGCTTCCTTGATGACTGGGAGAACTCTATCGACGGCGTCTTGGAATTGTGCAAAAGTTATAGGAGGATTGGGTGTAGCAAAAACCGAAGGTTTCGAGAAGGGAAGCTGTATAGACCAGAATGTACTGTAAAAATCTGCGGAAAGATTAGTGTAAAAGTAAATAGTGTTTGTACAATGCATACCATCGTTTTCTGCATTCTCCGTGGTCTCCTTCTCCTCCGAATCTCTCACCGGCATCTCCCACGTCGGCCCATATTCACCTCGCAAATTCACACCACTCCTCTCTCCCAATGGAAAGACCTGACTTAGATAAGTCAAAATCCGGCCGGAAAATCCTATCGTTTCACCGCCAGCTTTGCTGAGACGCCGCAGAAGGTCGTTCAACATTCGTAAGAGAACAAGAGCTTTTCCTTTTTGAGGCTGCATCCCAGATGTGAGACGCCCAGAGCCTAGATCTGCGGAGGACAAGCTAGAGGACGTTGCAGTTACGGAACTGGTGGTAGTGTTGATAATCGTCGACACCCTGTCCCTCGACCTTCTTTCTATCCAATCAAAGATCTTCATGCAAGAAGGTATTGTCTGTGTCTCTAGCAAGTCCTGGACGACGCTAAACGCGTAGGAAGCCTCCGTCGCTCCTAGTTCTGTGAAAACCAACGCCAAATCCAGCCAATCTTGCAATTTCGCATAATATTTCTCTGCATCTTCATTACTAGATGAGGCCAATGCCTTTCCTTCCAGGGTCGCATGCTGAAATACGTCTCTCTTGATGAGATATTCCCATTTCATACGTCGGTTGTCGGGATTGGAGGTAGTGTTAGAGGAGGCATCAGAGAGGGCGCTTTGAACAAGAGAAATCAGGGCATCGGTATTTTGAAAGACGTTGGAGGTGGCAAGACTATCAAGTAAACGTCCGTATATCAATTCTATGGTGTCTTTGGCCATGAACGATGAGACTCAGAGAGAAAGTGCCCTCCGTCACGGGATCGGTCTGCGCCTTTAGGTCCACCGTCCAACTGCAATAATAACGCATGCGCAAGGCGCGCAATCGTCTACATTTTATTCTGAGGGGAGATAATACATTGTATCTATATACACAGATAGCAGTAGTACACATTCCACAAGATTTTACACACGCAAGATCGGACGAAGGTAATTCGAGTCAGTTTGCACTCCACCGTCATTTCGTACAAGTAGCCTATGCTTCTCTTTGCTAATCCCTCCTCCGAATACCAACTCGACATCCAAGTGGCTTGCGGAGGAATCCTTCGGATGTATGGAGCTGTGGGAAATAGCGTATTGAGTGTCATCGAAGGAAAACAAGATGGAAGCGGATGTAGGTACAAGTAAAAATGAAGGAAGGAGCGGAACACGAAAACAAGAAAACACAAAACATATGAAAAGCAAGCAAAATCTCACCTCCTGCTCCAACCCATGCTCCAACACAAACTCCCAACTCCTCACCAAACTCCCCACAATAACCTGCAACTCCAAAAACGCTAAATTCCGCCCTACACACGCTCTCGGTCCAACCGAAAACGGGTTGAATGTCTTATTAATCAACTCCTTCCGATCCCCGTCCAGGCCTAGCCATCGTTCTGGACGGAAATCCTCAGTGTCGTCTCCCCATACTTCGGTATCGCGGTGAATCGTGTACGAAGGTACAGAAAGAACGGTCCCTTCGGGGAATGTTACTCCTTCGACTGTCATGCCCCCTTTGGGTACTAAACGAGGTAGACCCAGGGCACTGGTAGAATGGATACGAAGACCTTCGTTGATACACGCATCGAGGTAAGGTAGTTTATCTGCCTTGACATCATCCACCGTCAGCGGCAGCGATTCGATGTCCGGTACAGCTTTATCCAGCTCCGCGTGAAGTCTGGCTTGAGTGGAAGGCGTACGGGCGAGGTAGTAGAGGATGGCACAGGTCGAATTGGACGTGGTATCAGAACCGGCAATAAGGAGGGTAAGCGCTTCGGCGGTAAGTTCCTCTTTACCCATGTATTTCCCGTCTTCATCCTTTCCGCGCTGGAGTTTCTCGAGGAGGTCAGTTTTGCGAACTGAAAGAGTACCGGCGTCTTGGGCTGCGAGACGTTTACGCACAGCCATGATTGCAATTCCTATAGATAATATGTAATGAGCATGAGAAGTGAGGAAGGTAATCCGAAAAGAATGCACCTGCAAGAGCTTTGACGTCTGCTGCTCCAGCTGCGAACCAAGGTAACTTCTTCGCAATTGGGCGATACGCCGGAGGTAGAACACCCATTGACATCGAATATTCTCCTCTGCCGTTTAATATCTTCACCGCCGGAATTTCCTTGACCTGCACCTGACTCTTAGAGTCGGTGAGATCTGCAGAGGGTCCAGAAGCAGGTATCTGAGCTGTATCTTTGCAAGATTTAATCATACCGAATGGTGCACCGAACGCTAGGTCACCAATTATATCAAATGCGAGGTAGTTGCACCAGGGGAGAACGTCCATCCATAGCCGACCATCTCGTCCATACCAGCCTCCGCCTTCGCCTTGACCTTCATCTCCTCGTTCACCCTTGAGCGCGAGCTCGTACAGTCGCGACCACTGCTCTGAGAGTTCCTTTACATAAACCCTGATATACGGCTCGAATTCCAACACACTTTTTTGTGAAAAGATATGCGAAACGAGCTTGCGCTTTCGTGAATGTTCTGCTCTGTCCCGAGTATTAAACAGTCCTCGTTGGATACTAACAAAAGCATCGTAAAAGTTTGATTTCAAAGCACCGTTTCCGTGTGCATATATCGTTTGAAGAGCATCAGGAGAGGCGATAGAGACGTGGTTCGGCGCAATTCGGACAATTCGACCGTATTTTTCATGTAAAGCATGAACGACTTCGGAACGATGTCCGTTAGCACTGTGATAGCCAAGCCATAAGTCAGAGAGTGCGGCAGCGGGTGGTCCAGGGATAGAAAGCCGTCTGAGAGAGTAAGGATCCAGAAGGTAAGGTAAGAGAATGTGTGTGAAGAGGACGCCGACGATGACAATGCCGAGGGAGACAAAAGGATTATGCAGGACAGTTGAGAGCAAGGTCGATGTAAAAGACTCGTGCATGATGGTGGCTGCTGGTTGTTGGAAGGACAAGCTAATGTGAACTAGCATACTTACATGGCATCGTATTCAGAGATTTTAAATTACCCCGGATAAGCTTTTCCGGGATCGTGCGGGGTAAACAACGTGACTTGCCGCCAATCATATTCGAGAACGTGAGCGACGCGAACGGGCAACGCACGGGTTTTTGACCGACCATGAAGTCCCCTCTCCACCATAGCCAGAGATTTTCTTCTCCATTCACATTCATATTCGGGGCCGCCTCAGCTACCCGCCCAGTTCAAGTTGAACTTGTTCTGCTTCTGAAGGAAACTCCGAACTGGGCGTTCTTTTTCTTCTTTTATGAACTCTTCATTAACTGCAAGTAAGTAAGACTATAGTACTAAGGCGTTAAAGGCGCGCAGACCGAATTGGGCGTTCATTGACGTTCATTACTCATCCGCCGAATACTAATATTAATATGCACTTGACATTCCTTCATCAATGTTCGGAGTGATACAGTATACTGTTGGATGCGAGGCAGCAAGTTATACGAATCATCTATTCCGGCTTTCGTTCTGCACAATTGCATGGAATTTGGATTCGGGATTAACAGACCAGGTATGTCGGCCCTACGTCAGTGGTAAGTAGACCTGGCATGGGGTCCAATTGACCTTTGCTATCACCAATTTGGAACATCCAAGTACCAATTTTACATCAGTTTCTAAAATTTCTGCATTCTTACTAAACGCCTCTCTTCCCCATGACATCTTCATCTATGTATAACACATCTGAAATCAAAACATGTATCTTATTGTCACAGCTCTTCGGACCTTGCAGCTGTAGCAAGGGCGGGAGAAGGCATCGTCTAACACGAGGGTCGTCACCTTGTCTCTTCGAACTCAAATCTGCTAGTCAGTGTATCATCTCAGTTGGCGCACTATTGACAATAATAAATCCCTCGAGGATCCTCGAAACTGTGTAAGGATGTTCCATCATGGTTTGAGATCTGATGATCTGCTAATAGCGGCCATTGGCAGACTTGAATCTGATAATTACGAAGTCCTGCGAGATCCAGTGGTCAAATAGTTTATCTGCATACTTGAAAACATCCCCTCACATTTTTCTTCAATCATCTGTATAACTTTGCCTCGATGACTCGATGGCAGTCTACCTACTCTTGAGCTCAGTGCTGTTAGAGCATCGAGACCGGCTGTTGCGTCCTGGGACCATACCTACGGGTGAAGCTGTGAATCTATCGATCTATCTTTCTTTCTTGAAGTTATTAAATAAATAAGCCCAACTAGGTAATATTTCAATTCTCACAAATCCACGAGACAACTATCCAGAAGTATCCAGATCAGTTTTCGACCTAAGGCAAGTTATGCTGCGTCCGGAACACAATTGATGTTGTAAACATTGCCTGTTGTTCTTGCGTTTTACAGACCTGTTGCGCCTGTTTTATTGTCTTTTTGTTTTATTCCCTTTTTTACCATTGACTTTCCATTATTCCATTCGTAAGTATATAACGATTTGTCCTTGAAGGTATCATCAATTCGACATTCCTGTTTCGAAAGATAGAGAGAGTGCGTGTGATGAAGACCAAGGTGAAGCACCTCTCTATTCAAGAATTCATTTGATAACTTGAGACTCTCACACAGGCTGTAATTCTGTTGAAAAAATCTCTTCAAAGTTACAGAAACCGCAGGGATTCATAACAAGGGTAGTGCGGAGGTTGCGAATTAACCAGCAACATCCCAGTGGAGCCTCCAGAAAACTTGAACATCCCGTTGAGAGGTATGGAGCGAGCGGTAATTATGAATTTACCATGTTGCCGACCATTTATTCACGAAGACTCAAATCCCCTCCAACTCCCCTCCAAAATTATACAAGGAGGATTCCCCCAGCTCAGAAATGGTACTACCGCATTCCTCCCCCCTGCTGCCCACGACGTTGATGAGTCCAAGTCCGTCGTTACCACTTGGAACCAACCCCTGGACGGCACGGTCTTCCTCTAGTTCCCCCGAATCTCGCCTTGTTGTACAAAATAGCCAATTCAGCAATGTTGGGCGCGATATGAACAGTTCGACTGTGAATGATCATTCTCACCACGAACGAGTTGAGAATACTTTCCACACAAACATTAATTATAATGTGTATCTTCAATGGGGTTGATCGCGTGATGAGCATTTCGGTGAGCCGGTTGTCCAAGGTGCCTTGGTATGTCTTCGCCATATTAGCAGCTAACGCGCAGTATGTATGTTTAGGGACCATTGGGAATTCGGACCTCAAAGACCCTAAAAGGATATTGTATAAGTGCTTCAGATTCGTTAAAAATTTGAGGATTTTTTTCAGTCCAATGAGGGCTTATGGGATCATTGTATCAGCATTTTCGATACATTTTGACCAATTGTGTCGACATTGAAGTCGCGATTTTATTCGATTTTGCCTATAAAAATCATGACCAAATCCATATTGGAATAGAGCGAATTGGAATATAGGCCAACCATGCACAGTGGATACACCACCTTGTCTACGACATTCCAACGACCTGCTGCTTGATGCACAAATATACCTAAACCCTGATCAAACAAGCCCACGTACTTGATCATCCAATTATGCATCTTCGTTGGAGGAAATAGAAGACGGGGCTCCAGTGTTACATCAAATTCAGAAGTAACGCGTTTCTTGTGTACAGCGGAGGTGTTTGATCATGATGCTCTTGCAAGATGAAGAAGACTATATTGGCTTTGGGTATAATTAAGATTGTTAAGTGAATGAATGCATATGTTCCGTCGACAACCTAAACTAGAGATTCTATTAACACTTTTCGGAGATAGTTCGATGCTGCATAGAGGACTATATGAATGTAAGAACGTTAGACAAGTACGAAATATTGCACTTTGCGCACCTGAGCGGCCATCCTTCTCTTGAATTCCGGCTCTGCTTCTTTATGCCACCATTCCATTTCCGCATTCCAATGCCTTTCCAATGCCACCAACTCTAGAATTTTCCCCGTGGTTTCTTTCTTTTGCAGCACCACATCGTATCCTTCAAACGCTGGGTTCTCGTCATCTGTAACCGCGCACGCCGTAGGCAACTGGTTGAAATCTAAAACCCTCACTAATTCCATCCTTTTAGTTTGCAAACGCTCAATTTCTACCGTCATCTGTCTACTCCGACTAGTGAGCTTTTCCAAAAACTCGTACCTCCGATCGGCGGCAGCACGTATTGCTTCTACTTTTGCAAGAAGCTCTGCAGTGCGAGCAAGCTTATGCTCAATCCACATGTACCGAAGGTCCAGGTAGGCTGAATAAATGCTGACCCCAAGGCCACCAGCTAAAGTAGTAGCCCCAATAGCGAGTACCACCATTGAGCTGGAACGTCCAAAGATAATTTTAGGCAGCAATCGGGTCCAAATGGCTAGCAGGGGCTTAGTTGCATAGAGGATCGCATTGTGGCTCATGAGGCCAAGATGGGAGACGAAAGAAAGGTGGGACCTTTGGGCGCTTAAGTACATATTATTGGAGGGAGGGTTTAACCAACTATGCGTGTATATTCCAAAAGATAAGAATTCACATATATATAGAGATAGTGAGTTCAGGAATTTCATCAGACCCCTCGCCTCGTTCATCTTCCGCATAACCCGCTCAAAACATCTGAAAGCCCTTCCACGCAGGAACAATAACACCCTTCTGATCAACATCTAACCAGCGCTGCTTGTCCCGAACAGGATACCCGAGTCCCTTGGGGTCCATATCGCCGAAAGCGGGGGACCAAGAAAGCGGGAGAGCAGAGAGTAGGCATATTGAAGATCTGCATGAAACAAGGAGAACAGGAAGAGGAAGGGAGGGATATCAATTGATATTAGCGTCAAATGTGGGATGAATCACTTACCCAATCGTACAAACGACCGCATCTGGCTTCATCTTTCCATTATCATCCCCGTCTTCCATCCAAAGCCCACTAACTAGCGCCATATCGACTATGACGCCTCTCGTCAACATCACTTTGTCCTCGTGCAGCGCACTGAACTCGGCCTGAACGTAAGCTTTCGGACTAGCGAGCGCTCGAAGGGAAGGAGAGGAACTGGCATGGAGTGAGAACGTTTGGACAGAACCGCGAGACGGTGATAACGATTCGGAGATTAGTTTCTCAAACGACTCGATAGCATACGGATCATCTGAGGCGACATAAACCATCGTTGTATCGCCCTCTGCGAAAAACCGCTCCTTGATTCCCTTCACTTCATTGACGAAATTCTCGATAGGTACGTATCCCTCAGGACCCTTGGTAAATTTAGCTTTGTGGTCTCCGCGACGGATGTGAACGCCTATGTAGTTGCTCGAAATTTTAGTGCCAAGTTCCTTCCTAGTCTCCGCAATTAACTCAGCATTCTTTTCACTCGGGCGGATAGTTTGTGTGAGTGACTCAGAGGCGCGGAGGAAGATAGGTTTGAGTCGGTTGAGGTTCCGTGCGTAACTACAATCCGAAACGTCGGATTTTGGAGATGGGATAAGTATAAAGGCCACTTACGCATCCTCGTATTGATCTTCAAATCCATGACTTAGGTGGAATTTGGCAGTATGGGAGTTCACTACCCAGTGCCTGGGAAGAGACGTTAGACAGGAGTTCGAAAGAATATTCGAATATGACAAAGGTGTAGGATTGCATGCATGAATTACAAAGAGAGGCTGGAGACAAGACTTACTTGACCTGTCTTGGACACGCGACCAGCTCTTCCGACGGTGGAGGTAGACACCCAGGTTCAGGTCCCGGTTGAGTGAGGCGAACATCTTGGAAGTGGTCCGTCCACCTAAACAGTTGTCAGGGAACGAGAAAAAATGAGAACTAAGAGCCACGGACTTGCCACGGTTCCAGTACGTATCATCGACGAGGAACGTACGGTTTCTCTGGACACGTCGAGTCGGTGAACATGAACATATGCCCAGTTAATACACACTCACCTCTCTGGCAAGCGCCGCTATTTGTGCTATCAATGCCAAATCACTTGCAAGACCAATCCTTCCATCCAGCATATATGTTATCGTGCTCGAACAAGTGCCCTCTGGTGGCTCATGGTGAGCAACATCCTTCGTTGGTACGCCGTCTTCTCCCCAGTATTTCATTGGTTTCATCCGTCCTTCTGGATGAATCTTGTAACATTCCGAGACATATTCAGTAGGAAGGAGCGGGAATGAGGTGTAATTGGCGTAAGAAATGAGAAGGGAAGGGTCTACAGGAGAAACCGAGGTCGGACTTGTGGTGGAATTGGCTTCCGATGGAACAGTGGCCCCAATATAGTATTCCAACGTTCCTGGGCTACGAAACGCAACAAGCGCAAAAAACAATAGCAACCCCGCGATTAAACATCCAGCTACCACCGGTAACCGCTCTGCTATCATGTCGGGACTGACTTTATCGAGCCCCAGGAACGATTGTACATCCTTCTGCCACAAGCCATCGTTGTTGTCGTTATCAACACTTGAACGCAGAAGCGGAGCTGCTGAAGATTGAACCTCCTCATCATCATCGTCGTCGTGTTGTCTGTTTCTTCCCCCTAGTTCAGCTTCCTCATATCCGCCGAATCCAGCCCGAAAACGCGGTGTACGTGGTGTTAACGACTGGTGCTCGTAAGCTGATGCTGAAGCAAGAGGTGAGCTAGAAGATGAAAGGTCTCGCGTATCGTCGAGGTTTGTGAGAGGTCTTGGACGTTCAGACATCCTATGGTCAGTAGTAATAAGGAGGAGTAAGATATGCCCAAAGAGTGTGCCGACCAATATCAGTCAGTGGTCGAGGGAAACAATCAAGAGTCTTCAAGAGTCGGCCAATCAATAGTTGCAGCAGAAGGACAGAGAAACAGAATGATTATCAGACAACCAGTGCCAATATATAGAAAGTTAGGAAAACAAAACGGCAGTCCGAGAATCAAAATTTTTACATCAAGAGCTATCAAGAGGCACTAAATATGGTTACATATGTAACTTTTCACATCGTTTCAAGTTATCCAGGTCCTGTCTTTTTTCTCTACTTCAACGTCGTCTCACGGCAGCTGAAATATGCTTAAATATTAGGCTGCGAGCTGAGCAGCAAAGATAAGATGGGCAACAAGCGTCGCAAATTCAAACCAAAACAATGGCGCATAATGCTGAACCTAAGTTCGTTTCAAGCCGACATTACAGTTGCCGCTATACCACTTACTGTTTGTTTCGAGACTTCATCAGTTCCAAGCCTTTCCATACGACAAACGGGATACAGAATTGATTGAACAGCCAAAACGACTCTCGCTCGGTCTTCAGATTTTCCTAATGACCTTGGCTCTCTTGTTCATCCATGAGCCCATCCACCATTTCCAGAATCTTCTCAACAATCTCGACAGCCAGACGACTATCCAATGCTTTCCACATCCACGCTCTTTGTTGCGGAGCAACGTTCGCAGTAGAAATAACAGGTAAGGCATCCAGATCGACGAGAAGGAAACTGAGGACGGTGATGGGTGCTAGTTTGTGTTGTCATATGTTGGGAAAGACTACCGCTAGTCCTTCTCGAATAGGAATCGAGCTAATGTACTGATCACCGATCACCACCTTTCAGCCCCGACCCCCCAGGTACGTAGTGTGGCCTCGGTGTCATCGGAATCAAACCCTCGAGGATAGGAAATAGCCTTACGAACTTGAACGCCGCAGCTTTCAATGTTCTCCTGATAAAGATATTCGACATTCCAGGAATCATTCGGAGAACATATTTCTCACCACCGCAGTGAAGAGAAGTCCACAAGCGACGATACCCTCATTTTTCATGCCCTCGACGTGCCATGGAGTTACCACAAATTCTACTTGTCCCAAGATCTACAAAATCATACTTAACTCTGTCAGGTTACACCTGAAAACAAGCATATCTTGTGTTGTATTCTGAGATGTTCAGAGCGCGTTGTAGCAACTGATATACGGATTCATGAAGTTGAGGCTTGATGTCGAGTAGGGTCTACGACGATCACTATCAATGTATCCTGAGCAAATGTTTTATTTGTTTTGAGCACTTTAAACACTTCATTCAAAGCAGACAAGGTCATGGAGTTGAGGGTACAGTCAGACATACCTGGCTGATTTAAATCTAGGCAACAAATTTCTGAACTCAAAGGAAGAAAGTTCATACCTGTTCATACCAATGTGAGTTTCGTCTCTGAGAAGAGCATACCCACGGAGTTCATCTAGAACATAGGATATCTAACACCACAAACTCAGTAAACAATATGCGCAAGCTCGATAAAAACACGTCAAGCACCTGTTTCTCTGAAAGCTATAGATGAAGATGTTGTGACATTCCAATCCCTTGTGATTGCATCTTCTGCCCAGCTTTGGTGGATAGACTGATTCTGATCGGATTGCCACCAGTTAGGTTGTAAATGGATAGACCATAAGAGTTGGCCCATTGCTAGATCAGCCAGCTATTTTTATGGTCAGTGGAGCAGGCTAAAATGCGAAGAGTTCCGCACAGTACGAAGGACATCTACTATCGGGCGAGTCGTTCGTATTACTTCGTATACGCGGGACACCTATGTTACCCGAGTGTGAACTTCAACACACCTCCAGAAAGGCGCGTCCTTACAATAAATGGGTGTCAATACCCTGCACTAGGTACTCAGTGTTATGTGAATGGCGAAAGATGAGAACTCGAGCAATGCTTGCCGTCTTCAATCGCCGCCATGGAGAAACCCCCGAGCGCTTATGTAACCAAAGATTCATCTGTACTAACTTGTACTCGTACTACTTTCAAGAATGACTGTATGCTTCTTTTTACCGCTATATCACCTTCTGCTCATGCATCTGCTAGTGGGAAATTCGACTTTCGAACTCTAGGGGAGTCCTCTACTTCTTCAACACGGAAACAAAAGAGTCTACTTGGGATCTTCCTGCTGGAATGACAGAAGAAGAGGCCAAACAGCTTCCAGGGGCTGACCTACTCTCTCGTCCCAAAGTCCCTGCTGGTCAGGTCCGCGCAAGCCATCTTCTAGTGAAGCACAATGGAAGTCGAAGGCCATCGAGCTGGAAGGAGGTGTGTCCAATTCAAACACCAATTTAATCGTCATTGGTCTTCCTAAAACTTTCGCAGGCCAATATCACCCGCTCGAAGGACGAGGCTATCGACGTTCTAACAGGCTATCAAAGCGAAATTGGAGGCTCTGCTGAAAAGTTTGCGCAGCTCGCGGCGGTTCACTCCGACTGCTCCTCTCACGAGAAAGGTGGCGATTTGGGTTACTTCGGACGTGGACAGATGCAAAAACCTTTCGAAGAGGCTGCTTACGCTTTGGAAGTCGGGCAGATCAGCGACATAATCAGTACAGACAGTGGAGTCCATCTGGTGATGAGGACAGCTTGATGGGTTTTCTGTAATTTGAATATCGGGCCACGCCTCAAGCGGGAAGGAGAGCCAAAGAGAGATGAAGTACTTAAAATCACCAACTGTAGTTTTAGCACCCGAAGACGACCAATCAAGCAGTGCCTGTTTATTTTATCTCGTAGAGCACGTTTACGACAACCACCCTTACTCTGAACTACTGCGAAGTTTCCTTCTGGTCCAGAACACCCGGACGGCGTACGGAGTCAACTCCCGAGTCGGACCCGCTTTCCGCAGACTCAGTCATATTCCTCCTTTCTCAAGGCTTCCATCTTCCCTGTCTACATTCCTTCGTCGTCCAAATGTATGGAACTTGAATGATTTTCGTGTCTCGTTATGGGGTTCACCGAAAGCGATTCATATATTTGAACATACAATGTGGCTAAAATAGCATTTACCAGGTGGCTAGCTGCATGCGTCGTTATTCTTACTGCGGCTCTGGCTTTCAAGAACCGGCACCGCGTGCTGAGACGGGAAAATACGGACGCTATCAATTCTGTAAATAATGTGAGAGCAAGTACACGATGCACGTCATGTCGGAGTCCCTCGCTAAACCGTCCTGATAATCTCTCACCGTTATCTTTGCCTACAGGAAGCCCGATTCTCTGACAGTCTCTCAGCAATGGTCGTATTGGAAGAAACAATTCGCATGCACAAGGACATCCAAGTATCGAAAATCCTCGTGCATCCTATCAAAGTAAGTAGCCGCCCTAGATGCGCCCAACACGATTATCAGATCCGACACGATACTTAACTGATAGCGTTCAATCCCTCTCTTTTATCAAGAGCTGTCGTGGAACCTCACTTCAATCATGTCGTTACTCACCTGAAGGCTTAGAGGTTGGGTTCACTGTCAGAATTCGATTACAAAAATCTCACTTGTCGTTAAGCACGACAGGAGGTTTTGCATCATTGAAGCCAATTCTCACAAAGTAATTACTGCTCGGGAAGTAGCCAAGGTAAGTCATATCAGATGTATAGTCAGGCGTCGTCTACTGTCATGGACAAGTGTTCTTTCCCACTCATATTTAATACTTAGATGGTTCTAATCACTCCACGTATTGAAACGGACGACAGATCACCTCATGGTGGTGTACTAAAAATTTCCTTCCCGGAGAATTCAGGTTGCGAATCATTCGCTGTGCCTCTGTACCCGGTCGAAGAGAGATGGGAAAGGTTTGAAACTGTATCTCCTCTGCATAACTCTGAAATGACAAGCTGATTTTCGTCTCCTATTATAGGTTAAGTAATATCGCACTGTGGGGACACGAAGTTGACGGGTTCATCTGTGAAAATCAAAACTCGAGTGGACGCTCCCCGTCCACGATTCTCTCCGAATATTTTGGACGTTCTGTTCATCTGACTGTGAAGGGGAACAAACCTCGGCCTTGTGATCCAACTGATTCCTTCCCAGGTCTTAAGGCTACAACTTTGTATCAAGACGGGTATCCGCTCCTTGTTCTCTCTGAAGAGAGCATCGATGTATTGCATGAAGAGATCCGCTCGCGAGTTGGGATGCAGGGTATTGCGGATCAGTGGTCTAAGCAGGAGTTCGTCATTGAAAGGTCGGTCGGTCATATGATTTAATTTTGCCCCCACCTCCCATCCGGTCTCCGTTTCCCGATTCCGAAGAGTTCTTTCTGGCACCCGTTGTCATACAGAACCGGGCCTCTTACCGAACAGTGTTGAAACAAACATCTCTTTGCTTGAGCCAAAAACGCGTTACCCTGTGCTTTCAATCTGCTATGTTTGTATGCAGTATTTTTGGCAGCTGACGACCTCTTGCACTCGTTCGTAGGTTCCGACCTAATATAGTTCTTCGGGGTGCCGGTCCTTTTGCGGAAGATAATTTCGAAGAGATCAGCATTGGCTCAGATGATGATTCCGAAATAACAGGAGAGAAACAACCTGGGATTCTCCTCGTAAGCAAGTGCGCTCGGTGCCTGGTACGTCGATCTTACACACTCCGTATACTGTTGCCATTATCCTTACGTCCATCGTGATATGGTTTACTTACATTCTCTGCAGCTGCCTAATGTTTGCCCAGACACCGGTGTACGAGATAAAGCCGTACCGTACAAGGTATTAATGAAATTCCGGATTGGATTGGACCCTCAAAACAAAATGAAGCCATGTGTTGGCTGTAACGGGGTTCCACTAGGGAGTGGGATCATTCAAGTGGGTGATTCAGTGAATGTAAGGAGAATTATTGCCGCTTAGTGCGTTGTATGTGCGTCAGCATCTTCCACCATTATGCAGCATTAAGCTCGCTGAATTACAACTAATTTGTAATACCATATGGATCCGATTAGTAGTCGCCCTGATATTCCCTGATGTTTTACTGTAGCTTATCGATTCATGTGCTTTCACGAACCAAGCCGAAAGTGTAAACTTAATGACATTGAAGGCGGGAGGAGCTCTCCCGTCCTCCGGCGCATTCGGATGCCGCTACGTTCTGCCACGTTCCTGGATGGTTCATTCCCAGTTGTGAGGTCACATAACTGCCTGGAGCAAGGGGAGATGACCTGGAAGAGACTCAAATGGAGACTTGGCGAAGGTGTTTGATGCATCATTACTTGCAATTGGAAGGAAGCACCTCAAAAGGCACAACAATTCATTCTGCGGCACGCAACGGATGGAATTTGATCACGTGTAGCCCAAAACGATTTTGTGCCTTGACTGGAACTTGGAATAGAACTCAGTTACCGACACTCACCTTGTTGATCTATCAGCGGTAACGACAGGCCCTGGCTGGCTGACACTGAAGCTCAAGACGGCCTCGTATTATGGCCAAGTCAAAATGGATTTTTGGAAACCAGCAGAACCAACCAGCAACTGTCGTAGTCAATCCTGCGCCTCTTCCTATCGAATCTTCAGCGGATACCAGACAATTTGGCCTAGAGAATGTATGTTGTAGGCTATCCTTTTTAGAAATCTCACTCATCGAATCCTTTTGTGATTTAGTTCGGCAATACTTGGTACGATCAGGAATTTACAATACCTTGTCCCACATGCTTATGTCTTGTCAGTTATGCCAATTCAGTCCTTCAAGCACTGTATTTTTGTGCGCCTTTCCGGGATCTGCTCCTGCAGTCTCCCGACTCTCCGCCACCTGCAGGTGGAAGTCCTTCGGAAAATCACAATCCCTCACCCCTTGTACCCGTCAGACGCAAGCCCGAACGAAAGGCTTCAACGTCAGGTACAATAAGCGATGGCGCGTCCGCTCAAGCCGCCATACCCATACCTCCCAATCCAGCCTCCCTTTTCTCCGCACTCCGCTCTCTCTTCCTACACATATCAACACATCCCTCCGACAAGGGCACTGTCGCTCCTTCAGCCTTCATCGAACAATTGCGCCGCGTAAACGAGCTGTTTCGCTCAACCATGCATCAGGATGCTCACGAGTTTTTCAACTATCTACTCAACAAAATAGTAGAGGAAATAGAAGAAGACCGGAAGGTTTCGCAGCATGGGTCAGGATCAGCAGACGATTGTGAGTTTGATCGCATTTGCATGTGGAAGTTCTCTATTCAACTATCTCTTTTCTTCAGTGTCCAATTCAATAACAACATTAGGATCAAAAGTGCCTTCTACGATGAATAGTGCGAACTCAGATCCATTACCAGACTCCACATTGGTTCACAAGCTGTTCGAGGGCACGCTTACAAGCGAAACAAGGTGTCTAACCTGCGAGACTGTATGCAACGCGTCCTTGTATCTGCTTACCTTCTCAATCCTCATACTAATCTAGGTTTCTTCGCGCGATGAATCTTTCATTGACCTCTCGATAGACATCGAACAGAACTCCAGCGTCACTGCCTGCCTAAGGCAGTTCAGTGCCAGTGAGATGTTGTGCCAGAGGAACAAGTTCTTTTGTGACGCTTGTTGCGATCTCCAAGAGGCCGAGAAGCGGTAAGCTTGGCATTTTCTCCCAGCATCTATCCATCTTGAAATTCCCCTCCCGCAGCATGAAAATCAAGAAGCTGCCTAATGTTCTTGCTTTACATCTGAAACGATTCAAGTATCAAGAGGATTCGAAGAAATACATCAAACTTTCCTATAGAGTTGCTTTCCCCCTCCAATTACGCCTTTTCAACACTGTAGACGACGCCGAAGATGCGGACAAACTTTACAATTTATTTGCGATTGTCGTTCATCTTGGAAAGTAAGCGAACTGTCGTCAACTGCCTGATCTCTTGCCATAGCCTTACATTACCACCATAGCGGCCCTCATCATGGCCATTATATATCCATCATCAAGACATTGGGTGCTTGGTTTGTTTTCGACGACGACAACGTCTATCCTATACCAGAAAAGGATATTCCGAAGTACTACGGCGATTCTAATGCTGGATCCGCTTATGTCCTCTATTACGAGGCCGCAGACATTGACCGCACAAGCCTTGGTCTTCGAGCCCCTCCCCTGCCCATTCAGACAACGGCTTCGATCCCGCCGTCGCCTTCTCTAACAAATCCGACTCTTCCACCGGGTCTCGCTGACGAAGGTGACTCTTCGGACCTGAGTGACCCACCGTACCCCGTTACCCCAGCTCAAAACTCGCCGTTGCTAGCGCCAATAGGTAACCTATCTCGACCCGCTCTTGAGTTAAAAGTTGCAGGGTCAAACGGGGTACCCCCTCAGAGCCCGGCTTCTCCTGCGCTAGTTTCTAGTCCAGCCAATGGACGCGGAAGTAAAGGTTTATTCCCGTCAATTCGTCGAGTACCGTCCGCCAAACCATCATCAAGCCCAGATACTATTCGAACAGTTGTCGACTCTTCCCCGCTGACTCAGGATGACTCCTCAACTGTCCCAAATCGCACGCCCTCCCCGGTGCCTCCACCATCATCGTATTCATCTCATACTTCCTCTGAAAGAAAGGAACTAACAGAGAAGAGATCAGGCTGGTTTGGAAAGCGAAAAAGTATAAAAGCTACGGACAAGAGAGAATTTGAAAGCTTTCATCCTAGAACAGACGATGCGGCAACAGCGCAGACTACCTCTACCTCGTCTTCTAATACTTCGTCTAGCTGGCTCAATCAACATTCAACCAGAGATGCCAGGATTCGGCGGCCATCCGAGCCGAGTCCTGCTAGTTCTTACACCCTCCCACCTTCTCGACCTTCTCGACCCAAATCCTCAGCCGAAGGTCTTACCGTGAAACCTTCGAATTGGAACTCTGACCGTCACGACCCGTCTCCCGGTTCTGCTTCCTCTTCAAACGGTTCAACCTCGCCTGCCACCCACCTTCCCTCATCAATACCTGCTACCCCTTCGTACATCCTCAATCACGGCCTTCCTCCTCGAAAATCTTCGCTCGTACCAGAGATTCCTCTTAAATCCCCAGACCGTAAAAAGTCTCTTACCAGCCTACCTCGCATTCGGGACAAGGCGCGCAAACATCACAACGATAACCCTCCAAGACCTTCGACAGCACCTGGAAATCCTTTGAGCATGTCTGGATCATCGTCACCTGTTCCACCAATACCCCCAATACCGTCTCCAACAATCATGCCTGATGGCTACAACTTGCCTACCTTGGAGAAGGGAAAGATGAGAGGTAGTTCTGACAATTCGTTGCTACCGCCGAGCTCGGGGAGTCCTCTTATACCGGCCCCAGGTTTACACTCCTTTGCTGGCGTTAATCATAGCTCTTCCAGTACAGGAACGGGCGGTGGCAGTGCTGCCTTCAAGCGCGCCAGTCGTAAGTTGAGCATCTCCGGACAGATGTTTGGCTTTGGAAAGAAGGACAAGGACAAGAAAGAACGGGAACGTGAAGAGCGGGAGGGTGGAAAGGGCCCACCCACATCCTACCATCATCATTAATCTACTTACTGAATTCATTTAGTAAGTTGTGAAGACAATGTCACCTTACGTATCTCGACTCATTTCCTGGCTTTCCACTGTAATTCTAAACGGCGGATGGTTTTCGACTTGCGTTCATCCTTCCTACTCTCGTTTCTTGCTACTTTATTCACTTTGTTCTTACTTCGTCCTCTGCCTTCGCATGTTCTTGACTATTGACGAACAACAACCGTGCTAACATTGTATTGCTTTGTCTATCACCATTTACCTACAGCAAGTACTATAACCTGTCACCTGTATAATGTACACCAATTGCTAACCATAAGCGCTCGCTCGAGCGCTTTCATGAAACTCCACGGACAAGAAAAGATCCCTCTAATAGTAACTGAATCTATTCTTCCTGCAAGCTTTTTCTCTACACTACCGGAGAGATTCCTGACTCTCGACGGTACCGTATACACAAATAAGTTCAAGCTAATACCTGAGGTTTGTTGCATATAACTTAGTAAAGCCTGGGTAAAGCGTCTATGTATACTTGCAATTGACTCTGACTCGAATTGACGCATTTGACAGCCAAATACAGCTTTCCACCTGGTTCTAACAACTGCAGAATGCTAAACCTCGATGACTCCGAGCTTCTTGCTCCCAATTAGGACCTTGCTAAAACGTAGGACATCTTCTTTCCCCAAAAACGTGTTTGATCTCATACAGTCTCCTAGTTATCGTGCTCCCATTTAGGATACTTCATTTAGAAAGGTGTCTGCAGTGACCACAGGATTCCATTAACTATTCTTTCACATCTTTAAAAAGGTATGGAGCAGTATATAAGTATTGACCATAGGCCAAAGGACTCGTTTCCATACTTAACTGTTTACCATGCCTTCAACCACAGTCTCTCCAATAATACGCTCAGACGCTTCAGATCTCGAGATTAACACGTACGATGCCGCCAGCGCCATACCTCCCTGGGTCGTCGAAGTTCTTCGACGGATTCCGACTCAGACAAATGTGGTGTTACCAAACATAGAGAGGGCAATATCGAGGGAACTTGCTGGAGATATAGTCGAAAACGAGGAGCTTTGGTTCACTTGTTCGTCTATTGACGACGAGGAAAATCGAACTCTAGACCTCGTTCTTTCGTGTTCAGAAAGCGACATGGGCAAATATCCAATCTTCATCGTTGCTGCAGTTCCGTTCTCCCGATTGACCGATCAGTTCCTTGGCCCCCGCATAGAAAATCTAATCCTGGCTATGACTCGTGCAGGCATACGGAGTGACCGTGTTTATAGCATATTTGCCCCGGAGCCCATAACTCAGCTTTTTGCCGAAATTTGGACAGAGTTCACTGGCGTAGCGCACTACGAAACACCATATTACGCCGCCATGCTCTCATTTTGTACAAGAGGATCGTTCAGAAATCGGCAGGCTACATGTACGCAGGGAGGGGTACGGTACAATCTTCGACCTGCGCGCATCTCTGATCTTGATGCAGTCGCTGCCCTGTGCTATGGGTTCGCAGCAGAATCAGAGCCATTTGTGTTGAATGAAGCGGGTGCTTTGAAAGAAGCTCTGATGCTAATTCGCAAAGAGCAGGTCTGGGTGCACGAAGCCCAACGCGAGGGCTCGACTCGACCGGAGATTGCTTGCCTTGTTGCGTACACCCGCAATACCCAAACCACGGCCACAATCACAAAGGTGATGACCTCTCCGGCTCACCGTGGTTTAGGATGCGCCCAGCGATTAGTACGCCAAGTCTGCAAACATCTTCTCTACTCTGGAAAGCAGGCTGTGGCCCTCTATGTGGCTCATAACAATATCCCTGCATGCAAAGTTTATCATAAAGTTGGCTTTGTAGGTCTTGACAAATATCATGATCAACCGATAGAAGGAGTCGAGCGTTGGTTGGAGATTGGGTTTGATCGAGCGAAAGTCCATCTCGGCCATTGGTAATCAAATTTGGTACTATTTTCTTGGACATTTTTTGTAACCATTACATCTAATCAGTAATACGATACCCCCCTTCCCTTGTTATTCCTGGACTTTTATATACATGTATTTGACGGTTATATGAGCAGCTCCCTCCAACCCCCGACTAATCTTATGAATCAACAACCCTTCTCCCCGACTCACTCATGGATATTCAAGTTCTATACACTATACTTGAATTCGGCAGAATAGAACAACTTATCTTGATCAGAGCATACTTCCCCCTATTTCACTCTACTTAGCGATCCTCAATAGAGAACTTAAATTGTAATATTTAGCGTAAAATATATACATATATTGTTCCTAATATACGATTCCACACTCAGAGTTCGCTATTCAGCATAGTCTGAAACCTACGCCACTGAGCAAAACGGTCGTCGGGAGCTACCGTCTTCTTTACATCCATGATCAAAAATTTCAGGTTCTTCTGCGTAGCAATACAAACTCTTCCTGTACTTTCGTCCCATGTTATTGCAGAACAACCGGTTTCGGCAATGTGCTGGAACGCAGTTGAGTTAAGTCTAAACGGGACATGCTCGTGTTCAGGCCTGAGATAACGCTGGCGCACTACTGATAAGTCACCCTGTGGAGGATGCCCATAAGGGTAGTCGGCGAGCTGATATTCGGTATTGAAATACCGACCCAGAGACTTGATTTTGGGCATATCGCTGCGATCGTCACAAGGCACTGTATATACCAATGCACGATGCACACCAGGTATTATTCGAACGCCATATTTGGGATCCTTCACTGTCGCCTGCTCCACGTACCAATCCAAGTCGTAGAACCAGTAACCATCGTGGGACAACACTGGATCGATGTTGAAATGTTCCATCCCCTCGAGCTCTTCGCCGCACACATAGATAGATAGTGGGGGAGGACGGGCCTTCGGGTCGTGCTTGAAAGGATGGTCGGGACCTATGAGAGGTTCGTAGTTATCCGATATATGAATTGACGTAGCGTTCCTATTTGTGATCAAAGCGTAGTCGTCTGGTAGAGATACGACCCCAAGCACACCAGCGTTAGGTAAGGTGTGAAGCTCCATAGTATGTTGATCTTGGTGTTGGTCAATTTTTCGGAGTCTAAGAGTACGAATTACCAACACCTGGTTTTGTTTTGGCAAAACTCGTATAGCACGAATTTTGTGTTCCTGTCGGTTACCACAAATGAGTTGGGTGCTTCCACAGGAATATATATATATATATGTACTGACCGCATTGTCGAAAACAGGAATTCTTGGACATTTAATGCTACTGAGTTGATTTGTGAGCAGATCCATAATCACGATTTCATTCGGTCTTTGAACCACAGCCGCGAAAGGTCTGCCGTCTGATTCAAAGAGAGAGGGTTGCTCTATGGGAGCGTTAGATACGAAGTGTATCACATATTGGAAAGGTTGAGGAAGAGCTGCAGCTCTGTCACGGAACGCCTGTGACTTTCTAGTAATGGACGGATCCGATAGTAGCTCCAATGCCTCCATGTCTACGAAAGTGCACAAACAATCGTGACGTAGTGGGTACGGAGGGTCGACTTCAGGCCGTGCACTCAGTTCCGAAAGATCGTAACTATGGACAGCTAGATTAACAATATTTGTCAGATAAGGTGCGCGACAAACGACTCACCCGCGTAAATGGCCGTCCTCGGGTGTCCTTTGAGAATACATAATCATTATACCCGGTCTACCTTCGTGCCAAGGGAGGAATCGGGCTTCTATATTGAAGGCTTTTGTGGGAAGAGGTAGTCGTGCCAATGGAGGGAAGTTCGGATCAGGATGATCAAGACAGAAGATGCAGATATAAAATCTGCGGCTAGCAGTATCTTTGACAGACGCGACCATGTACTGGCCTCCAGGCAACAGCTTCATCTCGAGCACTTCGTAGAATGCAAAGACAACCCTAGTGTAAGAGAGCTTGGGACTCAGCCTACGCCAATTATCATCTGCGCAAATCGCTTTTGCTACCAGCTGTTCGATCTGGAAACTAGTCAAATCTAAAGACCAACGAAGGCTGGGACGCAAAGGCGGTATAGGGATGGATAGGCGAACGAGAAAGCGTTTCCAAATGATTGGTTCATGAGTAATGAGAAATAGAGTCTTATTGACCTTGAGGATAAAGGATAAGCATATGTAGTAGGCCGTCGAATGGCAAGTGAAGAACTCACCCGTCGCAGACAGATCACGTCTTCTATAGTCAAATGAATGAAGATTTCATCAATCCATAAATCCACCGGTAGTTTTTGGATGTAGCAAGGGGTTGTGTGATGAAGAAAACTTTTTAAGAAAGGAGGGATGTATCGAGTAAGTTCGAGAGTGCTGCCAGGCATCTTGGAAGGAGAGTGAGGGAGCAACGTTGAACATTTCTCGAGTCTAACGTCACAGTTATATCGAGCTTCAGAGTTAGGATATCCTTGTATCAAATAAGGGCATGGTAGAGACCTTGTATCCTATATAGAAAAGTTGAATATTATTCCATGTCATGGTGGACTAGAGCCTCAACACTTTCCTTTTCGAGATCAACGCCAGTCACCTGATTCTCACATGGCACGCGTTTGTTCACACGTGGAATCTGCAGTATACGACCAGGGTTTGATAGGGTTTGATAGAAACCGTCCAATCCTTCCTCTCCAAGTGTAGGGCCGATGGGTGAAGGCCTAGCTTCTTTTCGAATGTCTTCAGACCATAGCTTCTCAAGCAAAGATGGAAGTTCTGCCAATGCGTCCGGCATTAAATTTTATTAAATCATGCTTTTGTTGGTGGAGCCTCGAATAGTTCAAGAGAGTTCAGGTCGAACGACATCGTCGTCTTCCTTCACCTGCTGAGTGAGACCTGTTCTCGTTTCTCAAAGAGTTCGAGGGCAATACTCTGGATTAGGGGGTTTACCTATGGAAGGTTGCCAATGACTCCTGCGCATCTCACAGAGCTGCCTATGTCCCCAGGGTTTCAAAATTGAAAACACAATGAAATTCGGAAATTGCGACACGACTCTGCTTTCTGGTCAATGTGCTGCTGAGGTATCTCTGAATATCATGCTGAGGGAAGAGTTCTGAAGAAATATTAACCGCAGTCTATAGTCACAGGGGCAGGAACGCGTTTCGCGAATTCGGTGGCCCATATTCCTCGGGGAAAATCAGCTTCAGACGTTCATTGAAGGGGAGATACAAACCACTCACCTGTGCCGGTCCCTGAATCTGAGATAGCTGCATCGGAAGATACATTCTCTCATCAATCGACCTTCTTTCGAAACCAACACTGCGTATTTAGCCTGAAAGGTATCAGTGAAATTTCACGTTTTATTTGTCATGCATAACGAGAGGGTTACAGCAGACGGGAAGTCAAATGGGAATGTGGGGGGGGGAGGTTTGTGAAGTCCGTTTCAGTCATTTGAAGACTTTTGAGTTCTGAGAATGCAATCAGAACGATCTTGACACGTCGTCGGGCCATCCACTGGGGAGTGCGGGCTTGCCTCGTAAAGCTTTGGCTCGTCATTTGGTATGAGTAAAGGTATGGGGATATGGGCGCACAGAGTTTACCAGTTTCATTCGCTGATTCGTCGGTCTTCTCGTTGCCCTCCACTGCTTCATGCCCTGGGCACCAGGCGTCAGTGAAGTGGAACGCACCCAGTTTGGAAATTTGAATCATTACGACTGGGTGATTCCTCATTGGTCTTTCTGTTTGCCGGTAAAGAATGTGAACTTGAGCTATTTGACTAATCGGCCATTGGCAGTCCGAAGGTTGACATTTATAAGGAGATACAAATGAAGTTTAGTTTTTCAATGGAAAGCGAGGCGAACTCAATAACTGCATGACTATCGAGACTTGCACGACGTCGACTAGCAACGCACATTCCTTGATCCTTCCCCTCGCTTTCCCTTTCGGAAGCGAAAGATGCAATACCAAATCGAAGTCTGTCGACGCCGACGAGAGTGGTTAAAGTTTTGCAATGTTTGATTCACCACCGATGAAGGCAATAATTGAATTCCAAAGCCGACAACTCAGAAAAAAGCATACAAGTAGGAAGAGAACATCGAAAGGGAAAGAATTAAAGATAATCGAACCAAAAGGGCATACACCGATATCCCAGGTTTCCAGAAATTGCGCACTGGTAAAAACGGCCCAATAAACACCGTGCATATCCCTGATATCCATGACCATATCCACCAACTTCAAACGATCAGAAATCTCCCCAATTCCGGCGGAATTTGAACTACATTTCGCTTTCTTTAGCATTTTTTGAAACGGGATGGAGAGAATAAATGTCAGATAGCCTACCTTGTACGGTAGATTTTTCCTATGCGAGCATGAACCAGACGCACATTAGCAAATTCAACCTTTTGAAACACGACAAGCATCGAACCTCATTTTGTCACCTGGGTCGATGGGGGGTGAATACCCATCACTCCCATCGCCCCAAGCACCCTTCGCTTCTGCCTGTGCTTTAGCGTCTCGGAACTTCACTGCAGGGTCTTGCTTTTCCGGAGGAGTTACACGGGTTACTTTTGGATTTGGGGGTTCCTCTGCAGAGTCTTGTTGAACCTGATCAGCATGTGGATGATCGACACCGATAAACTGTTCCTGTTGTTGCTGTTGAATAACCTCTTCCTGAGCAGCAGCCATCTTCTCCTCATATAACTTCTCAGCTTGTTCATGGGCAGCCAGAGCTTCTTCGACAGTGATACCCTGATAGACAGCTTCCTTCTCAGCTTCTTTATGCTCAATCGCCTCATGCATGGCGAAATGTTCAATGTCCTCCGGATGGTTGTAGGACTCATCAGTTTGGGTTTCGGGTGTTGAATGGAATTCCTCTGAGAGAACGTTAGGTCGAAGATGCCGAATCTAGATTCTCGACGTGACTGACCTTCGTGGTGCAGAAAAAATTCTGAATAACGGGGGGATAATATAGAACATGAGGTAGACAAGATAGTTTGAAGCTACTCACCGCTCTCCACATCGTAATGATGTCCCTCAGCGCCCATATGATCGAAGTTTGGCAAACCGTTCAAGCCGACTGTTTCAAACTCTTCTATGGACACTTTACCGTCCTTGTTAACGTCAAGAAGCCGTAGAACCTCCCCGGAGATATGATCAGCCTTCTTCTGATGTTCAACATCATCCTGATGGTAAAGCGTATGGGTAGAGCCTATTCCTGAACGTCGAGGAACACGCACCTTCGATTGCTTTTGCGAGTATATGTGATGGACGCCATATATTGCTTCAATTTCGTCCTTATCCCAGTACGAGTCTCTACAGTCACGGTGCGTAAGGTGATAGTTTCATATTTGGCAAGTGTACAGACCTATTGAGATCATGCAGTTGGTGGAAACTTGGAAGATCGAACTCGTCGCTGTGAAAATGGACTTTGAGTAAAGGCACAGTGCATTAGCATAGGTATGTACATGTGGTGCTCCCTCGACATCTAGGAAATGAAAATTGAGCAGGTCACAGCGAGGAAGAAACGTAACTACTTACATGTCTCTTAGCATATTCTTGAATGGTTTCGCCTGGTTTAGGCCCTTCTCCTCTATGCTCTCCATGTGCAAATACAATTGAAAAGAGATAGAACAAGAATAGTGGATTGACGGCCCTCATGGCTTTCCTAAATGGTTGCATCCGTCGTCGCTGCCTGCGATGAGAAAGAACGCATTACTAATCAATTGGTGGGAAACTACAATCCAAGTGCCACGGGTTTTCCACTCCAGTTCCGCTCAAGTCCACTAATCGAGCATCTCAAAAGGCCCACATGTACTTACAGCTGCAGGACTATACATATCATGGTTGGCCAATTCGTTGAATGGTTTTCGAAGATGTATGTAGTACATAGTATCCTCTTCACTCTGGCGCTCAGCCACGGCCGGTGGACTATGTAGTATGGAGGGCATTGGTTAGATCCTCATTGAATGAATGTACCAGGCCGCAACCGGCGGCAACTCTCTTTGACTCAAATTCAGCTAATCTGTAAGCACAAATCCCGAGATAATCGGGGAAAGTTCCGCTCTGAAAGCTTTTTCCGCTCACAATGGCCAAAACTCGAGCACCTTGAGAGGCAGTGACCTCGCACTACCTTCATCTTGAGTCTAAATAGTCGAGTTTCGTTACAGCCATCGAGTGAGGAAGACCAAGGAGGCAGTCGACAAGCGGAGCTTTAATTCAAATCGGCTCCGAATGCTTTCTTTTCTAGATATTTCCGTCTGACAAATTTCCTTACAGCAAATGTTTATAAAGTGCGGTTGTCCGAACCGGTTATTCGTGCTTGCTTTCGTTCTTTGTTTTTCTCTACATCAATGGCTGACACGCCAGATGTACGCACCTTGTACGAAGAGCAAAGAGTCGATGACGTCGAATCTCAGCTTAGCCGCGAAAACGCCCACCACGTCGATGTATCTTCTGCCGAGCGTCAGTTTAACGAGCTATCCCGTCAACTCAGCATCAAAAAATCATCAACCACCACCGCCAGTGTAGAGACAGCTCAAGGTAAAGATGTGGAAAAAGGCGCTGAAGAAGAGGATAACTTTGATCTCCGGGAATACCTTTCTTCGTCGAATGATGCCAATCAACAAGCTGGAATCCACCACAAGGTTCGTTTGAAGCGCCTCATGACTTTATTCCGCTCAATAAGTATCCAGCGCGTCGGTGTCACTTGGGAAGATTTACAGGTAGATGTTATCGGAGGTGATGACAGCAAAGTATGTTATAAACGCATCCCCATGATGAATTTATTTAATTCAGAGTATCCAGTTCTTCATCAGGACCTTTGCCAGTGAATTGTTTTTTATTTCTGCTGCTTGATTTTTGCGACTTACAATCACTCAGATGCCCTGCTTGGTTTCGTTCTCAGTCCCATCACCTTGATCTGGAGTTTTATTACCCCTCTGCTTCCCAAGAAAAATTTGCCAACAAAGTCAATTCTTCACAAGTACGTTTCACATCTGGTCTACATAGATCATACTCACAATACGACACAGATCTTCCGGTGTACTTAAACCCGGTGAAATGTGTCTCGTTCTCGGATGTCCTGGTGCCGGATGCACTTCCTTCCTGAAAGTCATTGCCAATCAACGCGAAGAATACGCCAACGTTAGTGGGCAAGTTCTCTACGCCGGTATGGACGCAGCAGAAATGGCCAAATATTACAAGGGTGAAGTAGTGTTCAACGAAGAAGGTAAATGTTTCCGTCAATGCCGCAAATTTAAAGGTAATCTTATTTGGTGTTAATCGATTAGATGATCGGCACATTGCAACTCTTACTGTCGAACAAACTTTAAAGTTTGCATTGTCCACCAAAACTCCCGGTCCTAAGGGTCGTCTGCCAGGTGTCTCTCGCAAGGAGTTTGATCAGGAGGTTTTGAACACCCTGTTACGCATGCTTAACATATCCCACACCCGCCGTACGCTCGTTGGCGATGAGTTCGTTCGGGGTGTTTCTGGAGGAGAGCGTAAACGTGTTTCTATCGCAGAGATGATGACTACTCGTGCTCGTGTTCAGTCTTGGGACAATTCCACTCGTGGTTTGGACGCATCAACTGCTCTCGATTTTGTGAAAAGCTTGCGGGTAATGACTGATGTGCTCGGTCAAACGACTTTTGTCACTCTGTAAGTTCTTCCCGCCGCTTATTACGGCTTGGCAAATTAATTTCCGCTCAGATATCAAGCTGGAGAGGGTATCTACGACTTATTCGACAAGGTGATGGTACTCAGTGACGGCCGGCAAGTGTACTATGGTCCTCCCTCTGAAGCGCGTGCATATTTCGAAGGCCTGGGATACAAGGCTCTTCCTCGTCAAAGCACCGCCGATTACCTCACTGGATGCACTGACATCAATGAACGCCAATTTGCTCCTGGTCGGTCCGCTGCCAATGTCCCTTCTTCTCCTGCCGCTTTAGAAGGCGCTTTCTTGCGTTCAAAATACTCTCAAGACAACAAAGTTGCTCTCGAAAAGTACAAACTGACTATGGCCACCGATAAAGCTGATCAGGAAGCATTCCGCGCTTCTGTTGCTGCTGACAAGAAGAAGGGTGTGTCCAAGAAGAGTCCCTACACTCTCGGATTCACTGCTCAGGTTCGCGCTTTGGTTGTTCGTCAATTCCAGCAAAGACTGCAGGATAGGTTCCAGTTGTATACTAGTTTCACGCTTAGTACTGTAAGTCATATTTTCCAACGCGTTCGTGACGGCCACTCATTCTTCCTCATTAAGGTTCTCGCTATTGTCCTTGGAGGGGCCTTCTTCGCGTTGCCGACTACCTCTGCCGGTGCCTTCACTCGTGGAGGGTAAGCTTTATTTTTGAGGAAATTTCTCAAAAATCTAACGTACTTCAAACAGTCTCCTTTTCGCCGCACTTTTGACAACATGTCTCGACGCATTCATGGAAATGCCCACACAGATGGTTGGTCGTCCGATCCTTCGCAAACAGACTAGTTACAGCATGTACCGGCCTTCAGCCATTGCTATCGCCAACACGTTGGCCGATATGCCTTTCTCCGCTGCTCGAGTACTATTATTCAACATCTGCGTCTACTTCATGTCAAATCTCAATCGATCGGCTGGTGGATTCTTCACCTTCCACATCTTCAATTACATTGCATTTTTGACGATGCAAGGATTCTTCCGTACTTTCGGTCAATTGTGCACAAACTTTGATTCTGCATTCCGTCTGGCGACCTTCTTCATTCCTAACTTGTAAGTTGATCCCTTCTATCGTGTATTCAGCGTAGTAATATGTGTCCCAGCATCGAGTACACTGGATATATCCTACCCGTCAACAGCATGAAGCGCTGGTTGTTCTGGATATACTACTTGAACCCGATTGCTTATGGTATGATTTATGTATTCATCGGAGGAACCAGCAGTCACTTTACTAATATTGCAAATAGCCTGGCAAGGAATCATGGAAAATGAGTTCAGACGCATCGATGTGAGTGCTTTCCTACTTTTTACGACCGCAACATACTTACCGAAGATGCTCACTAGTTGACGTGTGATGGAGCTTACATCGTTCCCCGCAATGGCGGTGATGTAACCAAGTATCCTGATGGACTTGGTCCCAACCAGATCTGTACGCTTTTCGGTGCATCCTCCGGGTCCACTGCGGTCACTGGCCACCAATACATCTTCGCGGGTTACGATCTCGACACCACCGATCTTTGGCGACGTTGTTTTTTGGTTCTAGTGGGCATGTTCTTCTTTTTCCAGCTCACTCAGGTCATTGCTTTGGAATTCTTCCCGGTAAACTATTAATTCCTCTCTAAAATGGTACCCAATGACTGATGCAGCTATGCATCTAGCAATACGTTGTCAATGTTGGATTCAAAATCTTTGCCAAGGAAGATTCGGAGACCAAGAAGCTCAATGAAGCTCAACGCGCAAAGAGGGCTGCTCGCCTTGAGAACGCTCATGCTGATGAGAAGCTTTTGCATGAGGCTGAGAAGGTCGAAAACTCAAAAATGTATTATCTTTCTATCGTCACATTTTCCTTGCTCATCATTACTTCAGGATCGCGGAACGTCCGTACAGGAAAACGTTCACCTGGGAAAGACTCAACTATACTGTTCCTGTTCCCGGCGGCACCAGGCGCTTGCTACACGATGTTTACGGATATGTCAAACCGGGGACTTTGACCGCCCTGATGGGTGCTAGTGGTGCAGGTAAAACCACCTGTCTTGATGTTTTGGCCCAGCGCAAGAACATTGGTGTCATTGCTGGTGATGTTCTCGTTGATGGGCGTCCTTTGACTTCTGACTTTGCTCGAGGCACTGCTTACGGTAAGGATCTGAATATATCTTTGTTGACTCCTGTTCCTCAACCTGTCTGGCAGCTGAACAGATGGATGTTCACGAAGGAACAGCGACTGTTCGCGAAGCAATGCGATTCTCTGCCTATCTTCGTCAACCAGCAGAAGTGTCCATTGAAGAGAAGAATGCCTATGTCGAGGAAATCATCGAGTTGCTCGAATTGCAAGATCTCTCAGAAGCGGTAGTTTACTGCCTTGGGGTCGAAGCAAGGAAAAGATTGACCATCGGTGTCGAGCTTGCCAGCAAACCAGAGTTATTACTGTTCCTCGACGAGCCTACCTCTGGTCTTGACGCTCAAAGCGCTTGGAATCTGGTTCGTTTCCTGCGAAAACTCGCCGACCAGGGTCAGGCCATTCTGTGTACTATCCACCAACCTTCGTCTCTTCTCTTCGAAAGTTTCGACCGTTTGCTCCTCCTGGAACGTGGGGGCGAAACCGTGTACTTTGGCGATATCGGCTCCGATTCCCACATAATTCGAGAGTACTTTGCTAGCCATGGCGCTGTTTGTCCTTCAAATATGAACCCGGCTGAGTATATGCTTGAAGCGATCGGCGCTGGTGTTTCTCCTCGCGTTGGTGATCGTGATTGGAAGGATGTTTGGCTGGATTCGCCTGAATGTGCTAAGGTCCAAGAAGAAATCGAGGCAATCAAAAAACGAGGCTTGGCCAGACCCGAACCTGATCGCAAAGCGATGAGCACCTGTAAGTAGCGCTATCTCATGAGTTCGATAGAAACTGCTAATAATAATAATAATCCTTTCAGATGCTACTTCCTTCTTGTATCAACTCAAGCTTGTCGTCAGCAGAAATAACCGGGCTCTTTGGCGATCTCCTGACTATATCTTCACTCGGCTCTTTGTTTGCAGCTTCATATCCCTCTGGATCTCTCTCTCGTTCCTGCAACTTGGGAATGGGCTGCGAGACTTGCAATTCCGAGTCTTTGCTATGTACGCTTCCGTCTTCTTCCATCTTCATTTGTCTTATCAGTTCCTATTAGCTTTTGGGTTGCTGTTCTCCCCGCCATCGTCATGTCTCAGATCGAACCCATGTTCATTATGAACAGACGTACCTTCATTAGAGGTTAGTTGTTGGCATTGTTTGAGGACGCAATGTGTTGTAACGCGTATTACGCAGAATCCTCGAGTCGTATCTATTCGCCATATGCTTTCGCTATAGGTCAACTTCTTGGTGAAATTCCTTACAACGTTCTTTGCGCGATAGTTTACTGGGTTCTGATGGGTACGACCATGCATCTCTCGTTCGAGTCGCTTGACTGACATTTTTCTTCGATAGTCTATCCGATTGGTTTCGGACAAGGTTCTGCTGGTCTGAATGGTACGGGCTTCCAACTTTGGGTCATAATATGCATGATGCTGGTATGTGGCCTTAATTTTGTTTTGGAGCTTCCGCCCTCATCCAATCCCTTTGTAGTTCGGTGTATCGCTCGGACAACTCATTGCAGCGATCTCGCCAAGTGTCCAAGTTGCAGTGTTGTTCAATCCTTTTATTGGTCTAGTCCTCACCACTTTCTGTGGTGTGACCATTCCTTATCCAACAATGAACTCGTTCTGGCGGAGTTGGCTCTATCAACTGGTTCCGTACACTCGTACGCTTGCCGCTATGCTCTCCACTGAATTACAGTGTGTTCTTATTTCACCTTCATAAGTCAATCATTACTCATTTCTTCATCAGTGGCCTTGTCATCACTTGTAAGAGTGACGAGTTCAATGTTTTTGACCCACCCTCTGGCCAGACTTGTGGCGAGTGGGCCGACGATTTTGTGAATGCGTTCGGGGGTTATCTCAATAACCGCAATGCGACCTCTTCTTGCCAGTATTGCCAATATCAATATGGTGACCAATTCTACACTCCATTGAACATCAGTTACGACAATCGGTGGAGAGATGTGTTTATTATCTTCGCGTTCTTTGGTGAGTTGCATTGATATTCGAACCTTAACAATCACTGACTTCATTTTCTCTTAGTTTTCAATGTTATAGTGACAATTATTGCTTCACGTTTCCTCCGGTACGCCAAGCGGTAACATTCGCCCGCAGGCAATGCCCATATGAAGTTCATGCTATATCCTTAACTTACTATGCTCCCATGCAAAGTTCACGACGTACGCTATATCAGGTTATCAACATGCTACATAGACAATACGCACATCTGTATCCATTTACCATTCGGCTTGTCGGAATCGACTACACCCGCGCATTAGATTCTTGTTTTCGTTTGGCATCTTCGTATTGATTTACTTATAATAATAGAAAGATAATGTTGTCTAGTCTTCTTCTACGTTCAACCAACGTTCAACCTCAAATAATGTCCCCGCAATTGAAGGGGTCTGTTCGGAATCACAAGTTCACAACTGAGTCTCCAAAAACGGATTCTATACTGTACATTGCCATTCTGCACATAGTTCATAAGCAAACACTGTCACCAATTTCCGAACACAAAAGAAACCGCTATGAAGCTCGCCGACAGGGACGATGCGGAAGTAAATAGAGATGAAGGCACAAGTTAAGCGTCCAGTTTCTGAAAAGCAATTGGTTCCCAAAAGTTGCACATGGAATGACTGAGAGGATTTTCGACAAATCGTAGTAATTTCGCAGTCGTATTTTACATTTGATCAATAACCGCGGTCAGACTCACTTCATCTAAGATCTCAAAACCATTTGCTTTCGTGACCTGTGGTGTAATTAGACGATGATCAAATGCCAGTAATGGACAAGTAACGCACTTGAGCCAGTTGTACATTGTGACGATCGAGTTTTTCTTCCATCACTTGTTTCAGTATACGTAGAGTTAGTAATTGAGCTTCTCGCAGAGTCATTTTCTACGGCAGACACTTTTAGGATCATATGTTAAAGACTATAAAGAAAGAACGTACCGAGTGCCACTTATCCTGGAGCTCTGCCTGGGCTGCTTCTGACCCGGATCCGATCGCTTTTGCCTGATAGCGAACAAAAGTGCCAGAAGGATCTGTGTGGTATCTAAGAGGGGTATGAATAAATAATACCCTCTATGAAATGGCCAAACGTACAATTGTGGGCCCAGTTCATCGATCCCAGCAATCAGCAGCGCCACGCCAAACGGTCTACTCATCATAGCATCCTCATCGTGTACACTCTCTCCAAACCGCAGCGCCAGATCACAAACTGCCTGAGTAACGCTCTCCACTTTGATCTTCTCGTCGTACGTGAATGAGTGGTTTTGTGCGGTCACTCGAGCATGGTCGATCATCGTCCGTGCGTCGGCCGTTAGGCCAGACATTGCACAACCAAGGTGAGCGTCAATTTCCATGATCTTTTCGATGGAGCTTGACTCGATAAGTGGTGATTGGACACGTTTTTCGACACCGAGAACAACGCCTTCGTCTGTTCGGACACCAACTGTTGTTGAGCCCAACTATGCAGCAAGTATGAGTGTATGAGATCGAATAAGTGTGCTTTCTGAGCACCTTGATAGCTTCAATAGCATATTCGACTGAGCAAGAGGTCAGATCATTAGCTAGAAAGTGCGCATATGCGGCGCACCTTGGAACAACCGTCCTTCCGGAGAAAAAGTGTTGACACCACGGTCTAAGATATACAATTGAGGACGTTCCCAGGAATTCTAGACGAGCAATTGTCCTACCATATTCTGAACGCGTTAAAAACATATTGGTGGTAGTGGAAGGTGAGAATGATGAGAATGAAGAAGTTAATTAAAGCTTGCGTACGTCGACGCGCGTACAAACGACCGTGTGACTTTCAACTTTCACTACATTCAAGAACTTAGTCACTTCAAGTTCAGCTTCTTGTTCAGTGACCACCCCTTCGTTTACCTTTGAATTCCATCCCTGTACGAATATCTATGCTTATCTGTTCTATATTCTTTGCTTTCTTCCCAATCCGGCGACTAGCTATTTGTGATGGCGAACGTGTGCTTCAATAAGTTATCGATGATCTTGGCCTCATATTCCGATTTTGCCTTCCAACCATCATCACCAAAATGACCGCAACCGAGCTCTCAGCCGATGATCTCAAACAGATCCTTGCTTTCACCGTCACCCTTGCTCGCAAAGCAGGCGAATTAATCATGGAGGGATCAGAAGCGATTCAGCTGGCTGGATCGAACGTTGATGAAAAGAAGAATTCCGTGGATCTGGTTACTGAATACGACGTCCGTGTCGAAGAGCTGGTCAAGAAGGAGATATTTACTACTTATCCTGAGTTCAAGTTGTGAGTCCAAATTGCTTTGCTCATTGTGACTTCTCCTTAGGATATTACTGTATACATAGTATCGGGGAAGAATCCTACGCTGCGGGCTCTCGATCACCTCTGACCGATGATCCTACTTACTGTGTGGATCCAATCGGTATGTTATATCTACTTCTCGTATGCTGATCGTTGCTAACTCTATTTTTTGCCAGACGGAACGACCAATTTTGTCCATGGCTTTCCATGGGTCTGCATTTCTCTCGGGCTAATATACAAGAAAGTACCTGTCCTCGGAGTCATTTACAACCCTTTCCTGGATCTCCTTGTAAGCGCGTTCTAAAATACTGCCTTCATTCACTCATTGAAACGGCTATCGATAAAGTATACTGGAATCAAAGGCCAAGGTTCCTTTCTCTCCCGACAGGGAGGTCCACCTATGAAACTTCCCCTGGCCAAGAATCCTAAGCCTCTAGCTACTCTTAACCATGCTCTTATCGGTGAGCACTTGTCGAAATCCCTTCGCTCATATCCTCAATCTAAGTCTCAATCATCATCGTGTCCTGCTTCTAGCCGTGGAATGGGGCAACGATCGTACGATCGACCCTCTGACTAAGCGCTCCGAATCTTTCCACAAGCTCGCTGGTGACCCTGATAACGGTGTAGAGGGAGGGCGCATGGCTCATTCTCTTCGTTCTCTGGGCAGTTCTGCAATGAATTTTGCTACGGTCGCTCAGGGTGGATTAGATATCTACTGGTGATTGATTTTGCTTATGCTGCTATGTGATCTATCTCTAAAGCATTCATTTTTCTACCTTTCCTTTTCTTTGACTCGTAGGGAAATCGGATGCTGGCCTTGGGACGTTTGCGCTGGCATGGTCATTGTTCAGGAAGCTGGCGGATCAGTTACTGGATCGCATGCTTACTACGAAGCTGCAAAGGACTTGCCGTCCTTTGGAGAGCCTAATGAAGAGATACTGACCGGAAGAAAATATCTCGTTGTTCGCGCTATTGGGGACTCCGAGGTTCGTCATACATTGTCTTTATCGAGTGTGGTGATCGTCTCATTTGCGAATTTACACGATTTCAGAAAGAAAAGGGTCGCGATGCACAGAAGAGGATCATGGGCGAGTTCTACAGTACAACCGTAGATTACAACGTTTCTTGAACATTTCAGGTTCGAAAACTATACAGTATTGCCTGGTAACTCCGAGAGCTGCTGAGAGGGGATTGTAATCTATTGTACAATTGTTTCAGGACTCGGCATGTGGTAGCATGTGGTGCACTGGACCAAAATGTCTCAACCACCTCGAGCTTCAAGCTTCAAGGCTCAGAGTCAACCGCGCCAAAAATTGACAGAGTGGCATAAATTAATATCATCTTGTTAACTTGTCCAGATATATGTATATTGATGCATTGTGTCTTGATTCTTTCCTTTCCTTTCCTTTCCCTATACCAGCCTTTTCCTTGGCCCTATCTCGGCACCCTCTCAGGATGGCCCTTTCGAATTCATCAGGACCAATGAAAGATGGCAAAGACTGTGCTACCCTGCTTATCATCCAAAACAAACTCTCCGGTATATACCGCACAAACCAATTCGTTTCACAGTGGAAGACGTCGACGAATGGTTAGCAAGTTGCCGCAATCCTCAGTGTCTAAGTTCGGCGGCCTTCATGGACGGGCAAGGTTACACAGGGTTACACGGGAGCGTTTCGCATAACACGCGCAAGTACCCGTTCCCAAAGGCACTCATGTACTATGGCGTGATCGCTCGAACGAGCCCAAGCGTCGACGGGAGAACATCCGACAAACGTAGTGTTTGACTCGCAATTCTCCTCGCAAGCCGACCAGCGACAATCCAGCAACAATCTCATAAAAGGGTTTGGGAATTCTCAATCAAGCGCTTGAGCCGGGGCATCCAGCTTCCGTCTGGAGTCGGTTTCTCTTATACACTAGGCTCTACTGTCGTGGACTACACCTTGCTTGATCCTTGAATTGTAGGTTAGAAATGCGGCGCCGCGAGTGGCTACAGGGTCTCCATATGCTAGGTGGGATGGTGAGCTGTGGAATCTTTGAAACAAAACAAGCTCAAAGTGTGCCTGCAGGTCAAAAAATCTCATACGAATGCCACGACGGCGTAGTATCTCGTACCACAACCCTGTTATCAGATATTTCCTAAAACCGAGAAACCCACGGAACAAACATCCGGAGCGCTACAGGCGGTGCTTCATCGACCTAGTTCTGTTCCTTCCGATTGCACATATGTGGATTTGTGGTCTCTCCGTTTCGGGCCTGTGCTCAATTGGCTCCAACTTGAAGGCCAGTTACTACAAAACCGTACACGAGGCAGCATGGAAAGCACAAAACCCTCGACAACATTAATTACAAGCCTGAATGCATTGCATTCTCATAGTACTACCCGCGATATCCTAGAGATCCTGCCCTGTAAACACGTCTACTTAGGTAACTGACGGGCAAAATGTTGCAACCGGGATTCACCTTTCGGTACGAAAGCTCATGTTCATGCTCAAAAATCCCTTTCCTGTCCGGTCCTTTCTGTTCTGAGCCCAAATTCTACTCTCCAGTCTTGTGGGCTACGCATGGACTCGATTTCAAATTTGGTCCTTGGTCGAAGGCGCTGCAACAACGGAGCATGATATAAATAGGAACAACGACATATAAGAGCTGATCTCCAAGTCGCTTCTTTCCACCTATCCAGTTGGTGATTCTCTTTGCTGGCAAAGGAACAAATCCCAACTCTTTTATTGAGTCTCAAGCATTTACTATCGCTTCACCGATCTTCCATCCATATTCTTATTCGAATCAAACGCCCAGAAGAATGCTTCTCGTTTCCATCCATACTGTGGTCATAGTTTTTGGCTTGTTCAATCTCCTGTGTGCGATGCCCGTTTCTGTGAGTGAGACGTCGTATCGCCTCAATGATTCCTTTCGATTCTCTGACGACCTGAGGATTCAGGTGAATAACGCTGTGGGATCACGCTCCGACGATGAATCACAACTGTCACCTCGCAGAGCCAAACCCCTAGCAGATCAGGGATTCAACGCCAATCTGGTACCTTCAGGACCAGCATTACCACCGGGGGGAGCCCCAACGCCACCCCGAACAGGATCGCCTGCAAGACCGCCTACGGAGCAACCGGCGGGCGACCCTGCGACACCGTCGACTGGAAAAGTCTGGATCACATTTGCTGATGCTACAACATCTGCTCATAACTCGAATCCCGCCTTTCAGCAAGAAGTAACTGACATAGTCAAACGTGGACTGGCCAGGACGGCGGCTTTTTCTCCAGAGCGTCATGGGGAACGAATTTTTGATTTCCGAAATTCTTTCCCCGGCAATTCTCTTGCACAGCGGCAAGTCATTCACTGCAAAGTGGAAGACGATTGGCCCAGTGGTCAATGCGGCTCGGGATGTCTTGGTTCGGTAGCTTTTGTGGATGATCTTGGTCCGCGTAGCTTTCATGGGAGAGTGAGAGCGCTCGATGAGGATGAACACGAATCGTACGAGCGTTACCCCCGAGTATCCCTTCCGCCGCCCCCGCCACCTTCTCCCTAGACGCGAGATTCGACTTTCTTATCTAATTTCGATGTCACTGGAAGCCTGTAATTCGTTGAATCTCGCGGGTGATAAGCCTGATTTAGTTTCAGAATGAAGTTAGTTGAACCTAACATGAGCCAGATTGAACTTCCCGCTCGACTGAATGGATCACATCACTTGAGAGTCTGTCGGTGGGAGATATGAGTTTTCATATTGCCTGATCATATGGCAAGGAACTTCGATAAGCTATAATGTTTGACGTCTCCCAATGAATCCAGCTCAGCCTTTGTCAGTTGACTCATGTATGGGTACAGCAAGCTAGTTGGTGCTTGGATCCCGCTCTGGCTTCCCAGCTCGTCCCTCTCGATCTCGATTTTATTAGTATTGTGCTCGAGTATTACATCTACGGTGCATATCTTTTCCTGCATTATCTGTCTCACTGGTGCTTATCTATCACTAGACTTTTGGTTACGATGGCTTGGCAATGATGTGAGCCTTTCCTCTTCTCCCCCAAAATTCAGAGCGCTTTCTGATTGGCGTACAACGAATGCGCTTATAGGAACGGCCTCAATATCCTCCCGTCATATCTCAATTACTTCCATCTAACTCCCGCAACCACTGGTTTGAATACTGCTTCGCTCTGGATCGGAGGGTGCATCGCAGGAGTCACTTGGGGCAAAGTGACTGATTTAATTGGACGCAGGCCCGCATTGTTTTGGGCCGCAGTCCTCACTCTAATCGCCGTGGTACTGCAGACGGCTGCTCAGAACATTGCCATGTTCGTCATTGCGAGGATCATTTTGGGCTTTGGAACCTCTGCGTCGGGTCTTACTGGTCCCGCATATCTGGCGGAAACACTTCCACTTCATTGGCGTGGGTGGGGACTGGGCATATTCAACGACTTCTATTACGTGGGTGAGTTGTATCAAATCGTTTTCGTTGAGGTGGTCCGTTATTGATAGTCTTGCAGGCGGTCTTATCGCGGCGGGAATTACCTACCGCACCTCGTTCATTGATTCCACCTGGGCATGGCGTATACCTTCTGTCATCCAGGGTGTTTTCAGCATTCTATGCATCGTCATCATTCCCTTCGTCCCCGAATCTCCCAGATGGCTATTATTCCACGGCCGTCGTGGAGAAGCTCACAATGTGCTTGCCCAAACTTACTCTGATGGTGATTTGACAAGCCACATTGTTCTGGTTCAGCTCAAAGAGATTGAGGATACGTTCGAGTATGAAAAGAATGCTGGGGAGACTCTGTCTGTAACCCAGATCTTTCGAACGAGGACTGCCCGGAAACGAGTGTTGTTAGCGGTCTCGGCTGCTGTGTTTAGCACCATCGCAGGTATGTACAACACTTCTTTTGGTTGCAAAGTGCCAGTCTTCGGCAGAAAAACCCTACTCATCTATTCATTGCAGGAAACGTCATTGCCTCGTACTATCTCGGGACGATGTTAACGAATGCTGGTATAAGCAGCACAACAAAACAACTCCAAATTGTACGCGGAAATGATTAATTCCCCATCGTTACTGAAATAAATGGACCTCATTGTGTAGAACATCATCCTTAACGCGTTCTGCCTGGTCTGCTCCGTATTCGGGACGTACTTCATTGATAGATGGGGCCGCAAAACGATTGCAGCCCTCAGCACAATGCTCTTAACCATCTTCTTGTTCCTGGTTGGTGCTTTAACAAAAGGTTTGTTTAAATATCGTATTCAGTGAAGTTGACGAAACTTACCGAACTTATTCCTGGTTCGATTTAGTATTTGGAAATTCGAGCAATACTTCTGGCGTGTATGGTACTGTGGCGGTGATCTTTTTATTCCAAGGCGCGTACAGCATCGGATGGACACCAGTCCTCTATCTCTACCCCCCGGAAGTACTGAACTACCCTATTCGTGCCAACGGCATGGGCGTGTTTCAATTCTTCCTCAATGGTGCCGCGTACGTTGTCAAATACCTTTGGCGTTCATCGTCGTCCATTCAGCTCACTGTTGTTCTATAATGTAGCTTGCTCATAGTGTTCACCATGCCCGTCGCACAGGCCAGCATCGGATGGAAGACGTACATGATAAACGGAGCATGGGATATTGTAATGCTGATCGCGATTTTGTATTACTGGATCGAGACCAAGGGAAAGACGTTGGAGGAGATTGATGAACTGATCGAGGGGAAGAAACACAGCGAGGTACCGGATTTGGAGAAAATTATACGGGGAGGAGAGGTTCAGTATGAGTATGGAGCTCAAGAGGTTGAGAAGGAGTAGTCCATTAAGTGAATTACACAGTCTAGGGCATGCTGTACTCTCAATAAGCACGGGTCTTCCGCTCCTAACCAAAGTCTAACTGACCATTACCCTGCTACTACCCGGATCATACCTACAAGGTCATAGAACTCCACTGTTTAACCCAGGCCTAGCTTACTGGAACCAATCCTGACATCGAACTTTAGCATTGAGAGTTTAAGAGACTCGTTGAGAGGAGCCCATCCAGCATCCTGGCCATCATACATCGCCAGCTTGCTCAAGCCGAATATAGTAGGCATTAAGACAGGCCGCTGTTAAACTTCATCTGCTCTCGTTCGAGAAAGGGAGAGCTGAAGTTTGGGCTGATGTGCGCGGATGGGCTGTGAGTGAGTAACGAGACGATGTGACGAGCATGGGAAATCCACGAGTGATCGGATAAGATAAGATTGCCCGGACCCTACGCCACCGTTATGTAAAGCGCGTTCAAAATTTTCAAATTTCTTATTCCCATTCTATCAGTCCTATGCTCCGTGCTACATAGTACTAGTACATTGATACCTAATTTTCGGCCATACAGTGGCTTTGAGGAACTATTAATTTGTTATCCTCCAATGGTTTCTTGACACAATCATTGGTGCACTCATCCATGTACGGATACAACAGACTGGCTGGTGCTTGGATCCCGCTGTGGATCCCCAGGTCATCTCTCTTGATCTCGGTGTTGTTGGTCCTGTGTTCAAGTATCACTTCTATGGCGAGTGGTCTTTATTTAATCCTCTCATGTCCTGAAAATGATGTATCTCATAGACTTATGGCTACGATGGCTCAATGATGCGAGTCTCTTCCATCTCCACAACATTCTGAGTTACTTTCTGACTGTGAGCAACGAACCTGCTTACAGTAATGGCCTCAATATCCTCCCATCCTATATTGACTACTTCCACCTAACTCCCGCGACCACCGGTTTGAACACAGCTTCGCTATGGATCGGAGGGTGTATCGCAGGAGTCACTTGGGGCAAGGTAACAGATGTAATTGGGCGCCGGCCAGCCTTGTTTTGGGCTGCAATCCTCTCTTTGATCGCCGTGGCACTACAAACCGCTGCTCAAAACATTACTATGTTCGTCATTGCAAGGATAGTTCTTGGTTTCGGGATCAATGCATCGGGTCTTTCTGGCCCTGCTTATTTAGCAGAAACGCTTCCTCTTCATTGGCGCGGCTGGGGGCTAGGTCTATTCAACGATTTGTACTACGTGGGTGGTACTACGTGGGTGAGCTGCCAACAACTTATCTTGTCAGTAGACTCTTCTTGATAGTCTCGCAGGGGGTCTTATCGCGGCAGGAGTAACCTATGGCACTTCGTTCATGGAATCTACCTGGGCATGGCGTATCCCTTCTCTTATCCAGGGTGTATTCAGCATTCTGTGCATCGTCATTATCCCCTTCATCCCCAAATCTCCCAGATGGCTATTGTTCCAGGGACGTCGCGAAGAGGCTCACCAAGTACTTGCCCAGACCTACTCTAATGGTGATCTAGCAAGCACTGTCGTTTTGTCTCAGCTCAAGGAGATCGAAGATACATTCGAGTATGAAAAGAATGCGGGGGAGACCTTGTCTGTTACCCAGATTTTCAAAACAAGGACTGCCCGGAAGCGAGTGTTGCTAGCGATATCCGTTGCTGTGTTTAGCTCAGTAGCAGGTATATTTATCAATATTCGCGATATAATGATCATATTTACGTATCCACTTCAGGAAACGTTATTGCTGCGTACTACCTCGGTTCTATGTTGACTAATGCTGGAATAACGAACACGACGAGACAACTTCAAATTGTACGTTGAATATATCACTGCAGTTGAAATTTCCTTTGAAATAGTATCGCAGAACATCATCCTCAACGCGTTCTGTCTGATCTGCTCCGTACTGGGAACTTACTATATAGACAGTTGGGGCCGTAAAATGACCACAGTCATTAGCACAGTTCTTTTGACCATATTCTTGTTCCTGGTAGGCGCTCTGACAAAAGGTTGGTTTCAAAAATCGCAATTCACAAAGGCATTGAAGTTTATCTAACTCGTTCTTGTTTTGGTCGGATTTAGTATTCGGAAATTCCAATAACACATCTGGAGTGTACGGTACTGTCGCAATGATCTTCTTGTCCCAAGGCGCATACAGCTTTGGATGGACACCAGTCTTGTTTCTTTACCCTCCTGAAGTGCTCAACTACCCTATTCGTGCCAATGGCATGGGTGTATTCCAATTCTTCCTCAACGGCGCTGGGTATGTTGTCGATATCCTTTCTCATCTATTACCGCCAATAATCATGATACAACACTCAGTCTACTCATCATACTGACGATGCCCATCGCGCTTTTCATTATCGGATGGAAGACGTACATGATAAATGGAGCATGGGACATCGTAATGCTCATTGTGATTTTGTATTATTGGATCGAAACGAAGGGTAAAACATTGGAGGAAATCGATGAGCTTATTGAGGGGAAGAAACATAGCGATGTACCCGATTTGGAGCAGATTATTCGGGAAGAGGCTCGGGTCGAGAAGGAAAAACACTGATGAATCCTGGATGAATCACTGATATTCCTTCATTTAATGTAGGTGACTTTTCTAAGGCTGATTCTTTTTGATTTTCGTGCCCCTGAAGCCCGTGTACAACATGTCGTCTCTATAAATCCTAATAATGAACATGGTTCGAAGCTTCTTCTATCCAATGTCTTGCAGTCTCCGATCTTGGTGTGAAAGTACAATCAAATGGTGGGGGATAGCTATTCAAGAATGATCAGTCATGCAGGAATGTATGTGAACGACTCAACATACTTCAAACTCCCAGATGGTAGGTATTCAACAGTTGCTGGATTTAGTAATTTGCCATCCGCACCGACGGCTCGACCGACATCGATGGAACAAAGAACCGACGCCACGGTCATCCAAGTCAACTCTCTAGACATAGCTGTAGAATGTACACTTGCATCAACAACTCTGTGCAATTACGCAGTAAAGAAAGACACGCACCCATACCAGTACATTGTCTCCTCCCATATCCAAACGCAGGATTCGAGTTCATACTCTTATTCAACAACCCATCCGGCATCATAAAACGTTCTGGGCGAAACTCATCTGTCCTAGCACCATATGCCTTCTCGTCCGAAAGGATAGCAGCGATGTTGGCGATGACGATACTGCCTTTGGGAATAAAATAGTCACCGTACACGTCGTCCTGAAGCGCTCCGTGAGGGATAGTGACGGTGACTGCTGGCTTCCATCGTAATGTTTCGTTAATGATAGCGTCTACGTATGGAATTGTACCGAAATCTGACAATGTCGGCATTCGTGTGCCACCAAGTGCTTTGTCTACAGCTTCTTGGCCTTTCTTCTGAATTTCGGGATGAAGAGCCATGGCTAGAATGAAGCTTCGTAACGTGAGTTCTGTCTATGGAAGTTGTCAACCAAGAGGTTATAGCGGGTAATACGGATCGTCTCACTGTGTCCGCTCCAGCTAGGGGTGAGGTTTAAGCATTGTACTGGGGGTGATACTTATGAAAAAATCGCATACCGAGATACATGTTCCCAATGATAGAGCATACCGCATCGGTTTCTTCTGGGGTCTGTTCCTCTTTACTCGATTCAAGGTAACGCGAAGCATAAGAGCGAATGGCGGTTCCATCGGCCTATTTGAAAGGTCGATGACCCAGTTTTCAGAAATGACAAATTCTCCTACCACTTGTTTCTGTACATGCTTGAAAGCAACTGTACGCACTTCCTCTGTGAGCTTTTTCATGTCCTGTGCTTTTTTCTGGAACCCGGCTCCAGGAAACCAACTCGGCACTATCTTGAGGATGGGGAAAGAATCCACTACAAAAAGACGCGTTGTTACCAACTTCAAACAACTCATGATTATTACTAACCTAGGAAACCTCCGCGTTGAGTGGCATGAGATATAGTCTTGATCCAACGTTCGGAAAGCGAAACAAATGGATCTTCGGAGTTTTCAGCCTGTATTCCATATCCAGAAGACAGAATGAATCGTCCTGTTGCACTAGTCCAGAAAATCGGTCTACGTAATACGAAACATCGATATTACGGCTGACTCACAGGCGAATGAGTTTGTCATGGTCTTTCTTGCATGGTAACAGCTCTTGAAGCAGTCTGTTTACAGCCATCACTGCATGCGGTCGGCAAAATGGTACGTCAATGTGCTTATGCCATACTTTGCGTGCAGCTAAGTAGGAGCAAAAGTCGATTAGGAGTATTGCTTAGAATAGGTCGAAGAGTCCGCACCTTTGAATGTTTCACCGTAGGGCATGATTGCCAAGTTCCATCCTGCCTGTACAAGCTCTTGTAGCACCACCATCCTGGGCCTATTATCAAAGTAAGTGACTCGCCGTTTTGCTACATTACGGACGCACCGATCCGAATATATCGCAGAACGTTTGACAAACAGCGCATCTGCACATGCAGCAGAATTCAGAATGATCAATGACGGTCCAATTGGAAGACGAAGGCTTATGATATCAGAGCCTAAAGCGAAAATTCAATGAGTTGTGTGGATTGCACAATCATTGTCGACGCACCTAAGTCGCGCGCCATTTGAGCATAAACTTTCCATTTATCATCAGTGGGGATATCGAACAGATTTCCGACGATTGGGTAGCCGGGTGGTCCTGGAGGAAGAGAGCCGCGCCGTCTAGCTCCAAGCGTACGACTGAGAAGTAGGGAGACTGCGACAGTAAGGAGCGAAATCCCAGCCACTAATCTGATTGATGCATCATTCTCAAGGACTTGAGAGAAAGTAGGTAAGCGGGTCATCGATTCCGGGATAGAGAGTATGCGTGCGATGAGTAGCCGAGTGAATGTCGCCGTCTTGCATGTTTATAGATTTCCAAACATGTACATAGGAGGTAGTACGACCGTCAAAGTTAAATGGGTCATTGCCGCAGGGCGTTACGGCCGTCCGGCCGCAGAGATAAATAACATTGCAGAAACAAGCACAAGCGAAGGCTGTAGACGACTGGACATCTCTGAGTCAGTCGGCTCAAGGCGTCAAGCACGAATGCGGAGCGTAAAATAAGAAGCGAAGTATCCGGACGTAGAGGTGAACATAGAAGGTGGAGAGAAAACCATTTTTGGCCACAATCCCGCAGATCACACGGTCACTAGACGCGCTTGCCGCCGTTTCATGAACCTGGAATATTGAACTTCGGTTCCCGTTCTGTTACAGAGATGTTGCGCTACCGACATCGCCATGCAGATCAAGCCCGGAAATTCCTTATAAACAGCCCAGGGGAAACCCTGTCTAGCTGTAGTCATGTTGAAGAAGACCTCTGTAGCTTTTTTAACGGTTCTTGCGCCTCTTTGCGCCGCTGTCGTCTACGATGCGACCTTCGACGCGCTCCCTCTTAGTACAAAGCACGACTATGTCATCGTCGGAGGTCAGTTCACTCAATCTCCAGTTGGTCGTTGGTTGTCTGACATCAAGTTCCAGGGGGTGTGGCTGGAAGTGTCGTCGCCAATCGGGTAGGAAGATAAACTTTCCATGAATCGTTATCTTCAACGCGCCGACCCCGACTTTTTTTTTCTTAGCTCACAGAGAATAGCAATGTCTCTGTGCTCCTTCTCGAAGCCGGGCCATTGTGTGTTTGTCTTCCCTGCGCGTCATATCTTGTCTGATTTTCCTGTAGCCACAAAGGAGTAATCGAGACTGAAGTCCCGTTTTATTTTTGGCTCGGAATTCCTTCGACCTACCAGTGGAACTATACCACAGTGCCGTTAGTATCCCAAAGAACTCTCTATGCGCTCCTTTATTAATATACTTTTTACTAGCCAATCGTCGGCCAACAACCGGAGTATCGCTTACCCTCGAGGTCATATCTTGGGTGGATCAAGCGCTATCAGTGCGTAACATTGTATACCTCCCATATCTTATTTGCACTCATGTACATTTTTCAGACGGGTTGGTTTATGATCGTGCAGCAACATCTGACTTCGATAAACTTGCCAATATGAGTGGAGATTCTGGGTGGGCTTGGGAGAGTATGCTTACTTACTACGAGAAGGTAACGTATATCAAGGGCGTGCACTTCCGTCTCTTAATTGACATTTCTATGTAGCTGGAAACGTTCGGTCCACCCTCTGACGGTCACAACATCACTGGCCAGTTCGACCCGTCAGTCCACGGATTTTCTGGACCATTAGGCGTTAGCTTGCCAGGATATTCTCAGACCCTTGATTCTCTCGTCCTTGAAACTTTAAATAATGACACTTTTCCGTACAATCAAGACTCAAACTCTGGGAATGAAATAGGTTTCGGTAAGGGACCGGTGGATTTTTTGGTTGTACGTTTAACACATGATCCTCTTCGTGGTCTTCCCCATTGTAGGATGGCAAGTCTCCACTATCCACAACGGTACCAGAACCACTGCTGCTACCGCCTACTTGGCCGATAATTACCTTGCGCGCCCCAATCTTGACGTCGTCGTCAACGCTTTCGTTACTCGCGTTCTTGCTTCCAACGGAAGCCAGATCGACACGGTAGAGTTCCACGCCGTAGGAAACAGTAAGACCCATCTAATTTAAGCATTGTAAATATACTAATAAAGAATCTTCGAAGCAACCAACCTAGAAGTTCAAGCTTCTCAGGAGGTCATCATGTCAGCGGGTTCCATCAACACACCTTATATCCTCTTGAGTTCTGGAATCGGTGATAACGCCACCTTGTCGTCTATGAACATAACACCGATTCACCACCTTCCGTCAGTTGGACAGAACATGTCAGACACGACTGTGATGTATGTTAGCTGGGAGGTCAACTCGAATGATACCTTTGATCCGCTTCTCAACAACGAAACCGCGCGGGCAGAAGCATTCTCTGAATGGAATGCGACCAGGACTGGACGGATGGCGAACGGAGTTATCAATTTATCAGGAATGTTGCGCATGAACGACTCAGACCCAACCGTGCAAAGCATATACCAACAATACAGCGAATCTGTTGCTGGATCTAATGATGCCGATTTCGAGATGTTGTTCATCGTAAGCTATCTTCGAGAATTTTCTATGTGATCATGGTCTCATTTTCATCCTAGGACGGGTATATCAGCACTTCCAACAGCACATACTTCAGTATGCTATATGGTGTCTTGTCCCCGTTGTCCCGTAAGCCCTTCTTTCTTCACTTTCGCGCGGTGCATTCACGCGATATTCTAGGTGGAAGTATAACTCTGAATGCCTCAGACCCCTTGGGGCCCCCATTGATCGACCCCAATTACTTTGCTTCAGAATACGATGTTTTGGTGATGCGCCAGGCGCTCTTGACTGGTTTCAATTTTCTTTCTTCTGAACCATGGACAAGCTACCTTGGAACACCTGTAAATGGATTAGCCGAAGTCATCTCAGCTGTTGGAACTGGGGACTTCACCGCCATGGATGAGTTAATGCGTAATGGCGTTCAAAACGGTGCCCACTTGGTTGCTACATCTTCAATGTCTCCGTACGGCGCAGACTGGGGCGTTGTCGATCCTGATCTGCGTGTTAAGGGGTTGAATGGCTTACGGGTCGTTGATGCCTCAGTATACGTAAGTCAACAGGTTTTCAGGTTATCCTTACTGACTGTTTTTTCTGAAGCCCTTCGTTCCTGGGGGTGCTACTCAACTACCCACTTACTGTTTGGCTGAGCGGGCGTCGGATATCATCAAGGGTTCCCAGTAAACTGTTTGGACACTATTTAATCTATCTGGACATTCCTAGTCATACTTAATAGATAATTTATGCCATCCACTCCAACACGAGATGTAATATCCATCAATTCGAACCTTTCTACTGACATAAATCCAAATGCCCTTACTTTTACGATTGAGCGACAAGTATAACGGGGGTAAAGATTTCGAAGCAAACTTCAATGGAAAATTCGAGTTTACATTGTGCATGTAAGAAACATGCAAGAACATCCGGAAGAGATAGAAATGGTATACATAGGTAAATGCAAATTGAATCCCATGCCCACATTAGCATAAAGAGACTCCAGTATTTCAGGACAACGAATATCAAGCTACAAACTAATAGAGGAGCGGGAAGAAAAATGTCCCTGTTCAGACTCTAATGTAATGTGTTCTGTGTGCAGCGGCAACAGAGGAATTCCGTCTGAACTTGGATTGGCTGTCTCAGGCAATGAAAAAAGTGTTAAACGCTCTTCGGTGTCGTGAAAAGGGACTTGCAAATTTGTTTCTAACAACTGAGGATTGTGGATAACTTGCGGGTCCGTATTTGAAACTGATCTGTTTATAACAGAATCTATGACGAGAAGAACGGATAAAATGACGATTTCGACGAGGAAGAAGCTGTGCCAAACGTGGTTCTGGTAGTCGCCAAAGTAAAGAGAAAGTAGAACGTATATGCAAGTTAAGCCGGTAGTAGGATCGGGACCGGAAGCCGTGGTCTAATGATAAAACCTTTACTTGAATATTCCGCATGTTGTATTAGATGCACGTACCAAAAGCACAAGTACAATGCCAGAATGCACCTGCTGTTCAAACGTGGGCGAGATCGCAGGGTACTTGACGCAACATCAGTATTTTGTCGGGCATAACAAATGGAGAACCAACATCGACAAGACTCCATGTTCTCCAGAACAACATGACAGACATGCCCAAAGATATCTTCGAGACTAAGATGGCCATACCAGGTGCTGTAGTGGTCGGCCTTCGGTTTGCATTACCAAACATGGAAAGAATAACGCGGAGCTGTAAAATAATTGCAGCAAAGAGGGACAATTGTGCCAATGAAACATGATTGGGATAAGATATCGCCCAAACACCTGAATGGAGCGATTCAGCGAAATCAGCGAGATGGCGCGCAAAACTCACATAGGCAAGCGTTATTGAAAAGATAATACGGGATGTAATTTGAGAGGATCCAGACTTGATTCGGGTGATAAACCTCCATCGTCGGTGCTGAAGATTTTAATGGTACTCCTGCATCCTGCTTCACCAATTCAACGTCCTGATGCGGGCGGGTACGCAAAAGCCACTGGAGTTGAAGAACGACTTGTACAAAGAGTGCGGTGTATTGCCAGAAGGAGTTGATGGAATATGCAGGGTTGGTTAAAGGTTTGGTTGTTGAAAATGTCCATATCTGCATAGTTGTTGTGATCGTTAAACTGATAAAACCCACACAACGGAGAAAGACATCCTTCATGTGGAAAGTTGTGAATAGAAGCATAGAGATTTGATGTTTAGAAAAAAGGAGTAATTATCATAATATAGTTATGCAAATGAGACTTGTTCGAACAGGAGGCCCGTGGCGAGTTCGGGTCGTAAAAGGCGAGATCATCGATGTCTTGCTACCTGTTTGAGTTTGAGCTCGAGTTTATCCCTGAGCAGACTTGAAATGTTCAGTATTGATAAATTCCTTGTATGCTGTATTACATGAAAATGAAGCTGAATGAAACTGGGCGGTCTTTCCGATTCTTAGCTGGCTGAGACTTCATTGGGAAACAAGTAACCGCCGTCATCTTGATAAACAGGTAAGGTGTATGCGATATGTGGGTCGAATCTGGATGTGCAGATGAAAGGAAAAGAGGGCAAAGAGAGTGGAGGCTACCCACGTTCTGAGCCAATCAAATATATCATCACGGCACTGTCGCGTTTTGTTTATTTGGTTCCTCCGCGTTCTCTTTTCTGCCTTCGCGATGCCTTCCCCTTCAAACGTTGCCGAATGCCTCGCAGGCACTTTAGACACAAATCCTAATGTCAGAATGGCTGCAGAACTGAAACTAGCGGAGTTTATGGCAATTCCAGGTGAGTTGTTCACAGCAGACGTCGCTTTTACACTACTAATAGTCCATGTGATAGAGACCGGTCTCGCCTTATCGCAACTTGTATCCGCTCAGGACGCAAACATAAACCTGCGGCAGATGAGTTACTAGCATCTATATCCCGGATGACGCGTCTTGATGTCTTCATCTATCCTAGCACTCTGCGAGCATTGTCTTACGAAAATTTGTTCGAGAACGATGGTCGCCTTACTTTCAATCATTCAAAGGATCTGCGCCTTCAACAGAGGTATCTCTGCTTCTCGTGTATATGCCTCTCAGCTCATATCGCGTCTCATGAAGATCAAGAATCAAATCCGACAAGCAGTTTTCCATGGATTGTCAGACCCCGCTCGAAAGATACGATCTCTCTCTGTGAGTTTATACAATCAAGATCTGCTTTCTTTTTACTCATGAGATATCAGGCGCATACCCTTTCCTCTATCGCGAACTGCGACTGGCCGGACGAGTATCCAGATCTCCTCACATCGCTCATCAGTCTCCTTTCTTCCAACTCTCCGGAATCAGTGCATGGAGCTATGCAAGTTTTTACCGAATTCATCAAGTCCGATTTAACGGAGGATCAGATTCTCCCTGTCCTTCGTGACCTCCTACCTGTCCTTCTATCCATTCTTGGATCCACCGAGGTACTGCGGCTGTACACGAGAAAAACCATCAAACTAATGTAGCTCTCAGACACAGACACCTCTTACTCGCTCAAGAACGGTATCTGTCTTCCGACAATGCGTGATTTCACTGTTTATGGTCAAAGAACAACATCCTCAGCCGGTTAAGGAAGCCATATCCACTGTTCTCCCTGTTTGGCTGGAAGCTTTCAAAGTCTTACTCAATATGGATCCCTCGAAAGACGTTGCTGAAGGCAGTAACTGGGAAGGCCTGGCAGTCAGGATACAGATTTTCAAAGTGTGTAGAACTGCTGTTTGTTTATGATTATCCTCGCACCTGATTTGATTTTTAGGCTCTAGACACTATTCACACTTCGTTCCCTCGGTCTATTGCTCCTTACCTACCGGAACTCGTGCCCGCCTCTCTCGTTCATCTCAACACTCTATACACAACATTTGACCGATATTATTTAGCTTCGACTGAGAGTGTGCCTTCCTCTTCTGAGGATGAGACTATCGAGCTCCCTCAACTCATCACTTCTATCATGGACTTCGTAAGCTCTGTTGTTCGTGCTGGTAGAGTTAAGGAATGGTTTACTGGCGACAATGCTGTTTCTTTAATCTCCGCAATCTTCAGCTATATTCAAATGACTGACGATGACGTATGATTCCACATAATAACTATCAGTATGCTCCGTTCTAAGTTGCGTTTAGGAAGAAAACTGGGCGAACAACGCGAACGCTTTTGTCGCTCAAGAAGACGACGACTTGGCGCCTTATAGTGTCCGTGTTGCAGGATTAGATTTGCTCACAGTAGGTCGTTTCTCTTGAGAAATTGCCGGATGACACAGCTTGTTACTTTAGTGCCTGCTTGACAGAACCCCTGCCCAGACGACGGCAACTTGCCACAATGTTATCCAGAAAGTTGTTCTTACCTCTGACCAGACTCGCACCTCCGGAAAAAAAGATTGGTTTGTTCTTCACTGTGTTTCGACTTATACCGCCGGAAAAACTCATGGAATCTAGGTGGAGGCCCCTAGAGGCTGCTTTGACTGCTGTTGGTTCACAAGCCGAGACCATTCAAGAATGCATTGATGATGAACAGGAATCTGGTCGAAATAGACCCATTGATATCGAATCGTTACTCACCAATGTGATCCCTACAATTCTTGGTCAATCTAGTGAGCTAATTGTTGCTAAATGGTCACAAAAAATTACTCACTGCGATTATAGAATTCCCTTTCCTGCAGGGAAGAGGATTTGTATTCGCAAGCCAGTACGCCAAATTACTTCCGGTGCAACTCGCGGGCCAATATCTTGACGCCGCAATACATGTGATCGAGGCAAATGATGCCAGTATTCCTATCAAGGTGTCCGCTGTGAAAGCTGTTCAAAAGTATGCGCATGCGCACCTTGCTCCGGATCATATATATTAACAGTCTCCTTTTCTCAGTTTCTGTGTCGGCTCAGATGACAATGCCCTTTCGCCGTTCATTCCACGAATAGCTAAAGACCTTGGACCTTTTCTTGCAGTCACTTCTGAGGACACATTATCACTCGTTTTGGAGACTCTATCCGTCGTGCTCGAGGTCGACAAAGGCAAATGGATGACACAAGAGCTGGCTAACTCGCTCGTGGTTGCAGTCATTGATGTCTGGACGAAAAACAACAAAGGTACGGTTCTACATTGAGGGACTTGATCTAAGTTTCATAGTGCCCCTCTTTATGCAGATCCTATTTTCCTGTCCATTTTCCCAGACATCATAAACTCCCTTGCAGCGTCGGATGTTCCAGGCATTTACGCAACTGTAGTCAAACAGGCTTTACCGCTTCTGTGTAATTCAATTTCCGTGGCGACCGCCGACCAATCTTATGTTGCTGGTTCGGCTATTGAACTTGTCAGCAGCTTGGTCAAAGCTTCAACCAACGGCTTGGGTGAAGGTTTTTTCCCCCATTTGGCACCGAGTCTCTTCAAATGTTTGAGTGATGTCGAGGATAGAGATGTGCTCCAGGTTTGTAGCTTGAACAATACATGCTATTTACTGATCAACTGTTTGTAGAACGGTATCACTTGCTTGACTTTGATTGTCCGCAAGGACTGTGGTCAATTGTTAGCGTGGAGAGATGCATCGGGCCAGAGTGGACTTGAGCATGTTTTACGATTGGTTGCCAGGATCTTACAGGCTGAGGACGAGTCTGCGGGACTGACAATCGGAGAGCTCATCATACACCTTCTCCGCCGGGCTGGAGAGTCGGTCCTTCCCGTCTTGCCGGAGCTTCTGCACGCTATGGTCACACGTATGTTGACCGCAAAGACTGCCACATTTGTGCAGGTAAGTACTACTCGTCTTATGCTATAAATTGACCCTGCGTTGATAGAATTACTGTCGTCCAGAGTCTTGTGGTACCTTTTGCATTCTTGATAAATAACCAACGTGATACGGTACTTGCATTGCTTGAAGAGATGAACATCCAAGGCCGTACTGGGCTTGATGTGCTCATTCAAACATGGTGTGAAAATGCAGAGACCTTTCAAGGGTTCTGGCCATCACGTAGTAGTACTATGGCATTGACGGCCCTCTTTGCATCCGAAAGGCCTAGCTTACAAGCTTTGATGGTCAAGGGGGATATCATTCTCAAGTCAGAAACCACAAATGGTGAGCGTCCGGGATACGTTTCTTTCCGTGCATTCTGTTATCTGAATCATATCTCCTTCGTTTTTGTGCTAGTCATTATGACACGCTCACGAACTAGGACCAGTACGCACGGCTTAGTGCTATTCACTTTTGATTATCGACTGGACAGGATCTCACTAACTGCTGTTGCATTTCTCTCTCTTTTTGATAGCTCCGATTGAATTCACCTCTGTCTCATTCCCTGTCAAAGCCATCAAAATCCTACTCCATGAGGTCCAATCTGGGGGAGAGCCCGCTACGATGGGTAACACGCAAGACTTTGCTGACGATGTAGATTCTGATGATGGTGTAAGCAACCTCCCCATACTTGAACACACAGTCAAATAATACATTATTACATAGGATGATAATTGGGCCGATGCCGGAGACGTCACAAAGGATAGCGAATTCGAGTTCCTGTCCGAACTCATTGGACCCAAGGGGATGGCTTTCGATAATGACGATATCCTAGATGATAGTGATGATGAAGACTTGAAAGGTGATCCCATCTCACAGATAGATATGCAGGTATGGATTAGCTTGGGTTTAAGATTCTTTCGTCTGTACTAACTACCGATCCAGGGGCATCTCGTATCTTTCCTTCGGGAATGCGCCGCTCGCAATACAAACCATTTCTCGAGCGTAGTGGATCAATTATCTGCCGAGGAAACATTAGTAGTGCGCCGGATCGTGGAACATTCTTGAAAGTCCACTGTACATTATTTCCCTACGACGATTCAGATTATGCTTGAAAATACTACACATACTTTCAATCTTAGGCTGCAATTCAAGTACAAAATTACATCTATAGTGACAGATCCGCTAGCAATAGCAGGTTTGGTAGTGCAAAGTCCCGATAAATAGTGTACGATAGTAGGATGGTATCGCGGCGTCAAGCATCTAAGCTCTAAGTCTAGAAACTTTCTTTGCCCATGTCCCATTCACGAACTGAGCCCCGTTTATTGTACTGAATGTTCATTGCGCTAACTCCCTCGCCAGCCCATCTGTCGCTCACACTACCGCCACTGGCAGTTCCTACTGCATTGGGATCTCCAAACATAGTTTTTCTGACTTCGTCCTTGCTCAGCCCCATCCGTTCTAATCTCTTCTTCTCAGCCTTGTCTTCCCTCCTTATACGTATCAAATCAAGCATAGTATCCCATCCTTCAAACTCGGCAGAATCAATAAGGCCAGTTGCCGGAACTTTTGGCGCTGCTGATAGAGGGGCGACGTCTAGCCGAGGGTCGTAACTCTCATCAAAGTACTTGTCCATTTTGGAAGGGAGAGCAGGACCAGGTTGTTCTGGTCCTGGAGTTGGAGAACGTGAAATAGACATTTGCGATGAGCGAGAGGAGCGAGAGGCTTTTCGACGCTTAGGTTTAGGGTCGGGCGAACGTGAATGTCGACTGCGTGAATTCCTTTGAGATGACCCAGTTGTAGCGCTCTCCTCCTTCACCCGCTCTTCTTCGCGCGAGTGGGATGTATCTTGTGCAGGATATTTCGACTGTAGTTTTTTACGTAGCTCAGATTCACGATTGAGGGTGGTGCTGCTAGAGGATGGGACTGGTGGTTCGGGAGAGTGGTATCGGCTGCTAGAAGAGTATGCATAAGCACTGCCAAGATCAGATTGGACTGTAAGAGAACGACTCCGTCTCCTAGGTGCATCTTCTTCATCCGAAGATGAAAGTGCGTACCGCCTTTTCGGTTTGCTCTCATCCTTGGTGTCTTTTTTGTGCTTGCTCTGGCGATGACTATAATCCTCTCTGTCAGACTCACGCGAGGACGATGGGCTGACAGAACGGGAGTCACGGCGATAACTTTCTTTTTTGTTCCGTCTAGAAGAATGGGTCTCGCCACTGCTCTTGTGATGTGAATTGCGAGGAGACCGACTGCGACGTTTTTGTATTTTTGACGAGCTTGCACGATCATCGCGTGAGCGTGATCGTCTGGAAGAACGTCGATGACTATGGCTCTCCTTGTTATTGTTTAGCGACCTGGACCTAGAACGATGGCTTGTTCTCCTGCGGCTTCTGTGGCGTTCCTCTTCATCTTCCTCGCCAGTCCATGTTTCCCAGTTCCGTCTCTTCCTCTTTCTATCCGAGGTAGTTCCATCCCACCTATCCCATGCTTCAGAATCACCAGCCCTTCGACGACTTGCGCTGGAACCTGAACGTCTTAGCTTTTCGGCCCTTACCGCCTCTTCTGCCCGAGCACGCCGTTCTTTCATTTCCTGTTCCCTCCTTTCTCGCTTTATTTCTTCCGCGGAAAGAGCCTGAGCTCTAAGTATAGTCTTGTTATGTTCATCTGTACTTCGAATGACAGAAGACAGAAATCGTTTGTTTGCTTTGGGGGCATTGCTATCTGACCTGAATGATGCCGACGTTAAAGCTTGTCCAGAAAGTGATGGAAACGAAAGGACGTACAGCCCACTGGCGAGATAGGCTCGAATGCCTTGCTGGCCATAACGCTCAGCTCTTTTCTTCGCGTCCCGAATCAAGAGCTCCCGAACATGTTTGTCGAGTTCTTCATCAGTGACTGTTGGAGCAACAGAGGAGCCCATAGATGCTCGAACAAGATCCGAGACGACAGACGACAGGGAAGACATAGTTGACCAGGAAATGACAGGAAAGCAACAAGATCGTTGGTGGGCGCTTAATACTGGGGCAGTGCAAATCTTTGGCTAGGATTTGGCCGTGCTTCGGACTTCGCCTTCAACGTTGTCAACATTTGATGATTGATCAACGCTGGTTTATTCATCAAGTCACAAAATAACTGGATGTACATAGAGGATAGAAAGTCGAACAATCCATGGGAGATAGGTATGTCTCGGCAAGAGGTACTAGGATAAATAATGAGAAATGTATATGAATACTTAGGCAATAGTAATGCGATAGTTTAATCAAGATTTGTACAGGCTGAGATGAAACTAGAAGAGTCAGGGGATGGATGAGGGTCGATATATGAAATGAGATGGAAAGGGCAAAAGTTCGAAAACAGTGATGGTAAGTCCAATGTGTATGATACAACAGTGAGAAACGTGTCGATGTCATGATTGTAAAAGTCATCAACGACAGCCTCTCTGGAAGACGGGGCGATGACTGGTTGTGGCGGGAATTATGATACAGTAGAAATTTTCTAGCGGCTAGGTCGCGGATGCATGACGGACATGACTAAATCGTTATAGGAAAAGAGCGTGTTCAAGAATCGTGCAATCCTCTACGGCATGTATTCGCCTCGCTGATTAGAGAGAAAAAGTCCAGATGTCAATGCCAAAGCTTGGACGGCCATGAGGGATAGAAATTAACGTACAACGATGCCGCGGGAGACTCGAACGTCATCAGTGATTCTCAAACGAATTCCACGAAGAGCGCATGTCATCTTGAGAGAAGGTAGCTGTCGATGAACCTTACCTCCATTCCGGAGGTTGACAGTCACAAACTGGAGGAATTCATTTGTTTTCACCGCCTCTAAGACAGTCTGCATCGAGGTCTCCTTGTTCAAACCAAACCCTATGTGCTCAACACGAGGCGAAAGTTTCTTCAACGCCACAGGAAAAGAAATCGCATCTTCCACAAAAATATTGCGCAGGCTCGTGCACTTGTCCAATACACGTGCTGTGGCACGAGAACAGGACGGCAGGGAAAGGGAGGTAAGCGTGTGATGATGTGAGTGGATGAGATGGTGAAGGACGGCTGTGGAAGGTTCCCGTTCGAATTCGAGAGCACGGAGGGTATCGCCGGAATTGTGTAAAAGCCAACGCAAGAAATCGACGGATGGCGAAGTTTGGAAGTTCATTCGGAGTTTCCCAAGAGCACAAGGAAAAGGTGCAGATATTGGAGAAGGAAGCTCAGGCGGAGTGCCACTGATAACGAGAGATTTCAACGAGGTCCATACACTGAGCAACTGCGTAATAGACTGGCGGTTCTCTGACCAATTGCTGAAACGAAGGGTGGTAATGCTTGGCCCGGTTCTAAGAAGAGCGATGGCATCCTCGTCAAATGAAGGTGCAGGTCGCCGCATACGCAAGGTATCGGGGGAACCTACGACGTCATCCCCAGGAGGTACACATCCGTACAAGCCGATACTCAACTCGTGCAGATTTTGGCAGCGGGTAACGGCCTCGGCGAAGTTTAGCTGGGAAAGATGACCAGGTTGATTAGGATCCAAAGATGCACGCATACTGTAAACAGCATTCCCAAGTACGCGACCTCGCTCTGAGGACCTATCAGTCGCGAATGCGAATGAGCGATAGTGTGATTCGGAATCGAGAGAGATGTGACGAAAGAGTAGCATTTGAGCAGACAATGACCAATCTCTGCATACAAGCGCCAGCGACCTGAGCAAGCTTTTGTTTGATTCAATGTCTTCCTCGTCGTACGCGGCCTCCATGATCATCATGATGAGTTCAAGAGGAATTCGTGAGGGCTTGCATTGTTCAGTGATAGAAAGAGTAGGTTTTGATAGTGGCGTTTGTGGAATCGTTAAATCAAAGGAAATATCAAATTCGGAGTTGAGCTGAGGCTTCAATGCTAACGTTAAGCGAGAGGGCAAAGCGACAACTACGAGGAGGCGTACCTGGGACAAATCAAAGAAACGAAAGAAACCCATGGTGGTAGTGGATGAAGAAGCTGAAAGCTCAACCGCTGAGCTTCACCGGGACAAGGCGGGGTCATGTTCATAAACTGTGAGCCGTATTTATAGGGTATGCGTATTGCGTTGACAAGACTCATTTTGTATATGCGCACCCGATTTGAGATTTACTCTCGAAACAAAGAAAAGTCGCCGCCTTTTTGCAGTGATCGTGGGAAACCCATTATCTCGGGTCTTTCCTTCCCGTTCTCTTCCTTGGATTCCTCGGCGTGACAAGTTGACTCTTTGCTCTCTTCATTTCCAGCAGTTTCAAAGAAACACAAACAGTTTTCGACATATACAGCAAGTCATTCTCTGTGTCAGTATAATATTACGGCTATACAGGATCTGTACCGGAAGATAGGTTTCGGTAGATTGTCTACTGAAACCGGAGCTAATACTATAGGTATCGCCTCGACGTGTAAGTTTACGAGAAATAAACGAAGGTAAGAAAGGTGCGACAACATGGGCGTACAGAACGGACTCCATTGTACGTGGCCGTTGTGTACAGATATGTACAGCACACCAGGCCACGGAATGCTCCGTTTCCGCCGCAAAACTCTTGCTATAGCCAGCTCAAACACCCTTGTCTCCGTTCACCCAGCCTCAATTTCCTTCTTCTATCTTTATTTGGCTCTCAGAAGAATTGGGCATCCATACAAATTGAAAGAAACCTTCTTTCAGTCCGGCTAATTACACAACACCTTTTTCTGCAACAACCTCACCTTGCTTTTTAATTTCCTGGGGCATTTACCTTGAGGATTTCACGTAAATCACGACTTAAATAGGGGATCATGATTGTGATCACCATGCCAAAGTGCGATCATGGATGGGTGGTTGGGTACTGTTTTTCCTTGCTATCATCCTATGCTTTGAGAACTGACAGCTGTATGCTTTCGCGAAGAGAAATCAAATTTCGGATGGCCTAAAGTCGAATGGACACTACTTCTTTTGGTGTTCACTGGACGCACACTTGTCGGTGAACTATACAAGGCGGATGCCGGAATACATCTGATTGACTGCTTTATCTCACAATCTTCGCTCTGGCTATCGATTAAAAGGACGATTGTGTCGGATACAGGTCGTTTTCCTTGGATGCACTGCGCCGTTAGTACCCGGAGCCCCTGGTGGTCTTTTTGTCATTTCCAATGCTCCAACGCCTCAAGGCACCCAAGGTTCACTTCCACCTCGCAATCATCTGCCATCAATACATTTATATTCCGAGTCGCGGGTCGCCTGGCAATGCTCATCCCGTATCCTTGCAACATGTTTGATTTATTTGCTTTCCTAACGTCGCCCATACCATATGGCCACGAACCCATGATTGGCTCGAGTCGATAACAGGCAACTACAAAGCAGAGTCCACCAATTGGAATGGCTTCATGTCACGACGCCCCCGAATGCGTCACCTTAGATCGTACGTTGGCCAGTTTTCCAAGAGAATAGTCCACCTTCTACAGTGCCTAGCATTTATCGATCCCGAAGCCGTGTATACCTTCAATCGTCCTAGAAAAGGGGGTTAATCCGCCTTATCTCAATCCAGCATTGAAGCTCATTGAAGTCACTCAAAAAAAAAATCGACACCATCTATATTCTTGCACTTTCCGAACTCTTGCTAAGATCTTCCTATTGTTTACGACACAGTTTTATTGCTTTCATTGGATAGTCGGTCCCCGACATCATCGTCGTAGGTGAATACCAGTCTATATGGCCGTCAACACTGCGGAACTATGAATATGTCGTGAGAGTGGTATATATGATAGTCTCAGAATTTAGGACTTACCTAACTTCCGGCGACGCAAATCTCTTCTAACGCTTTTGAGGAGAGGCATCCACGGCCTGAACTTAGAACGCTATTCCTCCACGGTGCACTCGGCCATATAGGCTATATCTTATTCAAACTTCTGGTATAAAGCGAGATGGATGAATAGCTTCAACCCTTTTTATCATGCTCAACAATACCCGTTCATACGTGGCGCTTTCTATTTCGGTCTGTACTTACCAGGAAGCGCTCATACCTAATTCCTTTAAACCATAATAGAGGATCTGTCAAAAAATCTTTTTCCTTCAGGAAGTGCTGCAAAATTTTCAGCGTTTGTATGTTGCTGGTACGTTACCTCGTTACTGGCTTTCCCGTCCCAGGTAACCGCAAACCGGCACACTGATTGAAGCTTGTAGTATCGTCCTATTGCCTCAGCGACTGAGCCTCTCGGTAATTCAATCTATGTTCAAAAATACCTTAACGAGTAAGTTTGCTCTTATGAACATGTCATCTATGGGCTTATTCGCAAGTCATAACCTACTTCTGCCCCGCATTGAACTCACACTAGCCCGGTGTCTGTAATGTGGGGCTACTTCAATACATGTTAAACAAGATGGCAGGACCCAGAATTTTCTCATCACATCGGTGGCAACATAAATAGTTCACCGTGGACTGATTCCGCAACTCGTTTCGAGGTTTTCCAAATTAGTTCCTTCAATGGATGTCGATTTCACCTTTTTTGTGTTCTTTTGATCGTTGTGTATGTGTTTTTTTTAGAATGTGAGACAGCGATCCTTAGGTTCATGGGAATCAAAAGGAAATACCTCAGCCTTAAATATGATGGACCAGGTCTCGAAGTATGCAACGCTGCATGGGCAACCGTTTCGCAAGACTCCAATTTACACGCATTTTAATATTTCGCCTTGTTGGGCACGTGTGGTATAACCTTCAACTGAACGCTGCAACAGGTGGGAGTGTTGAACGTCCGAGTCATTTCAAGCAAATGGAGTACGGATTCATGAATCTGGTCGCGACATTCAACTTCAGCCAAAGTATGGGTAAACTGTATTGTAACACCGGCGGTGGTAGGTGGGTTCCACTCTCAATGACCCATTACCGCGTGGATGAAAGGCTCTACCTGCTTGGATTTTTCCACTGTATCTGTACTTGAATGGACCGTGATACCCAGGATTAGCAGTGAGCCTAGGCGGCCCACTATCTTTGTTGATATTTTCCCCTCAATGCATCTTTGCGGCGGGACATTTGAACTTTGAATATTTCTCTTCTCCGTCTCAAATCAATTATTATTCCCATTGTGATTAATTGGGGATCATGAACATAAATCACGGTTGGCACTCTTCAATCGATCCAAGCAGTACAAATGAGGATGTATCTGGGACCGAGGTCCTCGAAACTTTTTGAACTGAAATGCGCGGCACAGTACGGCCTCAGACGACGATATCACTGTGGTGATTGAGTTCTACTATCTTCCAGACTTCCAGTTCATAGCTCGGCAGGCCCTTGCATATAAACGGCCAGAGGGGGCGACGATGTGTATCTGAGTGATGGTACTAACCGCTCCATAAAAAAGGACATAAGGAGTAGCCAGGTATAGCCGAGATACATACTTTTCTACATGATCTATGATGAAGGATTAGCTAGCTTCGTCTTCTCGTATTTCCATTTATTCTTAGGTCCCAAATATTCAACGCATCAACACTCTAGAGCTATGACATTGTTCGCGCATGAACCTCAAACTCCGATTCCAAGATGACCACAAGTGTATGGTAGGATCTGCCCCACATTCATCCGATTGACAGATATGCGGTCCAGGAGTAACTCCATTCAAAGCTATCTCATGTGGAATGGCAGAACAAACAAATGGATGTAATCAATTTCCAAAATACTAAGTGACAAGAAATGTACTATGATGAAGCCTGGGGTTGGAGATATATATTAGCTTGATGGGAATGAGGTATGTAGAGATACATGAAGGATCATTCAGCCCCAAGTCCCTCCGAGTCGTTGTTCAAATCTTCAACCCATATCCTGACTCATTCTCATTGAGGCCTTACCTACAGTACGGTTCTTATTCCTTATTACATAGATCTCCGACATTGCATTTTGAGAAAAGTTGTGGAAAATGCCGGGAAAATTTGTGATGAGCTTGATAAAGTGACTTGAATCCACGTACAAGATCAACTTGAGGCTGAGATGGCTTGCTAAATCAGACATACATGATCAATACTCTGCATACGGGTAATGACATGCTTAAGTTGTTCGGTGCTAGCTAGCACTAATGGCGGACATGAATGCACGAACTGAACATACTGTATACACTAAAGCCCTGCCAATGTCTTCAGGCAACAAAGCGGCTGAACCGTTTCGGGGGCGCATTACCAGCGTTGACAGCACACTAAAAGATGAACAGCGTTAAAGTTGAGTAGGCTGGAATGTTCGAACTTTGTCCAGAACAAATGATAGTAGACTGATAATGATAGCGATTATACATTTTAGGCATTGTTATGGTTAGGGTTAGAGCTGCCGAGAGGCCAAAAAAAAAAGAGCCTGCCCAGCCAGAGTGGCCGATGCAGGACAGGAAAATATTGAGACGGTGCATAAGCCTGAGCCTATACAAGCCGCAGAAACCCTTTGTATGGACAAGGTCGCCGTGCTATGAAGTGTCTCCACGGCCCACAAACCCGGGTACATGAAGGGGCTTGTGCCATCAAGGTAAGTATGAGTTGCTCAGAAAATTTGACCTGGTTTATATAGTTTCTCAGCTGCGCACGGACCAGGATGATCACGTTCTCTGAGTCAAGATGATTTCGCGTCATTCTCGCGTCTGTTACTTGGTTTCTGATGGCTCAATTCACGTCGTTTCTTTTCCCTTATATCCAGGATGGCCACGAAATCGAGTTGGAAGGCGACACTGAATGAGTTGATTGCTGGTAGCGTCGGAGGAGCAGCTCAGGTTCTCGTGGGGCATCCTTTGGATACAGTCAAGACTCGAGCACAGATCGCTCCTAGTAAGTAGTTTCCTCAAATTTAATTTAATACCATTTGGCTCTGACCCTCAATTCAGAAGGCATGTTTGTGAGCAATATCGACATCAGGTATCTCTAAGATATCCTGCTTACTTGTTTTAGAAAGGACCAATGGATATAATAGCTCAAACCGTTAGAAAGGAAGGATTCTTCGCGTTATATAAAGGTAAATCGACGTACTCAAACTACGCTGGAGTCCCGTAACACGTCGTGATATCGCAGGAATGGCCAGTCCCCTTCTCGGTATAGCAGGCGTCAACTCGTTACTCTTCGCGGCTTACGGCGTTTCAAAAAGGATCGTATCACCCTATCCACAGCTATCGCTACCAGAAACTTCTCTGGCTGGCGCCATGGCCGGAGCAGCGAATACTATTCTTGCTAGTCCGGGTACGCATACACTTTGGAATGCTATCGTTTTCCTCATATCTACCTTCTGTTCCAGTGGAAATGTTCAAGGTCCGTATGCAGGGACAGTACGGTGGTGCGCAAGATAAACGGTTGAGTGCAGTAGCTAGGGAAATGTGGAGTCAGTGGGGATTTAGAAAAGGAGTTATGCGTGGCTATTGGGCGAGTCTCCACTCTAAACATGGTACTCAAAAAGCTCACTCGGCTCCTTTATCATTAGGTGACTATGGCTCGAGAAATACCAGCTTATGCAGGGTATGGTTCTTTCTACCTCCACTTTACCTCTCTTGACTATCCAACAGATTCTACACTGGTACGTAGCACACTCGAATTCGGATATGGATTGAGCGCGACTCATCGCCTCTCTAGCATACGAGTTTTCCAAGCGCAAATTCGCATCAATATACGGCTCCGAATTACCTGTCTGGGCGTTGTTGGCTAGTGGGTCCACTGGCGGGGTGAGTTGCATTGGGTGATTTTGAGAGCAACACAATGGTTGAACTTGAAGTAGATCGCGTATTGGTTATCTTGCTATCCATTAGGTGCGCATCGCTTGGCGGTCTGCTGTACCGGGATTACTCTTTATTGATTCCTGCTCTCTCCCTCATCAGATGTCATAAAATCTCGCGTCCAGCTTCGACAAACGCCGCCCATAGGCACTCCGGTGCAGTATATCGCTCATGAAGCCAAGACCGTCTTAGCGGAATCCGGATTGTAAGTACACTCATCTTGATTTGTTACTACTGGCAATCTGACACAACCTGTTCGTCTGATATCTAGAAAAGGACTTTTCAGTGGATTGACGCCTTCTTGTAAGTCACCGAGTTGAAACTTTGTATACTCCTGTTGGAATTGACCATGTCGACGTCATTCTCCAGTAATACGAAGGTAGGCCCTTTTCATTTTCATATCTTTTATAATTTCTGACCTGGACATACCGTAGTATACCTGCTGCTGCGAGTACATTTGCTGCTTTTGAAATTACACGGGGTGGGTTTTTTTCTGGTACCGTTCTCCTGACCATGCTAACTCTCCTCCTTAATTAGAATACCTCGCAGAGTTTACTGGCGTTTAAAGAGCAACAGTCGCTTTTACAAGCAGTTTATGTACCGACAGCTTCTCGTCGCGTCTCAATCCGAAATGAGATGTGTATATTACAGTGTATGTGTCGAACGGAATCCAGGTTCTCTCTTAACAGGTAACCATGCAGAATACCATGCAAATCAATACTATCTACAGTTTACTTTTCTTCTCTTTCGGTTTCGTCTCAAGGTGTTTGACCCAAGGCAGTTTGTTGGCCAAGAACGACTCTTTACGTGGAGCTGAGAAATGAGGAAAATCACTTTGTTTGCATTTGTACCGCCAATCTAATTGGAATGGGCTCACCCCAGATTTCACTCCCTTCAATTGCCGGACCTTGCACGATGTAAATGTCACTCCTCGGAAGGTCCGGAGACATGCGGAAAAATACATTCGAGCCGCAATTGGAGCAAAAATATCTGCTTAGAGGCTTGCCAGTATTAGTATCAGTGTCTTGGAAGAACTTGAGCGCGTCCTGGCCCGCATTCAGCGTGAAAGCCTAACGAGATGAATAAGAAACAACGTTATGTTGAAGAGGAATAACACACACCTCATTCTTGAACCAGACATTCGTCATGAATGCAGACCCGCTCGCTTTTTGACAGTTTTTACAATGACAGACGAGGTAGTGGAATGGGTCTCCTTTGATTGTAAAACGTACTGCGCCACATAGGCAGGACCCGTTTCGCACTGTTTCGTTAGAGGTGGCTGTAGAGGTAGAAGCCGCAGTAGCTGCAGTCATGATAGATGGGAGATGGTGCAATCAGAGCTGTTGATTTAGGACTCTAGTTCGGACTCGGATCCGGCCGGGTAGGATCATAACCGAGCTGAGCTCGAGGAGGAATGAGATAATCAGCTTTGACTCGGACCGTTTTAGCGTTCCTTGTCCTCTCATTTGAACCATCCACGTCTTAACGCAATCCTCGCTCTGAACTTTGGTCTTCCACTTTTTCTTTATGCCATGGGCATTGGGCGAGTTGTCGTCAAATCTGGCTCAGCGCCCTCAAATGGCTTTGGGTCATCTCAATTGGGTATTCTAGATTATTTGGTTCATCCGTCTGTCGCCGCAACATTCTTCTTCAATCATTTTTGCCACTGTGAGTGCTATTGCGTATCGAGGCTAATGATATTGACTCCACCATAGTCATTAGATGATCATGAATATCCCTGTATCTCGAGTCTATTACAGTATATTTGTTAAATCTGAAGGTTCAAAACCTATTCTACTATACATTCAACCTTCCGATATATTGTCTGCGCGCTCATGACGGAATGACTCTTCAGTCGACTACCTCTTTTGAAATTGGGACTTTCCAAGAGAACCGGAATGTGCACTACCACCCGACTGGCTTTGCCAGTATGTCTATCCTACGTTTGTACATCATTCATATGATTGACAAGTTCATGGCTTAGCGTTTCTCCTAAGTTGAATATCGGGACTGATTCCTTGAATACGTTCGGAAAAATTACACCGATTATTCATGTGCAGTCTGTCCAGTGTCCTTGAAGTATAATGAGGACCGCGCTGGCAAGGCACGAAGCCATGCTTGTCATTGCTTGTTCCTTGCCTCAGGATTACTTGCTGTATTCATGGAACTTCCGGAATGCCCTTACAATCCCCTGCTATCAGTCACGTTGACTGCCAAGACCAGTATTCGAGGCGGTCTTGCCTTAAATTTGGGCCTTGATTTACTCATTCATAAACCTGAAAGGAGTTGTCTTCCTGTAGGAAGCGGTCCATAATCGGCTAAGCCTTCGAGATTCCCCATTATTTCACCATACTTTGCTTCTGAATGTGTGCAGCTCTACACGGTACGGTTATAAATGCCCTGAACGCTTTGCATCCCCCCTTCAAGCATCCGAATATCGATCAAAGTGAACCTCGCAAGTTATGAACGTTTCTGACTTTGCTGATTATCTTAATTACATCCTTGTAGGCGACGATCTCAGGAGATGCAGCTTTCGGGTGTTCTTGCTCTGCTGTCTTCGACTGTTCTTTTGTGTACCGCAGATCCACTTATACCCAATCCTGCCGATTATGTGTTGCCTTTCATTGGCACAACAAATGGAGGACATGTCTTCCCTGGTATGAACTTGACCATAAGTACATATCTAGATGCGGTACTGATGTGCTGCGTTATGTACAGGTGCGACTCTTCCTCACGGCATGGTCAAGGCAGGATTAGATACTAACTCTCCAGGAAACGTATGTTACTTATCAAAGCTCAATGGCCGACAAACTCATCCCCAACCTTAGCAAGCGGGATATGACGCAGATCCCCAGTACGACGCCATCGGCTTTTCGCAGTTGCATGATTCTGGAACAGGTGGTGTACGTTCTGACCCAAGTTTTTTCTTAAGTGAAATCATAACATTGGAGATAGTCAGCGTCCCTTTCTAATTTCAAGATCTGGCCATTTGCATCCTGCCCTTCCTTTACCGAATGTCCCACTTCTCCTACCAGTAGAGCCGTTCCGAGGAAATTATTATCAGATGGTAAGTGGGGTCACACAAACATCGCCATTCAACGCGGAGTATTCATATCTTCTGGAGGTTCCCCCGATGATGCCGCTTCACCTGGATACTTTGCTTCCAATCTGTCTACTGACATCCGTGCGGAGCTCACAACTACACGACGCACAGCTCTGCATCGGTATACATTCCCGTCCAGCTCCGCCGAGCCGCGGATAGTCGTGGATCTGACAGACGATGGTCTGCAAAGCGGTTATGATGTCACATTGCTCATCGATCCTACCACCGCTCGTGTAACAGGCGACGCTTGGTTCGAGGGTAGCTTTGGACCTGGAGCTTACCACCTTTTTACCTGTGTAGATTTTAAGGGAGAAAACTACGAAATCGGCAGCCCGTCCGAATACGGTTCATGGTCATTCAATACAGTGACACAGAACAAAACGAATTTGAGTGGTATCTACAGTGGCTCTTCTGGAGCCCTACTAACATTCCAGCCTGCAACGAATGGAACAACCTCAATTCTGGTTCGCGTTGGTGTTTCCTTTATATCCAGTGCACAGGCATGCTCGAACGCGGAGGAAGAAATTTCGGACTGGGACTTTGAGCGTGTACACTCTGATGCATTGGCGCAATGGAATGAACTCCTGGGCAGAGTTCAAGTAGATCCCGCTGGTGTTGAAGAAGAGAAAATTCAACTATTCTATTCATCAGTACGTAAAATCACAATCTGACGTCTTGTTCTTACCCTTGTGCTGAACAGATTTTTGTAGTTATATAGGACGCATATCGTACCAGCTGATTGTACGCAAACGCAATATTTAATAGATTCTACTCTCGCTCACTATTTTGCCCATAGATTCAGGAGAGAATCCGAGATGGCAATCATCAGAGCCTTACTATGATTCCTACTACTGTAATTGGGACACTTTCCGCACCTTGTATCCCTTGTTCTCTCTCCATGATCCGGAAAGGTTTGCTCTTATTACCAGAGCAATGATAGATATTTGGAGGTTTGAAGGTCGGCATTTTACTGGTAGTTAATCTTTCGAGCTAAAGCATCATAGGTTGGCTTCCGGAATGTCGTGGCGCCACGATTCAGCAGTGGGTGCAAGGGGGAAGTAGTAAGCGGCGTCAACTAGAACAGTCATTATTTACCCAACGCTTGTTCATGTCTTGTAGACGCGGATCCCATTCTTGGAGAATTCTTCGTTAAGTATGTCTCCCGCTTTCTTAACCTGTCCGAGCCTAGATCTAATTGGTCTTCCAGATATAATGACCATGCCGCCGCTCTGAACATTTCCATTTCGGACTTGTATTCTTCTCTTCTTACGGATTCCCAAAACGAGCCTGGAGACTGGGATTTACAAGGTCGTCAGGCTGTTGCATGGGATAATCTCAGTGAGTTCATTCCGATTTTTCCTTCGCTTAAACGATGGACGATTCCACTTCAGATTATGTTCCGGACGAGTTTGATTCAGATTTTGGGGGTACCAATACCAGACAGGTTTCGAGGACGCTGGAGGTAAGTTACATCAGAGCAACCGACACTGGCTTGTTTTCATCTTCTTGGCCTTTGACAGTACGCGTTCGGAGATTTCGCGATATCGCAGGTAGCAAAGTTGATTGGCAATGATGCCGACGCTGCAAAGGTTTGTTAGCTTTGTTGGGACAACATCGTCACCGACTATCACACACACATAGTTTGCGAAAAGATCGAATGGTGCATTCAATATGTGGAATCCAAACGTCACTCTTCCGGGATTCCCTGGTGTGATCGGTATGATGCAGGTTTGTCGGTGGTCATTTCGAATAGCTGCCAAATTGAACGAACCATCCATAGCAAAAATCCAGTACCGGAGCTTTCGATACGTATACCGATCCTCGACATTGTAGTGTGAACGATCCCACACATTCAACTTGCTATTTAGACGGCAACAACCACGATGGTTTCTATGAATCCTCTCCGATGGTGGTGAGTGTGATTTTTTCGATATTTCTTGTGCCTCACTGATCTTCGCATGTTTTCAGTACTCCCAAGTTTGTCCTTATCGTTGCAAACTTCTCTTTCCCGAGGTTGAAATTTCGCATCCTAGTTTGTTCCACACGACACTGCTCAACTCATAACGCTGCAAGGAGGGAATGAGAGTTTTATTGAAAGGCTGAACATCATCTTCAACCAAAGCTACTTCGACCCCACTGACGAGCCATCCCAGCAAATTCCATTCATGTACCATTATGCTAATCGTCCAGGCTTGACTACGAAACAAACTAGACAAGTCATATCCGAATCTTACAACACTAGTGTTTCTGGGCTGCCAGGGAACGATGATTCAGGTTAATTTCTATCTCTTTCATCATTTGTAGTATGTTTATGTTCAAATAGGTGCAATGGGAAGCTACGCGGTGTTCCTTTTAGCAGGGTTGTATCCCGTTCCGGCAACAACCCAGTATCTACTTTCTTCCCCGTTCTTCCCCTCAATATCGTTTTCGAACCCTCTTTTCAACACTACCACAACCATCAAAGCTAACAATTGGGCCGGTAATCCCGCGGATGGCGTTGGCACGGTCTATATCGCGGTGAGCCTATTTTTATATCCTGTTTTTTTGTGTAGGGTTTGCATTTGAGCAAAGCTTTCCATCAGAATGTCATGATCAACGGAGAGCAGTACAAATCAAACTGCTATCTTGAGTGGGACTTGTTTAAAACAGACGTGGTGATAGAGCTCACTCTGTCGGACGATGACAGCCTAGGTTGTGGAAACGGAGCTGATGCTTTACCTCCATCGCTTTCGACAGGTGGTTTTAATTGAGTAGCAGTTTTGGGCATTTGCTAGTCAAAGTTTAGAGGGTATTTCAGAAAATTTTGAATGAATCAGTGACTAGCGACTATACAAACAAGGTTCATGTTATCATGCTATTGTACAATTGCAAAAAATTTGACGAAGATTCTTCTTTGGTCTCATTTCCGTGTCATTTGCGTTGTCTGCTGCAGGAGTTTGACCAGTGGAGATGGTCGTCTCTGCAGATAATCATTTGGCTATAAAACATTTAATGGATACTGCTACTATAGAAGATAGTACTCACGAAGCTCCGGAGTATCGGCATACGCAAGGTGCATACCCCATTCTGGGTATCTAGCTCCCTTGGTAGCGTCCGATTTCTCGATGTATTCGCGTACGAGTTTGAGATCTTCGTCCGAAAGCTTGACGTTTACAGCCCCGAGGTTTTCTTCGAGATATTTGACCTAAGCGAAAACACCTCTTCCATTTGAGCTGGCGAAAATAAACGGGATTTCTCGAACCTTCTTTGTGCCCGGAATCGGGATGATATCGTCACCCTGTGCCAAAAGCCAAGCCAATGCAACTTGACCCCCAGTGGCACCGTGCTTCTTTCCAATCTCCTTCAGTCCGTCAGCAAGTTTCAAGATGTTTGGGAAATTTTCCTGGCTATATTTGGGGAAGATTTTGCGGAAGTCTCCTTCTGGAAAGTCGGCAGCGGATTTCTGAAAGGAAATGAGAAAAGTATCAGTTGCGAGGAGCGCGGAGAGAATATCTGGTACCTACCACCTGGCCCGTCAGAATGCCACGTCCTAGAGGGGAGTATGCGACGATAGTGATACCGAGTTCCCTGCAGACTTTAAGAACACCGATCTTTTCATCTTCGATCTCCAAGTTGAATGGAGAATATTCCACTTGAACGGCAGAAATGGGATGCACCGCATGTGCTCTTCGGATTGTGGCGACTGAAACTTCTGAGAGCCCAATGTACTTGACTTTGCCTTCCCTGAAAGCCCATTGTAGATTAGAGCCTGAGTCTGGGTAGGCAAATTACTAAAAACACGCACTTGACGAGTTGCGCCATCGCACCCACTGTAACCTACAAATCTGTCAGTTTCGGGGCTATGTACAGTTAAAGATGGTCATACTTCAATGGGTACAGTCACATCTGCACGCTATTCGAGTAGAACGGTCAGTCACATGAAATGAATAGTTTCTTCCTAGTAAGAAACAAACGTACGTGAAGGTATAATAAGTCTATAGTGGATATATCAAGTGCTTTCAAAGACTTATTTGCAGCCTCAACAATATAATCGGCGTCCCCGTTGACGAGACGAACTTCGGGCTTGTGGTAGTAGCCGACTTTCGTCGCGATGAAGACCTTATCGCGATTACCGGTACGTTTCAACCACTTTCCAATAAGCGCTTCGTTATCCTATAGCACATGAAATTCGGACATCTGGTCAGACGATGGGACCGATTTTTTGAATCACAAACATTATAGATGTCCGCTGTGTCCCAGAGGGTGCATCCTTTTTCAAAAGCTGCGTCGAGAACCTTGGATAAAGATTAGCTTTAGAACCTCTCACATATTGGGACAACTGAGACCTTGAACCTTTCCTCGTCAGAGGTTACCGCTTCACCGTAGAATCCAGAAAGACCCATGGCCCCAAAGCCAATGGCAGAAACCTTTGTGTCACCGATTTTGCGAAGAGGAAAAGACATTGGTATGGAATATGGGAGAACGCAAAAGAAGATACTCTTGACCTCCCGATATATGAGGCTCGCTTCGAGGACTTCCTCATTGCGATCGATTAGAAACGAAGTTACGTTTAGACGACAAAGATGCCGATGCCGAATAGAGAAGGGATTATATGACCGTCATTGACAAGGTATTGACTACGGCCGTTACGGCCGCAAAAGTCAATGTGAGCACGAGATTTCAGTGAGCGTCAATAATTCAAAACATTTTGCATGCAGTCACACTGGGCGTCGTCGGACCCATCGTCGCAATGGACAGTACCGAATGGGCGGCCGTAACAGCGTTACTGCAGTCTTGACCCGAATGATGGCGGTGTCCCATCCGTTGCAATTGTTCGACAAGCACAGTACTTATACTTTGTGTGCTTTGGATTGCCTTCACTGCTTCAGCCTTCATGTCGCCTGTATTCGTGTTACTGGGCATTTTGACCGCGTCGGCCTCATTATGCAATGGGCGGATTTATGAGGATCCAAGTATCATTCCTTCTCTGAATAACTACGACTATGTTATTGTCGGAGGTCAGGCTTACATTTGACGCCTTCCAAACTACATGTTCAAGTTCTTACAATGGCCAAATTTAGGTGGACTCACAGGGAGCGTAGTAGCAAGTCGTCTGACAGAAAACAGTAACACGTCAGTTCTGCTACTTGAAGCAGGTGGATCGTATGTGCTTTCATTCCTTCAATGATTCGTCCATCTCTCATTCACTTTAAACCAGTCACCAAGGGGCATATTACCTGGAAGTACCAGGCCTACAAAGCTTCACGGGACCCGGGACGGTTTATAACTGGAATTACACGTCGGTGCCGTATGTTTGACGAAAAAAAATAATGCAATCTTTCTCTCATGTGTACATTGTCTGGTGCTTTCCAGTCAAATCAATTTACTGAATAACACGATTCCTGCACCTCGAGGACATGTCCTTGGAGGATCGAGCTCAATAAGTCCGACTCTCTGTTTCTTTTGAGTGCCTTGTTATTGATCAAACTCACAGATGGAATGTGGTACACTCGCGGGTCGTCAGCAGATTATGACCGTTGGGCCAATATCACCGGTGATCAAGGGTGGTTGTGGGACGAGTTACAAAGTTATTTCGAAAAAGTCGGTGCTTTTCTGATCATTCAATGTTCAATACCTGATCCTTACCTTCTCACCAGAGTGAAAGCTTTGTTTCTCCGGCAGACAATCATAATACTTCTGGCCAGTATGACCCAAGTTTACACGGAACTCAGGGGCCATTAAAGGTTACGGTTGGAGGATACAGTCAATCGTTGGACCAACTCGTCATGGGAAGGCTGGATGAGCAATTCCCGTTCATTGAAGACTATGACAATGGAAAGCCTCTCGGCTTCGGTATGGTGACTCAAATTCAGTGACGAAATTTAACACTGATATCACGACTTAGGGTGGACGCAGACAACAATAGGCAATGGGACACGGAGTAGCGCTGCAACAGCTTACCTTGATAAATATCTCAATAGAACAAATCTCGACATTGCATTAAACAGTCTGGTTGCACGAGTTATTGCCTCGAATGGGAGTCGTATCGACACTGTCACCTTCACCAACAATGGTAAGTATATTTACAATGTAACATTGTCTAGCTCACGAATATCGGATTATCGGCAGGCCTCTTGATGAATGCCACAGCACGGGTCGAGGTTCTGCTTGCCGCCGGTGTTTTTAATGATCCTCACATCCTTCTTAATTCTGGAATCGGAAATGCTACGGAGCTTTCCGCCATGAACATCCCTGTCGTCAACAACTTACCTAGCGTCGGAAAAAACTTGACTGAACAGCCCGCGATCTCGAATTTATGGAACACTACCAACCCTGTTACTACCGTAGAGGCCGAGGCAGCATACGAACAAGCCCTCACGCAATGGAATAACACACGTACTGGACGTATGGTTTTAGCCATCAGCAATACTGTGGGATTTACCCGAATGAACACGTCAGATCCCGACGTAGAGGCTCTAGTTGAACAATATGGCGAACTAGCACCTGGGCCCGCTTCTCCTCATATTGAATTGTTACCTACTGTGGTAAGCTCGTCCGCGCTGGTTCTTCAGCAAAATTTCCAATGATCTTTTAAAGAATGCCTTTGATGCCGAAGTTAATTTTGCAAACGCACAGTTCATATTGGATTCTGTCAACCTTGTCCCCTACTCCCGTAAGTCCTGCGCATCCTTTTCCAGCACGACATTTAAATACGTGGTATTTTTAGGTGGCTCTATTACCCTCGACCCCATCAATCCATCGGGCCCTCCTTTGATTGATTACAGCTTCTACAGTGCACCGCAGGATATTCAAGTTATGCGGCAAGCCGTTCTTAGTGCACTGGCATTTGTATCTACTCCTGCCTGGCAAGAGTTCCTCGCCGAGCCAGTATCTCCACTTCTTGCCGCTGTCGTCAATGAATATCCTAACGTTAGCACAACAACAATGGATGCTTATATTCGAGCATCCACCAGCATAAGTTTCCATGCTACTGGTAGCTGCTCTATGTCTCCTGAGGGAGCAGAATGGGGTGTTGTCGACCCCGATTTCCATGTGAAAGGAGTCGTGGGACTGAGGATTATCGACGCGTCGATCATGGTGAGTGTACCTTCAGGTGGTTTTACGAGATGATATTTAATCTGACTGTGGATGAATCAGCCTTTCGCACCCGCAGGTCATCCCCAAGCTGCTGCATATATGATCGCCGAGCGTGTGGCCGATATCATCAAAGCAGATAATTCCTAGTCAGTTATCGCAGCATGTATGTGATATCTAGCATTTCAACGAAATAATCCGTGAACATTATATTCGTACTGGAATCGAACTGAAGCAATCGATTCGAAATTCAATATGTAATTCAAGTATAAAATTGATTTAGGCCCGTGGGCCGTGATCCGTGATCCATGTTCCTGATTATCGATATCGACGACCGCGCCAACGTTGGTTCATTGATTGGTTGAGGATTGAGGATGAACGTCGAGTGCGTACTATACACGTAGGTGACTTTCCATGAATTTGTTGGAAGGTATGAAGTGAACACATACACAACCGACCGCAGTTGTAATGATTGTGCGTTCGGGGCAGCAATCACGCTGTCAGTTATTCAGTAGACCACATTCCTACATGGTCGGACACAATAAACTATAGGGAAGCTGCTCGAGGAATGGGCACGTTAAGTACTAGACCACACTGGGAGATAGCCAACAAATAAAACACTGGCAGAATGTTGAAAATCTAAGATTTAAACAAGTTCCAGGATAATTGAAAGGTTTCTGTAACAGTACTACAGTACTACAGTCTCGCAGATAAGCCCTCCATCTGTTCCGACCTTTTAGGCACACAGACCGTATACATATATGTAGTCATTTCTGCTTGGAAATTTTGCTAGCCACGGTGAATTAGGTCGCGGAAAATTACAAACAGTATTTTTACGCTTTCAAGAGCCCCTTTGAAACGTACCTTCGTTCAGCGGCATGGTGAAGCATAGAGCTACCGATAAACTATACAAGTTGATGATAAATCCTGAATGCTGTAACAACCTGTAACAGCTTCTCGCGATGGACCAGTGACGTTGTTTTTCGGGTCGTACTGTAGTAGTGTCGCTGATCTTTGATCTTATGTTGTCCAAATGGCGCCTTTGTTTGGCCAGCCGGCCGTGTAATAAATTTGACCTTCCTTAAGTATCTTCCGTCCTTCCAGGTCCTTCCCTGATTCAAGACCCTGACTTGTATCCCGATTTCTACCTAAGGCCCGCTTGTATTTCCCCATACTACAACCCCTTCGAGGCCTGAGACCTGATCCGCAGTATACTTATGATCAAAAACTTGGATCTGTAGGACAAAACCGAAATGGGTTTTATCGTCTGTAAAGATCGCCTTGAAAATTAAAGAGCGGGGATTTAATCGGGGGTTGTCGGGGGTCCTCCCATACACCGGCAATAGAAATGTGTGTTGTACTCTGGTTATATTCGAATGCTCTTTGAAAGGAATTGATACATAATATGTAACACTGTACCGCCCAGTCTACATATTTTTGGGAGTGATTAGGCGTGGGATGGTGAGTATATAGTATGTAGATAAAGTAGATATATATAGATGTGTCTTCAAAACCCACGAGAGACGTACTGGTCAAAATATGTCCCTCTCGATGCCCTTCCGCGAATTTGCCAGGTTGAAGCTTGTGGCAAGCGTGAATTCGGAAGGCAACACTACGATGAAATTCGAGCCTCTACCGGCACCCTTGGTCGAAGATAACGTCGGATCCAATGTGCTCTTCCACTTCCAAAGTAGTTTCTGTAACGGAATTAACACATTAACCGTTTACGTCAGCCCTGTAGGCCCGACGCCTACCTCTACGAATGATGGTAAGGTTGATCTTTGATATACGCGTACTCGAAGCTAAGCACGCGATATTTAGATCGCTCGGGGGAGCCATTGACTTCCTTACCAGGATCAGAATTTCTGGAGACACCGGACTCTTCATTCAAGCAATGGGCAGGAGAGATGTCGAGCTTGAACCCCTTGTTTCCCCAGTTCCAAACATCTTCACTTCAACGAGACTCACCAGATGTGTCTCATGCTCCTCCCAACTTAATATCCCATCCTGAAATAAATAAGTGCTATAGTCCGTTTCTCCAGGACTACGGAGACAGCGTTGACGCGTTGAGGAATAATTTACAATATTGGACAGACCCTACCATTTTTGCCATGCCGTTCCCCAATTATCCGAGCTCGATGTCCTCACTTCCAACCTCTCCGAGTGGCACTACTTCTCCGGCTTCTAATTTTTCGGAATCATCTACAGATGATCTAGCCAGTGTTTCTTCGCCAGAAGCTGTTCATCAATGTTCCCCCCATCATCTCTCCGACTCGGAGGTACCCAGACAAACGACATCGTCTTCATCACTAGCACCGCGACATCGACCTCATTCCAGATCACGACGGTCGGGTTCTTATCCCGACCACTTGAGTCGTGGAGTTCCCTCAAAATCATCCTTTCCTTGTACTTTCGAACCATGTCCAGAAGTGTTTTCGCGGAAACACGATCGTATGCGTCACGAAGTCGCACAACACGGTTTGAAATGCCAATGGGTTTGCAATAGATGTCGAAAATTCTTTGCCTCTGAAAAAACCCTGGCAAAACATAGATGTAGCGTAAACAGCGACGTACGCTGGACCACTCCGGCTCAATCCAATTCAGGTCAAGACGGAGTTGGCACTGTCCCGATCTAGGAACGATGATATCGTGTAGCACTCAGGAGTGAGCTTGACGATTTATTAAATTAAATTAACTATTCATGGACTTGCGATAGACGTTATATCACTAGACACTCGAGTTATAGACACCATAAATAGAGTTCGTAGGAGGTTACTTACAGACATTTGTACAATATTGAAAGGTGGTTGTATGCATATACATAGTCACTATCAATAGCCATGACCTTGATATTCAGCTAGTATTCAAGTGTTATCAATATTGTTTTTACATACATGCCAATTATGCGCACGGTATGTACTTACATGCAGGTGATCTTCAAACACCGGAAATATCCAAGCAATGGAGCATCATAGTCCAATTCGGAGCTCACGATACTATGGTACCTTGTAACACCCGGCACAAACAGCATCATGGATAAGGTTGACCTTCCTGGAATCGATCCCCACTCAATCTGGATAGCCATAGTGGAGCTATTTCTTTAGTTGAGGAATTGTAGTATAGGGTTGGCAGTGATTGGAGTGTGGAAACTGTATGTAATAGCTGTAAGACGTTTCATCCAGTGTTGAAGCGTCGCCCACCCGTAATAGAGTTTGATAAGCCGCGAGCGCGAATGGTGTCGGCATCATATACAGGAAGCATTAATGATATTGGCCTTGGACCGGACACTCTTTTGGGGTCTTCATGCATACGTATAGCACAGCTTCAAGTGGAGCAGGCGTATAAAAGCATATAAACTGCTCCTGCAAGCCACTAGGACGGAAAGACAAAAAATCCTCTGTTCATGGACTTCAACGAGTCCGGACTGTGATCTACTTTCGAATCGAGTGAGGCCAGGTGAGGCCTTGGTGCCAATGTCCCCTTTTCGTGTCAGAGGGTTTTGTTCAGCTTTGTTCTTCTATCACAATGTTGTTGGTTTTGTACATCCATGGCACACATCAGAGGCGGTACCATGGTAGCGTGGACCCTGGCTATTCCTCGGCTATTCCTCAATGGGACCGTGCCGCTCGTGCCAGTCACAGCCGGCGCTCAAACCATTCCGGCAGTCACAAATATCTTCATGTGCGCCGGCGATGGCTAGTGAGCAATTCAATTCGGGCAAGAGTTGGCTGATCTCAGAGTTTGGTTTTGACCAAGTGCACAAAGGCGTCAGCCATCCAAGAACGCTTGAAAAGTTCTGGAATCGACCCTTTGCGTCCAGATATTTTTTTCTGAAACAGACTCCTTTGCACCTAGCATTGCTTATCCCATCCGACTTCCTCATGGACCAGACGCCCTTTCCTCCGTCACTAAATTTGATTGAGAAGCATTTGAGGAGAGAAGACGAAAGAGGCAGTGATTCTGATTACCGTGACACTGCTTAGTCAGAATGATCTGATGAGACAAATTCTGCTTCGTTCAACTTGCTATCGTTCACTCTCATTCACATGACAGAAATGTGGGCACGCAGTTGACATCCTAGTAACTATTGGGTGCTAGCGCTCTGGTCTGAACAAGCATCATCTAGCATCTGAACTCGGACTGAACAGCTCCTAAAACGAAAACAGTAAGGATGCATCGAAGCGACTCCATAAATTGGCTCGCATGGTCATTTCAAGGGACGGAAGGATTCAGGCGATGGAGTGTGATGCTCGTAGACAAGCAAAAGGACTAAGGCTAGCATCATTCATCGTGCTGCTCAAGAGAATGAGAGCACTGATTTCGAAGACTGTCAGACCAAAGAAAAAAAATCGATCTCGAAGACATGGAAATTGATATTGACGCCCCAGCAATTGCACTCAAAATTCAAATCGACCATTTCACCGTTGTTGAAACAGGATCCCTAATATGTTGGTCTTTTTACTCGTAAACGGAAGCAGACGGAAGCGCGCTCCAGCTCCCAGTGAGAATAATAATCCTCGATTTTTGTAGAGTCGGCAGATGCTCTCTCTCCCCAGCATTGTCACTGAGCCGCCATTCACCGTCACCATCTTTTCCATCTTCATTGCGCTACAAATTGCAATCGTTATCCATCTCTATCATCGCAATATTGTTGACAATCCTCATCATTCCATTTCAATTCCCCTCCCCACCAATTTGGCTCTACTGTATAACTTCGTTCCGCTTATCCATGTTACAACATATTCATCCCGTCGCATGGTGAAATGCAGATAATGCGAGGATAATAAGGGAATTCTACCAAACCTAACAAGTACTAACTTACTGTTAGTGCCCTGTTGCGAGGGTAGGCGAGGGTTCAAAAGGTTTGACAGGAGCCTCATGATCATTGATCAGCACTAAGCAGCAGGGTAGGGCAGAATGCAGATGAGTGATGCAAGATGATGAGGGAATTTTATACTGGACTTACGACAAGGAGGAAAGCGAAACAAAGAAACGAAAAGAAAGGGATATCCTGGGGATATCGGGAAATTTTCATGCTGGCTTCCGCCTACGGCGGTCTTTTGTCCGAACTTCAATCCTATGGCTAGCAACCAAATATGGGAGGGGGGAGGGTGTCTTGTCTGGGATCACAAATATATATAATCAGGGATATCGGTCTCCAACTTCATTTCAATTCCTAACTAGTCGGTAAAATGAATAGATGCGAAAGGCTAAAATCTCGATCCGCTGGATGCAAAGCCACGAGTGAGATCATCCTTGATTCTCGAAGTTCTACGTACAGCCAGGTTAAACTGATAATTTTTCCTCGATAAAAAATTGCACGTTTAGCTATGTTCAAGTGTTAGATATCTAGGGGTATGCCCTAGCAGGAGAAAAGCTTTCCACACAAACCCAAATGTTCCTTGAAAGGAATTCTTGATAATATATGATGTGCCAAGTCTACGTATCCTTTCTGGGAGGAGCGACCGGGCGTGATTACGCCTGAACATATTAAAACATACATACTATTACCACATAGACAACTTAGGATAGCTACATACGATATAAAGTTATCTTCCAAACCCGTAAACGGCCAAGATACTCATGTCTCTCTCGATGCCCTTCCGAGAATTCGCTAGATTGAAGCTTGTAGCAAGCGTGACCTCGGAAGGGAACACTATGATGAAATTCGAGCCCTCACCCGCACCTGTAGTCGAAGACGGTTTTGACCCCAATGTGCTCTTCCACTTTGAGAGTAGTCTGTGTAATGGGATTAACACATTAACCGTCTACGTTAGTCCTGTGGTCTCGACGTCTACTTCTAGAAATCAAGGTATGGTCAATACTCATGATAGTACATGCGTAGCTGAAGACACGATTAGATCGCACGGATGAGCCATTGAATTCCTTACCAGGATCAGATTTTCAAGAGACATTGGGCTCTTCATTCTCGCAATGGGCGGGAGAAATGTCGAACCTGAATCCATTGTTTGGACAACTTCACACATCACCACTTCCACAAGGCACTCCCGGACCAGATGTGTCTCTTGCTCCATCTCCCAGCTCAATATCTCATCGGAGAACGAACCAGTGTTATATCCCAGCTTTTCCTGACTACGAAGACAGCGTTGATGCGATGGTAAATAATTTTCAATATTGGACAGACCCTTTTGCCATGTCATTCCCCAAACATCGTACAAGCTCAACATCATCCGTCTCACTTCCAACCACTCCGAGCGGCACTACCTCTCCAGCTTCAAATTTGTCGGAAATATCTATGGATGATCTAGGAAGCATTTCCTCGCCGGAAGCTGTTTACGGATGTACTCCCCATCATCCCTCCGAAGCACACAGACAAGCGGCGTCGTCCTCATCACTAGCACCACGGCATCGTGCTCATTCCAGATCGCGACGGTCTAGCTCTCATCCTAACCATTTGAGTCGCCGTGGGGTTCCCACAAAATCATCCTTCCCTTGTACTTTTGATCCATGCCCGGAAGTATTTTCGCGGAAACATGATCGTATGCGTCACGAAGTCGCACAACACGGTTTGAAATGTCAATGGGTTTGCGATAGATGCCGAAAATTCTTTGCCTCCGAAAAGACCCTTGCAAAACATAAATGCAGCGTGAATAGCGATATCCGTTGGACTACTTCGACCGGCCAGGACGGAGATAGCTTTATGTCTATCTAGAATTGGAGGGGGGTATATCGGGTAGTAGTACCCACTGAACTTGGCTCATTGATCTGATTAACTGTTCTAGACGGACTTGACGGACTACTTATCACTGAGATCATAGAATACGGAGTAGGTATTGGATTAGCTATATGCGTATAGCCACAATTAGAGATTATGACCTTGTACAAGTTCCAATCCCATCCACTGGGTCTTACCATTATTTCCAGAGTTTTCTTCCTTGTATGCATCTACATGTGGGTGGGAAGGCGTTTGAAGATGGAAGTGATCAAATTTTTTGGCTGTGTAGTAATGTGTCTAGGTTACACACTGAGGTGGTCACGATAAGGATGTAGTATCCGGCGCAAACATTATCACGGATAAGTTGTTAATTACTTAGCTGGGCTGATCTCCGCTCAATCTGGATAGGTATAGTGGAGACTACCGAAGCTTTAGTTTGAGGGTCGGCTGGCAGTGGCTGTAGACATTGAAGAACAATGAGGAACGTTTCTGTGAGCTGTATGTAATACCTGGAGACGGGAAACATTTTATTCAGTGTTGCACTGTGTTGGAGCGTCGCCCACCAGGGATGAAATTTGATAAACTGTGAGCGCAAATCAATGAGGCATTCTGTAAGACCGAGGAGGATGGGCATGCAAGCCCCGTGTTATATAACACGTATTCAGATGGAAACTCCTCCTGCTATTAGAACGGAGGCAAATCCGAAGGTCGGAAAGACGGAAAAAGCTTCCGTTCATGTAAGTAGTCCGAGATTTTGTAGATCAAGTTCCTGCTTTTAGAGGGAACCCCGTGCTCAACCAGCCAGACAAGAACGAACCTGTGTCCAATTCGACATATGTTGAAGCATCTGTGGACTGTACTCTAATAAAGGAAGTCTATTTACCCGGGCCAACGCGGCGTTTCTGTTTTGTCGCTCGACTGCGCATGAACTCACCACTCTAACCTTTTGGTTCATGTTCTCCAACCGCTTAGACCTTTTTTCCGTCTGCCCCGGACTATCCTTTCTTGGCAGTTGTTCATCTCACATAACGATGGGTTCGCTTGATAATCTGATTAGTGTCGGTGCCTTTCTTGGAGCCTAATGAAAAATGCGGAAAAACATTTCAACGTTCCGGATTTGCGCCATTTAGCTATCTTGTTTTCCATTTACTTTGAGTCCGTAGTAATGGCATAGGCGCCGATATGTTGCTGCAAGCCCATATGATTGTATGAACCATGCAACCTCCTCCCATCTCGAGATTCACACGTACCGTGAAAAGGCTTAGATCAGAAACCCCGGTTTACGATTTGTCTGGTCTGAGATGACGAAAGTCATGACTGTAAAGCTTGCTGAGCAGATCACCGAATTTCTTCGTCTTTTAAGGGGAATTCGTTTCCGCAAAAGCCATTTCATCACGCTGAATGGTGCAACATTACGAATCCGAAATGTATAACCTTGGTCAAGAGTCAAGACTCATCACTCGTTAAGAGCCGGGTTTCCTGGGACTCACCGCCGCTTTTTCTGCCCCAGATGTATGCTGCTCTTGGGGATGTTTTGTGAATTGTTTTTAAGGAGGCTTGGGAAACAGGGTCATGCAGGAGGGTGGCAGAAGTTTATTTGGGAGGTCTAGTGGTGGATTCACCAAACAGGTACGCCATGGATTTAAGGGCCTTGAAGCTTGAAGCCTGAGCTACATACCCGACTACGCTTGGAAATTTGATGGAATCAAGTTGGATGGGCCCCTACAGAGTCAAGTCGGCATTGGCTCTTGTAGTTTACTAGGGTAGGTTCTAGAATTGCAATGAAGCCACTGCAAAGGTCTTGACTGGGTTGATTTCCTGTTTTTGAGCCGCTTTTTCGATGACATTGTCTGTAACAAGAAAGTCTATGAGTGATATCAGGGAATCAGTGATGCTTCGGCGAATGGCTGAAGCAAGTCTGGGATAGTATTAGTAGAAGAAAGGAAATTTCCCAGGAGCGCTAGCGCTAAAAACATCTATTCGTGGATCACTTACTACTTTGACGTCGCCATGGACGAAGATATTGACATGGATGCTCCTCAAATCTCTACCCTCCGTGAAGAAGCCACTCCACCACCTCCTAAAGTCAATACCACCAGGCGAATAAAGCTGTTGATTAGCAAGCCCAGTACTCCTTCGACCGCTCCGCCGGCACGCCAACAACAGCCGCAGGTTCAACGGTCTATCCTTGGTGACGACGACGAAGAGGACGAAGAGGACGATCAGGAGGATCAGCTCATTGATGATGACGACCCCATTCGACCCTCAGATCTTCCTCCACCGCCTCGTCCAGCTGTCGAGTCTTCATCGGGGTCACCTCCAAAGAAAAAAGCACCTCCAAAGAGAAAACCCAGGAAAAATGATAAACGCCCACCGGAAGAGGGAAGATTGAAAGAGAAAGTCATGCAGCAACCCGGTGCGCCGAATCTTGCGCCTACATTGTTATGGTTTGAGGCCAACCCTTCCAATTTGAATAATTCGGAATCACACGATGCAGGATTACCTTCTTCTGAAGGAGGGCAGATTACAATGCTAGGCCCTGACCAGCCGCTGTCGTTAAAGATTAGCGGAAAGAAAAAGGCACCGGCGAAGAAGGCATCTACTCAGAAGAAGCAGCAGACCAAGACGTCTAGTGCGGCGGTGGCTTCGACGTCTGCTTCTGCTCCCCCTGCTACCATAAAGTATGTCTTCTTTTGTGATAAGATTGACGGAAGGATTCAATGAATATCAGAACAACGAAAATCAAGCTTCTACCTCCGCCTATGCCTGAAGATACAGGTATATTATCCGAAGGTAGTTATCCATGACATTCTTTACATCTATTGGTAACTCATTGGACACCCTTCAGGAATGACTGGGACAGCGGCCTCTTCCCCGGTAGCCGGACACTTCGACGATGTAGAGGAGACACCAGATCCCGAACCACTAGCACCCATACCTCCCGCCGTCCAAAATTCTGTAACAGAAGAGATGAATTTAGAAGGCGTTCCGATTCCCGTTTACCCTCTCCCAACAAAACCATTCCCTGTCCTTCCTCCACCCAAAGTCGGTTCAGGCTTCGCACCCAACATCATTCTTGATCGAAGTGGTACTAAAGTCCGACATTGGCGCGTCGCGAAACGCGAAATCCGTGGTATCGGAGGTGGAAGGTGGTTTGCTCAAGGTTGGGTAGGCGAGAAGGATTCGGCGTTTGCCAGTCAGGCGGAGGCGCATCCAGAGCTGAGGAAGTCCATCGGTGATTCGCCTTCGCATGTTGGGCCTTTGAAGATGTCTTCGGTATCGGCACCAGTCGCTGTGAGGGGAAAGGGCAAAGGGAAGGGATCATCCTTGTCCACTTCCGCTGCTCCGTCAAGGTCAGAGTCACAGGCTCCGGAAGCTGGAATGGGAGGTAGTATCAGTGTTCATGCACCTTCCAAAATGCGAATCTCGCAGGTGCCGATTCCGATAGGTCCATCTTCGGAGGCCGGAGATTCGGATATGATGGGACCCCTAGACTCTTAGGACCTGAGGCCAATCTTGTCGTGTGCAAATTAAACTAGGATGTATCTAATGGTATCGTATATATACTCTGTATTAATTTCTTTGCTGTGCAGCTGGAAAGCTGATCATTCAGATTGATAAGTGACTGCGGTAAGTCCACGTAGTCACTGGTCGACCACCAGATCTTTTCCTTAGTCTACTTGAGAACTTCCCTGCCTGACTGTTATGCATGAAATAGTCCGTTCGAAGAAAGCATCCCGAATTAGTGAACGTGGTAAGTTTCCCACCCATCAACTTCTTTCCGTCGCGATCTTGGACGTTGAATGGCAAATCCTAATGGTGTCGTCGCGCAAGCAGTAGTGGCCCAGCAGACTTTTGCTTCAGATCCTAAATACAAGAAGTACACTCAACAAGTCGAGAAGTGTTTGAATTCGTTTGATAATGTCCATGAATGGGCGGACTGTATAGCGTTTCTCAAGCAATTGCTAAAGGTACGTGTCAAATTGTTCATAGGAGATGCTACATGCTGATTTCGATGCTGGAGTAGACGTTTCAAGCATACATGCAATTTAAGGAGATCCCACGCAAGTTGATAGTTGCCAAACGGCTCTCGCAATGTCTAAACCCCGCTTTACCAACTGGAGTTCACCAGAGAGCGTTAGATGTATATTCTCATATCTTAGCCGTCCTCGGAGTAAGTTGGAGCTTAGAGAGTCATCTCAATATCTGATGCTTCAACAGTCGGAAGGTTTGAAGCGTGATTTACCAATATGGTCCTCGGGCCTGTTTCCCTTTTTCGAGTACGCTGCAACATCGGTAAAGGTACGTCGCTCGAATAATATGAGCTTGACTTGCACTGATTATCTGCAGCCGACTCTACTCAATCTCTACGACACACACTATCTTCCCCTGCAAGCTGGACTTCGACCCGTCATGAAATCATTCATTCTCGCACTATTACCAGGTCTAGAGGAGGAGACAGGAGAATTCTTTGAAAAGGTCATCAGTCTACTAGATCGACTATCCGGAACAGTCTCTCCCTCCTTCTTCTTCCAAAACATTTGGCTCGTCATGTTGACAACTCCCTCCGCCCGAGGAACTGCATTGAACCTTCTTTCCCGGAGACTACCACAACTTCATGGGTTGGAAGACATCACTTCCATTGTGGGTTCTGATATAGGTCTGATGATTCGTGCGTTTGCGGCTGCTTTAGAAGATGAAAACTTGCTTGTTCGGAGGAGTGCGCTGGATCTACTTCTACAATCTATGCGCGTCGATAGTAGTGCTGTCAAACGGGCGCAAGCAGAAGACAGGTCAATTTTGATGCGCGCAGCTATTAGTGTTGTACTTCGACGTGATTTGTCACTAAATCGGCGGTTATATTCTTGGTTGCTGGGACCAGGCGATAAAAGCGAGCAGCAGATCGAGTACTTGAAGGATAACTCGCTGGAATTGCTTCGGAGTACGCTAAAGGAGGATATGCTTTCGCCTTCTGGGGAGTACTCAGAGTCTAGGCCGTTCAAGATCTTCATCTCATTGCTGGACAAGTGGGAGATTGGAGCTGCACTGTCGGAGGTGTTGATTTATGATTCGTTCAAGGCTGTTAAGGTTCTGGTGAATGGTACATCAAGAGGACAGGAAGATATATCTATGACTGCCAATACTCTGTACGAAGCTGTGGAACCGCATATCATTTGGAGACGACTTCTGAGTGTTGTATTCCAAGAAATTGTTAGTGGCGATCAACAATTTGAGGTGGGTTCCATATATTAATGTATGACTCCTTGCTGAAAGCTTCTGCGTACAGGCTATCGACATGATCATTTTCATACTCAATACATTCTCCCAAGATGAAGAAGTTCAAACCATACATTTTCCACTTATTTTCGCTGCTATTGTGGATCTTCTTGAGGTAATTCTGTCTTTGCTAGACGTTGACGTCATTCAATCAATATCATTTACACCATAGATTCAAGTCCAACGAGAACCTTCGAAAGCCTCATCTCCCTCCATGAAAGCGAGCTTGATCCTCCTCGAAGCAATACTGTTCCACATACCACACATCACATTACTATCACGCCCCGAAGTCAAGTCCGACCTACAAACAGCCAGCGATACCGAACGACCTTACATCTTTGCATGCATTTTCTACGACATCAAACCACTCCTTGATCCTCCTGTCCCCTCCGGAACGTACACAGTACCTTTTTGCTCTGCATTCGAGAGCTTAATCACTATGAGTATGGTTTTCAGTCAGACTTTGACGAAAGCAACGGGGACTGGTACTGCCGATTTTGCGCAGCTACGTGAGATTTTCTCGTCGTCGCTGACGTTGATCGACCGCTTGGTCAGTAGACTCAGTTCGTCTATCAAGTTGTTTTGGGAGCCTAAGAGGTGGCTGTCTGTGGTTTTGGATAGTCTGCAAGAAGTAAGCCGAGGTGTTCTTGCTCCTCTGACGAAAGTGTTTAATCTTTTGATTCTTATTTCTTCAGAAGACCAACTTCACCGTCGTAGACAAAACGATCTCTCTGATCGTCCTCCTCCAGCAAACATCTGATCTCACACCCAACTTTTCCGTCGACGATCGATCCACTATGTCCAAAATGATTAATTGTTTGTTATCGTATCTTCGACCGGACTATGCAGTATATCATGTTCGTGCTGTCAATCTCATCTGGAGTCTCGACGCCGCTACAACTAGATCCCACGTCGAGAGCATCTTGGCCCAAGCTATGAATTCATCGGAGTCGAGGAACGTCCAAGAGTCCTATGAGGCTTTTGGTGTACTTTGGAGGCTTACTGGTGAGTTATGTATTAACTGTGGCCATAGCGGAAATGTGATCAATCGTTATTCTTAGAGGATAATATGCTTCCTGGCTTCCGGTTCAAGGTCCCGATGATGATCGTACTGGACACCTTGAAGAACGAGGAACCGAACCTTCGACGAATTGGCGAGACCTGGATGAGATGTAGTTTGAAATCATATCTTCGGTACGCCCTTATCACTCATCCGGGATCGTGCTCTCCATGGATTAGCGATTTTCAGCGTACTCGATCCTATTCTGTTCGAACTCATGGACCCTTCGATCCGCCGGTCAACATCGACCATGAAAGTGAAGGGTAAAGAGATTCCCGGGTTCACATATGAACGTCCGTTCGACCAACGGTACATCAATCACCTTCTCGATATGCTGGCATCCGTAATACGGATTGGCGGGCAGGGCTTTGTGAAGACTGCACGGATGTCTGGAATCAAACGATCTCATCATTCTGGGCTTGTGACTAGAGTGGAAGCAGGTGCGTCATTGCTGCGTATATTCTGCTAGTGAGGTGCTTTGGCTTACTTGTTAACGTTACCAGCTGGTTTCCCAGACCCCGATGTCAGCTATCTAGAGGTCTTAGTTGAGCTTCTATTGCAGTGAGCTTCCCGGTCCTTGTCCCGTACCAGATTGACGAAGCATCTCGTGCAGTTACCTTCAAGCCGAACCAAAGGCATCCTGGGCACCCACCATGCATCCTCAAAATCTTGTCATACAATCAACTGTTGTAGATCTCCTCCAAGCCATCATCGCCCGCGGAGAAATCAGCGGCGTTTCAATTGACGTCGTCGAAGCAGCCGTCATCGGCAAACTCTACTTTTGCATCCACACAGATCGACCAGCTCTCCAAAATAAACTCCTCCATCTCCTTCATTCGGTTATATCTGCCTCCATCGCTACGGATGAACCCGCTAGGCGAATAACGGTGGGAAATCAGCGCCCGGAGGAGTCTCTGACTAGTGGAGATGTTGATGAGCACGCTCGCGGATATTCAATGAATCCGTTACTGACACAGACCCTCGTCGATGGAATCATAACTCCAACGAATCAATCGGTTCTTCAACACTGGTTGGACTTTGTGTTAATGGCTATACCACAATTTCAACCTATGTTACAAGCGGTCGTCGCACCCCTCAACGAATGCGTGGGTAGAAAGCTCCTAATGTCCTTAAAGGACCTCCTGAAGGCATCGAAAAGGGAAGAGGAATTTTCGTCCGACATACATTCTTCCACGTCTGATGCGGAGTTTACTATGCTGCTCAATGGTCTGGAACGATTAATCTTGCTGAGCTTGACCTACACTTCAGAAGTAAACCTGATGGAGGATGATGCGTCGATTAATGCGGAAAAGGCCGTAGAGGGTAGTGGCCTTCTAGGTTATGTGTCAAATGTTTTCAGTTCGGATACTACTCAGCAGTCGAGCGATGATCAGTTAACGGTAAGAAACTCATCCAGTTCATCATTTCTTTCTTTATAACCCCGTTCCAAGGTTCGATCATTCGCGTATCATGCATTGAACGAAGGTGTTCGTGTCTTGTACCTCATATGGGGTACACTGGAATGGACAGAGCCGGAAGAAACCACATCACGAGATGAATCATTGGCCCTCATATACAACCGTACACGGACGCGCTGTCGCCGAGTACTCGAACATATATTCCGTGTTCAATCAGTGGAAGTCTTTGAGTCTATAGTGGACTGCTGGAACCGAGATATGTTTGTGAGTCTATTCATCTTGTCGGTTTCATACTAGTTCAACCCTGTTTTTGATGTAGGAATACCCAGTGTCTGCCAACGCACCTTTCGAACTCGTTGACGTGCTTGTGTCAAGTGCGCAGAACGTTGTGCATATGATTTGCGAAAGCATATCCTTACGTATGTCATCTTCTGAGAAACGAAAGCAGTCCATAAATCTTGACTTGTGAGTCACTTTTTTCAAAACCACAGTTGGCTTCGATGCTGATGAATCTGTTCTCCTGAAGGACTGATGGGGTATTGTTCAAGTATCTTGAGCTATATCTCAAACGATTGGAAGGACCTCTTGCAATACAGGTATGGGGAAGGTTCTTACAACTCGCCAAGGAGATAGCTGGTAGTACCCGGGACTTCAAACCACAGACCTTCCCTACTCTCCGGTAAGTGGGTATATATTAAGTATTAAGCCAAATGGGTGATCTGTTTCACACTGCTAGATGTGCGACTGTGCTGGCTGAGAAAATAACACAGACAACAGCGATGGAGGACAAACGTATACGCAAAGAACTACAGGTATGGGCCGCAGTCTACTTTTGGTGAATATCAACCAACTGTCATTTAGGACATCTTCACCAAATTGCTTGATTCATCTGTCGGCTATGTTGGACGGACTTATGGTTCTAGTTCATGGATTCGTCGTTCCGCCAATGAAGCTCTATCAAGTAACGGAAGAGACTCCCCTGCTCCTGTCTCTCGAGGTACACACTGTAGTAACATTCATTTTGAGCACAACTGACAACATGTTTCAGATACGAAAGTAGATGAGAAAATGAACGCAAGTACAACCTCATTTGCACCTGACACACCCAGACCTGGTGCAACGAACGAGGTCGCCATCCAGATCAATGAGTTCATTGCCACAGTCGCGTTACCGCTCATGCGGGGCATACTAATGGACAACGACAAGGTTTCCAGTGCATGCGCTAATATTGTTTATTATATCGTCAGTCCAGCGCTGAAGGGAAAGACGAAACCTCTGGAGGTCGATCAAATTGTCGTGACTATCATTTATGAGATGTCGAAGATTCCTTCTGCATTCAAAACATGGAAATCGCCTGTGACAGAGCTTCTGAATGATAACAAAGTCTTTAATGGAGCACCAGGCGCTGCGGAGTCCTGGAAGCCTATAGTCAAGACCGTCTTCGATACTGACAAAACTTCTTTTCCTGAGTTGCTGAGTAAGTGATGGTAGGCTCTTTCATAATGGTGCTCATCACAGCATTTTTTGAAGATAAAATCTCCACCGCACCCTCGGCGAATATCTTTACAAATCGCGAGTACGAGATGCTTGTTCGATCATTGAATCTTCGAAGATTATCTTTCGTGTTGATGGCGGGTGACAAGAACCATTATTTAACCGTTTTACCCTCTATACAAGAGAAGCTTGTTGACGTTTTGCGCAACGTAACAGCTCCTATAGTCCAGAGTGAGGTGTATCTTTGTATCCGGGTCCTCCTCTGCAGACTCTCGCCGCATAACTTGACCAGTTTCTGGCCTGTGCTGTTAACTGAACTTGTAAGCCTTATCTCTGGATCTACGTGGCGTTTGGATACTGACTTTCTTGGTCAGTACCGCATCTTTGAACAAGTCATGCTGAACCTTCCGTCAGATGGATCTGAAGATCTTCCACTCGTTTTGGCTGCTTGTAAATGCCTCGATCTACTGATTGCAATACAAACGGCGGAATTCCAGATGTAAGTCGTCAAATCCGTCGATCTCGGTTCATTAATTGTTGTGTTCATTGAAATGTATAGACACCAGTGGATGTTTGTGACGGATACTGTCGATGCGATATATCGACCGAACGAATGGTCCCCTGAGGCGATGATGGACCAACTCGCGGAGATTGCTGCAAGTCTTCCTAGAGTAAGTACCCCAAGTGTGTTGCTATGATGTAAACTTGGTCTGATGAACTCCCAATATACGAACAGACTTCAACAACAACCAATGGAGGAACCAGTCCCGCGCCAAATGTCCCGACATTCACTCCGCATCGGCCGATGCGTCGACCAATGTTGACTTCTATTCGTCAGATTGATAGTATTCGGGATCTGGTACCGTTCTTCAGCAGCGTCAGCATCACGACGTACGAAAGCGTATATGCAAGTAACGGCAGCATAGATTGGGATGCGATAGAAAAGGGGATTATGGATGATATGTTTGATGGACGATGAGATCGTGGTCCGGACGCTTCATCTTTTTTTGGATAGTGAATACGATATACCTTCGTCTATTTGGACGCGTCACTTTGATACCTACCACCCACTCATGTTAACTATGCAGCTGTATTTTATTTACCGTAATGTATCAGTATCGCTCGTGAAATTTAACCACGAACCAAGTTATTGCCTATGTACAGTATGTAACGGCCTGGTGGGACCACTCGCTTTGACCTTTTTTGAGTTGCGTAATTGCAGGTTTGGCAGCTTATTCCAGTTCCAATTTGGTCGAAGATTGATCCACTTTACGTGCGCGAAGCAAGTATTTGATGACTTGTCGTGCTGAATTCTGGGATTGATTCTCAACGGCCATGGGCTTCTTCTCTCGTTCTCGCAGCTCAGATACCAACAACAACTCTGTAGATCAGAACACCGTATCCAGTGACGCCTCTCCGAGCAGTGTTCGGACTTTGTCCAGAAAGGAGAAGAAAAAAGCGGCCAAGGAACAACAACTATCAAGGATACCTTCTGATGAAGGATCACTGTTCGATGGCGAACTGCAGCAGCCAGAAGAGAGATTTCTGCCTCTTACCCTTGAACGACCGTTCTGGAGCTCTGACAGTGACCAAGACTATGGTTATCTTTCCTTTGAAAAGCACGTCGTCCTCGGCTTAGAGCAGGTCAATCGACTGGTCGATATTGCCTGTGAAGAGCTCTGTTCGCGTGGTGGCCTCGATACGCCCTTCATTTTCACAACTTTGGCACTCGATATCAATGCTAGTGCCGTCAAACGACTAGTCAAATCTTTTCTCGGTACATGTGTCGTGCTGGTCGGCAGAGAAAAGGACGTGGCAGAGAAAAAATGGAGAGAAGAAGCCAAGTTTGCGAATATGCATGAACTTGGGATGTGTCTTCGTTGGGGACTTGCGAGAATAACCAGGCTCATCAATGGTGTCGAAACTAGGGGAATGCTTAATTGGGAACATTACATTCAATGGGCAGAGCAGGAACAAGGTCAGCGTTTTTCTCTGTAGTTAAAATTGTCGATATTAATCTTGGTACAGCCCTCGGATATCCTCCAGAACACTTTCGGGCCTTTCTTCCCACTCTGCAAACTCCCCTCAGACTCATCCTTTTGACAGTACTTTCGCTTTTGGCACGGCTTACAGCTCACAGTTCCACGTCAGGACACACTCCTCCTACCCTTTCTCCACTTTTTGGTCCACTCATCTTTGGTCTTGGTCCTTCTGGGTTGCCATTCAACCACACGTACACATTGTATCTTCGCTCCGTCAATGCCATGGAGCATATCCTATTAGCTTTTATCCGCTGGCAGAACACGCCAGACGCCACCGGGAGTTACTCAAACATCCTCACCGGAGGTACTGCATCCGCGCTTGGAGTGCCTCCTCGTCTGAAAGAATGGATCAAAGGATATCCAGCCATGCTTGATACTATTTCTAATTACCGACTCTCCCCCGTTTCCTCCCCTGAGCGACGACATCGTCCCCGCAAAGGCGCCAGGACGGTGCGTGTCACGAGCGCCAGAAGAAACGTGAAAGTGTATCAAAAGGATTTGGTGAGGACTTCTGCGTCCTGGGGTGATCAGCACACATCAGGGACTGCCACACCCTCGTCGAACCCAAATGATGGCTTTGCTGCTTCCTATGAATGGCTCAGAATATCTCCACAAAGCTATGGTTACGATACATTCAGATTACCGCCAAAGTACTCGGACGCGTATAGGAAGCGGTTGAATCTGCCGAACGCAAGTCCCGAAACAAGCCACAAACAAACACTGACTCCTCCGATTGATTTAAATTCCCCACCGCTTTCTGCACTTACAACCAGAACTGTATTTTCCTTTGCTTCCGACTCCCAAGGCGACTTTTTTTCCTCCAGCGGAAGTTCAAGTGGTGGCCTGAGTGGAAGAATAGGCACAGGAGAAAGAGATTATAAGTCTTTGACAGATGAGAAGTGGGGTACGTTTGAGTGTGCGGGATTCGGAGGGGATGAGACGACGGCAAAGAAGTTGCAGTTTGATCTCACAGAGAGTGCCAGAGCGGTATGTATTAGTTTCCGAAACGTTGGCTCGAGTTAAATTGTTTTTCTTCTAGGCACGTTCAATCAAACGCGAAACCCTCGATTGGTCTTCTTTTACCTCGTCTGGATTTTCACGTTCAGACCAACCGTTGAACACCGCCCTGCAGCTCTCTGTACCACCTCAGCTAAACCTGAGTACCTCTCTTACCCCTCTCAGCTCCCCTAGCTCTCCAAAAACCTCCCCGCCTTTAACGCCCTCTGAGAGCAAGAAGCTCAGGAAAAAGGCCAAGGTAAGCCGAACGCTAATCATGAACCTTGCTCACAAATCTTTTGATGTGTATAATCCAGAACGGCGCACCTACCTTCAGTTGGGACACCGAACCTGTTCTTGGACCCGAACAGATTATCGAGGAAGCTTTCTTGGACGTTTACTGTGACTTACTACAAGGCAGTGGGTGGAACGAAGGACTACATTCGCTTGCTTCGGATAATAGACCGTGTAATTGGGCTCTGGTGTGTAATTGTCTTTTTTTGCTCAAATTTCCGATCGTCGAATCGTACGTCCACATTTTAGGTCGAATTCAAAGCTCTTCCCTTCGAAAACGCAGGCCGTCCACAATCAGAAGATTATACCCCAGATTCAGATCCTCGAACGTCCACCTCTTTGTTGTTGTTTGAAGAATATGTACCTGGTGAATATCGGGAACAGCTGGCCACGCTCCGCGAATGATTTCGCTGGCCAGAGCTGAGTTCGTGCAACGCACAGCTCGTTCCTATAAATTAAACAGGATTGGTATCATTATTAGTGTTCAGACAGAAAAGGTCTTGCTTTCTATATGGTGTTGTTCGAGACTCACTCTCATTATGTTGTACGGACAGTTGGGATTCATATTTCTTTGTGCTAGATTGTGCAAAACTGCATTCATTTCAGGTTTATATGGTGGTTATTATATTTCGCTTTGAGAAGCCTTTGGCGAGCCGTTTAGTTGTGTTTTTCGCACACATTCTATTCAAATAATCAGCGTAGACGGCGTCCCGTGAACCCGTATCGTGATTCTTCGGTACGAGTAGTACTGTTGCTGTACCTACCAAGCTTTCCACCCTTATTCAACGACGGATATACCCTTACGAGCATGTCACTGACGGCGGAGAGCGAGGTAGAATTCAAAGGGAGTTGTTACTGTGGTGATGTAACTTATGTAGCAAAAGGAAAGCCGATTTTGAGCGCATATTGCCATTGTACGCTCTGTCAGCGACTCGCAGGTACGCCATCTCCCCAAACTTTGCTGAAGTTTCCCAATGCCTATTATAGCCTCCCCGTGCGTCGCTACCATCCATTTTCCTGCCGCTGCATTTAACTGGACACACGCCGAGCCACACGAAGCTGCTTTCGACGTATACTCTGTAGCCACTAAACCTTGGAAGGTATTCGACATCCTCATGTTCATTTCCGTCATTGTTGTTATTCATGTCTTTCGCGCAACAGAATCGATTCCGATGTAAAGGCTGCGGTGCTTGTGTAGCGTCTTATTCAACCACCAAGTTCAAATATAGTGTGTGGGCGGGACAACTCGAGCGAGATGAAGAAGGAAAGATTAGAAATTGGGATTTGATCAAGCCGACGGCGCATATGTTTTATGCGACAAGGATGTTGGACTTCAACGACGAGCTACCGAAGTGGGAAGGGTATGAAGGCCAGTCGAAGCGGATAGGGTGATCGAGAGAAGTACTCGTGATTATGCGTCAAATTATGGTCGTAAATTGTGGCCAGGTTCGTCAGGATAGGACACTTGTGGCACTTGCCTTGTGTACATTCCTAGGTGATTCAACACTAGACGTTCCATCAAATTCTCTTCGATTGGACGCGTTTTCATATCGGAACGCTGAGCGACAGGTCAATATGACGCTGATCCGGTGGAGCATTAAACGCACCAGAGCAAAGGCGGATCCATGATAGGCGTAGTGGTAGATATCCCTGAACTCCGGATGTGTTTTCGGTATAAGACACTTAGCCAGATGATGAACAACAGATCGTTTGATACGCTGATGAAAAATAAGCATAATTGGGTTGACGGAAGATAGAAACGCGTACATTTTTGTTTTCCGTTTCCTGCAGTGTCTCATCAATCGTACCACCTTCATTTTCCCGCTTCCTCTTTCCCTTGTTCTCAGCTTTTCGCTTAGCACCACCAGAACTACCCTCCACTAAACTCTCAGACCCGAAAACATCGTCTAAAGTCGTAGCCTTCCCCTTTCCTTTGTCCTTCTCCTTCGCTTTACTACCATTGAGCTTGGCGTTTTTATCGGGTAGGGGAGGTATTTTGAACGTTCCTTCTGGTGTGAGTTTGTGCGCCAGACGGACGTCGCTACCAAGGTTAGCGATAGATCCTTCTACTTTCTGTCGCTTCCGGGCCAAGTCACTGGAGGCATTGAAGCTCGCGACTCTACGTAGGTCGAGAGCTTTCCCAAAAGGCGCTGATGGCGGTTTACGCGGTGTAGGATCATCAGGTCGTGGAAGCCGTGATTTGATTACAGGCATGGGAGTAATTCGAGCGACTGATAATACACGGAGTGATCCTGCTGAATCATATTCGCCTAGTATTGATTTGGGAAAGACAATGATTTGGGTTGTATCTGGATCAGCTGTGACGAGAGTAAATCATCCTTGTGTTCGAGATGTAGAGGAACGCACCACCACTATCTCCTAGCGCTATCCTAATGCCCAACGTATCATCGGATGTCGACGGTAAACAGAACATGTTTTCAAAGTAGATTCGTGAAAGTACAGCGTCAGGGTGGATATCACTGAGGTTCAAATGATTCACGAGTGTTTATCTGAATGCCGGGAAACTCACAGTGCAATGTCACCACTGTCATCCATGTGTATCTCTTTCAAGCTTGTGACGCCCATAAATCGTAATGTTGGCCTTCCACGCATACTTTCCAAAGCCAAAGCCAAAGGATTTTCGAGCAAGTTGTGTTCAGCATTGATCTTGGCGGAAAATGTGAGACCATCTAGCGACAGGTCCGAGTCAGGAAGAGACAGAGAGCCGCGGTAGAGTAGTCGGTGAGTTGTTGAGCGAGAAGGAGATGTCATGAAACAATCCAAAACGCTGCAACGCAAATTGGCACAAAGCCTGATCGCGTCGTGCACGTGTATATCATGTGTTTTCAACCACTTCTATGCATGCCGGGTTTCATGCCGGGTTTCGCATACAACTTCTAGACTTTGTATGACTTATTCCGCCTTATCTTCGGAGACGGCCGGACTAGTTGACAAATATAGGCAGGCGGCTATATTTGGGCTATATACAGATAGACGGACACAGAAGTCCACCTGGCTTACGTCAGCTGGCCATGGACCGGCCTCTCATCAGAGCTGTGCGGCAGGCACTCTGATATTGGCTTAATGGGGAGGGTGCCCCCCAGATCCATCACCCACACCAAAAACACCTACACATATGCCGTGGTCCCCGATGCTATGCCGATGTTGCAAATCGGATCGGGTAACCATGTGGACGGCACCACATGGCATACTCCACCCCGTGAATAGGGAGTCATGATCTATCATTGCAAAGTAGAACCGGCGGGTTAGGGCAGCGGTTAAGCCCTCTGATGAGCCCCTTCGCAAGGGCGAAACCCGCACAAAGTCCCTACCTTTCGGGTTCGAACCCCAAAGCTGCCTAATCTTTCACTAGTCGCCCCCGTCGGGGACACAAACCTTGCTTGAGGCGTTGAGGGACACTCACCTGATTGAGGTTTCACTATCGACAATACTGTTACGGAGCAGTTGTACATATATTATCAAAGCTGTTCTAACAAATTACAGCCTGACTACAAGGTGTTGAACCGAAACCAAAGTAAAAGTAAATAATCAATAAAAACTGATAACTGTACGAGGTTGAAAACATAACCTCTTCAATCCCACAAACTCAATCACCACAAACTGGGTCCTTATCGCGTCATCCGACCAGTCAAAAAATCTGCAAGAACTCTGACTTGTATGTTCTGGATCTTCTCTCATACCTCAGTCGACATTCCCTCAATCATTACTCGGACTATATCATAAAGATGCTCAGAATTCCTTCTGTGTCCCCTCATGACTGACAGTGGTACCTAGTGGTACTTGGTATAAAAGTAGGTATTACAAGCAATAGTAACCGCATAGAGGGTGTAATTGGGATACAAAAAATATGGTTAAGCCGTGTGTCTCACGATTATGGAGGTGCGCCAGCACCAACTCAAACCTTAGAGCAGCTAAAATTTCGAACGAAATGTGAGCCCAGCCTGTGAGCCGTCCGAGATCTGAGGGGGCCGAAGGCTTCCGAGAGCCGAATGTGGAAGTAGCCGAGGCCCGAATTTCTCCGGACCCAGGACAACCTCCCTCCAACTAACTAATAACTTTTCTCAGTAAAGTCTGGCAAGTAACTCCTGTACACTGTCGCGCAAAGCATTTATCACCTAATGCATGTCTCGAACTCCATAGTCTTCTTTTAGAGGTCTATCCTCCCCATCATCACCGCGCCGCTGAATTCACGATTTCTTGCGGCCATGGTTTCACCGACTGTAAACGTGAGCTGTTTTGTGCCTCTATAGGTCGCCAACTGGTATTGAACTGGGCGTATCATTCACTTCTTGCAGGTCGCCCGCTACTCTGCTCTCTTCGCTGGTGTTCTCTATGGTTTTTATCATCGCCGGACATTACAAGCAGCACACAACGAGAATAAAGTGCAGCACGCCGCTCACGACAGAGAACACCTAATTGCTGAGGCGAAGGAGGCATGGAAAAAGAAGCAAGCTCCCGAGAGGCCTTCGGATGACGGCGAGTACTTGATACCTTCTCCCTGCTCTCTTGACCTCATATTCTACCTTCATTCAGTTATCACAGATCCAGAAGACCCTCGATTCGACCTAGAGAAACTCATTGCTAAATGGGAAAAGGCAACATAATATACACACTCCCATTTCCTTCGTTGTGGCTCTAGAGATGATTGGACCTCTCATGCAAAAGAAAATTAGACTCCGACGACCTGTCATATTCTATTCGGCCTTTCGGATTGTCACCTACGCTTATGCTCACAGACTGCATTATTTATGAGGCTGGGTGTAGAATACTTATATACAGTATACAGTACAGTCTCAAAATGAATGGCCGAAGTTTTACTGTCATGCGCTAATCGTGAGAACCGTTGGTCGCGTCTGTCGCGCCTTTCCATCGTACCACCATCTTGAATTACATGAAGCCACAAGTTGAAGAAGTCGAAGACGACTACGCTGCTGAGGAGGAGAATAAGCTGATAAATGAGGTACCGCTTCAATATTCAAAACGCGGTTGAAGCGCTGTTCATTTTCAACTGATCTCTAGGAATACAAAGTTTGGTTCGTACGCGTTTTTCGTCATCGAATTCACCCTGCAACTCCGGTAACAGGAAGAAAAATGCTCCATACCTTTACGATCTTGTGATCACTCATGCGTTGGACTGGCCAAGTTTAACCTGTCAGTGGTTCCCGGACAAAGAAACGTACAGCTCGTTTTCCCTGAACAAAGGTGTACTTTGCTCTACTGAAACATATTCCCAGACCTCCCGGCAAAAACTATACCGTCCACCGTCTTCTACTCGGTACACACACTTCCGGGCAAGCCCAAGACTATCTTCAAATCGCCACTGTCTCTATTCCGAACCGCGATAACACACCTCACTCCGATAAACTTGACCGGGAAAACTACGATGGAGAACGTGGAGAACTAGGCGGGCATACCATTCCGCCTTCGCCACGGATTCAAATTACCCAGAAAATTGCCCATCCTGGCGAAGTCAATCGTGCGCGATACATGCCTCAAAATATCGAGTTACTCGCAACCAAGGCGGTATCTGGAGAGGTGCTTGTGTTCGATAGAACAAAGCACCCCAGCGAGCCGGATCAGGGTGGTGGGTCTAAGCCTAATATTAGATTGATTGGGCAAAGCAAAGAAGGGTACGCCTCTTTTCCTGTATAATGGTTGTTTTTCGCGTTCAATATTGACACATTTGCAAGTTATGGCTTGGCTTGGAACCCTAACAAGGCTGGACACATACTGGGCGCGTCGGAAGACATGACTGTTTGCCATTGGTCCGTCCGTGTGTAGCCTTCTCTTTCTTCTCACTGAAATACCCGCCACAGGGATTGTCAAGCTTACAGCAAAGAGAATTCAACCATTCAACCAACAAACACCTTCATAGGACATACTTCGGTTGTGGGTGATGTTGATTGGCACTCGAAGAAGGATTATTTTTTTGCAAGTGTTGGAGACGACAAGATGCTCATGCTGTACGCTGCTGAATATTTATTTAGACTGTCAGACATAGACACTAATGGAGTTTCTATCAAAGCTGGGATACAAGATCTCCTGGAGGCCCAGTGACAAAGGTGCAAGCCCATGACCGAGAAATTCTTGCAGTTGCATTCAGTCCTGCAAGCGAAGACCTTCTAGTCACAGGAAGCGCAGACAAGGTCGATTCGTTCTCTGTAAATCTCTGCCGCGAGTCATATACTGACATAAACGACTTTGTCCAGACCGCAATACTGCACGACCTGAGGTCTCCCAACAGAAAACTGCACTCTTTTGAATCACATACGGACGAGGTTCTCCACCTTGCCTGGTCACCACACAATCCTACCATCTTTGCCTCCGCATCGAGTGACCGCCGGATAAACATTTGGGATTTGTCGCTCATCGGACAGGAACAAACACCAGATGATCAAGAGGATGGACCACCGGAATTGCTTTTCGTTCACGGAGGTGTGTGATGTTTTCTCCTTTTTACTCATCCCTCTAATCCCCAATGTGTGCGTAGGACACACCGCTCGACCAACCGACTTTTGCTGGGCACCAGAAGAAATGGAGAACTGGACAGCTGCCAGCGCGTCGGAGGACAACGTCGTCATGGTGTGGCAGCCCACTATGCGTGTATGGGCTGGAGAACAAGTCAAAATCGACGTAAAGGAGTTGGAGGACGATGCTATGGAAGGTGTTGAGGCTACGAATGAGCCAGGCGCTAGTGGTTCTAAATCAAACTCAAGTGTCAGCGCTTCAGGTGCAGATGACTGAAATTGTATCCGTCCTGCTTTAATGTTAGTTCTTTTCATCGTGTTTTGCCGTTTGGACGTCGGTACATCGAAGTTCGGAAGCAGATAAATTAGGAAGCAAGGTAAACGTGGTAGTACAATGCCAGTCGCAAATAGTTTTCCGCTCTGTGTAGGTAGGTATAACAGAAGGGGAATGACCGAGAACAAAAGATAAATCCAAAGACCCTTCCTAGGTGGAGGCGACTATAGGAATACTAGTCGTGCCAATTCGAATAACACTGTCACCCATTCACCACTACCAGTCAATATGCATTCAAACTGTAATCCACCGAAAACGTACCTCCTCCTAGTACAACAAATAAGACAACACCTAATGCCCACGAGCCTATCGGACTCCGTTTAGCAAGTTTCTCTTGCCGCGACATATGTGTTGGCTTTTTGCCCTCTCGCGCATCCTGAACGAACTTTTCGCTCCTTTTCCTCATTTCATATTCGCTGGGCTGTAAACGGAATCTATCATGAGTAATTAAATCATTATTGGAGGAGTAATCACACCATTTTGACGAGGTTGAAGAAAAGAACGTGTCGGGAGATGAGGGTTGATGTTAAAGTACTTGATCAAGTTGTGGTAGATGGTGACACGTCAATGTATGGCCGGCCCGGGATTATACTGTTCTCTAGTTAGTAAAGCACACCTGGAGCACACCAAGTTGAAGCCATAGGGTACACATGTTACGAGTTTGCCCTTCATTTTTGTGGCGTACCATGAAATGAAGATCGACATTTCCAAGAAAGGGACAGATAGATAGTTATATATATATATTGGCTTAAGCAGCTCGCAAAAGCGGCCTGTCTGCTTATGTAATGCTTATATTTGCCGCCTTTGGCTAGCTTAAACACGTTCCATTCCCATTGCCTTTCAGAAAAGAATTTGGAGAAAGATCGTTGCGATTTTTGGTATGTACGTGCGACACAAGATCAAGGTAAATAAGGAATGATGTCTAGTAGTAGGTGTTTACAATTCGAGGTAGGTTGAAGATCTAAGTGTGGACGATCCGCTGACAATGTTTGGAGACACGGGGAAAGCAAATGCCTCATTTTGTCTCTTTCAGACGCACCGAAAGCATCTGCTTAAGATGGTTGACCATGACGCTCTCGTCCGAAGTTTGAACTGAGTCGTCTTGAACAAGAGATTTGCCTGCGGTCATTTTGTTTCGTTCCGGTCGATGCACTTGATATCGCTGCATCCGACGCATATGCCCCATCCGCCATAGCTTATGGGGGTAATGATTAGTGATGCAGTAGTAAGAGGAAAGAGTCAATCTTACTCGAAGTTGAGTAACCATATGATCCAGTTGTTTGATAACCTCTTCATTTCCTTTTTTCTGTGCTACAGCGCGGATGTCGAAATTCCGTAGGCAATTGAGCCAATTTCGTTGCGCTAATGGTAGATGCAGGGCTTCTTCTTCCTCAGTTGGCCATGGCCGAATACCAAGAAAACTGTCAAGGGTTCGTATCAAAATATTCTGACCACCAGATACTCCATTGATCCCTTCCAAGGTCCACCCTTGAAACCCTTGACAGTATGGAAGCCAAAGGGAGGGCACGAGGTTGTAATCATTCATGTTGTCGTAAAAATGTTTGAACGCCACTTTGAGTTCCTCGTTTGCAATCTCCAATGTGGATATGGTAGACGGGTAATCTTCAATTTCAAGAAAATGCGCGGCTTGGGATATGTGTCGATACATTGGAAGAGCCTACATAGAGTAATCGTCGGTAAGTCGGCAGCGTTATGGCGGTTGAAAACGGAATGAAATACTTTATCTTCCACTTCGACGAATAAGAGTCCGTTCCAAAGTTCCGTTCTGTTGTGTTCTTCACCCATGCCCGAGGTTATACTATACACTATCTCACGTCGGGCATCGAGGTTGTAGTAAGAGTTTGAGGATAGACTGCCACCAGGCGAAGTGATTCCTACTCGACGTTGGATATACGGCCAAGGTATATCGAGCTCGCGAGGGAACTGAAGTGATTTCTCATTCTGTGCTTCACGTACAACAGGTAATACGCCCCATCTGCATAAAATTAGCAGGGCGATATTCAGAACTACTCGTGGACGTACCGATAAGCATGCCTCAATGATGCTAAACAAGAGTAGAATCCTAGCCAACCACTCATGGGCATAGTGTCATTGTCATACCTCGAGCATTCCTCCAACGTCTCACATACAGCGGGAATTGGAATTTCTTCCTCGAGGAGCGCTCTGATTAACGCGCGGGTCTTGTCAATGAGTCGGCGATTTTCAGCGTCGTCCAGAGACGATTCGCGGACAGGGAGGAAAGGAGCAATCCTCTGATAGACGATGTTGTATTTTCGTAACGGGGAAGGCCAAGTCTCCGCATGAGTAGCTTTTGGGGGCCAGGCGTTTCCACTGTTTGTGAGTAATTCAGCTAGACGGCCTGCGAAGTGATGTTCGCTCCCTTCGCGAATAATCTGGTTGTAGAGGATAGAAGGTTCATTGTCGTGAACAGCGAGGCTCGTTGCGCTTGCTCTAGAGAAAATCCAAGATAACAGAGAGGCCATGAGTTGCGGGTGGAAAGAGGATAACTAAATTATCAAACGTCTAAAATAAAAAAGTGGTCGATATAAAGCAGGGGTAAGTTTAACTAGATCCGATCGACACTTCGTTACATTTCATCATCTCGAGTAACCGGTTTTAGGGGCCGTCAACTTCAGAATCTTCTTGAACCCCAGTTAAGTCATGTATATACACGCACGACACGATAGGACGCAATCGGCAATTCTTGAGTTCAACTAAACCAAAACAACCTGAAAAAATACTAGAGTTCGGTTAATCTTCATTGATAGATATCGCCGTACGTACTAGCTGGCCTTATCTATGGTGTCCAATTTCTTCAGAGGAATAACCAATGTTCAAGCTCGAGTTGTTCGTAACCGGAAGGATCTTATATCCAAGGTAAAAACACACTGTGGAACTTTGAAAATCTCGGCCCACGATATGTTCAAGATCCATCCGTGTTCGAGGGGTTCCTCTTGAGATCCGAGCAGCTCGTTCGTCAGAATAAAAATACGGAATCAGAGGTCAGGGAATCCACAAGAAACCGCCACAGATAGACCCAATGAAAACCAACAGCTTGCGAATGACGTGTTTGCGACTAAGAGTGCGAAAGCGAGTGAACCTAATGGAAATATGTATGAAGCATGTTTGTGGATAATTGTGGTAGAGAAAAAAGTTGAGATGGGACCCTGCAGCTAGCTCAGTCACCTAATAGTAATCAATGTCATGGTAGCGCGCGGTGCGCGCACGGACCCTCATTTTACTCAAGCAACGTGCAATCACAATGTGTATGTCCACTGTTCAGTCAACGCCTAACCTTACATAGAAATTTGTTCTGATTTTTTTACTTTGCTATTCACTGTTACGCACAGATAGAGGAGTATGTGAAGAAAGGTATGTTAGAATAGTCATTGACGATGGAAGAAACAGATACTAGCGGACGCCGAGAAGGACGCACGCCTGAGAATAGCAATACACATCGAATTGAGAGATTTGATAACGTTAATGAGATAAGAGGCATTGTTTTGTCGAGGAGAAAGAAACAAGTGTGCATGTTTGAGTTTCGAAGTCCGTGTATTACTGAACTGTGGAACAAGAACTGGAATGAGGAGTGGAACGACTGATCATAGCAGGCAACAAGAACAACAGGAAACGCTGTCTAAGAGCCGGTTCCGATGCAATTGGGTGAGGACCAAAGATAAAATCACAGAAGAAGATTAATCATGATGTCGCAGTCGCAAGGGGCAGGATTTAGGCGGCGGAAGGAGCAACAGGCTGGGGAACTTGTGCTGCCTCGACCGTGTCTGCGCCTGCTAGTGGTCCTTCGGTTAGGCCTACGGAGGAAGTAGCCGCCTCGCCAGTTTGGTGGAAGTCTTTGAAAAGGGACGTCAAATGAGTGGCGAACAGTCTTCCGCTTGATAAACCCACCTAAGATTTCACTGTACATCATGACCTTCCACGTATCAACAGGCAAATCGGCATCGTTGAAACTCCAATCGAACTTCTCCGCAGCCTCTGGCTCATCGGTGGGGTCGTGATAGGGTGCAACATACTCATGTGCGAGCGATTGAGTAGCATCTATCCGTTTGCGAGGATCAAAAACCAACATCTTTTCGAGCAAGTCAAGTGCTGCAAAAATAAATGTCAGTCGGCAACGATAGGCGTTCTAGACACTAAACTTACCATGAGGATCGTTCGTCCTTAATTTCTGGCTGAATGGAACTCGTTCCCGCTTAGGCAAGCTCTGTACAAATCGGAGGGTCTATGTTGACAGATGTGAACAACGGTCGATGTGATGAATATCAAGAAAAACGCACATTTTCGCTAGCAATTGTCTCGATGACATCATCCGGAGGCGTACCGAGGAGTTGGGTGATGATAGAAAACTGGTCCACGTCTACAATAGAAGCAGATAGTGAGCATGAGCGACAGTATATGAAGGCGTGAGACGCACGGTCTTTTCCGGGAAAGAGAGGCTTTCCTTCCAACATCTCAGCGAAAATACATCCTGTGCTCCATATATCCACGGCGACGTCGTACTTCTGCCAGGTGAGCATGATTTCCGGTGCTCGATAGTAACGTGTTGATACATAGCCAGTCATTTGGGGATCTTGTATTCGAGCAAGACCAAAATCGCAAATCTGAAAGGTTGTATCAGTCAATGACTCTCAGCAGAGTGAGATCGTAATGCCTTCAAATCACAATTCTCGTTGACGAGAATGTTGCTGGGTTTCTATAACGTGCAAGTTTTAAGAGGTCTGGAGAGAAGATCTTAGCATTCGACGTACCAAGTCACGATGGACGACACCCGCTGAGTGCACATATTTCAGTCCTCGCTAAAGTCGAGCTTGTGTAAGAAGGTGCGATGCAAACTGACGATCTTCAGATCAACGTACCAAGATTTGATAAAGGAAATACTGGATGAATTGCTTCTCCAACGGACGCGAAGTGAGCAATCGATGTAAATCGGTACCCAGGAGTTCCGTGACGAAGTATCTGCCGATAAGGTCAAAAAGGAGACCATTTACACAAGTAAGGTCATCCGTACAAATCTTCTAGAGGCGAAATGAAAACGTCGCTAAGACTAATGATCTGTTGGAGGAAGGTAGGAGCATAAGTTTTTTTAATCGAAGATTAAATGTCCGCAAACGCACATTTTCGTGTTGTATATGCTTCAACAATTTCAACTCTCGGTATGTTCGTTTGCTCAGCACTGGGGTGCTGAACGGTTTCATGATTTTTTTGATCGCCACAGAGGATCCAGTCAGTTGATCTTTGGCAGAACTAGTCGAAAGTTGCTCTTTGAGTCGAACATTTTGAGATTGTAACATCGACAGAAACGCACCATACGAGACCGAAAGCACCTTTGTAAGTACAACAATCAGAATCCAAACGAAAATCGTTCCGAAAAGATACACACCCATTCCTACAGGTTGTAGATCGAGGTATCGAGTCGTAACCTGAAGAATAATCCGTCAGCATCGTCTTCTTCCATGTAAAGCGACGTGACTCACCTCAAAAGAGGTACCAAAAATTGAGAGCTTTACGAAGGACATTTGTGTTCGTTGATCTTAGTCGTTGTGATTAGGAGAAAAGAGGGCGATTGAAGCGGCGGCGGCCTAGACGGCGGGGGTTTATTATTGTTTGGATCAAAGACTCGAGCCCGATGATACGATTTGGCAGGAAAATTTGACGATGGCAACTACAGCAGAAGATCTTTTTGCAAAGTCAACTGAAAGCAGTCAGCAGTGATTGTGGTTGGAGTTCAAAAGAATAAACGATCTTTTCAAAAAGCGTCCATCAGTTTGGAGCTTATGATAAACGTCATCGCCCAATTTGTACAGTTTACGTTATGGATAATTGTAATCTGTTGTACCTTTCTGCTGAACTGTCATGTTGTCTTTCGCTGCTTCAGCGCGTCATGTTGTATGTTTTCCTTCATCTTTCTTCCGTTCTCGCTAACTAAATAATACCATCCAATATATAGGGTCGCTCTCAGCTGCTTCGTGCCACTCGCCGCAGCTATGCCACAGAAACTACTTCAAAAAAGCCCAGCAATCTGCCTCTATATCTCATGGGTGCCGGTGTGGCAGGTTTAGGAAGTTACTTTTATCTTAATTCGACTGGGAAATCTGTCATTACGCAAGAGAAGAGTCCTCTTGACCCAGAAAACTTCAAAGACTTCAAACTTAAGAAAATCGTTCCATACAACCACAATACATCCGAGTATGTCCAAATTCGCGTCCACCTTGCTGCCATTTTTTCATATCTTGCTAGGTTCATCTTTGAGCTACCTAATAATGAGGCTTCATTGCTCCCAGTTGCCTCATGTCTTGTCGTCAAATCATCTGACCCAGAAGCGCTTAAAGATGAGAAAGGCAAACCTATAATCCGCCCTTACACGCCAATATCGCCTCCAGAGAAGCAAGGTGAACTCACACTGCTCATCAAGAAGTATGATAACGGGAATGCCTCCAAACATATCCACGGATTGAAGGTCTGACCGTTTTTCTGTGTAATTTGTGTCTGTTTACACTGATGAAAGGAGGGCGACACACTCGCCATCAAAGGTCCGATTCCAAAATTCCCCTACAAAGGTAGAGTGAGTTAATTTCCCGCGAACTAGAAGCTAATGCCGTTTTCCCTTAGTGAATGAATTTGAGGAAGTCGCACTTATTGGCGGTGGGAGTGGAATGTAAGCCTCTGTCATAAGGCTAACTGTTTTATCTCACGGATTCGGATAGCACGCCCCTCTACCAAATTGTTACCCACGCCCTATCCAATGCATCCAACCGCACTAAATTCACCCTGCTGTTTTCCAACGTCACGGAAGTTGATATCCTCCTCAAATCTGAGCTGGAAGCACTCCAGAAAAAATATCCGACCAAGTTCAATCTGGTATATATGTTAGATAAGCCTCCAGCGGGATGGACTGGGCCATCGGGATATATCTCGAAAGAGGTGCTTCAACAGCATGTCGCTCCCGCAAGCTTGAATGAGAGGGTCAAAGTCTTTGTTTGCGGTATGTATCTACGCATTCTTTGAATTAATAAAGCTTATCTTGGAGTATGAAGGCCCTCCCGGCCAGGTTGCCGCTGTAGCTGGAAAGAAGGCGGGTATGAAACAAGGAGAATTGGGCGGGATCCTGAAAGAGCTCGGATACACTGAAGACCAGGTACTTGAATTCCACAGCTTCCTTATATTTCATTTGTTCAAATTTGGCTCTTATTCCAGGTGTACAAATTCTAGAACATTTGGTGATCCAAAAAAGTTAACATAGATACAAAAGAACATATCATATCTGCTTGCTGTATTCATAGAATTTTGAGCAAAGGACCATTCTGAACCAGCATTAATTTTGACGAGGTCAAGCGCGTGTAAGAAGCAGAATGTGACTCATCACACTCGACGATCACATGATGGTAACGAATCGCGTGCCACTCGGTTCAAGTTGTATCCTGTTGACTTTGTATCAGACTGTTGAGCTCAAACGTTTGAGTTTATTTTCCGCTATCTTCGACGACACCTAAACGATTATAACGACACCTCTGCAGCTCTGGGGAAGATGTCATCCACATCTTTGCTCACCGCCTTACTCAACAATCTCCATACCCACCTACAAACCCAGACCGAACTTCTACCCACTTTACATGCTCAATTGGGGCTTCCACCTACAGCGCTGGAAGATGATTTGAAGAAACTGCAGAGTACATTGATGGAAGGAGTTGAAACTCAGATCGACTCGCGGCGCAAAGAGGTTGAACGATGGTTAGAGAATTGTAATGAGGCAGAAGTCGAGTGCCTGAAATACGCAAAGGCACTGGGAGGAAATACGAAGGCGACAGGGAGCAGTATAGGAGAATTGAGGAAAGTGCAACAACTTCCAAAGAGATTCGAGATGATCGGAGAACATCAAGAGAAGTTGCGACAAGTGAGTGCAGCAGATGTAGTCTGTATATGTTGATAGAGAAAACTAACTTCAATGACCTCCAGCTCTACCACACAAAGCTCGAACAGCTCACAAATATTACTCACCGGCTGAATGCTATGGCTCGTTCGCTCAGCTCTGACTTTTATTCCCAAGACATACTTGATCCCACTCCTGCGTTTGAAGGAGGTCCGGACACCAATGTACACCGAGATGTGACTCCGGAAAGGTTCTCTAAGCTCGAGAAAGAGCTTGCTAGAGGCAAAGCCGAAGTTGTACGTTTATAATACCTTTGAACAGCTTCCTGTGACTGATTTTTTCTCTAGACCAAACGTCTAAATCACCTTTCAGAAATATTTATGCAGATCGACTTTCTGTATAACGAACTAGGAATCTGTTCCCCTAGCTTAGAGGACCTTGACTCTGTTCCATCTTCTCTCTATGCATCCTCTTCGCAACTCCATCCACCTTCCGATCCGTTTACTGTGTCTATCTCAACGCCCACTCCCCCACCTCGACATTCGAAATCATATTCACCACTTTTACTATCGGATGACGAAGAACAGCAATCAGACGTTGCTTATCAACGTATATTTGCTATCTTCGTTGCTCGCGTCGAAGAAGCAAATGCTGAAGGTCGTTCCGTGTTGCCTACTTCGTCGACCCCATTAGGTCTAAATTCTGTGGATCCGACACCTTCTCTACTTGCGTGGGCAGCTGCTCTATGCAGCTCGCTGGAAGATACGAAACGCCGTAGGGAGGCTCATATTCAAGCAATGTACGATCAATTGGAGGGTCTTTGGTGGAGACTAGGTGTTGCCAAAGAAGACATGGATGCGTTCGTCGATGTGAATAGAGGGAGCACAGAAGAATGTGTGCAAGCATATGAAGAAGAGCTCGAAAGGATGTTAGAGTTGAAGAGAGAGAGGATGGGTGCGTTTATCGGGAGTGCCAGAGAGGAAATTCAAAATCTTTGGGACGAACTCATGACAGGTGAGGAGGAACGAGGCGCATTTGGCCCTTTCGTAGATGGTACGTGCTACGAATATATACCTTCCCTTGGGCCGAAATTTGAGATTCCTTGTGTAGATGAACATACAGAAGAACTTCTTTTGATACACGAAGAGGAAGTTCGTAAACTGAAGGAAGAGAAACGAATCAAGGCCCCTTTTTTGGCAAGCATCAAGAAGTATTTCGACATTTGCGAAGAGGAGAAGGAGCTTGCGGTTGCAGCGAGTGATCAGACCCGACTCCTTGGCAGAGGAGCTAGAGATCCGGGAAGACTATTGCGAGAAGAGAAGATGAGAAAGAGAGTCAGCAAGGAGAAGCCTAGGGTAAGTGTTTTGATCTCTCCGGTGTTCAAGACTTATCCTTCTTCATGAACCTAGCTTGAGCAAGATCTACTTGCTTCTATACCTATGTGGGAACAAGAAACGGGTCGGACGTTTCTTATTCACGGTGAGAGTATCCTTCGAATACTACAAGAACTGGTCAGCGCCGCCGACCAAGAGAACAAACGTCGACCACCGCGAGCAGGCTCGGTGCCACCGCGTGCAACTACTCCCGTCAACCATGCTGGACACAGCTACATGCCAAAAGGTACTGTCACTCCCGCTGTACGTCCCGCTCCGGGTGGTGCCAACTCAGCACCAAATAAACGTATGAAATATGGAGACGATTCAGCCTCTCGTAGTGGGCAGAGAGCGCCGCTCGGTGCCCATAGGGGTGGAAACACGCTAGCATCTTCGTTATCACAGAAGCCCAGGGATGTATCGCCAGCGAAAATACCTGGAAGTCGATCGAGTCGTTTGCCTTCCTCACTCCACTCATCTACGTCGCTACCGCGACCAATAGCAATGCCGATGCCAAAACCCGGAACACAACATCATGCCCTCGGACATGGGAGAGTACCTACTAGTGGTGTCTTCACCTACAGTGGAGGAAACAGTGGGAACGGGTTATTCCCCAAGGGTATTAGAAGTGCTTCATCGACATTGACCGGTTATACCGCAGACACCCGCCATACGAGCGGCAGCAGAGCAGCTGAGAAGAAGGCTTCGCGAGCACACAGGGAGAGCTTTAGACCTCGCCCGAGTATAGACGGGACTGATGACCATAGGTTAGGCAAGTGGGCTGTTAATGGGTTTGGAGGGGTTAAAGAAGAAGAAGAGGATTATTAAATGACACCTATGGACAGGACCACTATTTATGCTTGCGTTACGATTAATTTGCTAATGCGTGTGTTGTATAGTTATTCTACTGTGATTTCAGCTATCTTTCGATGTAGGTCAGGAGTATTTATATTATGAATGTAGAAGCATAAACTTCTGTTGATTGAGGTATGAAGCAACCCCTTTCTGGAAAATACTTCGAAGTCAAGGACTTGTTGTAACAGAAGCTGGTTCTTCCCGTTATATCACGACATAATGCCTTAACCTACTAGGCTTGGCAGTTGTAATTGAAAATGTCCTTGGGCATACAGAGAAATTTATCTAAACCTATTTTACAAGGATGTTTGAAAGAAGAGTTGGATACCAGATCACAGAAAGATAAGACGATAAGATAATGAAAAATAGATAAATGAAATGATTGATTGATATTCGGTTTCGCCCCGGAACAGATGCAAGGTGCGTGATTAACTGTGGTTTTGACTTCGCTGAGTTTGCTCGCAATCCAAATGCAAATGATGGCGAGGTCGACACTCCCAACAAGTCCGTCATTTTATACCGAGGATGCAACGCTTGGAAAATTATGAAGCCCACAATGGTGCTCATATAACACGACAAGAGTTTTCCTGACGGGTCAGAAGTTGAGAGGACGCGAGAAACCCTTTCGTGACTTTGTGTCATCTGCTTAACGAACACCCCAAGCATGTCTGGTCCTGATAAGCCATGCAACTGGGCGGCCTGCTCTACTCGATTGAACTCGCCTTCGATAGCCTCTTTGTAGTATGACATGACGTCTCTGTTGCAACAGGAGTTGTAAGTACGTCGGCCATAATTGAGAAACTTAGGCAACCCGTGGACTTACGCTGTGATATCATGAACCCAAATTCCGTCGGGGAGTGCCTGGATATAATCGATTCCTGGTACGTCGCAAGGAAAAGATAACAGGAAAAGCGATGTGGCAGCAGATGTAATGGTTTTCATGAGCGTAGGGAAAAATGGTGCGTCTTTGTTTACTTCCCACTATTGAAAACGATGGGATGGTAAGTTCCACAAGCGTAACACAGGATTCAGTATGTCACTGACCTGTGAACGGGTACCACACATTTCTCGTTCTAAATGGTTGCCCATGACATATGCTTGGGTAGAAATGCGAAGCAGGTCGCCTGTAATAGGATCGTACATTTCGGAAATCTCTGCGCTCAACGATACCAGATCGTCTAGTCCTTTTTCAAGCTGGGGTCGTCCTGAAGCAACGCGGGCCCCGTACTCCGCGAGGGACCGAGCTTTGAAGCAGTAGTCGTCAATGCAGTAGTAGAAAGCCATTAGCAATGAGGAAAGTACGGCGATGTCGTGGCTCTTGGTGCCTCTATGGTGAAGGTATGTGTAATGCCCGACTGCTGCTCCGATATGAACATGCTTTTCTTGGAAAGCGAGTTCATCGACGAGGTACCCGCGTTGGCGAGCAGCTTCAACACACTCTGCGACGAACGGTTTGAAAGTTGGTGTCTGTTCGAAGGGAACAATGGTCAACGGGTCGATTTCCAAGACCCGCATGGTTTCCAGAACCGCATTCCTGCACTATTATCGATGATCGTCGTCAGGGGGTGGGCACAAAAAAAAACCGGGAGACGAAGCGGAAAAAATGTAGTACCTTCTCTACAGCTGCTACATCAAGGGATTTACCTGCACTGAGCGCAACCATATCGTATCAATCGCAAAGGAAAAATAGCAGCTCTGCTTCTTGTTTCACGCTTGATATACAGAAGACTAATGTGCATGTAATCGAGTTGTTGACATACCGCGATGAATGCCTTGCCCGGATTGGCACCCGTTTTGGTTGCTTTAGGTCTTGATTCTTGGCGGCCGTAGCGGCCGTCTGTCCTACTCTATAGTAGTCTATACTACCTGGGGATTCGCGAATACACAGGAACGAGCAAATTACCACACGGTGTTTTCACCGCTTGTTCTTAATCAGCGCTGTGGCACTGCAACTCAGGTTGATCTTTGAGTCAATCGGAGTCTGCATTCAAAATATTGAAAGGAAAGGATGACCGGTACGGTCCCATTGAGGAACAACCGGGGCCCATGCTATAGTACACATGGATTATCAGGGATAATTGGTAGCTTAAATTGTAACGGAGTCCAAGGGGGATCGATATCTACAACGATGCGTAGCACTCCGACTGATTGCACGTTTTTACTCCGAGTCCATATAGCAATCGGAATGCAGTGACTAACCTTTATTCAAGTTGGTAACTTCGATGCGGAGGGCTAGTGGGTCCTGAACGGATCCGACCTTCAGAACCGGGATGTGCTCGTGAAAGATCATGTAAGCCTTAAGCTGGGGAAGAGAAGTCGAGTGCTGTTGCCGTCGAGATCGGTAGGTTCAATATACTCTTTGGTTTTACTCGTTCGTCACCGTAGGCTCATGGAAAAGCTATGATTTCAATTGTATCTACATAAACCTATTTACAAGTCTCCCTCTGTGAAATCTTCTATCCATGTACGAGTTCGGCTCGAGCGAGGCACAAATGAACACTCAAAGTGTGGCGGATAGCTTGTGATTATAACAAAGTCGTCAATGGAAAATAAGACTCAAGACAAGCAAAAAAGACCGTACTTGAGATTTCCTATTGGTCCGTAATCAACATTAGGCTTCAAAGGTTGACCATGCTCGTCTATGGCTGAATGTATGTCAAACGTAGCTAGGATTGAGGTTATCGCCATCCACATTAATTCTTTTGCCATGACTGATTTCCAAGAAATTTCAACCAACAGACGAGAATCATGAAGAATGCATTATGTACCTTTTCCCGGACATTGCCTTCGTCCATATCCAAATGCAGCTTCAGTACTCAGATTTTTGTTGAACTCTCCGGCCTCATTCAAGAAACGTTCCGGGTTGAATAAATCTGTATTTGGACCATACACTTCCTCGTCTTGGAGAATAGCACAAATATTGGCAACGACAATGGAACCTTTGGGGATATAGAAGCCATTGTAATGATCGTCTTCCGTGGCACCATGAGGGATGGAAATCGGGAGAGGGGGTTTCCAGCGGAGGGTTTCATTGACTATAGCATCAATATACGGGATCTTTCCAAAGTCGTTGAAATCTGGAAGTCGGCCACCTAGAGCGGCATCTACTATTTGTTGGGCCTTTTTCTGAATTGTCGGGTTAAGGGCCATGGCGAGTACAAAAGTTCGCATTGCCAAAACAGTCTAAATTAATCAGTGATAAGTTTCTTGGATAGAAACGATCAAGAGAGTGCGCTTGACGTACGGTATCTGCGCCGGCTGTAATGTGGATCGATGATTAGCACTTTATAATCCAATTAGATACTAACATACCGATGTACATATTCCCGATTATAGCTTCTACATCGTTGATCTCACTGCTAGGTGTGTCTTCACGCATAGTCTCCAGGAAACGCGCCGCGAACGATCGTTTTGCGGTCCCTTTCGCCTGACAAACTCCCCAACGTAAACAATGCAAAGTCAGTGACAGTAGCAGACTAAGACTCACCAGTTCATCCTGGGTAAATTTGAATGGAAGTGTTCGGGCATCGTCTGCTAATTTTCTGAGTCTCGCAGCGAAATGTTTGAATCCCGCTCCAGGAAAAGAGCTTGGCCAATATTTGAGAATGGGGAACACGTCCACTATCCAACAATCAATCTCTCTTAAAAATCGTTACTAAAATTGAGTTACCGAGGAACGCCCCACGCTGCGTAGCATGGGATATGGACTTGATGAAAGTCTCTGAAATTTCGATGTATGGGTCATTGGCAGAATCAACGTCGATACCATATCCCGAGGCAAGGATGAATCGTCCAGTCATACTAGGAAGGTCAGCTACCGCACGTTGAACTATATATACTAAACAAACCGTCCACTCACAGTCGAATGATTGGGTCGTGATGTTTGGTGGCAGCGAGAAGATCTTTGAGGCATTTACGAACAGCAACAACAGCTTGAGGGCGACAGTAAGGGATATCGATGTGTTTGTTGAATAATTTGCGAGCAGCTAAAAGAATGAACGTTGACTATTTATTTATTTCGTTATGCCACAATAGGGATGCGAACCCTTGAAGCGCTCTCCGTAGGGCATCAGCGCTATATTCCAGTCGGCACGAATACTGGAATGATCATAACAAATATTGTTTAGCTCCAGATTGATTCATCACTTTCAACCACCTACAGCTCATTGAGCATAACAAGCCTGGGCCTATATTCAAGATAAGCGTCCCAGAATCAAAATTCAGATAAGAACCGAGCGATCACCTATCCGAATATATTGCAGACCGCTTGATCAGAAGTTCGTCAGCGGCTTTGGCAGAGTTCAAGACAAGTAGAGGGGGCCCAGGAAGTTTCAAGGTAATGATTTCTGAATCTGATCACTTGTTAAATTGACGATATTCTGTTGAAATGATGAACCTACCAAATTCTTGACCCCACCGTCTATAAACCTTCCATGGATACTCGTCTGGGATGTCGAAAACGTTCCCTATGATAGGCCATCCACGCGGACCTGGGGGTAGTTTTCCTAAGTGGCCTTTACTGAAAGCTTTTGATAAGCTTAACAAGGCAAATGTAGCGAGACCGACGACCGCCCAAGCTTGAAAAGAAAAACGAGATAGCAGGCTGAATAGAATGTCCATAGCTGAGGTCGTCGTAGCCCAGTGGCAGAAACTTTCGCGTCCACCGGTTTCATCCTAAATAAAGGGAATCCACCGCCCGTAACTACTATGTATTGTGGATGAAGTATAGTTGAAGTGTATGTACGGCCGTTGCGGCCGTTCGGCAAAAACCGAACCGTTGGAATTCAATCGACTTTGACAACTGCACTGACCGCCGCGAAGCATTCAAGAAGGACCCGTTAAAAGATGTTTTTCACGCAGTTTTTTTACATAGTAAAACGTCAGCTGGCTTGTCTACCATGAGCAGCTTTCTGCCCATTGCGGTCCCAGCTACCGTGCCTACGATCCTAGCTTCAACAATCATCGTACCTCTTTTTCTACTCATTCTCCGGGGAATTTACCATGTGTATTTCTCACCTCTGAGCTCGATCCCTGGGCCTTGGTATGCTGCTGTCTCGGAAATATGGATCCTGGTCCATACTTTACGATGTCGAAAGGTTCGAGCTATAGACGATTTGTTCAAGGCTTATGGACCAGTGGTCAGGATTGCACCGACAACTATCGCGTTCCTCGACAAAGATCACGAGCAACAAACTACCAGACTGGTATATAATGCTCTCAAGCTGGATAAGGGTCCCCTGTATGACATGGTCCATATGTACGTCTGTTCTTTTAAAACCATGATGCATGATATACGACTGACCTTTACTTTTCATATAGGAATGGCCTAGACCGGAAACCGCCCCTCTATGAGGGCGAAACCTCGATAGAGGGACCGGAATATCTGAGTTTAAATTGGCAGGAACTGCGTTATCATTCTTAGAATGTTCGAGAATGCTTATTAATAGCCTTTTTTGGAAACTGACTTTCGGGGATATTCCATTTGGGGAATAGCCATGTGCTATATCGAGTACATATATTCATCGATTAAATCGCCATTATTCTTCTACAATCAACTCTTCGTTCGTTCAATGAGTGGATTACGGCGCAGAGGATATGCGAGGACTCTTCCAGGCTCAGGAAGCTTCAGAGTATTTGTAGATTCTTCATTATCTGCTGATCCAATATTGGAAACAACCACACAGCAATCAACATCGAGTCAACGGCGGCACCCTCAGCAACATGAATGGGATGAAAATGTCCACACATTTGATCTCAATGCTAACACACCAGCCACCAGAGTTTCTCAGTACACTCCCCGCATTGCTTGGCCTGGTGAACTTCCCACCACTCATATTACATCCTCCTCAGCAACAATACCTGAAATTCCAGATAATATTCATAATCACTCTGTCAATGGTATCTGTTTCCAGTCAAAGTTTTGTTTTATTGCATGAATATTGATATATTGCTCTGTTTTCAGCTCTCATAAATGAGGAAATCAGTGATCATGATGATTTCCAAGCTGTTTCAATACAAGGTATTCAAGTACTTATCAGAATGGTATATTTCCTTCCTCATTGCTCAATTGCTATGTGCTTGTAGATATTTCAACAATCTCCTCTATGGAAGCATCCAGCTTCAAGGCATTTGATGGATCAGATACAATGTCAGGTATCGAGTATGATCACACTGTTGATCTTGACACAAGACAACGCAGGCCAAAACGTTCAATGGTAGACAAAGTCAAGCTTGTCTTACATTCTCTGCGTGATGCACATTTATCCCCAACAGAGTTTATTTCAAACCTTTACAATTCCAAGTATCAGGAATTTGATTTCTACAAACAGAAGCTGTTTGAAGATGGAAACCACAAGCACTTGCATCAATTATTAGATAGTTTATGGGCTGATCCTAGAGGCCAAAACATTCTTAAAAGTTGGATGCATACACCAGCTATAGAGTATAGTGCTGCATGTGTGTCTAGAGAGTTTGAAGCTGTTAAGCCACATTTGCAGATGTACTCTCAGAGTGTTTCAGCAAACTATATGCAGTCTTGGAGCTTGGAGAGAATAGTGGAACCATTGTTAATGACACATTTACCTGTATGGTCCCATATCTTGAGATCAGCCTCAGAAACCAAGGAGAGTCAGGATTCAGGTGGACTGAAATCTCACCAGAGGAATATGGTAGGTCTATTAACCTTTGCTTCTTTATACTGTAATAATCCATAACTATATTTTAGAGCAGACAATTAATTACAGCTCAAGTTGCACATACACGTTCACAAGCTTGTGCAAAAATTCAGCTAGGTCTAGGCATGTATGCATGGGCCACTGGAGCTTCAAAGTCTCTCTTAGAGGTTATGCACCGTGCAAGTTTGACACCATCATATACAACTATTGGGAAAACCTGGGAACATGTAGGGAATACATCAATACAAACAGCAATCCTAGTTGCCAATGAATATCCTACTGCAGATGCTTGGGATAATGTGAACTTGTCAACATCCGGATTTGTTGAGCAAAGGCCAGATGCACCCTCTAGAGTGCAATCTGGTACACTTCCAGTGATATATAAGTTGCACAATGCTGCTTGGGAAGATATGCTATTGAAACCAATGACTGATAAGCTCAAAGCTTCTTCAAATCTCATGGAGGCAGATATTGCACCTACTGAAGATCAGCTTGAATCATATATGCATCAAGCCTGCATTAATATCATAGAGCCACTTACCAAGTATATTGAGGGCTTCAACAATGATAAATATAAAAGGAGCTCTACCCTTCAACACAAGGAAAGAAGGCCTCTTCCACGTGGTTTGAAAACTGATTTTTATCCACTCCGGTTGAATCAACATGAGGAGGCTTCAGTCAATGGGAATTTGCTTGTACAGGATGATATTCATTTGAATCAATTGAAGCAAGAAGATGGTGACAATTCAAAACTAGCCCTGTATGCTAAGCCTTTGTATGCAGACTTGCTTACTCTAGTTCGAACTCGAGGTTGTGTGCATGTACGGCGACTAGACACTAATCCATGGACAAGGAGAGAGATCTATCAAAATGGAATGGGAATACTACATTTTCTTATGAATCTTGTATGGGTAGTGCTACACACATATAGAGGTGAAGTTCAGCAAATTGGGAGTTTGAGAAACTTCTTTGTGAAGCTAGAAAAAAAACGTTTAGATGGTGATAAACCTGATTATTACACACTTTTATCTGCTTTTGATCAGATTCTTGATGGCTTGCTGCTGCATGCTTGGCAAAAACAGTGTGGGTTTCCAAATTTGACACAATTTGCAACTTCCCAACCATCTCCAGAATGTTTATTAAAAATTGCAGCAAGAATTCTTCAGGCATATGCAAGTCCAATGGAGGAGCCATTGCAAGAAATGGATGAGGGCAGTGAGGATAGTAATGACTCTGATAGTGTTTCACCTGAATTTGACCCAGTGTTGCGCAATGTACAACTCCTTATCCGTGATCTCCTATATGTACGAGAAATTGTGCAGGCAACATCGGCAGGAGATTTTGGTCGGATTGAAGATTTGTTTCCTGATATGCTCCGGATATTTAGAGGGGCTGGATCAAATAACTACTCTACTGAAATACTACATTGGATACACCGAGTCAAAAATATGTGGACTCCTGCATTTGCCAATATTATGCGTGACAACATGCTTATCAATGTTTCTGGAATAGATGGTCATTTTATGGGAATTGATACAAATATTGAACACTTAATCAAGGAAATCAAGAGACTGGCTACAGCCAAAGGAATACATTCTGATTGGGAAAAATTTGGGCATCTGTCTGCATGTTTGAAGGAGATTCAGATTTTGAAAGATCAAGTGGGAAGGAGTTTGGAAACATCATACAAGAACAAAACATCAAAGAAAATAAATACAACAATGCTTGTATGGAGAATAGTGGAACATGCAGCAGAGTATGATATCCTAACTATCAATCCTGATCGTGAAGGAAATCTGAATTGCAAACCATTAACTGACCTTCATGCTAAAGGACATGCTCAGCTGGCTTCCTCTTCACTTTCTACATTCAATAAACGTATAAAGGCATTCATTGAAGGTATGCCATTTGAGGAAGAAAAAGATATGCTGCCAGTAATGGAATTCAATAATGAATTAGATGAAGGTTTTGATAACTAACTTTTTAGTACCATATGTAATATATACTAGAAGAATTAAATAAAATTTGTTTTGATTTGCAAAACCCGGCGAAGATCAGCTTGGGTTTTTCGACTACTCTTTTCATCTTGGAGAAATGCTTCCATTATATCATCATCAACATCACTGTCAACAATGAATTCAGCAGAAGGATATGAAGACTCCCCAATTTTTGCCTTTTTGTGAGCACGCTTTGCAGCACTGTGCTGAGAGGCTAATATAGCACTATCGAAGTCCACAATAACTTGAGAAATGCTGGTGGCCCATTTAACACCCCATTCTGCTGTTTGCGCAATCCGATTGGTGACATCAGAGTGACACTGGAGTTCACCAACCTTTGCATTAGCAAGAGTTTTGATATTTGCATCTGACAGAATGTAATAGCGGGGACGTATTGCTGATAATCGATCATTGCAATGAGCATTCTCCAGCCATTCCTGAAGTGTCCTATAGAGAGCTTTGCGTTGTGCCAAGGGTCGAACCGATTTGTGTTTTCGCTTTTCTGAAGTTTCGGCTGAAGGAACATCAGACTCGGAAACAGTAAGCAGTGGACCAGGAAGAAAAGCCTGTAAGGTGAATCCACTGCCAGGATGTCGGTCACAACAGAATGGACCAGAATAGTTACATGCTACTAGAAATAAGTATAAGTAAAAGTTTGAGAATATAGAACTTACCTTCAGGAGATGCATCACCAAGATAAGTGGCAAAAAATAATCGTAAACACATGGATGTTTGAACCAGAACAACAAGTGAAAAGGGAGCACGATCTTTGGCAGATGCATTCTGTTTCAAATAGCCACAGGGACGGTCAAGATCCTCACAATCCCAGGTAGTGAAGTCTTCAGGATCTAGATCAAGCACCCACTGTTCTGAGAATAAAACAGCAAGACCAAAACATCCAAGCTGCCTCATGACACGGCCATATTCCTGTAATAACAGAGCAGTAGTCTTTGACAAGCCTGCAACACAGACTATATTTATTCCCCTATGATCAATCCCCTTGTCCAATGAGTTTAGCATAAGTTATAAGGACAATAATAAAAAGAATAACTAACTGTTGACTCAGCAGAAGTTGCTACAAGGATACGACATGATCCACCTGCTCTAGCAAACTCATAATGAGTCTCTTTGAGATAGGTAGGTGACATCCCACTATGGTAATGCTTGATAATGCCAAGATGGTGATACTCAGGAGGAAGACAGCTTGTGAGATATTGAGCAAGGTCAACTGTTGCAGCCATATGCTCTCGAAATATGAGAATACGAGGCTGAAGTGAAAGATCGAAAGGCTGCTGAATGAAACATTTGTAGTTTTCGAGGTTGTCAATGCTACCAATGACTGTATGAGTGGCATAAATAGTGTTGGCCCGATTGGATGATGTGATTATGGAAGTATGATTAGGACGGAGTGCTTTTGCACAAATGACTTTACACATATGAGGTGGAGCAGTTGCAGTAAGTGCCACAGACACTATATGTGGACCAAGGAGAACACGTAGCTCATCAAGGCGCCCATAAGCAGGGCGGAATGCAGGAAGTCCATACTGTGCAATGCCTTGGGTAGGGATCGAATGTGATTCATCAATAATCAGGTAGCGTACACGCTTCTTGAACTGATGTTGACGAATCATATGTCCCCATCTAGTTAAATGACCTGCAGAATTCCGCCAACACTGCTCAGGTGTTACCAAAAATAGTCGTGCAGATCCTGGTTGCTTGTTCAGGAAATCATGAACCTTCTCCTATAAGAACAAAAATTGGTATAACAGGATTGTGAAACTCACCAAAAAATGACTTACCTCCCAGAATATATTGTCATTAGTGGTATCTTCATTAATAGCAACTGTTTCAATGGAATACAGAGCTTGAATGCTTTCAACCTTGAATAATTTAAGCGCAGAATAGATATTATGTATATTGAAGTTACAACCTACATGAGATAGCTGTAACCTCTTCAATGGAGAGAGCATCACAGTGACTTCATCTGATTCCACAAGTAGTTGGTTTAGGACTGAAGCTAGTGTTTTACCACTGCCAGTACCAGCTACAACAAAAGCATCATTACCCTTTGAACCAGCAAGAGCAATCTTCAACTGGAGTTCATGTGGAATTTGTTTGCAGTTTGTCACTTTCCAGCACATAAAAATGTATCGGAGGCACTGTGCATGAGCTCCTGCATCCAAAGTATCAAGAAAAATGAGGGGAAGGCTCGGATAGATGTGTGGAAACTGTTTTAAAAGGTAGTTAAGTTGCGAGAAGGAGGCAGAATTAAGCCAGGATTTGACAGCTGAATCTGTCTGGTAGGCAAACCAAAAAGAGAGTTCTGGAACAGAGAGTTCAGGAGTAAAGACTGTAAGTGCAATATTAGACACCATTAGGGTAGAGGATGCAAGAACATGGAGGTATTTTAGCAAGAGATCAAAAATAAGCAACGTCGTTCGTTTACTGTTGTATCAGCCGGTTCTCGTCAGCCGGAGTGATTTCGGACTCATTACTGTTCACAGATTACTTGCCGTAGTATCTTATCTGGTTCCGTATTACTTATCCTCAGTGTATATTTTAGATAGAAGACTCCGGACATTACTTCGCCGTAGTCAATTGGTTATTCTATAGATAAGAACAGTTGTACTTAAAGTAGTAGTAGATACTCGGACAACTCAGAATTCTCTTCGTTCGTTAAACCGCTTGACCGGATTCATAGCCCGAAGTTTACGTGCGAATACCTCACTTTCGAAAGTGCGGGACTCTTTCTACGCGTCTTCGAGACTGGGATCTCGACTGTAAGTTTTACTCAAAGATCTTTCACGGACACAGGAGCTCACTGTTCTCTGTATAGAGAACAAACCTATTAACTAGTCGACTTCGAATTCAATTTGACCAAACTCCCGGACTATCACGTCTTACTCAGTCAGGATGGCTGAAGTTATAGAACAGCTTCGAGCGGTACTCCCTCCAGAAATGTTCGAAGTTATCACCCCTATCTTCACAGGACTTGCTCATCGTCTCACCGAATCTGAGAACCGAGTTGCTGAACTCCAACAGGGACATATCTCTATGGAACAGCTGTCAGCATCATTCCGTGAGGCCTTATCTCACAATCCATCTCCTCCTGTTCAACCAGTTCCTCCTCCGCAAGTGCACCCTGCGACAGCTCGAGCACCTCTTCGTACGGAATTACCAATCTTTCGGGGCCGACCTGAGGATAATGCCCGTGCTTTTACATCGATTGCGAAGGATCTTCTGCAAGCAACCCACATCTCACTGGATGACTGGGGCGTAATCATTAGTGGGTGCTTCCGTGATGCTGCCTTAACCTGGTACTTGGCGAAGAAACAGGAAAACGGAGACAAACCACTTACCTGGGATAAGCTCGAGAAGGACCTCTTAGCTCAATTCGACAATCCGTCAAGGACGGATGACATTCGAACAAAGCTTGTGAAGTGTAACTACAAGAACAACGTATCCGACTTTATCACTCAATTCCAGAAGTTAGAAATGCAGCTTCCACCCACCGAAATGACCTTTGGTGATCGGAAATTCAACTTCTTTCGTTCCATTCCCTATGATCTCTGCTTCCATATTGCAAACAGCCAACCAGCCTCTATGGCTGAGGTGTATGAGGCTGCTCGTATTTGGGAGCGTCATCATCGTATCTCTGGTCGAACATCAGACCCTCGCCGTAATCATCCATCACATACTTCCAACTCTTCGAATCATCCTTCATCAGCAACATTAACCCCTGCGAGATCTCATGTGTCCTCGAACGATCCTACTCCAATGGACTTGGATACATTCTCGCTTCGTCCTATGGCGCCAAAGAATGATAAGTTTAAGTTCCGTTGCTATAATTGTAACAAACCTGGTCACTATTCCAAGGACTGCCGGCTTCCGGATCGACGGAAAGAGCGATTTAATGGCAACAGTCAAGGCCCGATCCGACGAACCCCCCAATCAATGTTTTTTATGGGAGAATCACTTCCCCTCCGACCTGGAATTCATCGCGCTGCAAGGAAAACTCATCCCTACCAACTGCCCCTGCTTATCCGACGGACTGCAGAGAAATCTGCAACTCCAGCTAAGGCATCGTTGCAGGAAGTCGATTCATTCCTTCAAGCTTGTAAGCCCGAGTCGAAACCCTTGATTTCAAAGCCTGCACAGAATGAAGTTTTCACTTTCTCATTCGACGACGATCAGAACATAGGCTTACCTGTCTATCTCGCAATGCTCTATGGTCCTCGATTGCCTAATAAGCCTTGGAAACATGAAGCTATTCTCAGGGCCTTTGGTATAAGCGACACGGGTGCTCACTGGAACTATATCACTCGAAAGAGTGCCGAACTTGTACGTGCAAAAATCTTTGATCTTGTGGAACCTCGGACAATTGCCGGTGCTGGCCATACAGTCACGAAATCTTTCTGTCGTTTCTGGATCTGGATAGGACCTATCAAAGAAGAAATTTGCGCGTACATCTTGGAGGCAGATAGTGGATTTCGACATGACTTCCTTCTCGGTCGAAGTTTCCTCGCCAGTCACAATGTCATTTTTAACTGGGATGACAACTCCATGACCATTGTAGCTCCCAATACTGGTGTGGCAGTTCGCATCAAACCTAAGCAAATTTCGGGTCTAAAGAAACGGGAGTTATACCATACGGAAAGTAGATCAGCTGGATATACTCCTCTTCCTGCAGAAGAATTTACTTACACCGAAGACGAGGATGTTGCCTCAATCGAAGCCGTAATCGACGAACAGGAATCCATGCAAGCCCTTTCCATCAAATCTCCCATATCCTCTACGCCCGCTCTTACCAATTCGAACTTGGACCTGCATAACACAATTGAAGAGAAGCAAGAAGAACGTAAGTCTGAGGTGAAGTCAAGAACCACATTTGGTAAGAAACTTAAAGACTTTGCACTTAATAAATTTCCGGGTTTGTTCCGGAAGAAGGTTGGGTACCCACCTGCTCGAAAATGGGTACACGAAATCGATACAGGCCCTGCACAACCTGTCCAAGTGCGCGGTCGACCACATTCCCCCCGCGAGAATGAAGAAATCAAGAAATTTCTCGATAATGCAGAAGCGGACGGTGTAATTGAGCCTTCCGATTCTCCATGGTCAGCTCCAATTCTGCTTATCCCTAAGAAGGATGGTACGTTGCGCCCTTGTGTTGATCTACGAGCACTTAATAATCTGACTCGGAAAAATGCTTACCCCTTACCTCGCATTGATGAATGCTATGTCAACCTCCACGATGCAACTATCTTTACAACCTTAGACCTGAAATCGGGTTATTGGCAAGTACGACTTTCCGAAGATGCGAAACCGAAAACAGCTTTCACCTGCAGGTATGGTCACTACCAATTTCGAGTCATGCCATTTGGACTTACCAATGCTCCTGCAACATTTCAACATATGATGAACGATATTCTCCGCGAATTTATCGACATCTTTGTTATGGTTTATCTTGATGACATTGTCATCTACTCCAGGAATCAAGAGGACCATGGACATCATGTGGAACAGGTACTTACAGCTTTGGATAAGGAAAAACTTGTGCTGAACCTCGATAAGTGTACATGGGCAGAAGACGAACTTCTGTATCTAGGCCATATTGTATCTGGAAATGGTATACAGGTTAACCCAGATAAGGTTCGTGCAGTTCTTGAATGGCCTACTCCGTCAAACATAACTGAACTTCGTGGCTTCCTAAACCTTGCTGGATATTATCGACGTTTTGTACGTGGTTTCGCAAAAACTGCTTTACCATTGACTAATCTACTTGCTGGTTCTCCGAAAAAGGGATCTGCTATAAACTGGTCAACCGATTGCGACGCGGCCTTCAAACATCTCAAACGGGCACTTACTAACACTCACATCTTAATTCACCCAACACCTTGGCATGTGTTTGTTATTGACTCTGATGCATCGGGAAATTGCCTCGGTGCTGTTCTTCAACAGTCTCTCACACCATTCAAGGATCTTGACAAAGGGAGGGATGATAGTAAGTCCGAAAGTCGTTTCGAGTTCAAAGAAAAAGACTTACGGCCAATAGCATATGAATCTCGGAAGATGACACCTACGGAACAGAAATATTCAGCCCAGGAACGAGAAATGCTAGCGGTAGTACATGCCTTGAAGAAATGGCGTGCATACACAGAAGGTTCACCAGTGCTGGTACGTACTGACCATGAATCATTAAAATACTTCCTAACGCAAAAGCACCTCGGTCGCCGTCTTGCTCGGTTCCATGATGATGTTGCCCACTTCGATGTAAAGATCTTGTACCGTCCTGGAACATCTCAAATCGCTGCCGATGCCCTATCCCGACGCGAAGGTCATGCCGATGTGCCCGATAAAGATTACGAACCACTTTACAGCTTCCCTCTTGATATGGACCCAAACGATCGTTCAGCTATTTTCAATACTTTGGAAAAATATCGGAAGGACTTACTCGCTGGGAAAGTATCGGGAGACACAGAAAGATATTCAGTACATGGACAAAAACTATTCAAGGATATCAGCACCAACAATAACGAAGATTCACAAATCGTACTGGTACCGACCTCGGTCACTGAAGCACTAATGGTTGTCAAGTCACTCCACATCGACTTGGGTCATCTTGGTATGAATTCGGTACTTGAGGCACTGCGAAGTCGAGTTTGGATCCCCTATGGTTCAGAAATGGTGGAACATATTGTACGTACTTGCAATGAATGCCAATTCACCAAACGAGACATAACCCCATCACAGCCCTTGTTTCCGTTACCCCGTACCAGCGCAGGAGACGTATATGCCTTCGATTTTATAGGACCGTTACCTAAGACGAAACGAGGAAATCAATATATACTTACAGCGATGGAGTTGGGAACAAACTATACCTTTGCCAAGCCTCTGGTTCAACGTTCCGCTGACGCTGTAATTCACCTCTTTCGGTCCATTATCGCAATGTTTGGCAAATCCAAGGCAGTACTAACAGATAACGGTGAGGAATTCATGTCATATGCATTCCAGAACTTACTTCAACGAATGACTATTAAACACCTACACACTACCCCATATCACCCTCAAACAAATGGACGACTTGAAAAATTCAATGACACCTTGGTTCAAATGTTAGCGCGTTTCTGTGCTCCTGACCGACAGGATCAATGGGATGAGTACGTACCTGATGTACTGCTTGCTTATCGAGCTCACAGAAATCCTAGTACGGGAGCTTCTCCAGCTTACATGATGTATGGATTTGAACCTCGACTCCCTCAGGATACAGTCTTCGATACTGTGCGAGTTCCCCCATCCGATACCGAAATTCAAGTCCTCCAAGAAAAACGCCTTGAACATGTCAAAAACTTGGAACGATTCCGAAAGGAATCCAACTCACAAGCATTGGCACGACTTGAAGAAGAAGCGGCGAGGCGAGAAGATGGGTATACAGAAAGAGGACTTGGTATTGGAGACTTGGTTCTGCGAAAGAATGAACGTCAGTCAAAGATTCATCCTCGTTGGGATGGACCTTTCATTATTCGCGATACAACGGACAAAAATACTTACCAATTAATGACCAGGAATGGATATGTCCTACGACATCTCTACAATGGCCTCCGGCTCCGGCCTTACAACCTCAACTCTCATTCCTCCTCCTCCTCCCTACCCTCTGATCCAACCCTTTGGTATGCCTCTGCTGACTTACAACGACGAGATGCGAAGGAACGAAGAAGATTGAGGAGCAACAGCGGAAAGAAATCAACAAACAGCTGACGTGTCGTTAGTAATCACCGGCACTCGGCATCAATCAACATAGAAGCTGATCCCCGAACAATTTCAACGGACTTGTACTTATATTCCGAAATCCCTACTTTCTGATTGTTCAGTTCTCATATATTTATCACCAGCTTCCTCTGAGCCGATATGACTGTTTTGCAGGAGCAAAAAGGTTTAACGAGGGGGTTGTGTTGTATCAGCCGGTTCTCGTCAGCCGGAGTGATTTCGGACTCATTACTGTTCACAGATTACTTGCCGTAGTATCTTATCTGGTTCCGTATTACTTATCCTCAGTGTATATTTTAGATAGAAGACTCCGGACATTACTTCGCCGTAGTCAATTGGTTATTCTATAGATAAGAACAGTTGTACTTAAAGTAGTAGTAGATACTCGGACAACTCAGAATTCTCTTCGTTCGTTAAACCGCTTGACCGGATTCATAGCCCGAAGTTTACGTGCGAATACCTCATTACAGCGTAATCACGTGGCCGTTCCCCCGAATGGAATATCTCCGAAAGTAAGTTACCAAAAAAGGCTATTAATAAGCATTCTAGAAGATTCTACAAATGATAACGCAGTTCCCGCCAATTTAAACTCAGATATTCCAAGCCCTCTAACGAGGTTCCGCCCCACGGGCGAACTTTAATCAAATCTTTTGATTTTTCGTAGAGGGCTTGGTTACCAAGCTAGGAATGGCCATCTTCACTCGTATGCTTTCAAAAAATTTCGACTTATACGTGGACAGATTACTGACTAGTCTCATAGTGTCGCTATAATTGAACATAGTGTCCATGCGAAATATAGGCGGATCTTTTCCTCGCATTACTCACCCGGAAACATTGCCTTGCTTCACCCCGATATGAAAGCGTCAGCAGAGCTCCTAGTTCAGGTAATCGTATGAAACTTCTATGTCGCAACTTTGCTTAGTATTCCATCCAATTCAGAAAGTTTTGGAAGCAAAGGATCGACCTCTCGATATATTTCCTGGCATCCATCTTGTGATGATCGATTTAATCCTAAAAAGCACCTTTGGCCATGACCAGGGTGCGCTCGAAGCTTGGTCGGAACATAGCCACGATATCATCATGTCCGCTATTGAAGACTACGGACGGCTCATCCTGATTGTAAGTTCTGACTACCTTCTTTGACATGTCTATTCCTCAACCATATACCAGCAAGGAATTGTGCCAGATTGGTTATTCGGCGTTGTGCGAAGATTCCCGAACAAAAGGTGGCAAACATTTTGTTCGAGCGGCGATACGCTTTTCAACGTGAGCATACTTTTTATCATACCTCTGCTGACCCGCTGATCGCTAGAACTTTATGTAGACAATGGCTGAATTTGTCCGGGAGCAGCAGAAGGAGAAAGATGCAGGACGTATGGACGAGCGTGATAAACCTACCCTGATTGAACGATTCTTTGCTCACAACGCCACTTGCGCGCCCGCGGACCGATTGTCATTCGAAGATATGACTTCTGAGTCAATGACACACTTGTAAGGCAGCTGATTATACATCGTCGTACTGTTTTAATACTCAGATTGAATTTCAGATTAGCAGGAGTGGATGCTAGTGCCGTCGCAGTTGCCTACATTCTATGGCGCTTCGCAAGCCAACCTCTCAGCGTCAAGCAGAAGATCCAAGCCGAACTTGATAGTGCTATGCCTGATGCAGGAGTGATTCCCGATTGGAAGACTTTGCACAATCTTCCAATTCTAGATGCGCTTTTCAAAGAAGGATTGCGGCTTCACGGTCCAATCCCTACTTTCCTCGAACGTCTTGCACCTAAAGGTGGGCCTCTTGATCTGCTGGGTTACCAGCTTCCAGCAGGCACCGTCATTGGTACGCAGTCATGGTCAATGCACAGAAATAGAGGGATATTCAAGGATCCTGAGGAATTTGATGTCTTCCGATGGCTTGACTCGGACCAACCCCAGGACGCCATGCTTCAAGCCTGGGCACCTTACGGACTGGGAACTAGGATCTGTATCGGGCAGCATCTGGCTCGTGGTGCTATCAAAACTGTTCTCGCTGCTCTCCTCCGCAATTTCGACGTTCTTCCTTTCCCAGAGACAAACGATGAGTCGATGGAAATGATGGAGCTCTTCGTGAGTGACCACCATCGTGTTAGTTGACGCAGCCTCATAAATCTTCTTGTAGGGAATGTTTCCCGTAGGCCTGAGCTGTAAACTGAACTTCCGTTCGCGTGCATGAATATAACACCGATGTACAGTCGCGTTTAGGGTATTTACAAGCAGAGTCGTGTATTATTAGTTATGCGAACGATTTCATGTATGTATCTGCTCGAACATAAAATCTGTTCGCACAGTGTACTTGAGCCCTCGATGCACAGTTTCACCACTATGGTATAGTCCCCTTTGTTGAAATATCAGAGCCCTTCCTGTTTTTGGCTCTACATCCAGAATCTTGGGCTGAAATTGAACGTCGCCGCCCAAATCCTTTGGATTCCAATATCCTGGACCGCAGAAACGTGTGGCACCACCTTCAAGGATGCCTGTATCTGAGCCATTGAGATAGATTTGAATGGTGACTCGAGACTTTCGTCCATCTGGAAGGTCCAGTCGACCGTCCAAGTGACCTTTGAAAAAATGACCTGGTCCATAACGCAAGAAGCTGAGGCGTTCGTTAAGGCTGAATAAAGTAGCTCAACTGAAGAAAGCTTGTGGATAGAGATGAAAAACCAACCCGACCAGATTCCATGTCCCTTGCACCTGTTCACTGTTTCCTCCACTCACAATCCTACCCCACCTACTTCCATTTGTTATCGTACCAATATCCTTTTCTACGAGTGGCAACACCCTATCATAAATTTGGCTCGCAACATCATGGTCAAATCGGAGGATTCTATCGTTGTATCTGTAACGGGTATCCAGAATCTGGTCGGTGGGTAGAGGACCGATATTTAGTTTTGCGGGCTGCCAGCCTTTCCCGTCGTCAGTTTCGGTAGATTCTGCTAGGGCAATAAGATTCTTGCACTCATCGTGAGAGAAGAGATTGTCCACGATGAGTGCATAAGAGCCAGAATACCACTTAGCAAGTGGTGTTGAAGCAAAGTCGATATAGGACACCGAGGGCTCCGCTGAAGGTATCCTGGGTAAGTTGAATGCCTCAGACATGGAGCTGGTTATATTCTCTGAGAATCTTTATGCAAATGATATCACATTATATACAGCTTAGATAGATAGATATATACACGGCGGCGCCATCCGAAGATGTGGTCCCAAAAGCGGAACAGCCGGTCTCGAGGCACTGGCGGCAGCGAGCTTGACCCGCAAGGAGAAGGTAGACTACCGCCAGGTCAACAAGGCAGAGGTATGTGGTACAAAGATGAGAGTGTAGAGTGAGAGTAATAGTACAACCTAGTACAACAGATCAATAACTGCCCAGATACGACATTGGTCGCCCCCTCAGGCCTCCTCGTCACTAGTTACATCCTCCTCCTCCTCACCATCTAAATCCTGCTTTGTGAAATGCTTCCACAGGGTGAATGCCTCGTTAATAAATCGAGACGCTGGACGAACAGAATCCCAACCAAAAGTGAAGGCCTTGAGGTAGAAGAGTGACTCAGAGTTTATATCATATCATGGTCAAGACAGTTGCCATATTCATTGTAACAGTATAGCGATGCACGTTACGCTCCGCCCCGCCCTTCGTCTGTACATAAAGACGACTACCCTTGTCGGATCCCCATCTTTCTGGATAGATCTCGTAATGTCGATTAATTCATTATTGTAAAAATCCACTATAGTGCATGCATAAGACAAAGAGCAGAAGATTGCGACAACATAAACATAATGAGAGTGAAGATCGGAATGCACAAAACGTTGAAGGAACTTACAGCGGTATATAGTAGATGAAAAAAGAATGTATTCAAGGTATAAGAAAAGAAAAGGCAGGCAGAACTTCAAAACCGTCTAGATCCACCAACCAACCCTTCGATGGACTGGTGCTCGAGATCATTCCTAGCTTTCAGGATACTCGCATGCATCTCCTTCATTGCATTACCCAGTTTTACCCCAAACCGACTAAGAATATCTCTCTGCCACGCGTCGTACTTGGCATTCACCCGTGCTTGAACCTGCTCATAGTCGATGGCGCAAACACCGAAAGACTTCTGCGTTTCAGACGTATCAAAGGTCGCCCTGGCTTTCTTGATTTCGGTGAGTAACTGTTGCCAGTGAGCGAGCGAGTCACCGAGACGGTTGAAGACGTATTCGGCTTCGAGATCCCATAATGATTGAAATTGAAACCATTTCGCGACGTATTCGCGAAGTTGTTGGACTTTGGTCTCAATGAGTGCGAAAGGTCGTCGGAGGGTGTCATCAGAGAAATGGGTGAGCTGGGAGATGAAAGGTGCTTCAGTTACGGCAAGATAGAGAAAAGATATGAATGCACCAGTGAGGTATATGTAGTCTCAGTGGTGATAGCTCCTTGCATCTGTAGCCCAATCTCATACCGGGAGCTTTGAATACGCCGTAGTCGACACACCACACCTTACGTAAAAGGTCAGAGAACTGTATCCAAGGAATAACAGAAAACAAAATACCGATCCAGTCGTGTAGCTGTTTGATCCAAGCCGCTCTCGCATGCTCTATTGGTGGGTCCAAGAATATGACCTGATTCTGTATCCGTATTTCATGGACGAAAGGCTTGATTGTCATATGTGATTCCATGAACTGAACAGGAGCTCGGTGAGACATACTACCCAAAGGAACACAACACACCTTCTCCTCTTTCATTCGCTTATCGCCTCTCCGCTTGTTCTCTCGTACAGTATCTCTCCTTGATTCATCGTCTGTTCGATCAAACTCGGTACACCATGCTTGGATGATTTGCGTTAGCCGCTGAAGTAAAATGACCTCTATTCGTTTGTCCAATTCAGCTACCCAGTGATCAAGGTTAGCGTAACCTTCCAAGTTCAGTCTGTCAATCTACAACTCATCAGTCAATACAGATACCACAGGAAAAGGAGCAGAACAACGCACGGCAGCCTGAATCTTTCCTAGAAGTTCTGAAAACGCCTCTGACGTGTATGAACAAGTAGCGAGGTCATCTACCGCTCGGAGGATGTCTTTATACAAATCAATGACACTGTTTGTTTTGTCCTATATTCAGAAATATCGGGGGCTTGAGAGAATGATTCAGAACAGGATAACACAACGCACCTGTAGTACAGATACTACACTGGCAAATTCCCGAACGAACTGAATGTGGCGGTTATCTCTCCCGTCCGCACTAGAAACAAACCTTCCGGTATCGTATTGATTGACGAAATGATCCCATCGAATGTTAACACCTAACAGGCGTATGGATAAGCCTCGTCAATTGTGCATCACTTCACTTACCTTTTGAAATCATCCTCTGGCTTTCATTCCTATACTCCGCTACTAACCACTCAATCCCCCTATTATTCTCTACCAAATCCAACGTCTGCCCATAGGTCCTTACAGTCTCCATCAAGCTAACCGCATGCGGATACACCCTCTTCGCATCCTTCGCCATGTTCGTAATCGCATGCGGGACTTGAAAGCCCAACCACAGCAAATTCCTCACTTCCTTGAACAAGGTGATAATCTGCGGGTCGAAGTTCACTGCAAGTTGGAATCCACCTCCACGTAAGCGCACGATCTCGAATAGTCGTCCATCTACGCCCATGTTTCGGCGGTTGATGTCATGCAGCCATGCTTCGTAAACGGGACGGGTGTCCAGTTTTTTGCGGAAAGCGCTGGATTCAGATTGGAGTTTTTGGCCTTCGGCATAAAGTTCCCAGCCTTTTCCGAGGACATCTTCAACACGTTTCATGTAAGTGAGGAGTTGGCGTTCGATTTGGCGGGCCCAGATTATGGCGCCTGCGATGGGGGGTAAGTCCCGCATTTGCGACATATGGTAAGCTTCAGAGTAGCGGTATTGAGTTTTGAACTGGAGCAATATGAGGATCAAGATGAAGAGAATGTAGCTGTAGGAATGACCATACTTTGTCATGTAGATGTTTGATATCTTCCTTGACAGAGTCGATCAATTGTGTCTGGTATTCTTGGATAGCCCCACGGATCTGTGCAAAATTCATTCAAAGAAAAAACTCTCAGTCATAGGTACTTGCCTTCGGCCTGACAAATAACGCATTGAACTTTGAGAACACCCTGAACATCTCGTTCGCGTTTCTTGCAGTGCCCAGCCGATCCCTTAACCGTGCAATAATCTGGTTTTCGACTCTCGACACCCGCTCGTTGTATGCGTTTTCCGCTGCGACCCAAATCTCCGTACCCTCCACAGAAACATCCAACACATCTATCCGCTTAACGACTTCATATGCCTCTTTGACTTCCTCCTCCATATCCATTCCACCGACTTCCATCCCTACCGAACCAAGACCCTTGGTCGGACCAGTCATTATTGCTAGCTGCTCGTGCTGTTTTCTCCAATCTCGAAGATAGCGGGTTCGTTCTTGGAGTTTGGCATGGGCCGGGACTACTTTGATGGGTATAAATCGTTCTGAACGTTTCCTCGTCACATCTCGAGCGACATTGTAGAATTCTTTGATTTGATCATCCCATGTTCGGAAAATGCTCGTGGTCTGGGAGAGAAGACGGTCGAAGGTGTCGTAAGGGGTATAAGGAAGTCGATGGGAGGTGAGGATACGGAGTAATTGGTCGTTAAAGTCTCGTGAAATGGCTTCCACTAGAGGAAGCGCACGTCGAATCGGGTACGGCGAAAGTCGGAGTTTTCGGTTGATATGACTAAATATCAATATTAATGATTCCTGGATCTTGTCGAGGTCGGTAGCGGAGAGGAGTTCATTGAGAGGGAAGTCTTTCATGAGTTGATTGTACTTATGTACAAGATCCGTGGCATCTTTCAGACCTGTATCGGCAATGAAACTGACAGTTGCATGGAATCGTTTGGCATTCCGTAGGCAGTCCATGACCATAGTTACTTCGTCGCTCCGGAGTTGAGCCTCGATACCTTCGAGGGCTCGTTCTAAACTGAGCCAAAAGTTGATCTCCTGCGAGGCTGTCCCTGAAGCGACATCTCGAGTGAGTTTAGTGACGGCTTGGATAGATTTGATCCACGAATTGACTTGTGCGTGGAGAGAGTTGAGGAATGTACTATCGTTTAGAGTCTTGGTAGGTATATACGATAAGTTTGGCCGGGTCCCTGCTGCTTGCGCCTGTGACTAAACGTTAGAATGAAAAAATAAGTTCAACTCAACAACACACCTGTTCAACCGCCCGTTGGATAATCGGATGGATAGTAAGATGTGTCTCCGGTATTTCAACATTTTGCTGCAAGTGCAGAAGCGATAGTTCCAGCTCCGCAAACTTTTTCTTCGTCATGGGAATCCCCATCTTCGTATCTCCACCATCCTTTCCGCCGCCTCTTGCGCCAACGAAGGCATCAAACCAGGGCTTGACACCGCAGCTCACCACAGCATGTAAGCTTTCGTACGGAGTTTCCTCGCCTCCGAATAGGTTGAGAAAGTGAAGCTGGGTTGCTAGCGGAGTTGTGGGATCGAGAGTGGCACCACGCTTGATGAGGGCGAGGGTAAGGACGTGTGAGGGGTGATATGTTAGATGTTGAGTGAGCTGGTAATGGAACGTCTGTTCGGAATCATCTGTCAATTATTCAGTAAACAATGTAGTGCAATAAAAAACCTGGTTACCTTCAACCTCATCCTTGGCTTTCACGACATATAATACATCGCCTCCTTCTCCGGAAAATCGCGAAACGCGCTCGTCAAAATCGGTGTCAAAAATTCTCTCAAGGTCTGATGGCCGAGCACCGATTACTGGTGGCAGAAGTGCTAGGAGATACGAGCGAAATATTTCTGGATCGAAGAAGGGAGCTGTGGGTTCAGCTGGTGGGGTTTCTGAATGACCATTAGTTGTTGGAGGTTGTAAAGAGGAATCCATTTTGACGCGCTCGTGAGACTGGTCACGGACCAGATTGATGGAAGTAGAGCTCTTGTTTGAGTTGTTTGATCTTGTCCGAGACCAAAAGCCAAAGGAAGCTGAAGCCAATCTTCGAGAAAGTGTCCTTGGGTACTGTGAATAGTAACTGAATTCAGTGCTCATCATGGTGGAATGCGGTATCACAGAGCTCACATCCCAATGCAAGGAGACTCTTCAACGACTCTTAAACGAGGACGCCTCAAGGACCAATGTTCGTGGTCACTGCCGGTCACTGGATCCTGCGTTGGTCGAAGACGCTGAGATAAACTTGTAGATCTAACAAATGTAAACAGTTCCTCCGCGGATTCTCCAAAATTGCGAGCGTATAAATAACCATTCAAAACCAGAATTTCCAAGCGAGCACCACATCTAAACCATGCTTAGAAGATTCTGCGCAAACCGATTTTCAAGAAATCAATTTCTTGCGCTTTTATTTGTCCAGATTTTGATGCCTTTCGCGTGCGACGGACATCGCAGGTCAAGCTCGATCTATGTAGGAACTCCTTACATAGACGCATAGGCTATGCATACTAAGAGTAACTTCTCAATTCGCAGACGGACAATTCAAGCATCTTCATCGTTTGTGAGTTTCAATGTCTTGTTGCCAAAGACCAGTCTCCAGCCTTAGAATGAAATGGAGTTTGAAGCTTGAAAAGTTTCGTCACCTTGCAAGGTCTATTCTACCCGTATGTAATTCGACAATTTTTTTGATGCCACACTTTGAACCTGTTTTGTTCCGAGATTCCCGACTCACATCCCTCACTTAGCATATGGAGGCGTCTATGCGCGCCGCATTTTTAATCTACAGTTCCAGTACATACAGCCACCACCAAGGAGGTGTGGAACACAATAGTGGAGCCTAGTCATATAGATAAACTACCAGAAAATCGATCACAGTCGATCAGAGCACATCCTCCGTGTTAAGCTCGGGTTTCGGAGGCTTCGATGGTACAGCCTTACGCGGAACTGGTTCTTGAGCAATACCTTTATATCCCAAGTCGAATTCTGACCTTGTATCGAGGGACATCTTGATAGGCAGTTCAGGTAACTCATTTTGAATCAATTCCTCTATCTCCTTGACAAAAGCCCTGAGCTGGAGGCAATCGCGGCAGGAATGGAAATCTGATTGCGGCTCCAGTGTTTTCTTCCACTTCAAACTCTTCTTGATAACATTACTTTACAGGGGAAACATTATTAGAAACTTTGCAGTGGACGATTGTCGGACAAAAATACATACTTCGTTCGGGTAAGCTGCTTGTCTAATGAATCTGCCTCTTCTGATTTTAGGGGTAAACGAAGACGCTTTTTCGTGCTGTTCTTCAATTCCTGGGTGCCAATGTGGAGAAGGTCAATAAAGACCAAGATATGTGGTAGAGGTCCAAGCATCATCTTGCGATATCGACCATCTGGAACCCCTTTCATCTTCAAATATTCATCAAACCATTTGTCTCGAGATACCGAAAGCTGTGTCCTTTCCTTCGCTTTTCGAGTTGAATACCGTCTATATGCTTGTTGAATAATCGTAGCGTTCTGATGCTCATCCTCTGTCGCTTCAAGGATCTCGGGTTCCTGAACAAGTGGATTGTCGAGTGTATTATCTATTGAGGAAGGAATTGTCTGTTGAGCCACATCCTCCACTTGCTCGATCGGCTCTGTATTTAGATCCATTGTTACATCATCGGAATCACCTTGTCCTGGTGTGGCCTCAGCTTGCACTGTCGCCGATGTAAATTGCGTGAGAGACGACTCGAATGGAGCTGCAGTTGCTCTAAGTCTAACATCCCGCGGAGCATTGTCATTGATGGAGGGTGCTGCAGGCGGAACTCCCTCAACAAGCAGCTGAGGAAGAGACTCAATCTTGTCATACACTACGATACGAACTCCAGATGGAGCAAATCGGGTGTTGTTATATCTGTCTTTGTGTACGACATTGATCATCTCGTCCATTGTCGAACCTCTCGTGGAGTGCCGCACTGCATGTGCAATGTCGCTCCATTGGCGTGCTTCAACGTAGCTAGAGCATATTCAAGCAAAACACAGTGAAGGAGTTGATAGCTGACATACAATCGATATGTAAATGGAAACGGTGTTTCAGCTTGCCGCACTGTTCGAAGTGAAGTTATCTCGTTTAAGATCCTCAACCTAAAATCGTTGTCCCCGAAATTATAGCCAACTGATACGAAGGTCAAAAGTAAGATAAGGGATTTAAAAAACTTTGACACCCACGAAGAGATATTGCCCTGCAACTAAAACAAAAGGTCAACAAGGATAGCTCTAATGCAATACGTAACTCACATTCTGGATATGAAAATTGTGCGAACTCTGATCGGAACATTCGAAGTGAGGTTTCGATTCTCATACATTAGATGGTCTGCAAAGTGGTATTTCAGGAGAGCGAGCAGCTGAAACAATGATATTGTCCGCACCTGCAAAGCGGCCAGTGTAGACCTGAGCAAGAAGGTCCCCAATAGGTATGATTAGATTGGGAAGCTGGGAAAAGTGTTTCCTTCTCTCTTCCTCAACACAAATAGGTTTCATCAACCAACTGCGTGGTAGAGTGACGTTGTGGAGTTTGAGGTCCCGGGAAGAGCTGCTAGCCAAAACCAACGACCGACAAAGTCTCTCCAATATGTCACAAAGAAGACCAATCTCAATAGGAACTGAATTTGCCATTATATGCCTGCAGATGATATACACAATTTTAGGATATACCGCAAGGTATAAGCAACAGAGCTTACCACAGAGTGAGAACCGCGGCGTCCAAACACTGCGGATTCGGTTGAGGATGATCCTCAATGAAACCAATCAGTTCGTAAACAATATGACCACCACCTCGTCGAAGGAATAGCGGAGGGGGATGAAGGCGAGTATAGTTTCCTCGACGGAGTAGCGATGTCGATAATGCATGCGGTTTATCGAAAACCATTGCAAGCGTGCCGATACGGGTGAGGTCAGATAGAAAAGTATTTACCGGAAGATAAGGGCGTGAGTAGATGAAACTGTGGATCCATTGCTGTAACGTCTGCAGGGCTTCTGGGTATTCCACGATAGATTCGAATTGGGCTATTGCCAATGTCCCGATTATATGACTAGACGGGAACAACGCGTCATAGAGACGACTTAACCAGAAACTGCAGTCTTGAAATGAGTAACGGCATATTGGAAATGCATCGGACTAACCTGCGTTGGGTGACCATTGCAATAGAGCTGTATTGATATACTTGATGAAGAATCCGCACAATCAAAACTTGTTGCAGATGAATTCTTAGCCTTGTATTGTAAAAGGTGCTGGAGAAGGATGCTGCTGAGAGATGCGCATTGTGACAAGATGTTTGCCGGTGACAATACTCGAAGACTGCATATGTTAGGCAAGGTGTGAATGTGCTACAACCTCTGCATATACTGTTCTGTTCAAAGACGAGTTCGCGGAGTCGATTGGAAACACGTGATCGAAAATAACGCATAAAAGTCATCATGTCCAGCTGTAAATCGTGACCAGATGAGACATTAGGATAGTTCCTATGAAGGAAGCTTCCGCTAGAGAGGAGAATATGGCTGTCCGAAAGTTTGAGAACTCCAAACAGTTTGCACAATCCAAGCTGATCTGCCGGCCTAGGATTGGTAAAGAGATCGAGTAGAAGTTGAGCATATCGGCGAAAGAGATCCAACTCGTCTGCCATCTGGTAAACTGTAAGATTATCAAAAGGTAAAGGAGGATTATAATAATGATCAAGGCAGAGGAGTGCAGAGGGAAGACTATTTGCTTTGAGAAAAATAATTCCAAGTTTTCGAAGCGTATTTTGATCCTTGTTAACAATAGCCTGAAACATAGCCAACTAACAAGGATTAGACAGGTTTTTAGAACGAGAAACCTATCAATACTCACCTCGTCGCGAGAATTTGGTGTTAATGATGACTGGTTAATTTTCTTGGCAAGTTGAAAGAGCTTGACAAAATCAAAATCTTCGGTCATTTGGTCTGGAGGCACGGAGAATGTTAATTTGCGCCACAGTCCATCCAGGATACACTCAGTAGCTCTGCGTGCAGAGTTTTCATGATCGATGTCAGTATCTTGGAGGAAATAGTCAATCGCTTCCAAAGTTCTTCCTTCTGCCAAGTGGAGCTCCGCAGCCTCGCGAGTTCTGCCATGAGCAACAAGCAAAACGGCTCGTGCTATATCCATGTCTCTATCTTCAAGATATTCCAGTTGAGCGTCCACTGTATCGAACAAGGAGCCCGCCTGCCTGCAGAACGTTGATTGTCGACTCGGACGAATATATTAACAAACTCACTGAAGCTTTTTGTCGCGGTCGAGACAGGAGGGCAATGATTGCACTTGATTGAAGTAGAACATCTTTGCAACACGAATAGTATCAGCAACAAGGGATGGTTCTACATCTGTCTCCGTTTGAACAATCTTGACTGCCTCGTCGTACCGGTCCGCTTTTCTGTAGCATCGAACGGAGTCGTTGAACCGGCGAGCGAGATTGTAATTTCTAGCTGCAAGTAAAAATTCACCGGCCTTCTCGTAGCAAGTCCCTGATAATCTGACAAAATCTGAAATTCTTTTACGCCTGGCAGATCGAGAGCATTGATAGAATGCTTCTGCAGCTTCATGGAATTGGGCGTTCCGTAACTTGGCATTAGACTTGTCTAAACTTGATCGTTCAGCCTTTTCTCGAAGACGATAAGCTTCGGCAATTGCAACCTTCTTAGGCTGAAGAGCGCGCTCAAAGCAGTGTTTGGCTTCGGCCCATTTTTTCCTTTCAAAAAGAAGATCACCTTGTCGTGCCCAATCCTCGGGCGAGGAGGAGGTGGCAAGTTTAGGAGCATTTGTCCCAGGTTCAATATTCCTAACTAGGTCTCGTTCGGTCCAGTACATCTAGAGCAAATGTGAGGAAGTGGTGGCAGGTCATGTCGGCGGCCTACCCTCATGGGTTCGCTACTCTCCGAAGAATCGACGATCCAAACATTCTCCCGGGCCCTTGTGATCGCAACATAGAGAAATTTAAGCTGGGCAGTAATTAATCAAAGTAACGTGAAGCTCGCGACAGACATACTTCAGTGCAAATACTAGCATAACGCTGCTTGTTTCTCTCAAATTCAGGAGCAGTCACTACCGAACGATCGTTGAGAGCACTTAGGATGAGCCTCCACTGCGCTAGCTTGGCAGGTGAATCACCAAAAAAGTCGTAGAGTAGAACCTTCACAATATAGGTATCAGCGAAAAAACGAGGATCAAGGAATAGGACCAACGTCGTTGAATTCCAAACCCTTGCTGTCATAGATCGTCCTATATATGATTTCGACGTGATTTCAGATAGTAAAACCAAATGGCCATCCTTACATGATGAGACCAACACCGTCGCCTAATTTCAGTTTGAGGCGATCTCGAGCAGCTTCATTTCGAACCAGGATACCTAAATAGCAATAAGACGATAAACACAGAATTTTAACTTGAGATATATTCACATTGTTGTGCACCAAATTCAATTCGGTTTCCCGAATCCCCAAAGACGAAATGGTCAAGGCCTGCAGTATCCTCGTCCCACCCAACAAAAAACAACGGCTTCAGTCCGGCGACGACTCCCTTTTCAGGCGCAAGTCTATCAATTGAATCTTTCCAAAAACGTGTTATAAGCTCAATGATAGAGTGCGCGCAATCGACGATTCCAGAATGGGAGCGATAATTAACTGATAATTGGAATGTCTGCGGCTCAATAGCTGCTTGCGAGTTTGATGAAGTTGACCGGCGGTTTTCCTTTGGGAGTGATTTGAAATGGTGGAAGATGGAAAGCATCCATAATTTACCTCAAGTCTCCATTGAAAAGCTTTCAGCGAATTGAACCTGAAAGAGCTTCCCACGGATATCGTCTGTGCTGTATCGCCTGCCCAGAACAACCCATTCTCATCATGGCATAGCAAGCGTAGAACTACGGGGCACTATCAGATATTAGCGTGGACAATGTAAGAAAGATATATACTAAGCGTGTCGATTAGCAGGTTATCTTGGACTTCGTCCACATATCTAAAAGGAATGAATCGAGAGAGGACATTTAGAGTCGATATGTGTCACCAAGTAGAGTTGACTTTACAGGTGATCGAGCTTTTGCCCCGGTATTCCTTGAAGTTTGAAGAAGTCTAGAATTTTGTGGGCCCTAAATAGAACTGAACCTATGTCGGTAGCTCATTGTGTAGAAAACAAACCTATCTGCGCCATCGACATCTCCCAACCTTTTCTTTTTCGCAAGATATGCCATGAAGAGCTCGTAAAGGTCTTCCCGATTTTCCGCAAAGGTTGACTGGCTTCGTGTGCTAAGATTATGATAGGCAGCGCGATCCAGAAAGTGTTTGGTGCCTTCGAGTGTTTCCTCTGATGCCTTTATAACACCTATGACATGCCCATACTTCAATGATGAGCAGCCAGGAATGTCTATAAGATTTACCTATCAATTCGCTGAAGACAAGGGAAGGGTCTTAGGAGGAAAGTCAGTCTTTGGCACATATTCAGGCAATTATGCTAATAATTCACCTAGCTTTCCCGCAATAGACTGCGAAAAGTGAGGCCAATAATCCCGCAAGAATACTTCATATGTCACGGCAAGGCTACCCCGCTCCGACGCATTGAGAGGGATACTAGCTTTAGGATGTTTCTTGGTTTTAGACTCAGCATTGGCGATATCGGCTTCTAACATGGCACAAAGCTAAGTAATATGAGTTTTGATCAAACCACAGTCGAGAAAATATACAAACACCATTGAACGTCGTGAACAGAGGAAAGTGCTCGTCACGAAGATCACTGAATTTCGAGGGGAGATCACCACTCCAATCAACAATATCATCTACATGAATCATGTCGTCCTCGTCATCTAGCACATTGCCTCTCTGACTAGCACGAATTTCACACAAGTTACTCAGTGATTGGGAGCTGGCAATCAAAGAACGACCAAGAGTCACAAAATACTGTTCTACTTTCTTCGCCAGAATTCGGGATTGCGTGACGAAGATTTGGCGTGGCTTGGGAGCATCGGCACCTGTCATTTGATGAGTTCTTTCGACTAGAAGCATTTTGAATAGTAAAGTTGTTGTTTTGCTAAGTGATAACGCAGTCAGTCCTGCACCGCTGGGAAAGGCGTCCCGGTAGCGCACCCAGTCCCGCTCCGTCCAATAACATAACATGACTGTGGATGTTCGATGATTTGCTTTTCTTTCGCACTATGAAACCTCAATAAGCATGCAATGGGGATTTGAACATTGATGCACTCACGATACTAGATGAGGAAAAGTGGCATCCAAATCGGCCAACATAGCTGGACGTAATGTTAATAATAGTTGGATCGCGTTGCATAAGGACTCACTGTTAAGCAAAGGCTACAGTGTGAATAGATCAGAAATCTTATGTCATAGTATTTATTAATCCGAACGCGACTAACCTGCGAGAAGACGACATATTTATCCATCCTTTGAAGTGATTCCTCAGCTGTTATTGATCCGCATACGGTACAACAAAACCTTACAGAAAGCGTGAATGTACCTATAAACACTCAACATTATTAGCAACCGGATAGATCAAGCGCAGAGCTACGAGGCACAAACTCACCGGGTTTTCATCCGCTAACCAATTAAAGGGTTCATCTTCCTCTGTCTCAGGTAATGGTGGAAAAAAAGCAGGAACAAAGGTTCTGTCAGCAGCGTGTTCAGCTTTGATGCGTATAGCACATCTTATGTGCACAAAAAATCAGAACAGGCGTACAACGGTGAATTGATACACACATACCGGTCCCTATACTCCTTCCCTTTTCGATCGAGTTGCCTGCTGATTGATTCCCACATCCGATTGTCCATTTGCGCGTGGGTGTATATACCGAATATCTTGATAGCTGAAAGAACAATGATTGCTTAGGTCGTGCCGTGACAAAGGAATATGTTTCACAAATTACCTTGTCGTTCTCTCTGAGGATGATGCCATTCGATATGGTAAGAACAAATTGAAGCAAGATAGCAACCCATTCGAACCTCATCATCATTGACGACAATGTCAATTTGATACTGAGGTCATGTACATGTAAGAACGATTAAAAGGAACCAAGCTGACTAGACATACGATCAAACGGAGGTCCGAAGTCATTTTTGCTTCAAAAACCGGTACCTCAGAGTTAGGACCGCTGAGCCGCTTCTGATTATCAGCAGAAAAATGCCCGTTAGAAAGTTCCCTTCAGTACAGAAAACAGAATTTAGAACCGAGGCATGGATTATGGATGTCTGGACGTACTTGATCTTTTTAACTATGATATCAAAGGAAGTCTTGTCCCTTCTGTGTCTAATTCGCAACTCAGTATCAGCATTTTGGCTTATAAAGATAGACCATTCTCCGAATCCATCGATGCTGTCGAAATGAAGGGCTCTAAAGAGAGTGTGAGGCAAATTGAGTTGTGGCGTGCACAACTCACGATTTCATTGGTTGTACTTTAGGAAAAGCTAGCTGAGTAACATCCTCTGTAGGAGCTTGATCTTCCTGACGGGCACTTGACGTTAGGTTTTGGTACGTAGTCGGATCAACCGCAGTCTGGGAGATGAAGCTTGTTTTAATCGCAGTCCCTATGTTGGTGTCACGAACAAGGTCCAGATAAAACTGGTGAGTGGACTTTAGTAGGATTGACTTGGAATTGAAGTCAAGAGACATACATTGAAAATGTTCTCCAATGTTTTGAGGACTTGGAGAGTCAGCTTTTCCGCGTCGAATCGAGTCGAAGGTACTTCGAGGCCGAGACTTTTGAACGGTTTCGGATCTAATGCTTTGGATTTTGTTCGGGTGTGTTTTTGGCCTTTTTGCTTACGACGAACGCGGATACCGAAGGAACTGACTTGCTCGTCCTCAGGGATCGAACTTTCTTCAGAGAACTCTGCTATGGAAAGTGACTTCAGCACAACCGGAGCATTTTGAACGGTTGGATAATAGGTCCTGATCAGATCCTGCGATTGCAGAATGGAAGGTGGCATGTCATGAAAATACAAGAAATGTGATAAATTCAGGAGCAACTCAAGTGCTACAGATTCACCAAACAGTTTTGGTTCTTGAAAGAGGTCGGAGATGTGGGCTCGAAGAAGATTGAAAGCATCATCGTGGACACCTGAGGTACGTCAACTCAAGAAGTCTGAAACTGCAGGGAACCTACAGGAGATGACAAGTGGCAAAGCACTTTGTTGAGTTTGTAAAAGCTCTGCGATGAGAATACCTAGTCGCTGATGATTGACGTTTACAAGAGCTTCGAATTGAGTCAAAGCTGCTTCCACTGCTGCTAAGGAGGTCATACGAGAGCTCAAAAAAAGAGCCTCAGGAAGAATCTGGGTGGGTAGAATGTTCATGGTGGTAGAGGCAAAGTTTAGAAACACAGTTGCTTTGTCTGCAGGAAGGTGTACTGCGGAGCAACGAGGCAAACACAGGCCACAAGACCAAGACAAAGCGCCTAATAGTGGCGCTTTGAGGAAGCGTATTACTGCTATCACTCCAAAGAAAGTCAAAGAAGCTCTTGGAAGAGACGTACAACTATGATTGCCGTCCGGTACCACGTCTCTCCTCGACCACAAGGACGAAACAAAGGGAAATATGAGATATTCTTCAGGCTAAAAGGATCCTCGAAACCGAAGCTGAACCTTCTTTCTACCGTCAATTGTTCTTCGAATTTTCTGAAGCTTGACGGAAAAAAGAACGGTGTTAGAACCACGTGGTGCATTGATTTGACGCTTGACTCATGATCAGTAAGATCTGTCTCTGGCTTCGCCAGGTTTTGCCCCCCCAAAGATATGGGGACATTGGAAAGAAGTACAATGCAAAACAGAACTGTGGAGATTGGGGAATTTTAAGACAGTTATGACTACTAAACAACTTTTTTGATGAATTCATAGCCCAAGCATCAGGAGCATCCTAATATTCATGCATCAGAAATATGAAGCAGAATTCCGAAATGTCACTCACATTCAGGCTTCGCCCAGCCTGGTCGCTCAACCAAAACACGCACAACTCTTTCTTGGTCTTTTTTTCCTTTCTTTATATGTCCAAGCGGTATACGTGCATGATAATAATTCTTTTCCCCCACGAAACGATAAACGAAGCCGCATCGTCTGTCTCCAAAATGTGGATTGCCTTTGAACTTATATTCGACTTGAGAATATTTCGACAGCCTAGACTCCGCTTCGAGAGCTTGAATGGTTGTTTTCACTTTCTCATCCAGATTTTTTAATGTATGCTCTTCATCTATATTGGAATCATAGAATACTTCGATTTGGAGCTTCTCCTCGCGAGGAAAATTTTTGACTGTGGTGTAATCGGGAGTCCAAGCTGTTGCTGTTGTACTCAGTGCGCTCAAGTCGTTCAAAAGTTCTCGAGCAGTGTGAGAATCTGGCTGGATAGACGTCCTTAATTAGAAACATATACAGGATGCAATGAATTTGAACTTACACGAGTCGGAGACGGGGCAGCACATACAGCAGATGCAACTCCAAGAACTCCAAAGAAATAGTTGAAGCGCATGCTAGACGACGAATAAAGCTAATAAAGGCTAGCGGGATTTGGCGAGCACAAAAATTGAAAAACGGGTCATTCTAATGTCATTACCATTACACGAGAGGCGGCGAATCAAGCGACGTACTATTTTGTTGTTTGACCGGCAAAGAATTGTGACTCGGCCAGCGATGTGATAGAAGATAGAGGCAGGAAAAAGTCGAGGGAGGGAAAGCAAACAAAAAACAAGATGAGAACGAGAAAGATGGGAACGAGATATAGTATATAATGCAGATTGACTTGGGCGGGGAGACTCGGGTGCTATCTATGAGGCATGTGCAAACTTCAAATAATGCTAGTGAGCCCAGATGGCGAGTGAGCGTCTTACGCTATCGATTTTTGTGAATGTAAGACTCGGAGATTGATATGGTATACCGAATGCAGTGCCAATAGCTTCATCAGATTTATGCTGGAAGGAAGAAAGGAATATTGAACGGCTTGGTCCAAGATCTGAACACCGCACAGTCCGGGTATTATTAGTGTGGCTATTCATGCGATGTGATGCAAACTTGAATTCAAGTGAGTCTGTAAACCCTCGTACGCATACTACATTGAATCATTTTGCAACTTAGTCAAGCACACTTCATTTCAAGCTACTCATAGCAAAAAGACGCATCAGATGAGACTCACTGTGAGTCGTTTCAAACGAACACACCTTGCAATGCACTCAATATCGACCAAAACATCCCTCGGAAGACGGGCAACCTCAACTGTAGATCTCGCAGGTTTGTGTGAACCAAAAGCGGCCGCGTAAATCCCGTTTACTGTGACAAAATCGTTCATGTTTTTCAGGAAGACCTGTTGGTAGCATCGAGCGCCTCTCAGTAGATCCGATAGTATCACAAGAGCGCTCAATACGTACTGTAGTTTTCACTACTTTTCCGAGCTCTGATCCACCAGCATTAACGACGGCAATCAGGTTCTTCAAAGTTTGCGTTGTCTGCGCCTCGATACCTTTGACAATTTCACCAGTCTTAGGATCCATGGGGATACAGCCAGACACGAAGAGCAAATCTCCGGCCTTGATCGCTTGAGAGTAAGGTCCAATCGCACCGGATGCATCTAATCGATATTCTGAGATATGTCATCCAAATCGCACCCAGATTATTAGCTCACCGCTGGTAGAAATGGAAGTCAAGGATGGATGAGTGGACATTCTGCGAGAAACAAGTTGTGTGATATGTATGCCTGGTAATCCTAAGGTTAGTTTTGGTACCTCGTGGCACAAAATATGCCACGTATGGGAAAGATCCACAAATCTGCTCGGTCGATTTTCGGACTGGATTTTTCAATCCATGTTCTAAATTATAATGAAACGGTCATTTCTGGTTCAGTCTAAACTTGGACGAAGCAAACGAGCACGAGATTTAGATACTTGAGGGCCTGCGGGTGGAATACTCAATCTGAGTAAACAATTCTTGAGCCAGCTTCAGCCGGTCTGATGCGACAGACGTACGCTGCTCGCTTAGCTTAGTAAGCGAATGCAGAACCACCCACATAGGGAGGCTCAGAGAGCCTCCTTAGCACTCCCTGATAGACGGTTCTGCTCGAGTTTTGATCAGAATCCGTTAATCGGACGTGCTCGAGGACGTTAGAAAAGATCTGAAAAAATGGACTCCAATAATCCTTAAATACGGGAAGTCATCGTCGTCCAATGGTCGTCAAGTCGATAATTCCGATTCATGCGATGTAGGAAGTGCGCAAATTCAGATAAATATTAACCCCCGTCAAACCTCAAGGAGGAGGAGGAGGAGGAGGTACCGGCATGGTTCCAATTAGGAACAACGGGGCCCAAGGCTTCATGAGTGTCCTGATTGATTTCATTTTTGAACGCCTTGGATATTGTACGTGGCAGGCATAGTACTAATCGACTCATTTTGTAACTCAGTCAAGCCCGGTTTATTTCAAGCTACTCGAAGCAGAAAGACGCATTAGACTATATTCATTATTATGCAGTGACTTCGAGGAAACACACCTTGCAATGCACTCGACCTCGACCAAAACATCCTTCGGAAGGCGAGCAACCTCGACTGCAGATCTCGCAGGTTTATGTGAACCAAACGCGGCCGCATAAATTCCGTTCACTGTGACAAAATCATTCATGTTTTTCAAGAAGACCTATCATGTGGTAACATTTAGCACCTCTCGGAGAGTCTGTACGAGAGCACGTACTGTGGTTTTCACTACTTTTCCCAGCTCTGATCCACCAGCATTAACGACAGCAATCAGGTTTTTCAAAGCTTGAGCTGTCTGCTCCTCGATGCCTTCGACAATTTCACCAGACTTAGGATCTATGGGGATGCAGCCAGACACGAAGAGCAAATCTCCGGCCTTGATCGCCTGAGAGTAAGGTCCAATCGCACCGGGTGCATCTAATCGATATTCTGAGATATGCAATCCTATCAACTCAAAGCATTAGCTTACCAGAGGTTGAAACAATAGTCAGGGATGGATGAGTGGACATTCTGCGAGGGACGAATCGTCTCGTATGGTTGGTCGAAATCCAAGGATTAGTTCTGGTGGTTAAAGAAATGGTCGTCCTGATCATAAGTAACGCGTCGCGAGAACATACCCACGTGTCGTTTAGTAGTTGTCAAGGAGGTCATTATCCGGACAATGGTGTATTTTGTACACGAAAGCATGCTAGTATGTAGTAGAAACATCGGGAAAGTTGAAGGGAAGGTTTGTTTATTACACAAGGAAAGCAAAACGGAAATGGGTATACACCGGCATTGATACAGACAGCATCCGAATAGAGCAAAAACATCAGGAATTAGCAGAAGATATCGTTGTATAAGTTAAAGCACGAAAGTAATAATACTTAGTGTATAAGTGAAGTAGTCCAATGCAAATAAGACCTGCGAAAGGAAAAGGTCGTAATCGAAGGTATTCTATACCAATTTGAGGGTTCGTAAATTGCCCCTGATGATAATGTCCCGTACTGCAAACACAATCATGAGTTCTGCTAACAGTATTTAAGAAGATGAACACACCGTCTGCAATTATGGTTCCTGTACGTCTGGTATCCGTGACAGCGGTTAAGTGAACTAGAGGAGATCATGAATTGTGGTCATTGAATAAAGAGTGAGCGCAAAGCTTACTGTACAACTCCCGCTCTTTGTTGGGTGTTGCTGCCTGGTGTATTGCACCAAATCTGTTGCGGAAATCTTCACGAAGGGCATGTCCATATCAAAACTTATGACGAGATATGAGCTTCACGTACACTTCGACACAGAATCATAATCATTGGGCCTGTCTCCATATGATACCATATGGTCATTCAACCGTACTCCGGCACTGAGCTTAGCCTAAAGACAAAATCATAGCGTGTCAAACTTTACGTTTGTGGTAGTTATATACATACCTGTAGAAGGTCACATTTGTTTAAAAAGAGTACGACGTTCACATTTGCCAGTAGTTTGTTTGATATTACGCCTTTCCAAAGGAGAAAAGAGTCCTCTAGTCTGTTAACACGGTGGTCCTGAGAAAAATTACGATTGTATTAGAGAACAGTGTAAAAAAGAAAGACTTGGTTGCTCCTGCAATATACTGCTTACTTCAGTCAATACCTGATCAAAAGCCGATATCGGTGCTAAAAATATGATAGCGTTCACTTTTGGAAAAATAAAGGTTGTCAAATTATGTAGTTGGACCTCGCGGATAGGTACGGAAACAGGAATCTCACCATCTGAAAAATACGGCGCCCAGGCATGACGTTGATTCCGAGCACCTCCAACGTCGTAAATTTTCCACTGTACGCCACGATTTGCTCCCGAAGGAATAATGAAGGAGTGTTCGACTACGCCCACTGTCTTGAGTCTCGCTTTCAGTACGTCATCTATCACACATGTCAGTATGAATATCATGACTCCGTGGTTCGGACGTACCATTTGTTGGGATGTATTTTTTAGCCGTAATACGAGGAATCTCGTTGAGATAACTATGTAGGTATAGAATGTTAGTAGCGCCGCAAGGCCAAGAAGAGAGAGGCACACAATCCCGCGCTTTCTTCTAATCTGATACCCTTTTCTTGTAGTCGTTGACGTACGTAGTGGTCCTTCCAAAGTTCTTGGATAGCAGGGGCACAAGCATTTAAAGCGTGAACGGGATCGTCAGGATCTTCCCACCAGCCTTCAATTTCGCCGGAATGCGCACTCTTCGGACTCTTGGATTTACCTCCGAGAGCAAAGGCCTTCCTCCAATTCATTGAAGTGTGAACCGCAACCTCTTTACTCTTCCAGGAACCCGAGTTACCGTTAGAACGCGTTGGAGATGGATGGGAGGTTGGAGAAACAGGGAGTGATTGTGAATGTGATGATAAACTGCTCTGAGGTATCATGATTGTAGGAGCTGGTCGACCGTTAGACGTAGTCGCAAAACCATTAACATCACTGTGTTGCCAGGAAAGTGACAGACGAGTTGGTTCTTCTTCGTCCGGAGCAGTGAGAAGACGGGTCAATTTCGCCTCCAACTCTATAAGAGGTTCCAGGCGTTGTTTGTACATATCGTACATTGGCACCCTCGTGGCTGATAAAGCAGAGGGTGGACGACCATTGGAGGAAATAATGATGCTGGCTGTTTCGTTGGAGTCCTCGTCGTGATCGTCGACGTCTGCTTCCGGTGACAATGCATCAAGAATTCTGGGAACAAAGTTACAAACGTATGCAGGGTATTAGAATGAGAAATACATACCGTCTGACTGATCTCACTAAATTTAAATAAATTACAGCTCTCCAAGCGATACGCTCTGCGTGGAAAGCGGAGGGGGTATGAAGCAATTGGAATTCTGTTGAGAATGGGAGAAATCAGTGAGTTAATTGTCACCACAATTGGAAACAGGACGACAAGGAAAGGAACTCTAACTAGAGGTTAGTTCACTGATTTTCAAAGATACGGTTCCCACTCACCCATACAATGCCACACAGCAGCTAGTATGATCCCTCAAAGCACAGAATTAAGATAGACTGACGTTTTAAGGTTGTACTCTTCCCAGATTCTGATTGCCCAAGTAGAAGGACATGGACCTCCGCGCGCGTCTTCTTGCGTTCTATCCGTTCCTGCCTAAGCATTTCATCGATACCATCACTGATCTTTTTAGCTTCATTCTCTGCTCTTATGCGTAGCTCCTTCTCTTCGGGGGTCTCGTTTGACGGGGGGAGAAGAGCAGCAGCAAGTGGGTCAAAGTCAGAGAGCGATCGACGACGGCCAAGATCCTCGCTCCGGCTTTTGACCATTAGCGTTGCTGATTGCGTCGAACCTTCGAGGCAAGCGTAATGTAAAGGAAGCGGGGGAAGGGCCAAGGGACGATTAGGGAGATGAGAGTAAGAAGTAAAAAGCTTCCACGGTCGCGTTTATACTTACATGAAGAAAGACACGTGCCCCAATATTTCCTCTGATCCGATTCCTACATCCCGCCCAAAGTTGCAACGGTGCCTTAGAAGCTGAAACGAGTCGACGCAGGTCGATGCACCTTACAGCGTTGAATGTTCTCTGAGCTTAAAGTGACCCTTCAAGACCTGCTCGCTATCATCTCATCTCTGTTTGAAATGCTGGAATCATCTCATGCTCAGATCCTCCTCCGACGTGCCATTCATTTTTTCCATCGGCGCTGTACCGTGGTACTTAGTCTAAGTGCAAAGAGTTCCGCTCTTGATCACCACCAATTGGCAAGGAAATAAAATCTTACTACTTTCAAGAGGAACCAGCACAGGTATGTGTGCACAAGATGCGATGCGGCATCGCTGACGGATAAGCTACCAGGGAAACGAACGCGTTCAAACAACATGATTCACAACATCTCTTCGTCGTGGCCATGAGCATCATGGTTGGTCTTGCTGTCAACTTTCGACTTTCGAGTATTCCTTGGATTCGCTGTTTAACATTGCTGTGGCGATTTCTGGGAATGCAGTTCGCTATACACATTTCCCTATTGAATGAATCTCAGGCTGGCAGCTGGCTCTGGTATCGTGGTACGTCTGTCAGTGCGAGTATGGCTATGTATGCTATGTCGTGATTCCGGAAACTCCTGGGATATGGAGCTGAGATTTGAAGTCTTTAAAAACTAACCTAATTTCATAATGGTACTCAAATTCAGGCCCTTCAAGAAAACCAGCTTTGACCGTCTCGTGTCACGGTGATCATTCGATGTGGATGCAACAGAAAGTAATTTTTCATGAAGACTACTATCGCTTCGTGTGATTAGAGGACGATGGCTTTCTGCATAAATACTTCAGGTACATATTGGTCATGGGCAGGCGCCCGATGAGAACGAATGGCTCGGATTAGCTCGGATGGCGTTTTGACTGTCCTGGTGATGCAGAGCCTGAACAATTTCTATACTCTGCAACTTGAATTCCGATGGACTCCAGGCTACCAAAGCTAGTACTTGAGCTCAAGCTCAAGGCTGACAGCGCTGACCGAACTCCTAAACAGCCCTGGCTGTCATGAAGCTTGAAGAGTCATATATCACTGACAGTACAAATACTTCGACTTTTTTTTCTCGCTACTCGTACGATGGTATCCACTCAAAGATTACACATTTAAAATCGGCATTGCATGGCAGTGCATTCAGTCAGTTGCATCCTATCGTCGAAGCTCCTGCGATCCCCTAAGTTACATACTGACATAGATTAATGTTTTCTAGTAGGGGAGGATGTTTCACATTGCAGAGCCTACGACTGAGCCTGATGGATCTTGATATTAGCAGGATTAACAGTAGTCGTTGAGTAAGTTGTAAAGACAGCCTGATTGTGTACATAGCGTGGCATTGGTCTCTATGAAATTATAGCGGCCGATATTAGATTTAAAACCCAATGATTTGACAGTAATGCAGTCCCTATCGCAATACCATCCTCGAAATTATGACGCAAAAGCTCAGCACCATGACGGAGAGGCTCCGCATCGGAAATATGAAAAGAATCGAATGTAATGTCTGTCTGAGATATGTGGATGTCCACGAGGTAGGAGAGGCAGTAGATGGATGAGGGAAATTTGTAGAGCGTGTAGAGCGTAGTGGGGATTCGCATAATGAAAGAGATTGTAGAGCACGTATTGACAAAAAGACGGTTAAATCGACGCGGCTGGAAATCATTCTCCTGGGAATGAGATTGATGGACCCAATGACTATCCTCCGCAACTAGAGTGAAGGTACCAGTATCATCTTCCCAAATTCGACGAAGTTGAGCAGCAAGCCGGCCGAATCGGTAAAGCCGAAAGGTGGTATGATTATAAATGTGCCATTGAGAGCTGTGATGAGTGATCCGCGACTCGTCCTTGATGTCCTCCAAACTATCTCCTTCATCCGCGTTACGCTGTCGCAACTTCAACGTGCTGAAGATTGTCTTCATCCGAAACTCGTCAAGCCGCTGAGTCTCTTCATTCAGGATGGTGTAGAGAATGTTCCGCCGCAAGGCCACGATCCACGATGGAGTGTTTTTCGAAGAGGGAATTCGCAAGCAGAAATCATGAAGCGATAATGAAATTGGTGCGGGGCGAGCTATCGTGTCGTCAAGAATGGAGAATGGAAAGACGAATGTGAGTACAAGCTCTGCAATAGTAAAGTGTTGGCTAGCGTCCGATCGATAATTGATCTTTTTCATCGATATAGAAGCCCATGTTCGGCGTTTTCGATGAGGAATGTGGAAAGAAATCTGTGTTTCTCCAACAGCCAAGTGTCGCAAGCTGCCAATGGATATCCTGAATGGTGATACGACGATGCACAATGGCCAAAGGTGTATGGACAAAAGCCCCAGAAAACGAGAGATTGCCAAACAACAGGATACGAGAACGAAGAAGAAAGCTGTGAGAGAGGACAGAGTCATAAACGAAAACAGTGTGGAATCGTTGGACCTATATAAGAGCATGACGACACCGCAGTCCAGACATTGACATAGGAGGCCCGTCGGTTAGCTTGGTTGATAAGCGTTAACAATGGCATTGTTGAGAGGAATGAACACGATGAATCAGGACCACCTTATCGTTCTCGCAATTGCTTAATTTCTCACTGTCAGTGTCACCGCTGCCGGCGACAGAAGAAAACCGGCTTACCGCCCCGGACATGCTCCCAAACAGTCAACCTTTTGTCGAAGCTTCACGCTGACTTGCACAAGCATTGAATCTGCGGCAACACTGAGGCGCCTGTATGGGAAAGATCGATGCGGAAAATGCACTGTCATTTTTGTTCATCAATTAGATTTGATATAACCAGCTTTGACTTAGGTAGGTTCGTTCTGAATGGTAGAAGGTTGCAGAAGCTGTGCTAGATAGGATCGTTGTAGCGTAGGAGGGGAATATGAAAATCCATATAGACAGTGTATGGGGAATCACTTTCCAATGCGGAGTAACGGGAAACACGGTGCGCACAACCATGTGCTCCCTTTCTTCCCGCACATTCACACCTACCTCCATCAGAATTACCTCTGCTGCCTGCTTGCTTCATTGTACGTGGTTATCGGTCAACTCACATAGAAAGCGACAGGACTGCACCAGTTATCTTTCGAGCGGACCTGTCGAACGACTAACGGGAGAATCCTGGAAAACACACCGGAAAGAGAAAAAATTCCGCTCGACGGAATCGTAACAATTCAGCGTAACTGATATATCATGTGACCGCGGATAAACTATATCGGGTATATCGCCGGTCACATGATATATCAGTTACACTGAATTTTGGTAATTCCGTCGAGCGGAATTTTTTCTCCTTCTGGTGTGAAATCGCAATTCTTGTTCCAATTTCGCCTGGATCGCAACTGGATCGTGTTCTTTTATCAATGCCCGGTCCGCTGAGAATTCTCTACTAAATTCTGCGAGGCTTCCGAGCTTCTCCACCTTAATGTTCCTGAACATACTAAACACCAGGTAACATCTGATAGTATTCTTTCCCCAGTCGCATCATACTCATAGCGACTCCTTCTCATATTTCCCGGGCCGCCTATTGATTACAGGAATCCACTCTTCATCACCTGCAGCTTCTGAGTTGATGCATTGAATGAATAATCGGCCTCCCTTCGCAATCCTTTAAAAGCCCAACTATGATACTTCTCACGTCATTCGTGGTTCTCAATTCTTCTTCCCAAGAACACTCCTTCGTTTTCGGGACAAAGAGAAATTGAACTAGCCATGGCGGCGGTTCCAACGAACAGAAGGGCGATTGTCCTCGCATTTTTCGTCGCGTTTGGTGAATTTTACTCAATATTTTTCGTCCTACTTCTTAAGCTAATGTCGTCGCGTTCACAGGCGGTGAGATAATCCCCCATAATGAGTATCTTGTTGAATACTGAGAGATCAATGCCCTTTAGGCTTTCTCTTCGGATATGATATTGGTGTCATATCAGTACGTTTTCTGTTTTTCGTGACATTAACTATATTGTTGACCAGTTTTCCAGGGACTTCTGGTCATGCCCGATTTCGTACAGCGATTCGGTCAAGAGAATCCTGATGGATCATTTACGCTTTCCAGTTCTCGTCAATCGATAATTACCTCCCTTTTGTCCGCTGGGTACGTCATAACTTTAAAAAAGCTGGATTGGTGATTCTGATATCCTGATAACCTCCTAGTACCTTCGTGTAAGCCCCTCGAATCCCGTATGATCGACGGGTAAATGCTCAGATAATTGTAGTGGCGCCCTGGGACAAGCTTTCACAGCTGATCGTTTCGGCCGTCGACCTACTATCCTCATATGGGCAGCCATCTTCACCATCGGCGTCGCCATTCAAACAGCCACCATTGATTCCATAGTGCAAATCACAATCGGTCGTTTTATCGCTGGTCTTGGGGTTGGGGCGATGTCCGGTATGTCGACTTTTCTACAGTTATCTGGACCAGGAAAGCTAATAATAGTCTTATTCAACTAGCTGTTGTGCCGTGCGTGAACCGGACTCATTCTCATGAGCGTCTCATCTGACGCTGTAGATCAATTTGTTCCAGACTCTATAATGGAGAAACTGCTCCCAAAGCTCTCAGAGGAACGCTCCTCGTGCTGTACCAGGTCCAGATCATTACGGGGTATGTTCAAGACAGCTCAAATAAACGAACCTCCATTAATCCTTATACTAGTATCTTCTTGAGTTATGTTTTCGATCTTGGTACCCATGCGCTTGGAGGCGCTGCTTCTTGGCGTATACCGGTGGGCCTTCAGTTAGTCTGGGGTGCTATCCTTCTCTCTGGGATCTTCTTCCTCCCGGAATCACCGTACGTCGCATTAGAGCGTCTTCCACTACGGATACTTAATTTTGATACTAGACGACATCTTCTCGGCATTGGAAAACGGGAAGAAGCCTGCGTGGTCATCTCCCAACTTAACGGTGTCCCGCTTGACGATCCCCTAGTTGACGAGCTTGTTGATGAATTGCAATATGCTATCAGTGCCGAGAATGAAGGCGGCAAGGCGACGTGGCTGGAGTGTTTCTCTCCCGTGAACGGATTGTGGAAGCGAGTCGTGAATGGAATGATGCTTCAATTCCTACAGCAGCTCAATGGTCAAAATTTCTACTGTGAGTATCAATGTCACGCTTAGATGGACAGTAATTTATTGTCTTTTCTTAGACTACTATGGTGATACATTCTTCCAATCTGCTGGAACGCAGCTGTCTCCATATGTGATTCAAGTGATCCTCGGTGCAGTATCAGTTGCAGGAACAGTTCCCGCACTGGTAAGCTGTTGCTTGACTTCGCCTTCTCACATCTTATTCACAGAAGTTTCATATTAGTGGGCTATCGAGAGGGTCGGCCGTCGTCGCTTACTGCTCATAGGCGCTGCATGGCAGGCTGTTTGCGCCCTTATCGTTAGTGCATATCCTATAACTCTCATAACTCAAATCAATTTACGGGCACATTAGGCTGGACTCAGTGGTCACTTCACGCTCGCCCCAGCAAATACGCCCCTCAACGATTTGACTCCCCGCAATAAGCAAGGAGGAGATGTGCTCATTGCATTTGCCGTGCTGCATGTGTTCGGTTTCTCCATGTTCTGGGGACCCACTCCGTACGCCTTCCCCTTTGGATTGGTCGTATCTTTATACTCACACCTTTCGTCCTGAACAGATGGGTCTATCTCGGTGAATCCTTCCCTCTGCGTATTCGACCAAAAGCCATCGCTCTTGGAAGTGCAACAAACTGGGTCTGGAACTTCTTGTTGAGTTTCTTTGCACCGAAGATCGCCGCGGAGTGAGTCGAACGACATAATTTCCACGAAACTTGCTGATTATTATCATTCATTCTTGTAGTATTGGCCCTCTCATCCTCCTCATTTTCTGCGGGATGTTAGTCGTCGCCTTTATCTACGTGTTTTTCTTTATTCCGGAAACGAAAGGTCTGACTCTGGAGGAGGTCGATGAGATGTATAGATCTGGGGTCAAGCCCTGGAATTCTACCTCGTGGACCCCGACTCTTGGTCAGCGCGCACACGAAAAAGCCATAGCTCATGAAATACGCAACGAGAAAGAAAAGGATGACTCTTGAATGTAATTCTATACTCACGATGCATTGTTTCACTGTCACATCTACCACAAATACAATGTTAAAACAAGTTATCACTTTCTCCAATCAGTCTCTAATTGTATCTCTTCTCTTGTCTTCCTTTCCTAAGTCTAGTTCAAGAGTAAAGCAATCCCAGGAAGAGACAATTGAAACAGACACAATGACTTTATAAAAGGAAGCCACCGTTGCAATTATTTCAGTTTGACCTCTATTTATGAGTTCGACCTTGATAATGACATAGGTTGTCTCCGGATTTTTACGTCGAGAGATTACTAGATCACGAACATGCATAGCCATTTTAACGATGGTGGTAAAACTGGCATTCCTGAATTGCAGCGTTAGGGACGAAAGCATGGGGGCTGGAACTCGAAAATCTTTTCCGAACAAAGGTTTAAACTTCATCGGATGAATATGCAAGTTGGAGGTAGTATAATGGGGCATCAAGGTTAAAGATTGGAGGTGGGGCGCATTTGAGAGGAGTTTCTCAAAGACATTCGAGGATATGTCCCCCAGTTCCAACGTCCGCAAGGAGCATCCTGACTTTCTCAGCATCGCAAGAAGCTCTGGAATTTCGTTCCCTGACCGCTCAACTTGGTCGATCTTGAGTGTGTGCAAAGACGGGAACCGCACGTCTTCCCATATCTCACATCCGAACTGGTGATATATTGGAAGAGATAACGAAACGAGATTCAGGTGATAAAACGGGTTGATCTCCGACCATGGACCAATCTCTTCATGTCCTATATCCGGTATGATACAGTATGCAATCGAAAATTGTCGGAGGTGTGGGCACCGCGAGAGAAGTGACGAAAGAGACTTTCCCCGATAACTGATAAGATCCAAGCTCGTCAAGTGGGAATAGTCAATTGGATCTCCCGCCCATGCATCGTGAGCACACAAGCGCTTCAACGCAGGACAGCGATGAAAGATGTGGAACAGGCTGTCGTTGGAGCCCGGTTCTTCGTAATCGTCAGCAGTGCTCTCTTGGTCTTGGGTATCCAGAAATTCAAGGTTCGGAAAGTAACCATAAGTAGGTTTTGGACGCAAAGTCAGTCGGGAGACCACATGAGCAAACACCTCGGGTGCAATGTCGAGACGAACATCTCGCCATCTACTGGACTGGTCGAGTAGGAGATCGAGCACTGCGAGTTGTGCGCCCTCTAGTTCACTTGAGTTGGGGTATTTAGGAGACGCATAGATAATATTCAGGCGTAATCCTGCCGCGGTACCGGAGCGGGAAAGGAACAAATTGAGAAGAATGGCCTGCTCAACACTTGTCATACATGAGAGGTCCAAGTCGAATGAAGACCAAAAGACCGGATCAGAGCATACGATTGCGCGCCATGTCGAGCATGTACCAGATATCTCTTTGGTCTGAGTAACTAATCCTCTGACACTGTTGAGAGTCACAGAGAAGTCTGATTCCAGCCAACTAGAGCGAAAAATTTTTGTCAGCAGCTCGACAGGGAGGTTCTGTATGGTGAGCATAACAGTCTGTAATTTATTTCAGCAACCGAGAGACTTGGAATACTTGACGGTGAGGGACATACTGGGAGTGGCAAAACAACTGAGCGGTGTAGGGGAGGTAGCAAAGTATGAACTTTTTATACATAGAGCTAGCGGATAAAATGAACGTTGTCTGAACAGAAGCAGCATAGAAAGAATATAATGCACATTGTTTAAAGACAAAAACGCGGGGTGTGTCCTTGTTCAAATAGGTATTCAGTAATAGGTACAAAGTTGCTGTCCAACCATAAGGAGACTTGAACCCATCAACAATGTTGTCGCCAAGTGCCCAAGGAGCGCAATGAATTCATTTGACATTTGAATCGTCGATACATTTGGTTCAACACAGCAATTTTATTGTCCTTAAAGCAGCCTATGGCAAGATGTACTTTGTAACTTATGCGGACCATCAATTGTTTTTTTGAAAATACTTGTACTTTGTTATTTCAGATTCGTTTATGAAAGGGTTACCGTGCCGACACCGTTTGTGAAGGGAATTACAAATGCACCCGCATCCGTGGCCAAAGAACTCGTTGGCTTCAAAAGTCCTACACCAGCAACAGGCGCTGATTGAGCAATTACTAATCTCCCCACTGGAGCACTGGCAGCACCAGTGGTACCATCTGCCACCGGTGTAATCGTCACAGTGACCGTCTTCGCAGTTGGATTGTAGCTGATCGTAGAGAAGGCACCGGAATCAAGAGAGAGCAGGGCACCCAAAGGCGCAATGAAGACTCTTCGGCGAACGGAGTCCTTGATCTGGACTTGGACAGCAGGGGATGTAGCAACTATGTTACCGCCGAATGCTTGCCAACCAAAGTCTGGGTGGTTGATGATGAAGGTGCCCATGCCCATGGAATGACCAGAGAAGTTGGGTCCATAATCTCCGGAGTAAGCATCCCAGGCCAGGGTATCTGCAAAGGAGTGGAATGAGGCTGATGCGAATCCTTCTTCGTCGATATTGGATAGAGGCCCGCTGAGACCGCCGAATCCAGCTCGGAGAAGGTAGTAGTCCGTAGGATTGGCTTCAAATGATTCTATCAAGGGAAGCGCATTCAAGCCACTACCATAATGATGAATCTGTCGCTCAATACGCATAAGCTTTCCTCCGTAGATATTGTCCCTGCAGGTTTTGTTATAAAAATATGACTATGACCCTACTAGGACGCACCAGTAGCGACGGGCATTGCCGTTGTACCCCCAATGTGCGACCACAGGCTGGTATGCGATAATGGAGTTGAGGGCGTTGAGAGCGGTGACGCTATCATTAAAGAATGTTGACCATATGTAGACACCTTCTTGTCCGGTAGAATCCCAAGCCATTTCAGACCCGAATCTGGACATAGTAAGCAGAATGCAATGTTGGTAATCTTGAATAGAATCGCGTACGGATATCTTTCAGTAGACCAAATCTGCCACCGAGATTTCATTTTACTCTGAACCAATGTAGCGTTCGCAGTCAATCCCTCCCTCTGAAGATCATTCAGCAAATAGTGGATGACAGTCTCCCCCATCAGCCCATCGTCAGCATACCCGACCTGTCCGTCGGTCAATGTTGCGACAGTGAGGACGGCTTGATTGAGATACCATTGCCAATCGTGTACTGAAACGAGACTGGGATAGTTGCGAGCAACGCGGTACATTGCCCAGTATGCGGCTGTGACGTGTACATAGTCGTATCCTCTTCCGGTTGCCCAAGCAGAGGCTTGATTCCAGGACCACCAAACAGTCCAATCTTCGTTCGACGGATACACGTAATTTGGAACTAAATTAGGTTGGTAGAAGAATACCGACTATAAAATGAAATTGAGATAGCAGAACATGAAATCTTTCTTGATCCCACTTACCATTTTAACGGTCGCTGCGAAACAAAAATTGTAGTGTTAACATGGGAATTAGAGATGAAAAATGTGAAAGCATACCGTTATTCCTGTTCTGTATAGTTCCCCATAATGTCTGGTTGACAAACTGCTCCAATTTAGCGACTTCAGCTGCATCGGGTTGTACAAATTGTTTCATGGCAGCAGCCAACCAAGATCCAGAGCCTGCTTCATCTCCCAGTCCACCGATCCAAACTCTGAGAAAATCGCATCGATTGCCGATTTAGAAAAGGAATAATACGCGACATCTTACCTAGGATCGTTGGTCACTTGTGCATTAACTGAACGATCGTAGCTAATGACTGACGGCGCACGATGAAATGGGTCCGACGTGTTGGTGTACCACTGCGACGTAGTAAGGAAAGTACCGAGATCGTCGAGAGCCGCAGTTGCACCTTTAGTGACATAATAGTGAATCGTTTGTAACCTCCCGTCTGAATAAGTCACGGAAAGACGAGATCGTCCCCAGGTGTGGGGGGTGATAGTGTATCCAAGCCAGCCAGCCGTTAGAGCATCAGTGTTAGTAGCCCAGGTCAATGCGCCAGCTGGACTGACAGTGATATTTGCGACAGTGGTGTTCGTATTTAGGAAGACTTTCCCGATTTGATCAGCAGGAAGAATGGTTCCAGGAATAGTCACGGCTACGGGTTGACCAGTAGATGCAACTGTCGATTCAATTTCTCGAATCGACGGTGCGACTCGGAATTGAAGACCGTAAGTTCGGGTCTGGCCTGGCTGCAACACGAAAGACGTCGGAGCGTTCCAGGGAGTTGTAGAAGCCCATTCGTCCTCTGCATACGCTAAGGTGTGGAAATCCCATTCATACAACCCTTCGAAGGTTTGAGATTGATAGAACGGTGTGAGGACGGTAGATTCAGGAAGGAACCGCCAGCCTTCGAGTGGCGATTGGCCTACAGGAAGAACTACAAGTGGAGGAAGGGTTCCTAGAAGTGGGGTCACTTGAACGTATCTGAAACGAGCGTGTAAGCGTCAATACTGCTTTGAGAATATCAAAACCTTACCCCGCATCTTGCCCGATATAAGGATCGAAAAGACTGCATAAGGTATTTGTTTGAGCTGCAGTACGGTCCGTGAAGATCTGTCGGAGTATTTCCATCAAAGCAATACATATATGTTTTCCTCTACTCACGTTGTTGAACTCCAAAGGTGCGCCCAATGAACCAATTTCGACCGCCGAAGTCTGCGAGTTGGTGACGTCGAAAAGAAGTTGGAGTACGTTATCATCGACAACCCATCGACGCGTAATGTTCAGCAGGGAACCTCGAGGTAGAGTAGGGGCTAAATTGGCAGCTGCCCGTGTGTTACCCGATACGGACGAAGCCGTAAGTTTAACACGACTCGTAGAGGTATCCCCGGTGGTCCAAGCAGTTGATCCAACAGTTCGAGCGCGAAAGGTGATATCCCCAAGATGGTAGTTCCCGTTGTTCGCGCGATCTGCCATCATGTCAGAAGGTATGAAGTTGAAACCTCCGTCAACGGTCGTCAGAGAGTACAAAGTTTGAGAATCTTTGACCAATTGGACAGCAAAGGTTGATGTGTTGAATGAAAGGAATCCATCACTCAAACCGAGAGTGTTGCTCTGCCCAAAAGTGGAGTGCGCAAGAAGTAGCAGCCAACATGTGAGTTGGAATGTCGATGGCATTCTGCAAAGCGAATTTTATCAGTGATAGGCGGAAAACATTGACAATGAAAAAGACGTACGTGGTCCGATACGAATTCGAGAGCGACTACTGAAAATTTTGAAAACGCTTAAATTCTTATATACCTCACGTATCCTGGATAATGAAATCCATATGGTCCATAATTCACAAACTGATGAGGATATGATTCTTCCGAGAATCAGGTGGGCTTGAGCTGTAGGATGGAGAGTTTGTGAGGAACCAATCTTTTCTGTCCTCGTGCACCGAAAGAAAACGGCGGGCCGCTTCAGGAGCAAAACCATGACCCTCAAGCATGCTCGTTCGAAGTTTCTGATGTTTTTTTTTTTGTTGTAAAAGAACGCAATGGTAAGAGAAAAGCCTAGCGCTTCGTCAAGTTTGAAGAGGAAACAAGATTGCCGGCGGCAATGCCTGGCGCTTCATCCCAAAAGAAGCTGAAGACTTGCTCATGACCACAGTTGAACGTTGACTATCGAGCGAGACTCAACCAACAACTTCACGGCCCGGCAACGAACATCTCGATTGCCTTGCCCATCGTCAGTCCTCCAAATTCAACGAGAACCGTCCCTTGATATAAAGACCCTCCTTCTTTATTTTTCACTTCCAGTACGCTAGGAACTATCAAGAGACAGCTGACTTCAATGCAAGTTCCGTCGTAAGAAAGACCTATTTTCGTATCATGTTCGATAGCGAATACAAACAAGCGCGTGTATATTTTGCCATTACTTCGGGGATCGATCTCAACTCCTGCGAAATCACATCCGATACAGATATGTTCTACGGCCAGCTATTCTACTTACTCCCTATATTCGTCGGGGTTCAGCTCGTGATGCATTCGCTCAATGGCAAACACATGCGTCATACGGTCATCGAAAGATCACCATAAAATTGCACATTTTGGTACATTCAACGAATCAGAGCTAAGAATTCGCGAATTCCCTCCTATGAAACTACCCGTAAGTCGGTCGTAAGTTATGCACTAAGTGAAGCGTACCTTCAAGTAGTTGCCACCCTCTGTAGTGCTGGCCTGACGATATAAAGCTGCGGCCGTATCGATACACTCTGGTATGTGAGCAATTGATTCTGTGAACGGTCAAAAGCTCGATTAGAAGTGAGAGTTAGGAGGACGTACCCGTCCTACGTCCACTTTGAACGTGAAGACTGTTTGTCCCAGTCCCGTTGAGACTACACGATGTCATTAGACATGCTAATCTTCCACTCGCTGCCCCCGTGGACGTAAGCATACACCCAGCCAAATCCATCCGAAGGAAAAATTTTGTCGGTGGGGTCGTCTATCGTACAGCTTTTGTAATTTTCTGGTAGGCCTACTAGTCATTGTGCAATGAAGAGGAGCAAGAGTCGAACGAACGCAATTCTTTATAAAATCATCATATGGAAGGATGGATTCGTAAGGGAAGGGAAGGGAAGGGAAGGGAAGGAAGAGGTAGAGATACTAAAGCGATAGCTATATGAATGAGACGCATCCTCTGCTTTATTGCATAGTTGAGCAGTTCACTTGATCCACCATCAGTGACCAATACAGTTGAGCTTTCGGTCTCTCGGCTGAGATTGTCAGGTTGAGATTGTCAACATGTTCAGCTGCACCAGATAAATTTGCAACCTTCGCACAGGCTGCATGGAGTGCGAGAAGTTCAGGAGAAGGGAGAGGAAGATTATCGGGGTCAGAGGACCTGAATGTTACTTGCTGCGGCAGACTCCAGACCGTGTGCAAATGCGTATTGAAGCTTCAAACCAACACTTCAAGGGACCGATGCTCTTTCTAGAGCATGGAATTTTCAAGTGAGCGCAAATGCAACAGAACTGGATTTCAGTGACGAACCTCGTTACCATCGCCGGGAGAAAAATATGAAATGTCCGGCACAATATGGGCGCAATGCGTAAAGCCACCACCCGCTTCGTGCTGAACCACCGTATCAAAAAAGTGTGAATGCATTGAAATCAATGACACTCTTCACCATACATCGATAGCTGTCCCGTCTTAAAGCCTAAGACCAGCACAAAGTGTAAATATTCGGTATTCAATATTCGAATAAGTGCAATGACACTGACGGCTTGTTTTGTAGTGACCCAGCTTGCGTGGGCTTGTTCTTGTTCTATCTCGGACTTCACCTTCTCATTGTCTTTATCGAAGGAAGGGCGGCTGGACTGGGAGGAGGTACGAGGTGTCTGACCTTGGAATTTGCGAACTAGATGTGCAGGATCTTTAGTTTGAATTATAAGAGGGGCACTTTACATACACAAACAACCTGCAAGCGAGAATGAAATAATCCATGAAGGATTGCCCCAGTTTGCATGATTTCTCATACGATACCATACAGGAGTGAATTACTTTGACGATCTTGGCAGGAGTAGGAATAGAAGAAGCTTCAAGGATGAGATATCGGAGGACACGCGCACGAATTCCATCCAGTTCCAGGTTTTGATTTGTAGCTCGTCGTTCAGTACTCAGTGTCGAGACAGACGTGATAAGCACTAACGGCGTCAAGCATACGTGAACTGTATACGTTGAGTAGCCTCTCGGATGGAAGGAAGAGGTTGGCCCTCAAACCGACTTGTCATTGCCTGATAGTCGTTGTAAGAAAACAAGATTTTGAGCGAGCTTGGCAACAGCTTCGTGACGGCCCGTAAACAAACATCTGCCCTTGCCCTTCGTCAGCAAAACCTCCAAAACTTTTTGAAGATGGACATGACCGGCCTTAAGACTTATTCGATACATTGTATCCTTCTCCTTGCGATAACTCGGTGAATTACGCTTGCTAGTATGTACACTGCCCTGTCCAATATGTCGGCCCTTCGAAAGATTCTGGGCAAGGGCAACCTCTCTAATTCTTCTACGCTCTACAGTCTAACTTCGACATCCAATGCCTCGCTGATGGTACAATTATAATATAAACTATGAGTACATATGTACAGGATTGATTTTGGTTTCCGATGGAAATTCGGTTCAAAGCTGCCCCCCTTTCCTCCCTTTTTTTCACTTTGTTCCAATTGCGCATGCCAAACCCAATACTCGTGTGTGGCTTCTTTACGCATCGAAGAATAACTTGAAAGCTGTCAATGACGTTCACTGACAAGTCATTATATAGCTACCCAGTTTTTATGTGTTGATCATCGCGAAATGGGGTTACTTATTACAACCAGGGAGTAAAGATTGTGCTGGTCCTCTAGTCTCGAACTTGTATGGTACACTCGAGACTCGGACAGGTCCAATTTCAAGTGCTTTCTACACGGCCATTGGCATGATTGTTCTTCCATTCGTGAGTAATTTACCTAAAACATCTCTATCTTGTGCAGAAACTGCTGGATATCTGCGATAACCCGAGGTTGATGCAAAGATTCTCTTGATTTTGGACTTGCAGTACCTTAGGAACTATCAAGAGACAGCTGATACCACCACCTTCAATGCAAGTTCCGTCGTAAGAGTTATTTTCGTATCATATTCGATAGGCGAATACAAACAAGTGCATGCATATTTTGCCATTACTTCGGGGATGGATTACAACCCCTTGCGAAGTCACATCCGATACAGAAAGATATTTTCTACGGCCAGCCAGCCTACCAGCTCCCTGAATCCAGATTATTCGTCGTCGTCGTTCAGGCCATACAGCTCATGATTAAAGTTCTACGTTTTCACTCAACGACAAACACATGCGTCTTACGGTCGTCTAAAGATCACAACTAACCACGCCGGTACGCACCATAGATATCTTATGATGACGATTTTGGCCCCAAATTTATGCGTGAAATGAATCGAAACGGTAAATTAGCGGCCACGGATAATCCGATAGAGAACTAGACTGGTACTAGGAAGGTACTTGGGTGTCATTTTGGCCCCCTTGCACGATTGAATACCTTCGTGGTTCTTCAGCGAGTTATGAAGCTATAAATGGTGCTACTGGCGAGGGTTTGAGCCACAAAGACAAGTCTACTGCGATGGTCTGCTTTGCCATTACCCTATTCGTAATCACTCATCTTTGGGCTTCTGCAACAGCCGCCGTCTCCCGACGACAAGCTACTACAGATGTTCACTTGGCCGTATCCCCCAATTGCGGGAGTCTCTCAGGACCTCCTGCAGACGTCAACAATGGCCTGAAGCCTTTGACCAGCTACAACACGATTGTGGCATTTGGTGTATGTATGCCTCTTTCAAGATCTTCGACTGTGAATGCTAAACATAACTCATCTAGGATTCGTATACATCTGGAAGCACGTTCAATGGGTCTGCCCTTGTGCAACCTGTTTTATCTCCTCCAAACCCCAATGCTGGGGGTCGAATCACGAACGGTGCACTATGGGTTGAGAATCTGGCTGCTGCGGCGAATGCTTCGTTGCAGGATTGGGCAGTGAGTTTTTTCGGGGGGTTCGTCTGTAAAGAAGCATATTCAAATTCATCAATATTTTGCATAGGTGAATGGATCCGTCGTGGACCACAATATGTATTTGGACATCGATTTCACGGGTATACCGGATTATATGACGCAGGGTGAGCTCTTGACCTTGGTGACTACTACATCGCCCAGATTTATTGCACAAATAGTCCAAAACTATATCGGGGTGCGGCCTTCATCGGTCGTAGACGACACATTATATGTGATCTTCATGGGCATGGGGTAAGTCATTCCATGTCACAGTGTCCTAGTCGATGTAATTAACTATCTCGTTCAGTGACTACGAATTAAGGAACGGTAGGACTTTTTCGCAATTTCCCTGAATTCAAACTGACCTACCTCTCTAATGTTTCACTTAGAAATATACCAGGGACCAACAAGCCTCACAACTATCGCCTCCGACATCATCTATTCCATCCTTGAGCTCAGTTCGAACCCCGTGTTCGCTAAAAATTTCTTAATAGTAGACAACTATGGGCGTGGAACGGAATCTGACGCCGGAGATGCATACAAGACGTCCTTGTTCACGCAGTTGTACGAGATATCTAACGATCTGGATTACGATTTTAGTTTCGCATTTGTTGATTTCAAAACGCTTTGGGATGGAGTCTTAAATGGTAGTCCGGGGTTAGTCACCTTTTAACTTCAGAGTAAGTATAGGGATCCTAACTTGCGCAGATACGAAGCCTTTGGATATACCAATGCTGGTGCATGTCTTTCGAATGACATGTCAATGACTGGGGAATGTGACGACCCCGAACATACATTTTATTGGATTCCAGGGTAATTGCCATTCCAACAGAACTTACCTCTGTAGCATCACTCATCCCATCTTTGACTGTCTAGAAACCCATCTGCAGTGACACACTCCATCATGGCTGAGTATGTTCAGGAGGTGTTGACGCAATGCGTGGCATGAAGTCAAGGTTTACAGAATCCAGTGAAGAAACACATGTATTGTGAATGGAATTTATCCACTTTGAATTCAGGGTTTTGGTTTCTGTGGTTTCACACCCCTTGCGAGAAATATATTTACTGCTTTCCCTTTCTTGAAGGCACGAGTCGCAATGCTATAAGTGAACCTACTACCAATATGTCCCGTTTCCGAAGCCGCGTCTATGTCAGCCAATCCTGCCTGTACAAAAACATCCTTCATTTCCAGTTTTGAAAATCCGTATTTGTGCATGACAACGCCTGCATCGCAAGCACTATCCGGAAAGATGGCCTCGAGGTCACTTGCTGATTGTTTACTATTATTACTGGGTCCATGAGGTGTTGATTGTATTGGGATAGATTCGACATCCGCAATATATAGATGTCCGCCAGGTTTTAGAAGTGACGAGAGCGTGCGTGTAATGGAAGAGATGGAGGGAAAGTGGTGATAAGACATGCAGCACTAGAATATATTTTGAACACGATGCCGAGGGAGGGGCAGGAAGAGAAATCTTACTATAGCAACATCGAATTCTATATCTCCAAGCAGTTTCGCAAGTCGAAGGTCATTTGCGTGGGTCTGCAATTGCTCTGGAATGCAGATCGCGCGCATTTCCTCGCGGGGAATTCCCTGGTTCTCTACACGCTTGTTGTACCTGTCGACCATTTCCTGACTGATGTCGACCCCAACGATAGATTTAACATACGGGGCGAGAACACGGGAATTCAGGCCTGGTCCAAACATCATGAGTACTGAGCACCTTTCTCATCAAACAATAAAGATCCAGGCCTGTTCCACATGCAAAGTCTAGCACTGTCGTATTCTCATCATCAAATGGATATGCCTTTAGTAAAGCTTTCCCAATTCTGTTTGGAGAAACGCGTCGTAATTATTGGTATGGAATTGAATACGGTTGGTTTTTTGACCTTTTGGCCATTTCAGCGTGCAAGGGCTGTTCATCGTGCTTTTGGCTAACGTGCTCGGAGTCGAAGTGATGTTTGTTGGCTGAGATGAATTGCTCTGCCGATCGTGGTTCCATGAGAAGTGCTAGACAAGCGCTTAATTTAAGCGCTTGACTTGTTCTCCTCAACCACCCGGTGTTCCAGGAGTGAACAGGAGTGAACCAGGGATCTCTCTCAAAGTTTTACAAGACATCATCCTGAACCCTGCCCTCTCCACACGTCCTGTTCGGTTTGATTTCACTATGGGTCTTACTAGTATCAGTTTACTGATCTTGTTGGATGACTCTTGCAGTTCCCCTTAATTTCAGTTCGATTGGATGAAAATCCTCGCGTCGGGCACCTAGGATCGATCGAACTCATTGGCGGAGTAGGCGTAAAATCCTATGCGTCGGTATTTGTGGTCAGTTCACGCGTGTCATCCGTTGCAGTCATTTCGTTCTAACCTCGGAGCAATGCTAATCACAGCTGCATTGAATGATTTATGAATACTGCTGCCCATGGGGCCTTTTCTGATGAGGTGGGGAAGTTCTCAGTTCTCCCATGACGACTCAAACCTGCAGAATGCTTAGCGGATGCGTGTTCGGTTCCGTAATCTCGAACTTGTGAAGAACCTCGAGGCACACTTGGCACCGCTGTGATAGCAACTTTGTAAGCTGCATCGTGGCCCCGAGCTGTCCGAAAGCCTTTGCCTGGGTGGATCGACTCGAAATTGTCAAGAGGTACATATTCTGGAATAGGGTGGGGTCCGTTTCACTGATCGTTGAATGGGATAGCGGGATGTTGCGTTGGTTCGGCTATGTACATCTTTCCCAAAAAGTAAGTCTGGGTAATAATCAAAGCTGGAGATTCTGCTCTGTGCTTTGGATGTAATATCAAGGGAACAACTTCCGAATAAGACGTTTACAAAAACATTTTTACAAGGCCCGACCACAAGTTGACGTGCTCATAATAGATAGGACCATCAGACCCCATATCAAACCTTTTCCAGCGATTGTCCAGACAGGTCCCCATTCTCGTCGCGTATGTACATAGGCATGCGTGTAATTTGCTGTATTCAAATGGCGATGCTCGCGAGTTGCATGCATGACACACGGAGGCCCATGTAGGCTATGCTATGCCCACCCGCTGCATTGTGCGTCGCTGCCTGGTAATAGCCGAACATTCAAAGTTTAACGAAGTCGAAAGCTAAGATTCGGAGAGACTCGGAAGGCCTTGAAGAATAAACTTCGACATACGTATGTAACGGGGGAGAAAACATCTGATAACGCAATCCGGACCGGAAATCGAGTAAATGGTTATGCGGGGAAGTGTAGATAGATACTGCGGGGTACCGATCTTCCGTTCCTGAATTCAGAAAAATTGGTTTGCTAGACCTTAATAGACCTCCAGTCCAAGATTTCAGAAAGCCACGGTTTCAAGTACACAACGATCTTCGGTCAAAAGAAGCAAGACCAAATTTATTTGGGGCACACACAGTGAAGAGCGCATTTCACAGATGTACTTTTTACACGTGGGAAATTTGCTCTAGATCTATTACCCCATACGCAGGGGCTGTTGCCTGCTCCGGAACGAATTCGGCGATCACAAACCCAAACCTCCTTTGGTCCTTTGGTCCTTTTTTACTTTTTCACTTCTTAACCTTCATCAACTGCGTCGTGAATTTCCCCAACTCTCTCGTCGCTTTTGGCGATGTGCGGCAGTACCCCCGCTGAAAAGACTATTCCAAGACCGTACAAATGTCCTTATCCTCTCTGTGGTCGCGCATTCTCCAGGCTTGAGCACCAGGTACGATTGACTTTCTGTTAGTTCATTATTTATGGTTAACGACATGATTTCTTTCTGTGGCTTCGTATAGACTCGTCATATCCGTACCCATACAGGAGAAAAACCCTTTGTCTGCAATTTTCCTGGTTGCGAGAAGAAATTCTCTCGCTCGGACGAGCTCACAAGGCATTCCAGGATTCACAATAACGACCACTCTTCCAATGTAGTCAAAGGTGGAGGAAAGTCTAAGGCCGTCAAGTCTACTGCTGCTGCTGCTGCGGCCAGTAAGGATAGTTCCGGCTCTTCCACGCCCTCCGATTACAATGATCAAATGTCTGGCGGCGATGTTAGACAGATCGTCGCCGCAGGCAGGATCAAGAAAAAGGCGAGGAGCAGAGTTAATAGTGATGATGAGGTACGTCGGAGCTCCTTATCGCATGTCTCTCCGGAAATTCATAACTCCTTCTTTATTCTTTATGTACAGGATGAATCATCGTCATATGCACGTCCTACATCTATAGGTTCATATGATCTGACCCACTCGCGGCGCAGCCAGACGTCAACATCGGTCCCGACCACGTCTACATCCTCTTTGTCCCCAGACTCCTTATCGTTACCCCACGCTCCCCTATCACAGCCTCAAACCCCATTTACCACGCTTTCATCCGTTGCTATGGATGAATTGTATACACTTGAGCGGCAGGAAGCCCTCCGAAGAGCTGAATACGAAGCCAGGCACGCCGAGGCCCTCCGCCGTGCGGAACTGGAGACAAGACAACAGTATCAAGAACGCGAATGGGAACGAAGAGAACGTGAACGGGATAGATATGAGGAATATTATGACTTCCACGGTGTTCGTTCTGCACATTATGGTGGCGGTTCTCACCACACGCGTCCCAGAGACCAACATCACCTTCGTCACAACCATCCATACCTTGACTCCTATTCTGCTCATTCTTTACATTCTGCGTCGCATCCTCACTCGATGTATACTAACCCTCAACCTCCATCACACTCTTCCTCTCACAGCTCATTGTCTTCTTTTGAATCTTCTTCGTCCTTTCCTTATACTGTGTCTCCATCCACCTCTACCTCCACCTCGACTTCTCCCTACCCTTATTCTGGTGCCGCGGGGTTTCGCTTGAGCAAGAGCGCTACGACCAGTCCGGTTGGTACGCCCTGGGAGAAGCACGGGGAGAGAGGTTATTTTGGCATGAGCAATGAGAGGGGCGATCCGTCAGAGGATGATGATTTGAATCGCGAATTTGATGATAAAGAGTCTCTCGTCCGGGAACCGCAACATGCACGGGACATCAAATCCAAAAGAAGGCTTTCAGGACCTGCGTGGTATATTGCTCCAGAAGGCCAAGATCGTGACTATCCATTCACGTCGTCCTCCGTCTCTACGCTCAAGGCGTCTGCGTCTATCGCATCCCTGCCACCCGATTTCAGGGCTGCCTCTCACCCTTCCCAATTACAATCTCAGAAGCGTCTTTCCGGTTTCAATCGCGTAAAGTCACAAGATAATGTCTACGCTCACCGTGAATCCGAGAGACATTCACCGTTGTCTTCTGATTCCGAAGATGGCGGAGACGTGGTACAGATGAAGCGAAGAAAGAGCTACCAGGACGTCGTTAGTGCAGAGAGGATGATTCAACATGAACCGTTATCTGCGCCTCACTCGCCAAAAAGATATCGTTCAAACGTTGCTGAGTTTGGTCAATCGAACATTACACATCCGAGCCACGGGAACATACATGGTTCCAACGCACAACATGGATCTCATCTTCTATCGGGTCCAATGGCGGCGAATACTAATACGCCTGCCTACACGCCCAGTGGTTCCCCCTTCCTCGGACCCATGAGGGGATTGAACCTGCATTCCACCGATCCATCAAGAGCTCCAAGCCCCATTTTGATGCCGCCCAGCGCCATTTCTAGTGTCAGAGACGAAGTCGTCGCTCTATCTCCTTCCAGTTCCCCTCCTACCTCACATCGTGCAACGGGTCCCCGGAACAAGAGTTATAACGAACTCTCGTCGTTAGGGGGAGGTGGAAGTAGTAACCATGGTCGGCACCCATACCGTGACCCCCGCGGACATCATGGGGCGCTTTTACATGAATGGGACCGTGATGCAGTCAGCTTGAACGAACCGAAGGAACGAGAGTACGTACGGGATTACAGAGAGCGGGATCGAACGAACGGCGGACCAACTCTCGCATATCCACGGCCTTCAACTGAATTAAGAAGCAGAGATAGCTCCAGAGCTGCTTCACCTATTGGAAATAGCATAAGTGCTGCTGCCTACAATAATCATGGGTAAGCTTACACATTTCATCCAGCGTAACGATGACAAATGTTTCTTTTTTAGACATCAATCACATCCGTCTCAACATCATAGTCATCTAGCCCACTCCGTCAGAATGGCATTTGGAATGACTCCAATTCATCCTCCCCCTGCAACTGCCTTCCATTCTTCGTCAAACTCGCATCATTCTAGTAGTTCCTTCTCCAGTAAACCCAGTGTAACATCTCCTTCCCCATCTGTGCTTGGTAAACTCTCTCTTGGTTCCCATCCCTCAAGTCACTCTGGGCATTCTCGGCATACCTCTCCGCTCCATTCGCCCCCGCTTCGGCCAGGAAGTCCTCCCATCCTCAGCGGCGGGTTCGGGTTTGGATTCACAAGTCGGGGTCCCTCAAGGCCTACGTCCAGACCTGGTTCTCCCCCAATAACGCTTGCACCGCTGAGATTGCCTGCTAGTGCCGTTGGAGATCCTAGTGATAGGAATATCCCCGGTATACATGAAGCGACCGATGTTGATTCACGACCACAGGTTATCCCTGCCAAGTCTATTCCTACTCCTGTGGTAGACGATGTCGATATGGATAATGCGCAGACCGAGCCTACGAAGGAGGCAGCGATGCAAGTCGATGGCGCAGAACTGCTATCGGAAACAACTTCGAAGGAAATAGACATTGACACGTCTATCGGTGTTACATCTTTTCCTTCAATACAACCACCTCCTTCAGCCTCCACCGGGGTTCAGGCGAAAACTATTAATGCTAGCCCTATCCCTCCTCGCGTTATACAAGCTCCACCTGGTGTCACTATGGATAAATCAACAACGACGACTGCTCAAACCCTTATGGCTGCCTAAGGCTATCGCTTTAATTTAGTCCCCATTTAGACTTTACTTACACCTACTTGCTTCAGACCTGATCTGCTTAATGGGTATTAGTGTATGTAGTGTACATTATCATTGTTTATAGAGGACAATGTTCTCTTTACGTCTCCACTGCTTCTTATCGTCTATGACCTATCCAAACGTTTATCTATCATCTATTTACTGCAATTGCACCCATCTCCACGTCTTCTAGAAGTTAGTTATTTCACCTATCCATAATTATTATAAAGACACGACACTTTTTTTTAAAAAAGTACATAGACATTATCCATCCTTCCTGACTCTTTTCTTTTTCTTTGGCGCTCACTGGCAATTTTATCTGGCTGGTACCTCTTAGGAACTCTTGAACGACAATTAGTTCACTTAACGATAAGAGTATCGCATCTCAAAGGAATCTTATGTAATTTAATGGATATTAGTACTCCACATCGATTGTTAAACTACATCTGATTCAGAAAATTCCGGCCTTCATACTAAGGAAGTGTGTTGTTTTGTTTGAATTCTTCAAAACTTACTTGCCGTGTCCCCCTCCGAGATACGCGATCGAAGGATGGTACATCAGGATATATCTTTTGCCATGTCCTTCAAAGTACGCCGCTCTTCAATTTTGTTGACCCTTTCTTGCTGTCACTGTGGGGATGAGCCGATTTCCTCGAGGCGAAAATGTGGGTTTTATCTCGAGGTTATGTACAAAAATATGGCAGCAGATATTTTGAAGGAATTGAGCTGAGGTTATGGTAAAATTATGAAAAGATAATTTAAAATAAGCACGGCCCCCCGCCAAATTCACGATAGCTTCACAATAATCGCCACACGAAAAGTTTTAAAATTCGTGCCCAGGATTTTTGATGAATTTTGGTAAAAATCCTTGCATTTTCTCTAGATTTTCACCGCGAAGACATTGGCTCATCCCCACAGTGTGTTGTTCTCGAGGCTGAAACCTGGCCATCAAAGGGACAGTAAAGAGACGCAGAGATCACCCCAGCATACATAAGTGTAAAGTGAAAAGCTGTATCCGCTGGCAGTTGTATGGCAACAGTTGTGGTAGAAGCGATTGATCTGTGTAACTCGGGTGTCAACCAACTGTTGGATGATGGTCGTTGAGGGCAGGTCAATCGGTGTCGAGTGACCGTCACCGAGTGAAGTGCCGCTCCTTGCCGTTATCATTTAGTTCTTCTTGAGGCTGTCAATTCTCATGTCGTCCTCGGGCTTTTCTTCTCTGTTTCATGCGCAGCTCACGCCAAAAAATCCTCTCTTGACAGTTGACAATGCCCTTTTGGCGCCAGTTTAGGGCTCTTTTCTGGAAGAATTGGATAGTTTTATCTAAGCATTCTTTCGTGCGTCCATACCTCTTGTTCAAATTTCCAGGCTAACCTTCAACAGCTTAACATCATTAGATGCTTCGTTCTCCCAGTTGCCTACGGAATTTTTCTTGCAGTTGCCCAGTTGTTCTTGTTCAAGCCTAACAACGTGAGCTCACGGCAGCTTGATGAAGTTGACATCGAATGCTAACGGGTTTTAGTATGGCATTGGCAATCCAATTCCTGTGTACCGGCTTCAAGATCGATTCGATGGCTCGATATCGCTTGTGTGGGCCGATGGAACCAATAGCTCATCGACGAGCGGAGTAACGCCCACAGCTATCATCTCTCATATCTCCAGCGACTTTAACGACGCACAGCGAAATGCGATCCGCAAGGTCGCAAGTCCCAGCGAAATTCCGTCACAGTGCCCTCAAAACTTCAATCTTTTCTCGGAATGTTTTGCAGCAGTTGCATTCTATGATATCCCTTCGCCAGGCACTGGGCCTATCAACTATACTATCCTAGCAGATGGGGGACTGGTGCATATAGACGTTGTCAAGCATACGAGTGATTTTGAAGAGAGAATTCTTCCTTTGCAGTGGGCTATAGATCAGGCATGTGGTGATCTGTCTTGAAGTCTATTTTTGACTGAGAAAAAAACTAGGCTATCGTTGAGTTACAGACTGGGGTGCAATTACCAACTCCACTGGAATGGCCGTTTTCGCAAGAGACAAACGAAGAGCAAAGCACTGATATACGTCTAAGTTACATACGTGGCTTGAGAACGCTTCTGGTATTGGCTTTGTGAGCTCTTGCATCCCTCAATCTTTCACAAGATTAAATCATTTCCATAGATTCATATGTTATATCGGCATCGCCTACCAACTGCCAGGTGCAGTAACTGCTGAACGAGCTAATCTCGTCACCTCTCACATGAAAGCAATGGGGCTCCTTGACTCTGCCAAGGTCCTCTCCTGGTACGCGAGCATTGGCTTGGTTTACCTCCCCGCATGGACCATCGTCTCCCTGATCTGGCACTTCCGTATCTTTACCAAGACCTCTGGCGGTCTCATCTTTGTCGTTCACATCCTCCTGGGACTCATATTAGCAAGCTACTCTTTCTTTGTTGCCGCCCCATTTGGGAAGAGTCCTCAGCTTGCGGCAGTGGCTTCTACATTTATTTCTATCGTATTTGCCCTCCTCGCTCTGGTCTTCTCTCGTGCCAGCACTGGAGCCGCTTTCATCTTTTCCATCATTTTCCCTCCCGGGTGGTATATTTTTGCAATCAGGGCAATATGTGGATGGGAGAATCATCAGCTCGCCACAAACGTGCTGAAGGGTGATCCTGATTCGGGGTTGGCGATGCTCCCGTTGTTGATTGCTGCAATTGTAAGAGATGGTATCCCAAAACGAGTCAGTTTCACTAATGTACTCTTAGATTGACGTCTTCCTGTGGCCCTATCTCGCTGTCTTACTCGAAAATAGGCTTTATGACGCTCGGAACCCTCCAGTCAACCGAAGAACATTGTTCTCACGGATATTCAGACGAAATTACAGCCCCAATGAACCGACGACTCGCCTTCCATCAGATGTGGCAATCTCCATCGAGAACCTTAACAAGACATTCAACACTTCGTTATTTCGCTCAAAGAAAGGCCTTGTTACCGCTGTAGCAGATCTTACGCTTACAATCCCGAAATATGGCATCTTCGTACTTCTCGGTTCTAATGGAGCAGGAAAATCCACTACACTGTCTGTACTAGCTAATTTGACTGGTCGGACATCTGGTTCCATTCGTTTCAACACTGGTGGCGATGGCGTTTGGACGGATAAGCCTCCGCCTGGAACCATGGGAATTGTTCCGCAAAAGAATGTGCTCTTCCCAGAGCTTAGCTGTTATCAGACACTGAGAGTGTGCGTCCTGTTCTAAAGAAAGGTATACCTTCTCGCTGATATTGACAACACACTTGTAGTTGGAAAGCAATCAAATGGTCCAAGTACTCTGATGGCGATGAAGACATCGATCAACTCCTCAAAGATTGTGATCTTGGCGCGAAGATTCATGCGAATGCGAATACACTTTCTGGAGGGCAGAAGAGGAAGCTGCAATTGGCTATCGGTATGCCTTATTTCATCGAGCTTTCGTCTCGAAACTCAACTTTCTCTATTCTAGGTTTGGTAGGGGGATCGAATAGTATGTCTCGCGGAATTCTCTCGCGGACCTGTATGCTGATATAGTACATTTCTCAGTTGTACTCGTTGACGAGGTACCGTGATCTCGGGCCTCCTTACTCACGTTCGTACTGAACTTCTGTGTAGTGTACCTCGGGTGTCGATCCCCTGTCAAGACGAGCTTTATGGAGAACTCTCACTTCGTTTAGGGAAAGTCGGACTATTGTTTTCACGACCCATGTGAGCTATTCCTTTTTTTTAGATACTTCAAATCCTAATGATCCGGTCGCTAGTTTCTAGATGAAGCTGATCTTCTAGGCGACCACATCGCAATCCTTGCAGCACCTGGAAGGCTGGCTGCTCGTGGATCACCGGTAGCATTGAAACATGATCTTGGTGAAGGCTACACCGTTCAAGTAACGTTTGACGTTCAAATGCTGCCAGAAAAGAATCCGATTGCTTCGGGATTGGGTGCATCAGGAGAGGTTCTACAGGAAATTCGCAGATATGCCGAAAATGTGTCACTCTCCATTATTTCTCCTCGACAAGTATCATATCACCTCAAGTCCAAGGACCCTGTAGTCGTCGAGAGTGTATTGGCGATGTTGAACGAAAATAGAGATGCGTTCAAGATAGCTTCTTATGACGTTCTTGGCACTTCAATAGAAGATATATTCCTGGACCTGATGCATAAAGACGAAGCAAATAAAGCAATTATTTCTGGAGAGGCAGAGAAGAACACTGCTAGTGAAGTATCGTCGGAATTGGAATCTGTTCAACCTGATTCATTCGCAGCTCCGTTGAAGCTTACCAGTGGTCGTGCCATATCGCCACTCCGGCAAGCGTTGACTATCTTCCATAAACGAGTACTCATTGCCCGACGTAGCTGGTTGGCACTTGCCTTAGCAGTGTTGGTAGCAGTCGCAGCATCCACTATCCCTTTGGTCTTCATCCGCGGAAGGTCACCGTCTTGCGTTAAAACTTTCGCTGCGTCGACCAACATTCCCCTGTACCTACCTGAATCGTCTATCGATCCGTTCTCCCTGGATGACTCCTCTCGAGTTCTCGATTCCCCAGCTGGGATCACATCTACTCTTGGTAATACAACCACTATTTTCCGAATTAGGGATGTACCGGACAACTCTACCTTTGTTGACGATATCAAACAGAACTTCCGGAATTTATCCCTAGGCGGTGTGTCCATAGACGTTGATTCGGACGCAGCCTTGATAGCTTGGGAAGCAACTGCGCCAGGTCTTACTGGTCCTGCAATGTTGAACCTGGCCTCGAACATTCTGTATAACAGGGCTTTGAACAGTTCAGGTCAAAGCTCAGACACTCCGACACTAATACTTGCAAACTATGAAGATTTTCCCCCCGTCGCAGCCGGAACACTGTTTGCTTTGAAGTGGGTAGCGTTTTTCGGTGCAGCCATGGTAAGTATATCCACATTTCATATGAACTCATTCTGATATCTGTCTTACAGGCTGTGTATCCAGCCTTTTTTGCCATCTATGTATCGAAAGAACGGCGATCCGGTGTTCAGGCAATGCAATTCTCGAATGGGTTATCTAACACTGTTGGCCTTTGGTTAGGACATCTCATGTTCGATTGGATATTCTCAATCATCTCTGCGACCGTCACGATCATCATTTTTGCTGCTGTATCCAATCAATTCCATGGGCTGGGCTTGTTCGTGAGTATCTGTTTCCAATTGTTAGCTATAGTCCATTGACGCTTCCTCGATAGTGGGTCGTCCTTGTATTATATGGGATTGCCAGCACCTTATTCGCATACTCCATGTCACTGCTTGTATCGTCTCCATTAGCAGCTTTCGCGGCAGTAGCCGGCTACCAAGTCATAATGTTCGTTGTGAGTAAACAAATGCTTGGTGTACTTTTTTGAAGCGTCTCACTTTCTACTTCAAGTTATATCTCGCTGGATATCTTCTCACCTTGACGTACGCCAAAACTTCGAGCGCCAACACGATCATAACTATCATACATTTCACCTTATCTGTGCTCTCACCTGTTGCTAGTACTGTAAGTATTGCTCTAATTTTGTCTATCTGCTTGCTCATAACAAATGATACAGCTTCGGGCCGCCTTCGTTTCCGTCAATCTGTTCTCCCTTTTATGTCTTGGAGATAACTTCACAACTTCCCAAATTGGGGACATTCTGCGCTTTGGTGGACCAATACTATATCTTATCATCTACTGCTTCGTGCTTATGGCGATATTGGTCTGGTACGATTCATCTGGGTCTCTTCGACCTACTCAAGGATGGTTGCGATTCTTCCGGGGATCAGGCAAGCAAGTCGAGGCACCGAATACAGGAGAAGACGTGTTGAAAGAGGCAAAGGATGCTTCGGCTTCGGATGATTTACTACGAGTTTTGAACGTCTCGAAGACGTTTGGCAAAAACAAAGTTGTGGACAACGTCAGCCTTGGAGTGTCCCGTGACACCATATTTGCTTTGTTGGGTCCGAATGGTGCAGGGAAAACTACTACGTTCAATATGATTCGTGAGTGTACTTACCTTATCATTTCTGGCTGACAATGTCATTAACACATATGTGCTATGTAGGGGGCGATATCCTTCCTGACGCTGGGGACATTTTCATCGCAGATGCTAGTGTCGTCCGAAATCCCAAGAGAGCACGATTCTCTCTAGGAGTCTGCCCCCAATTTACTGCTATCGATTCACAAATGACCGTGCGAGAGCATCTGCTCATATACGGACAATTGAAGGGTGTAACGAGAGGTGCTGTTTTAGCCAATGACATAGCCGTATTGCTCAAGGCCACTGGTCTCGTGATTTACGCTGATCGTTTGGCGAGCAAACTTTCCGGTGGAAATCAGAGGAAACTTTCGTTGGCAATAGCATTGATCGGTGAGACACTCGCCTTTTTATACAGAGAAATATCTAGACGAATATATCTGCTGCGCAGGAAACCCTGCTGTTGTCCTCATCGACGAATTCTCTACTGGAATAGACGCCAAAATGAAGCGAGAGATGTGGAAGACATTGAGGAACGTAGCCGTCGGGAAATCAGTGATCATAACTACTCGTGCGCAATTACCATTCTTCCGTATAATTCACTTTTCTCACCAATATACCCAGACTCCATGGAAGAAGCATCAGCTCTTGCTACTAAAGTCGGAATCCTTGCCAGACGTATGTTAGGTGAGCAATGGTTTCTCAGTTACATAGTATCACGCTTGCCAACATCATCTCTAGCTGTTGGTACGACAGAATCCCTTTCTTCCCGCTATGCAACCTACGAAGTCCACTTCACTACCCGAAACCGGGAAGAAGTAGAAAAAGCCCAACTATTAATGTCAAAAATTCCTGGTGCCCGTTTAGCAGATGACGTCGCGACACGATTTGAAGTGCCTATTCAAAGTCCACAAAATGATGGTTCGAGTCAGACCGCAGATGGGACATCGTTAGCACAGCTTTTCCATGTTCTTTCAAGTAGCAGGGACTTTTCCGAGCATACAGTGGAGAAAGCCAGTCTAGAGAGTGTTTTCTTGAAAGTTATCAGAGAGAATAAAGTCTTGGAAGAGGATACACGGACGAAAAGACACTGGTGGCAGCGACAGAGATGATATGGACTTTTGAATACTATACTGGTTGATGTATATATATGTACATACGTTCCGCAGGTTTATCGTCTCAATCTCAAAAATCATCGGCGATTCCATGCAGCTGGTGTCGGACTGTCTGCCGCCCTCGCAAGCTCTTCCGTCAACTGTGCCGTATCGAGCAAATCACCCCCGTGCATCATCAGAGCCCCAACTCCAGGCCCCTCCCCCCCTAGACGTTGCTCCCTATGTACCGGAAGCACACCGAACAATGTCTCCTCTGACATAGGATTACCTTGCATTAGATCATTGTCGAATGAATCGTCAAACGAGTCGTCCTCGATAGATACGCCTCTTGCAAAGGGGTGAACAGGAATCATCATGTTCGGATCGCCTTCGCCAGTTAGAAGAGCGTCTTGGCCAAACCCATCACCATCACCATCAACCATCGAGTCGTCGTCGTCGTCAAAGGAGTCATCGCCCATCGGATGCCTGTTTTGTGATGCCATGAGGAAAGCTGCGGATGGATGAGCAGTATTGTTGACGATATCGTCGTCATCATCGTCGTCGTCGTCGTAGTAGGGATCGTGCTGGTATTGTTGCGGCGGAGGCATCAAGAATTCATCATCGTTCGTGCTAAATTGCTGAGCTGGAAAGCCAAAGTTGGTGTTGTAGAGATGGTTAGAAGCCATCTGAGTGAGATCTGGCTTAGGCTCAGACGTCGGGAGTTGCAGAGGTGAATCAGACTCGTTGGCACTTGAGTACTCGTATTGTCGTGAATCCTGCCTAGGTAATTTTCCTGGAATAGGGTCCTTCAACCCAACCTGTCTCATCAAACTCTCCAAGCTTTCATGAGTTACCATTCCGCTACTTGTGCTGTTGTTATACCTCGACATCGAAGGTGGCGAAGATATGGTGCTCATACTCGAATCCGGAAAAAGACCTCGACCAGGTTTTCCGCTTTTTCCAAGATGACCTTGAACATCAGCGACAATGTCCTTTGTGATGCGCGCAGCAGCGTCCTTTCTGGGAGTTTGTCCAAGTTTTATCGACGCGTTTGATCTCATTGGTCGAGCAGGGGATATCATTACTGGTGGTGACATACCAGGTGGGAGTCCATCGAAGGAATCGTCGTCCGAATCGTAATCGGGCGCCTTTACAGGAGTAGGAGATTTTCGAGATGAACGTGGATCTCTGAATCGTCTGGAACGCTGCGGTGTCATTACAGATGCATCGCGAAGATCAACTAGACCATTCCATTTTGAGGGATTCGAGCCTGGAGGTAGGAATGGGTTAAGATCCTTGAGAATAGGTGTTTTGCCTTTAGGTCTGAGAGGAGACACAGAAGGCCCGGGTTCAGCAGATACAGCGGATGCATTGACAGAACTGTGGATGTTCTGACGGAGGAGGTTTCGTAAAAGAGGTTCTGACTGCTCTCGAGATTTCCCTTTATTTATTGAACGCTGGCTACGTTCCTGTTCTCGGAGTGCATAAGGTGGTTTCGTAGGCGTAGGCGTACTAGATACGATGCTAGACTCAGTCTCGTTGGCGTCTTGGGAGAAGGTTCTGAGTTCTCTGTCAAGTCTGACGAGCGGAGATTCTAAAGATGCAGACCAGGACGAATCATCGGATTCAGCATGCGCGAGTCGATTGGCAGCAGGTGTCGAAGAGAAGGCTGCTTGACCTGGAGCGAAGGAACTCTCGGCGGAAGCTAGATTGTGACCACTGTCATCCTGCTCATCGTATAAAATCGAACTTGTTGCAGCCTGTGATGGACTAGGTTCCGATGGCTCGGATTCTTTCTGCTGCGACGATCCCTCTTCATGTACAGTCTCATAATCTTCGTAAGTTGGGATACGAATTTGAGCAGCTTGCTCATAGAAAGACACCCAGAACTATCCACACCGGTTATAGGTATCTGATGGTAAGAATTCATCACTCACTTTCGCCGCTTCTCTCACAGGTTCAGTTCCTACCGAATACCTTTTCACAGCTGGAAGAATCCTGGTAGACAAGATATGATGGATTTTAGCGAAATTTTGATCAATGTTCTATCGAATCTTCAACGCGTAATTTCGAGCAAAAGGCACGAATCTGATACCTGGAGCTTTAGAGTAATCAATTGCTCGATCTGTTCTATTTGGTCCTGCGGTGAAGCGGCCGTATCGAGGCCTGGGATTTCAATGGTGGATGGGTCAGGATTTGGTTGCCATCTTGGAGGATTTGGAGGGACAGGCTTTCGATTGTCTGGCATAATGGTGGCGAATAAGGAAGTCGAGACGCGACGCGTTTCTGCTGCAGAATTTTTATTTAGATCACAAGGATGTGCCAAACAACTGTCGCGCTTTGCAATTTTGACTCATCACCTTGTCCTTCTAACTTATGCACATTTCATGTGCCATATCTCGCCGTAGAATCTTTTTTGATTTCCTACAAACTATGTCCAGACGTGTGCACTCTGAATCTCCTCCTCCCCGTAGTGCCAAAAGAGCGAAGATGGAACAACTGACATTGGAAAGCTTCAAGAATGGAGTGGTTCTCGCTCCTATGGTTCGTTCTGGTGCTCGTATGTGTAATATCCAGTGATCCTTTCTGATTCTCAATTGCTGTAAACCACTAGTTCCTTCTCGGTTGTTCGCTTTAAAGCACGGAGCGTCCCTCGTATGGGCTCCGGAAACTATAGACAAGGCGATTCTGCATTCCGAACGAGTTGTTGACCGTAAGTGAGTTTTCATGGTCGCTATTGTCATAGGCTCAACTCTAATTTCAGCGGTTACCGGCGTCGTTTCATATAATGGCAAATCCCGAGCTATCTGGACAACTCATCCTATCGAAAAGCCTTACTTGATCTATCAAATTGGATCTGCAGACCCTGAGTTAGCTGTACAGGCTGCAAAGACAGTGATGCAGGATGTATCTGGTTTCGATCTTAACTGTGGATGCCCAAAACCGTTTTCTACGCATGGAGGAATGGGTGCAGCTTTGCTCACTAATCCGGACCTTCTCTGCTCCATCCTCACCGCTCTCCGAGAAGCAATGCCACCAGAAATCACAGTGACGGCTAAAATTCGTCTTTTACCATCACAAGAAGACACGCTAAAGCTCGTTGAACGAATAATAAACACTGGGGTTAGCGCTTTGACTGTTCATTGTCGGACGAGAAACATGAGGGACAGGGACAGAGCAATGATCGAACGATTAAAGGAAATTGTCGAGTTCGTCAAAGGAATGGGGAAGGACGTTGCCGTTATCGAAAATGGAGACTGTCTTGGTGCAGAGGACGCAAAACGCGTTCGAGAAGCGACAGGCGCACACTCTGTGATGATTGCACGAGCAGCTGAATGCAATCCTTCTTGTTTCTCAAATACTCCTCTCACTGATATCCATGAAACTCTCGTTCCCGCGTATCTCCGCTTGTCCAAGTATCTCGACAATAATTGGAGTTTGACCAAATTCTGTTTATCCCAATTCAAGAGTTCACACACGAAACCAAATGGGAAGGCGGACGAGAAGCGGGTTAGGGAGAGTATCGTGAAATCGCGTTCGTTTGATGAAGTGGTTGGCATTGCTGGTGGATGGACTGGCGAAGAAGATTTCAAGGAGATCGTCCGTGCCATTGAGGCACGAGAGGGAAAGTTGCACGACGAAGCCGAACCTTCTACAGCAGATGCTGAAGTTGTGGGAGCGCCTGGACAAGCGGCATCTACAACTACACCTTCAACTTCGACAAACCAATCATCTCTCTCTCGTGCTGTGGAAGCAAAATCTGGCAATAAGTACATCACGCCTCCCGGAACGCAGAATCCTCATCCACCAGCCTCTGGTGCTCCGCTGATTGCTGATGTTCAGAGGACATTGCCCGTGCTCATATCTGGGAAGGACCCTTTGACACCCACGCCGACCGGTCCCACGCCGCTGGTGATGCCGGTTCTTTAGTATTCTTATACACATGAGGAGTATGCATGCTGTATCCCTAGATAATTCGGTGTTACGTTGGGCCCGAGACGACTGACAAAGTAAGAGAAGTTCTCGTTTTGAAGCAGTGAAGACAGTCTCCAGCACACATGCACATTATTGCTATTGTACACTATTGTATGGTGTATCCTGGGACGCCGATATATGTATTTCATTTGACTTGAAATCTAGAACACCTGTCCTGCTCGTTAGAGGCAGACGATTCTTCATATCCTCCGAATCGATAGCATTCTCCTGAAGCCAGCTGCCAAAATTGAAACTGACATGTCGCAAAGACGGCATTGCTTTTGTCAACTCCACTAGTTGTGTATCCAGTGGAAAGACCAATATAGGATTCGATATGTACAGGCTCATTAGACGGCTGAAGCTTGCCTGGCGCCCCAACTGCTCGAGGGTATGTGAGAGTATTCCGTGGCTATCAACAGCCGGTGGAAGAAGTTGTAGCTGACGAAGCTGGGGAAAATTACCCAAGACTGTCTCTAACAAGGTTTCAGAGCCTATTGGGGTTAATATTAGTGGTTGTAACAAGTTAAAGCCAGACCCGGATACTCACGCAAATTTCTGAGATCAAGCGTTAGAAAAGAAGTAACTTGACCACACCCCGAGTCTACCAGAGCTTTGACCCCATCTTCGTTGAGGCTTCCAACAAGTGCAAGTGTTTTTAGCGTGTTCCAATCGAAGAAACCATGACGAAAGATGAAACCCATCAGATCAAAGCCTGGTCCCTCAAAAACCAATAACCTCTCCAATGGGATGAGTCGGGGAAGCGACCAATCACTTTCTGATTTGGACCACCTGAAGCTACGTATATCGTCCAAGACGAGTGTCTTGATGTGCGGTGAATACGTAGCCAGATTAAGAAGGAGTGTATGCATCGATTGTGCATCGATGGCGAAATTCCGCAAGGATAGATTTTCCAAGTGAGGATTGTTTTGAAGGAGATGAATAAGACGAGATAGTCGCCAGGGATAATCTTCTGTGAGAAGCGAGTAGGCAAAGTTGATATGAAGCTGCTCCAGATTGGTGAATGGGATATCCGACAGGCACTCGTACGGACTCTCAGGACCTGCCTGGTGGTCCAAGGAGTATTGAAGTTGGAGAGACATCACCCGCACATAAGATACAATGGAAGGCTTCGCGAATATATCAGCTCGAAGTTGGCAGATCAACTCTGGCAGTGATTCGCGAAAACGAAAACGAAAGTCGATAGATAAACGACGAAAAATATGGTACCGAGCTCGAGGGAGCCAAGAGCTGCAGACCAAGGTGCAAGTCTTCAGCGATAGAAAACATTGGGATGCTTCGAGCCAGTCAATGCACAAGTCGAATATTTCCTGAGGGACCATGGTGGTAGGATCAGTCGTGAAAACTCTCGCTCGCCAGATGGTTTTAAGTACTTGAGGTAAGGACCGGGGTCCTCGTGAGCTCCTCGCCCCTTCATACTCGTGCTCTTGATCGTGACAAGGTACATTCAGACAGGTTTGTGAAGTAAGTCCGATCGACGAGGATTCGGGAATTACCATTTGGTCGAATGAATACAATGTAAGCTCGGGAGCAGCCCGCATGACTTTCGGTTATTGCGAGAAAATTGCGTTCATTCAACGTGAACGTGCATTAATTTGTGTTTACCTTGGCCCACCGTGCCCAACCTGCTATTGCATGGATTCAAAGTCACGAAACGAATGAGATCAGTCATTTTTGCTCTCGATATAATCTCTTGGAGGGAAGACAATATGAACGTAGTAGAGAGAAAGTCAGCGTCTATAAAACCAATAGGTTCAGATCTGTTCAGATATGTTCGTGTACCTGCAAATATATATTCAATGTAATCTCGTAGAGTCGTAGTAATTTAATACTATAGCGAACAAGAAATAATTCTAAGATGTACCAATTTGAATTCGAGAAATGAGCAACAGGCCACGGTCCAACTCGACTTGCTCTGAACTTGGATCGACTTGCGTCTAAGTATAATGATCGTGAGGCACCATATACTATACAAGGACGTTTGAAGTCTTTTGGAAGCGCAAAGCAATTGATCGTGATGTTCTACATTCCCGACACCTAGACCTCCTAGCTCACCCTCATAGACACTGACAGGTATGGGAATGAACAGGCTATCCTACACACCGTGACCGGTCATTATATTTCTGCCATTCCAGAGTACCTCGCAGATGTGCCAGACCATGACAGATAATGCTCGCGTATATTTCGTGAATCAGGTCGTGCATTTTCCGAGAAATAAGTCTCCGGATCAGATGGGTTCTGCGATGATATACATAAGCATACGTTGTGAAGATGATAATAGAAACGCACGTATGGCTTCAAAGGTGTATTAGTGTGATGAAGCATAAATGGTGTAGGCATGGCCAAAGACATATCATTATCAACGTCTAAGGGAGACACTGGTCGAGATCCGTCTGGCTTTCGTCGGCGGCATGGATGTCCGAATATAAATGCAAGGATTACAATGCAAATGAAGGCCAGTCCTCCGACTACGCCGCCAGCGATCGCGCCAGCATTGATCTTGTGCGCGTCGTCGGATGAAGCGGTGCTTGGTGTGGCTATGGGAGTACTGGAAATTATTGCTGTTGAAGGTGAGGTTAAACTGGTAGAAGTCGCAGCCGTTGATGATTCGGGAAGATCTAAATTGGATAAATATGATTGAAAGAAGAAAAAATAGACCAACTTGCCTCCTGCTTCTTGAGCAAGGGTGGTGTTAAATGTAGCGGAGCCCTGTGGGTATTATAAATGGATGATCTGACATCATCAGTATATGTGACTTAAAAAAAAGACGTACGGTTATGGCCTGGTATGCCCAATGTGGGACAGCCGTACCAGATGGAATTGTTTCTGGATATCTGTGAGATCCAAGTAGCGTTATATTGTGTGCTCGGGAGACATAATGTTTATGTCATACACGCTGAGGAAGACCGTCGAGCAATTTGTTGAAAAATCCGCCCATCTAGTCGAGGAATGTCGATAAGTTCCTTGCGGGAAAACATGCAACTTTGACAATGACTTGCGTTGTATAGCTCACTCCTTGACAGCTCGCGCAGGCACTCAGGGCACTATAATATACAGTCGAGCAGGTACAATTATTCTGCAACTCTGAGCCAAGAGAGTAATATTCTCCGGGTGTGACGGCCGGTATGCTGAATGCTTCCCAACGATGGCGTATAAATTATCGAGAAATATCAGAGAAGGTAGCACACTCACCACCACCAAAACATACAGAACCCAGATAGCCTGAGACTTGGCAAGGACTCTGCCCTTTGGAGTTGACCGACTATAGTGACATATCGACGAATCAAACTATGAGAGATTTGGTCGGCACTTACCCATTGGTAATCAAACTGCGAGCTACAAGCAGGAACGTTGAGACTCGGATCTTCACATCTGACATGCCACCACAGTGAAGTGCTCCAAACCGTCGTGAAAAGGGCGAGGAGAAGGAACATGACGAGTCCAAAATCAGTGGGGGGATGGGGACACAATAAATGAGTGGGTTATCAAAGCTAGTTTATAAGGACTAGTCTGAGGTAAACTGATCTTCTTTGGAAGAAGTATGTACCAAGCAAGCTGTCCAGCTTGAGGGGAGAAGGTGAAGAATGTCGGCAATCGTACACAAATACGTTACAGCCATGAGGCGGGCGCTACTAGACTCGACTCAGATGCTGTGTGCAGATCTTGATAAATGAATAAGGAATCGTTGCGCGCTGTGGAATAGTGTGGAATGCGGAAAGGAAAGCAAGCGCTTAAGTCTGCCGCCGGCATTTTGATGCTGTTCTTCCACCGACAATTATTCTTCCTTCTTTGTTTCGCGTCTTTTGCCCTTGCCAACACAGAAATCGTGAACTTCGAAGCTTCAGATCAAATAGATGTGCACATATCTGACGATCATAACTGGTGCGCCACCTACTGTCTCGCCAAAACATATCTTGGCTGACATTTTAATTTCTAGGCATGTCTTGAGCCCTGGAGCTAATGAAAAATCCTTCAATGTTCAACCTGCGCCATTTGGCACGCGCATGAATGTCGTCTGCTCGTCGCCGCAGGAGCTGCTCTCGAAAGCGCCCAACTGTTCGAACGAAATTTGGATAAAGCTTGATTTGGATCATCCTGATTGGAAGTCGTATACGAAGTATACTTTGCGAATATCATGGCCTGGTTCAGTGCGTCTCTGATACTAATGTCACAAAGATATAGCCTAAATTCTTATTATAACAGTCTCCTGCGGATTTCGGCATGAATATTTTCAACCCAGAGACAACTGCTTCACGCTTCGCAGGGAAACCAATATCTCCACCAGCCCGGACGCGTGTCAAGTTCGCCCGTATCCGCGTTGTCGACGCTGGCATCATTTCTCCTCTGTCTGGTGTAACTGAAGTCCGTCCAGTACCCTTCATGGTCATTCTAGAACCATTATACTTTGGTTTGATACCGGCTTCAATTGTACCTTTCCTATGGGTGCTTTTGCCGACGATATTCGTGTCTATACTAGTGGCTCCTTATGCGAATGCATTCTTATCTGATATAGCTGCTGCTGCCAGAAGGGAAATCACTGGGAAGGAAGAATAGGAATGGTCGAATAGATACGATAGCATACATGCAGCATTTAGATACCTGAACCACATACATTGTACTATTAAGAAAAGCCTGTCCGAACGTGTGGGGAAAATATTGGTAAAGGGTGCGCCTACGAAGGTTGTGTTAGTATGATGAGAGGCATAGGTGTAACAAAGAGGACGAACCTCTGTGTTGAATACATATTCTGCCAAGGAAGACGGTTAGCATTGATTGAATAGACTAGCATTGGAATGATACTAACTGTCCAAAGATAGCACGCTCGCATCCTCAAATAGCAAGAACAGGTACTTCAGCGTCTCGCTCTAATAAGTGACAGGCAAAATCGTGAGTATACGTCACAATCAAAGAAGCACATATCTCACCATGAGGAACGTCTCCATTTTATCCTCTTTCCTTGATGGTACTTCGTCCACATTCATGATAGTCGCATACCCACCAGTTTCAACTTTGCAATGCTTCTCAATTGATTGGAAGATATCCCAGCCCCAGTCACGGTAGCGAATATCTCCTGTGAGACGGAAAGCCAAAAATAAGGATTCGACAGTTTCTGGGCTGTTCCCATCGGCGATGTTCAGTGATGTTCAGAAATAACCCCATAGAAATAAACGGGGCACGGAATAAACACACCGTAACATGTATCTGGCATCGTATGGGGCTTCTGCACCTGGGCTACGGTGTAAACAGTGAGTTCTTAAAGTCTGTACGTCGTCTAGAAATCCGTTACCCACCTTGCACCTTTGATGTACCAATCAGCAGGAACGCCAGATTTGGACAATACGTCAATCATTCCATCTGAAGGTATACGAAAGTGTGCAATCTCAGGAGAAAGCCCGCTGCAAATTCATTGAACATTCCTCGTCAGCCTTTGAGCAAGGAGATAAACATACGTCAGAGTGTCATGTGTATCCACGCAAGTCTTAATCAGCTCGACCCCATCCTTCCAGTCCCTCTTTCCGTGATCCATGAATTCCGACTGACGAGGTGGGATAGACACAGGAAGAGTCGATGCGCCAGTGATAGTTGCACCAAGCATGAGGGATCCCCCGAAGAAGCACGCCAAGTGGTCTTGCTTTGGAGTAAGTCGCCAGGAGCTTTAAGGAAAAAAGTTAAAATCCGCGGGTCCAATATAGAGAGAATACAAACAGTTGTCCACCAGAGTTTCGCTCTGGAATGAGCTCTGAGGTATAGGTCATCCTCGTGTATGGACTTTTCGTGATGAGGTTTTCGTGGACAGCGGACATTGCGTTATCGTACATCTGTGAAAATACAGTAATTCCCTCTGTTTCGCATGAGGTACTATTCCGACTAACCTGTCGGTAAACATCTTCCGTCTGGTTCTGATAGGACCATTATAATAGTCAGAAGTTGCTCGAGGTTTAGATACAGAAAAACTTACAGTTTGTAGGTATTGCTTTCTGGGAAAACATGAATAAGGTCAGGATATAGGAAATGCATGAGACTGACAATAGATATTCATAGTACGAATCTCCGCGCGACCCTAGTCGAATAGCAGAAGGAACAAACTGTCCTGTCTCTACACTGATTTTCTATGAGCGAATAAAATGTAAACGAACAAGGAAAAAATCATACTGCATGTAAATCGAAGCAAGTCCGTGTGGCATTTGATTCTCCTTGATAGTTCTCATAACCTACGTGTTCTCGTCAGTTTGTCAAAACAGTAATCCAACCACTAAAAACGTACAGATTCGACTTTTTCCCAATAAATGTCTTCGTCTGTCAGATAGCTGAGATACCTGAATTCGAGTTGTAGCGTAGCAACTTCGGCGGTGCTGACGAGTAGAGGGAGGTATGGATCAGAAACGCCTTCGCGTTTACCAAGATTAATGTTGGGCAGCGGGAGCCCGGAAGGGGTATCAAAAACAGGCAAGATGCGGTCTGCGAGTTCAATTGCGCGGTCCAGGTAGAGTTTATCGTGGTCAGTCAGCTCGTAAGCTGAGAGAAGACCCCCAAGAACACGAATGGTAGTCTGTGTGTGCTGTTAGAATACGATTTAGAAGTAAAGACTCTCAATTCACTTCGAAAGTATTGAACTCTGCATCTCTGTCAAATGATAGTCTGGTATCCACCCATTTCCTCGCTCTGGCATAATCATCTTCAAGGCCCATGATCAACATGGTATCAATGGAGTCGATAACAGTGTAACCAATGCCTCCGGCTTGAGTCAAGTTTGAGCCTTTGTGGCTAATCGGATGATACTCGTCGTCTCCCATTGCATCTCTTTCTATGTCAAATTCAAAGGTATAAAAGTGCATCGACAAGTCTGAAGGAATTTACACACCATAGGAGCGCCACGCATGCTAGATTTGGAAATTAGATATCTTTCGGTCCAAAAAGGCCCGTCAGAACGCGCACTTTGAAAGCTTCTACAACCGCATCTCTTTTCTCTATATCTGCACCGAGTCCCACAAAGCTTTTAGTGCTCGATCCTGGTGAAGTTTGCCAGTCGTCCGACTCAATCCAGAAGCTGGCTATATCCGAAAGTGTGGAAGGATTCTAAACGGCTAGTGAGTACTCAATCAAACCAGTGCTTAAGCAAGCTTACAATGTATACGAACAATCCAAAGCATAGAAGAAGAGGTATCCAAAGAATTTTGAGATATTGCAGTAAAGCAGCACTGTCTATGTCAAATTCCGATTCGTCGGCCTGTATACGTGGATCACGGTCAAAAAACGGTCGAAGGAAGAAAGAGATGAGCTGACAGTGGCATTCTGCGGAGGCTCCTTCTCAGGCTTTGAGCCCGTTTTGCGTTTTCTTAGCCCGTCGTCGGGCATGTTGTGTCCAAGGTTATATGAAGTAGAGCGCACGGACCAGCTATGGTGCGTCGTTTCGGCCAAAGCGGCGAAAGCCCGTACTTTATAAGCAGACCTGGGCCGATGATTTCTTGCAGACTTATCTCTAGCTACTATAGCTAGATCTCTTATCCAAACATCATAATGTCTGACACTGTGTGCAAGTGTGTGCATCCATAATCTGCTACTTATTTTTGGGCGCTGTTATACGTCGCTGTTAAGCCCGATATCGATGAATGTATACTGAGAAAGCTTTAAGAACCGTCTTTCCTGGTGAGTCCAGGGAGTGTCAGGGAGTGTCCAGGGAGATTCACAATTTCGCATTCCTTATTCGCCGACGGCAAATATCACTAGGCTCCACTGTCGTGGACCACACCTTGCTTGGTAAATATTGTAGATCTAAAACACGGCGCGCACAGGGCACGCCGCGAGTGGGTACAGGGCCTCCATATGTTTTGAATGCCATGTAGAATCTTAGGGTTCCGTAACTTATTCAAATTCAAGTTACAAATGTAACTAATTCATGTTACTAACATTTTACTTACATGTCATGTTGAGGGTGTAGGATTTTCAGTGTAACGAATGTCACTAAGAAACACCTTGAAAACATCCTGTGGTTAAGTTTTCCAACCTCGACAAGACTTACTTGAAGAAGCTTCAGTTCGAGCCTTATCCCACATGTAATCTTGGTGACAATTCTGATGACAGCGAGGATAATGAAGAGGATGAAGAAGGACAGTCCGAAGGAGAGAAGGAGGCTCAGATGCCCAAGAAGCGAGGCTGTAAAAAGCGAGTCATTCTGTCTGCTTCGTGCATCATTGTTGATGAAAATGAGATCAACCTCGCATCTCCTGCTTTGCTGGCAATGATATCATCAGATGAGTTGCAGACTCTCTGTGATACCCCAGAGTCAGCCATGGCCTCCGGTTCTTCTCAACTACTGATCAGTGAAGAGGTGAACCAAAGGGATGTGCCAGTCAACTGGGAAAGCCTTGGAATATAAGTTACACTTAGTTACTTGAATTCTTCAAGTTACAAATAGTAACATCATATTAGTTACACTGTTTCTTACACTAATTAGTTACTGTTACTTACGCGTGTAACTAATGGATTCAGAACTTCAATGTTAGAAACAAATGTAAGTAATAGTTTGAGAATTAGTTACGGTACCCTAATGTAGATGGACAATGGGCGAGTTGTTGTGGAAGCTTCAAAACAAAACAAGTTCAAAGTGTGCCTGCACATCAAAAATGTTCAATTCCGGGGTAGAATAGGGTAGACTAGGCTCCACTGCCGTGGACCACACCTTGCTTGGGTCATGTTCTCAACACCACTTCATTTTACTAGCTGACATTTATACCTATTATGCTACAAGTATGTTTTGGTCCAACTTCCACTGCCAAATACCCATTTCTGATCATGGAACTGAATTTCACGCAAAGACGGGCAAATGTCATGTAAGCCATTGAATGCCTGTTCAACATCTAAATCATAAGCATCAATGTGCAGTATGTAGATCAACCTGAGATTTTGCAGATGATGCAAACTCTGTCGCACCAAGTCCAATATCCTAGCCTATAATGCCATGAATAAGAGTAAGTCTCCTTTGACACAAACACAAACATTGAACATAATGCTCCATGTAAAGGTACATGGGCAGCTAAATGCTTTCATTGAAAGTACAACAATGGACATGGCAGTAGAGCCAATGGATGGCGTATAGGGATATTTTCATAATTTTTGTGTCGAATTGGACAGCAAAAAAACACCACAGGAGCATTGCGGTGAAGGTACAGTTGCCCCTCATATGCTCCATGTCGGCGTGGGAAATGGTGGTGGTGAAATGGCTGCAGCATCAAATGCAGAGACAGAATATATTGTACCAGGATTGGACAGGCCATATTCCATGGAACTGGACAGCAATACACAACAGGAGCAGTGCGATGAAGGTACAGTTGCTTTTCATATGGTCCATGTTGGGATGGGCAATGGTGGTGGTGAAATACATTACACAAACAAGAATGTGAAGATACGAGGACATTGGCTCCTGCGTCAATTTCAGAAACAAAATATATTAGAATGGGAGACCTGGACAGCCCACATGCAAAAGATGGCGAGAGTGCAGTACTTTTTTTGGCTGCTCTTCAGTGGAAGTACACAAAAGTTGAGACAGTAAGTGTGTGGTTGAATTTGGAGGAAGTTGCTGATGAAATGGAGAAGGTAGTGTGGAACTACTTTACAACAAGCAGTGGGGTATTGTGGATTCAATGGAATTTGCAAGTGGAAGTGGGTAAAAAGCATCAATTGCAAGCAGAGATTGAGAAGATGAAGGACTGTGTGGGGCAAATGTATGAAAGATGAGTGGTGTTATTCATAATGTTCATTGATGCACCACGTGGGGTGGGTGGACATCAAGGGACTGGGAGTGTTTGTAAGTTATGGTTGAGAGAATCAAGGACAAAAGCTGACATATGGAAACAGACCATTCAGGAGGGGGTCCAGAAACACTTATAGGATGAGAATACAACAATAATGAGAGGCATAACACTATCTTTGGAACAAGAGTAGGCACAGGAGTTGGGAAAGATATGGAACCTGACATTACTTGGAGAAGAGATTTGTTCTTAGTGGCATTGAGAGGAAGGTTTGAACAGGTGCAAACAGTGAGTTAGTTGAGACATAAAGGTATGAGGTACTAAGAAGAACATACAACAGACATGATGGAATTTTGAGGCATCATACAAAGGACAGCTCTGTCTGCAGTGGCAGATTGTTGTTGAACTGAAGGAAGGTCAAAACATGTTAGAAGAGGTGAAGAGCATGGAGGTGTGTGTAGGAGTGTTGTGGTATAGATGTGTTGGATTAATGATGGTGTTCATTGATGCCCCCAGAGGACCAACAAAGTATCAAGAAACAAGAACACTGTGTGAGTAACATTTGAAAATGATTCATTCCAAACCGACAAGAGGCATCTGTAAAACCTGGATTTTCGGCTAATAGCTGGAAAGCAGCTGACAGCGCTGTCCAGCTGGGAAAGCACCCCCAGCAGTTGATCAATACTGCTGGGAGTGCTTTCAGTGCTGGACAGCGCTCTCCAGCCAATATCCTTGCTCTGGCGAACATCCATGTTTTGCAGATGAGAATAGATCACCTAGTGGGAAGAGTTAATGGAGATTGGATGTAGGCAAAAGGCAGAGTTTGTAGGGGACAGTGGTGTATATATTATCAAAGAGTATTATCGAAGAGATAGAATATTCGGTATCTAAGTACATAAGTCGTCAAAGGGAATGACATATTTGGTGTATGTACAGACGTGGGCAGTGGGTGAAAAGCAGGCCGAAACAAGCAAATACAAAGCGGGGCAGACAGACACAAAATGTGCCTGCACATCAAAACTGTACAATTCCGGGGTGGAATAGACCTTGCAAGCAAGGTGAAATAGACCCTAATAGACCTTGCAAGCAAGGTAATGATCATCCACAGGAAGTCGCGGGGGTAGCGCAGGACCTGCGATCTTCCGTGGCACTCTTCGGGTTCGAATCTGTTCGAAGCGTCCATGGGCCCTGTCCCGACGCCAGATTTCTATCATCCCCAGGAACTTGAAGCCCTGTGTATGTAAGTAGGAAGCTGTCCGAAGCTGCAGGACAGCGCAGGTCCAGCATTGAGCAATCATTAATCATGTGGCACCCTCCAGGTTCAAAGCTGTTCGAAGCATCCCTTGGTGCTGGGAGGCCCTGGGAGCAGTTCGATGAGCGTCATGAGGTGAATATGTGTTCTATGTAGAGTATCCTCATTGCTAATTCTCGTCGATACTTTATCCTATCCTTAGCCTTCGATAACAGTTGATAGCCCGACGGGAGCCGATGGGTCAACCGAACCCATCTCAGGGCTAAATCCTGCTAAATCGCTTCTGCACAATGGTTATCATCCTGATATGCATCCATCTCGTTGAACATCACATATATACTCCCATCCTCACTTGTCTGATCCCTGGTGGTTAGATCCTTTCTGCTCTCACCCAACACCCGCTCGCACTTTTTGTCGTCTTCCGGCTGGTCCGGCAAACACATACACTCGCTCGTGCTGTCAACCTTCTTAATCCGATTTCTAGTACTACTCGAACATTCCATCGACCATGCGAACTTACAGCACTCTTATTCCGTTCGTCGCCCTTGCGTTCACATTCGCGGCGAACGCTGTTCCTACCTCGTACTCTTCAAGTGGAAACACTTACAACAGTAAAGCATCCGTCAGAGAACTCGACTCGGACGTTGTCGAAGCCCGAGGTTTCGTCGTCGACGATAACTCACTTGAAGAGCGGTCGTCAGCATTGAGTAATGAAGGTGACCATTTCTCCACCGCACCTTAGTCTGTAGCTCATTTTATACCGGAAGGTCCTACCTCTCCCATGAAATCGAATGTCCAGTCCTCACTGGAGCGGCGGATAAACCAAAATATGGCAATCGGCGCTGGGGCAATTGCCGTTGGAGCTTTAGCCATAGGTCTTGGATACTGGGGGAAGAAGCACATAACAGAGGATGCGGAGAAACATGATGCAAGTTCATCGACATCTTCCTCGGCACCTGACCCTACCTCAACCGATAGTGGGGATCCGGTAAGTTTTATTCTATTCTCCGATTTGACGATGGTCAATTCCCTTTCAGTGCACCAAATATGACAGAAGAGAGGGAAAATGTTGAATTTGAGATAGACATTAGATTTCCGCCCTAGTCTTGCGTGTGAGGTGTCTCTTTGAAAAGTCCTTTGTTTCCCTTTGTCTCCAAGAGAAGCCTTGTGTACGGCGCCCTAAGTTCTGCAAATGGCAGTAACTAGACTTCAAAGGCGTTTGTTGCCATGTCAAAATGATTTTCCTTTTACAGCACTGATTTGCGCTGATACAATGGCAAAAGAAGCTTATACCTAGTTTAGCGTTTCATTTAAAAAAAGAATGCTATGTACCAGTGGAAGGATCTGGGACCCACAAAAGTTTTCAGAGGTTTTACCACCAGCATGAAGCGAGGTTTCCTCACCACCGCCAAAGCAAAGCAGCAACTTGGCAAAGATGATAACGATAACAAGAGTACCAAGTCGGACAGCACCCAGAAACCAACCGCCCTTTCTCCCAATCAACCCCAAGTCTCCAACTTGGTGAAGTACAGTGACCTTGACGAAATCGCAGAACCCAGAAACTTTAGTTATGGTGTTGTTGATGAAGCCGGTAAGTAATCGTGTTGTCCTCAAACTTACACAAGTCGCTCAACCCTCTGATTTGCGGATGCAGGCCTTCCTAAAGGGTACGACCCTAGTAAAGTGGCTTTCAACAGCAAGCCTGTTGATCCGAACGATCCGGATGCATTCTTTTTCGTCACCTTGCCTCCAGTGGAGAAAGGTGCTACTCTCGCGGATTATCCTGGAGGATGGACAGAGTGTTGCGTCTCCGGTGACGTTAAACGCGTTATCGAAAACACACCGGGGTTCCCTTCTTTACCTCTACAACCTTTGGGAGGAAAACCCTACCGCATTGCCGATGCTGGTGATAAAGGACTAGGTGTTTTCGCCACGCGGATGATCCGTGCTGGAGAGCTTATCATGGACGAGAGACCGCTTATCGTGACTCCGAACAGTAACACAGAGTTCTTACGCGATAAAGCCTTTATTCGAAAATTGCAAAAGTACAGTCTCGAGCAAATAAGGCAGATCACGTTGCACGAAATGGATAAGAGGGTGAAGAAATCGTTCGATCGGATGCCACTCGAAAATCAAAAGGCGTTTATGGATTTGTTTAATAGTCATAGCCACGACGGAAGCGGTGAATACATTGGGTACGCATTCAATACTTCCTTGCATTCACTCTAATTAGCGATGCTCGAAAAAATTGTTGTTCATTACAGGCGAACGAGGACAAATGCAGCCGGAATCGATGTTAACAAATTGAGAGACAAAGGTTTGTTCTTTTAAAAAGCCGTCTAGATGTTCTTCGCCCTACATTCAGCGTCTTTTTGGTCACTCGTCAGGTTCGACCGGTAAATTGGGTCAATATTCCGCTACCTGCAATGAATTTTCACGTCTCAATCATTGGTAAGTGAAATCTTGCTGTTCGAGACAACGCACCCTATACTAACATACAACTTTTGTTCTACAGCTGCTGCCCCAACGCTATCTTCCACTGGCACACCGACACGTTTACTATCCGCGTCTGTGCAGTTCGCGATATCCCGGCCGGAGCAGAGATCACAGTCGAATACTGCCCCGTTCTTGACTCTGCCGCCCAACGAGCTCAGAGTCTCGCTCCCTATGGTATCTCATCATGCGCTTGCAGCCCTTCCTGCAGTGACCCAGCTCTATCCAAGATTTCTGACGAGCGTCGCGCACGGTTCAGGAAACCCATCGTTCTGACTCCTCCTATCGGCGGGTTTAAACCTGGCGACGACGCATGGTTTCAACCTGCTCTCACAAGGCTCCGAGAGCTAGAAGAGGAGAATCTTCAAAGAGCAGATGAATACAGAAGGACTTTACACCAGTTAGTCAACATATACTGTTTTCTACACGATGTCGACAAGGTGCTTCTGTACGCGCACAAGTTGGACGCGTATTGCAGGGCAAGTGATCGTGTGAAGGATGTGGACCGTAATCTCTTGACTAGGGAAGGTGTAAAGCGCACTCAAGGATGGATGACAGGACAAATGATGCTCAACATGCAGAGACCTGGTATGCCAACGCCTGTCTTGATGACATTCGCATGATTGGATGGTGATTGTAGTAAGTAGTAAGTATACATGAGCTACGACTTGCAGCAATGATATCTTCAAAATATTGAACGCGTCAGAGCCAGAGATTCCAACTGCTCACTTCAAGTTGAACGAGAGAATTCAGAAAATGTACTGGAGACCCGCATGGACAGGCACAATATGACATGTTGAGGCGATGTACTGTGACGAATCGCGCCAAGCTCCCTGCAAGCTCCGCACGTGAACGTCACAGTGACCACTTTGACGCGTCAGAACCTGCGTCAGAGGCCAAACGCGATTCCAATGGGTGGATTTGAAAAGATATATAAACTACACGTCCTTTGCTCTAAATTTTTCATTAACCAACCCACACAAACACATTCCCACTTTCAACTCCTACTACTGTAAATTCTTTTGAACACCATGTCTGACAAAGCCCGTGAATCTTTTGGTGTTAGTTGCTGTTCTTACCCGTGTTCGATGGACGGTGCTGATGTTTATTATAGGACAAGACCAAGGCTGCAATTGTGGTAACTGCTTCTTCGGTTCAGGAAATATACACCAGAAAGCTCTAACTTCGACATTTATAGCCTGACTCCCAAAAGAGTGGTACCACGCAAGCTAAAGACACCGTAAAGGGAAAGGCAGACTCCGCAGCATCGACTGTTCAACCCCAGGTACGAGGGCTTTCATTTAGGCTGGAGCATTCCTATGCTAATCCTTTTTCCAGAGCGAGAAATCCACCACGCAGAAGGTTGGTGACACGTTCAGCAGCAACTCGAATGAGAACGACGTGAGTTATTCTATTTGTGATGGCTCCTTGATCCTGATACTTCCTGCAGCAATCTCTACTCGACAAGACCAAGGATACTCTCGGCTTGAACAAGTAGTCTCATCACCGTCATTTTCGTGGACAAGTTACCTCTTGATTTGATGATTTCATCTACTTGGATTCATATACATCGGGAATTTAATGCGATAATGTACCTGTAATATACACTGTAGAAACAACACACGAATCAAACACTCTTCTTGTAACATAGAGCCTGTGTACTCACCTGAGATTGAAAAAAAGGAGTAGAATGAATACAAGGATTCAATTATAATATTGCCAGAATGAAATGGTTTATTTTTGTTGATATTCAAGGGAGCTTTCGGCGAGGATCACTGCTAATTGACTTTGGTATGGTCATAACCATTCCGATTATTTGTCCACGAAACTTGTCCTAGAAATCACCACACATGTCAGCACGAGCGAACGAGACTCAAGTCGACCAAGCAAGCACCATACATCTTTATTGTAAATCTTCTTCAGCGGCGCTACTTCTTCTTGCGTCCAGTTATTCGCTCTGAGTTGTTTATCCTGCAACGGCCCCGCATCCAAGAACCTCGCAATAAGATTCCGAAAGTCCATTGGCTTCGAATAAAATTCCTCGACGGTCGTTGGAAACTTTTTCTCGAGCCTGTCCTTCTCAATCTGCGCTTGCCGCCGAGCTTCCTCCTCCCGGCGCTGTCGGTTGTACATTTCTTGCTGAAGTCGCTCGTGCTCACGCTGTAGTTTGATTTCTTCTTCCTTCTTGACACTAAGAAGCTTCCGTTGGAGGTCGATGAGCTGTTTGCAATAGTCGTAGTTGTGTCGGGAGATGGACGGTAGGTGGGCAGGTGTAGGCGCGGTCGGGGAGAATGGGTACGGGAAAGTTTTTGCGTATAGTTCCTATTTGCCGGGACGAGGGTGAGATTTTCTTGAATTCCTGGCACGACATATCCAGCACATACCTTTTGCGCATTCGATGTCTGGATCATCACATCGACCTCGGCTTGGCTATAGTTCACGTCTAACGCTTTAGGGTTATCCTTGTACTCTCTTTTCATCCACTCTCTAGGATCCTCGTCTAGCACTTCATTGCGGCTTCGATACCGATCTTCCACATCATCAAGATACGCTGAGGCATTCAAGTCATATAGTCTCGAAAGGAGAGCACCATGCCTCTTCCGGAGTTCGTCAATCTCTTTCTGCACACTCGCCGATGTCTCCGGTGCGGGTTTGGTCCAATCAGTGTTCATTATTGTTTCGACGCTACTCACAGAGGAAATATTTGATGATACAGGTTGGAATAAGAACGAAGGGGGCCGAAGAATGAGAATGAGAATGGGCACTTGCCTTGGTAGTCGTACCCCGCAGTGGCGGATGATATCGAGAGCATGTTGATGTACTTCTAGTTTCTGAGCCTTTGTGGTGGGCTTTTCTGTGAATCCATTTCTTCCCATGTACTTCTCGTTATAAGTACGGGGTTTGCTGCTTGAAGCTGACATTGCGTCTTGTTCAGCGGATGGTGGTCATTGATTAAGAGGAAATAGGCACTTAGGCGCTCATCCAAGCAGCACTTCAGAATCATACGACTCGCAAGGTTTTTGAGTATGTAATTGTAGATAGAATACCGGACCCATATAGTCATACAAGAATTCTCGATTGAGTACCACTCTTCCACCAACGTTTCAAATTCGGCCCATTAAACATTTTTCATCACGATATGTATTGAATCAAACTCTCTCTTTATCACCACGATCATGATTACCACCCTTGTCGCCGAAAACCGTACGAGTTTGACCTCATGAAAAGAAATCAAAGTTCTAGAACGCATAAGCAGGAAGACTCAAGAAGACCATTCCAGAGGGGCAATGCGAGGAGATAGACATCCTACTTACATACGCAACCTTGCGCGAAGTGACGGCGATGAGAAGACCTAGTAGACCAAGAATGATGGCCAGCAGAATTAGAAGGTATCGTGGTGTTCGTGTGATTTGGGATTATAGACTCAATGATGTCGATGAGGTACAATGTGAAATGGATAGCAGCCGGTAGCACTAGCGTACCAGCCAAATCCAAACCAACGACCGTCGACGACCTGCATGGAGAAACAGAAAGTACCACATAGATCTCGAACCAATATTAATCATGCTAGGTTGTGAACGGTCGAGAGTCGACGATGCTGAGAAAGGATCACGCGGAAAGTATCAGGGAACGATAGTTTTATGAATAGCTTGAGGACACAAAATGTGCTTTGTTCGTAATTTTCGTTAAGTTCGCCACAAAGGCCGATAATTTCTTCATCTTTTACCATGCAACTGACCATTCTTGTCAACGAGTCAGGGAAAACATCGGCATAGGACGAACTCATATCGATTTGGACTGACTCCCGTCGCTCGCCATATCATGTTCGAATTGAAGAACTTGTGCTTGAAAGTCGTTATCCGCTCGTCAAACATCGTCAGATAGGCATCCGGAGTTATCATGTCATTCCCTGCATCCTTGACCATACCTTCGGCCATGACCAACATGAAAGTGTGGCTGTTTGGCTTGTCGGTCATCGTCAGAGAATCCAATGTGGTTCTGAGACCTTCTACAGACCCTGAATAAGCTGCGACAAGTGCTATGGTGTGCAGGAGGGGGGGAAGTTCAAAGGCACGACGTTGTTGAGAGGGAAGGACATGAGCTGTAGACGAAGCTACCTCGAGCGAATCCATCATTTGACAGATGAGAAACTTTTAGATTGCCTGTACTCGGGTGAGTCTTGAAATGTACCCTTTTTGCGTAACGAAGGAATATAAACTGAGTTCTTACAGCCTTTGGTCGAGGAGAAATCGAGCATCCCGTAAGCAGTAGACGGTCTGCTACTCAGAGGGAACCAGGCAAGAAAGACTCCCTGGCTTTACCGAGGCAGATACTATTCTAGATAACATTTGGCTGGTATTCACCAGGTGCCGGTCAGTAAATGTTAGTCCTCGATCTGCTCCAATATCCGCATTTATTTGTTCGTAGGTCGCTCTTGAGAGATCTCCAATTCGCCATGAGTAATAGTAAGTTTGACCCTTCTGCTACAGCTGCAGCCTATCTGATCAAGTAATCTTATCAACTGCTATTGCCAGTTCATCATCATTTATCGAGGTGCAGATACACCTAACACTTTATGAGAGGGAAGCATCACTACATTTATACCAAACTTCCTACCATCCTGACTAATATATGTTCACGGTTGAACCAGGAACCCCAAGGATAGTCTCAACTAATGCACCTGGGGTTTGACTTCTAGTGAAGCGTATCACTTGCCACTGAGTTCGGGATCCCCAGGTATCACTCCCTCCATTAGCCTTGAGAGTGAACCAGTTCTCATTCCCACCTTTGTCGAAGTCTCCACCAGTTGCAGTGACACTGACATAGATATCCTGGGCGGTATTGTTTGTTACTCTGAGAGTGCTCATTTCTTTCTAATCAAGATCGGGCATTTTTATCAATGTGTACATCACATTGTAGGATCAAATATGCTTACCAGTAGTTGGTTAATTCAGAATTTGTAGACAATGGAGTCAGGATGCAATGTATGAAGTCCTAGAACCTGATCAAATGTGAGCAAATGTTTGAATTTAATCATAACCTGAAGTGCGAGAATGCATACAATGAGAGCAGCAGCACTAGAAATAAGAGACAGACCCTTGGGGGAACACAGATATACTTCGATGTTTAAATAGCAAAACCCGGACCCATTGTATGATGAATTTTAGTACGACAGTGTAAGTGCAGGTAAGGATGCACGTTCAACTGGCTTTCAAGAAAGTTTTTCGATAACAGTATGCTCACAGGAAGTCAAAGTATCAATGCAGAAGGACTGAGAAGGACACATGTTCAATGTTCAATAGTTCAACGTTCAACAGTAAGACACAATCATCACCCCACTTCTGAAGCGGCATTCTTGACAGACAACTTGAATATACGCCAACTACTTCGCAGTACATTGTGCCTATGCGCTACTAATAAGTATATTTGAATGAAATCCTCAGGCTTCGGGGAAAATAGTGAAGTCGACAGAGAAGGACACATGTCCAATGCAATTATTACTCCGCTTTTCATAACTGTCATCCTTGACAGACAATATTCTTGAAAGTCCTCGACACTTGACTATTTCTTCGGCACTTGTTAGTACCAGCAAGCACTGGCAGGAGGCCCTGACTGCCTCCACTCCATACACGTTTTGCTGATACACTGTGCACATGTGCTACTAATAAGTATCGGAACTTGAATGAAGCTTTTCGAGAAGTCAAAGTATCATATCACCCCACTTTTGAAAAGTGGCATCCTTGATGGACAATACTTATCCCCATACCTAATTTCAGAGCATATTGTGCACCGTGACATGTGCTACTAATAACTACAGAAATTTGAATGAAGGTTCTCGGGGAAAGTAGTTATTCTCTGTGTCACCCTAGGGTGTTCAGAGAAAGAAGGAGTTGTATTATAACTTATGGTAGGCCACGAGTTGGAGGCAAGGGAGCGGATGCTATTTATGTGTCAAGTACAAGGAATCTCAAGATATTGGTAGTAGCTCTGTCCTCGGGCATTGTAAGAGGTAACAAGATCTTTAGCTCTCATCTTCTATTACTTGACAACAGGTTGACATTTTAATTTCAAAAGCTTGAGAGACAACATCGGTGCTCATGCACGTTGCACTTATTTCTGTCTCTAAGCCTGGTCTAGGAATAGGTAAAAGGAGTATATATCGACTAGTACCATTCATCAGCTACATATTCAAAGCTTCAATAGTACGCCCCACTTTGCTCTCTCATTTTTCAAAATTCATATCCAGGTAAGACATCTTGAAGACATCCAATTGGCTTAGTGCATACACTGAATATTTTGACTAGTCTCTCCACACATAATGATAATCCAAACCGTGTCAATCAAGGGTCCAAACAACAAGTACCTTTCATGTAGGCCCAATGACGGGAGCTTGGGGTTTGACCTACTAGATCTTGATCCCTCATGCAAGTTCTTCATGGTTCCATGGGGTGCTGGAAGGACCTGTTTGAAAGGCCCTAATGGGAGGTTTGTCGACCTTCACGGGATTAGATTCCGATGTGATGGCATCTACACTGGAGCGGGCTTCATTGTCTCTGACACCACTTTCCAACTGGATAGCGGAAAATACCTCAGTAATGTTGTTGAAAACAATACCATCACGGCCAACAATACCGCTACCCATTTGGTCATAAAGTCAACATCATTCGAAAGTTTCCATGTCAGCACGTCGTTGTCTGTCCCCGCCATTACTTACAACAGCGACGTATCAGTCGAGGACCGCTACAGGCCAGGAAGGAATTACTTGGCTCTGAAGAATTACAGCGGAACTATTGATATTATCTTCTCTATTCCTTACTCCATGGATGGGGAAAGGAACGGAACTGTGGAGTTGATTGTAAATCACATGAGGGACGCTTCTGGAGGAATCATCGACATCAATCTGAACAACCAACCATTATTTCCGAGATATTCCCACACCACGACCAGATTCGAAGCACAGAATTTGGGCTCATTGGTACTATCTTCATTGACAGGAGAGAACACATTATCCATCTCCCTGGCTGAGGGCTATCTAGGGAATTACTACTTCTCTGATGCTGCTCTGGTTTTCAAAGATAGCAAAGGATATGTGAAACAAGAGAATTCTGTATATGCCATTGGACTCTCTTCTGGTTCGTCCTATAATGGTGGGAGCCTGGAGGATAGTCTCAGGAAAGGGAATCCATACCTTTCTATAGAAGGGAGCACTTCTTGGTCAAGGGTCACCTTCACAGTCAGGGAAGAGCTATTAGGAATAGGCAACTGTGTAATGAAGATCCAACACAGAAGAGAGTCTGGAACCTCCATCGACATATTCCTCAATGGAAATAAGATTGAGGCAGGCTATGACACCATACCAACTGACTCATTTGGCACCTCCAGTTTCTATATCCACAGTAGTGATTTGAAGAAGAGCAATGAGTTGGTCATCAGACCAAAGAATGGGAAGTACTACATCTCTGATATCAACCTTGATGTAGTTTCACTCCTCCCAGATGTTACTCAAAAAAACTTTGAGACTTATATCAAAGATTGGGTTCTCCATCACAGAAGAAACATAGGAGAGCTTAACAAGATCCCTCGAGAAGATCTTCCAGCTTGGAAATTTGTTCATGAAGCACCTTACTGGTTCTTCATCCCATTTCTTCCCTGCTCACCAGAAGAGATCGGTGTTCTCTTTGACTACTACAATATGATGTTTGTTTCTGTGGCCTTCGAGATCAGGGATTTCAACAACAAGGCTAGGGACTTCCACAGGGAGCTTATAAGCACTGATCTCCCGAGGAAGAATGCTCTCAGGCATGCTTATTGGACAGCTATGTTGTCCAGACGATTTGGCTTGTACTTTGCCTTGGATCTCTCGACAGCCCACGAAGAGGCCCATGTTGATTTGACTATCGAGGGTCCCTACGATCATGTCACCGACAAAATCAATAATGCCGTAGGCTCTCTGTTGGGATCGAGGACACCTCGGTCTAAGGATCTCCAAGGTGTCATAGACGCAGCTTGGGCAAGCGGAGAGCTAGGATATGCGAAGGACTTCAGAGAAACTTCGGGAGGACAGACGGCCAATGTGTATTGGCAGAAACCATTAGACGTGATGGCAAAGAAGTACAATGTGAAACCAAAGTTTAGCCAGACAGAGAAGGACACCCTGGAGAAAATGAGAGTAAATGTTCCAAATGTTCCCGTCATCCACTAGTCATTCATACTGTAACTTGCTATTGCGGGATGCTAGAAAGCCTTCCTGCGTCGAGTTAGAGTATATTCTGTGAACATACATACTGTTTCTTGAAATCCGCTGCTCGAAATGAAAGCGATTATAGGATTGCACACCGAGTAACGCTCAGTGTGTATCCTCTTCTTCGACTAAAAACTTACACACTGCGTGGTACTGCTATAGCTTGCAAGGAGTGAACAGAGAAATTGAACACTCATCATTGCCTCCTTCTGGTACTCCCAGTAGTACTCGCCACACCACCCATCATCTACCATTCATGTATTCTTCCGTTCTCTATTGTCCCCAACGGTAAACCCGGTATCCACATCAACGCATCAAGGATAGGCCAAAGCTCTTGCATAATTCTGACTCTAAAGAAAATGGCAAGGGCAGCGACAATTAAGCAAGTTGATAGCGTGGTATACATTATGACCCTCGTAGGAAACATCACATCCTCCGTTTTGCGACGTACTGTAAGACCAGCATCAGCATAGTGAAAGCGCTTGTCCCGACGCATAGAGCTACTTATGTATACACGACCTAGATGGGGGTAGGAATGAATGGACTGAATCCTAGAGAATCCCGTGTTTGAGACTGAAAGATCTCACCAAACACTGCCGCAGAGAAAATGTGTCTTTCATGGCGTAAACCACCCGGTGTTGAACTTTGAGTGGTATTCGTAGCGGCGAATAGAAGTATCTCCCAAGAGAAATCAATAGCGGTAGATGTAAGAGGTTTGGCGTTGGGAGGAATGCCAGTTGACTAGTGAGATAGACCGAGCTCCGGTGAGAGCCCCCAGGTCCCAGTATCGAGTTCCAATTCTCGAACAGTCTCCGTTCTGATATCCCATAATACACAGTATAAAAGACTCAGAGCTTTTTGCAAACTCCCTGCCCGGAAGATCCCAGAGGATAGATCTATTTCCCATAATCGGTCAGGGGAGGTTCCTAGCGCTGCGTACAGGATACTGGCTAAGAGAAATAGACCCAAGGGCCAAGAGACCACGTCGTTCACGAGTACTTGAGCAAGTACTGTTCGAGCAAAGCTGAGATATGACATGCCCATCGGTGTGTAGACGATGAAAGAGAACGACTTGAAGAAAGACAAGACCTTTCAGATTTACATAAGTGACAATGAGATCCTTTGGATGAGGACAAGACTCACAAGGAAAAATCTCCGCCATTTACTCTCATCGAAGCCCTCATTGAGGTAACGCAAAAGTTCAAGTTGAGTCGCGACCAACAGGTCTGCCAAGGTTTGCAACTGCAAAATGATCGTTAGATTGGTCGGCTTTCAGATTTCCATATCCTTATGCAGCACTAGTTGCTGTAGATTGCTATCCGCGCTCATCGTTTGTGGTCAATGAATGATAGCCTCCACAAAATATAACCCAAGAACGGGATTCCAAGATATTCAAATATACCTGATTCCTTGCATAATTGAAGTGCTGAGGCCGAGTTGAAGCAGCGAAAGTAAAGAAGAGGTCAACTTATTAGCGCCCATGACTGAGGCCACCGAGTCTTCCTACCGTGTTTGCGCGACTAAAAAATGTAAGATAGCAGATATTATTATGGGTATCCGATGCGTGAATAAACGAGAGATAAATAGGCGTAATGAAAGAAGATATTCGTAGGCTCGGGCTGAAGGTTACACACAATCCGCAATCGAGGTTGGTCAGGCAGTAGATGCAAAGTCATCAAATCTGCAGACGGAAGCGCGAATAAGAACCGCAGATGACAACAATCAGGCCAGAATGACCAGACTCTACGTGCCCATAACTTGAACCCTCATCTTCGCCAGAAGGCGGAATTCCATTTCGAAACTGTCCCACCAGTATTAGTAAAATGATTTCACTTATGTGTGAGATTACATCCGAGCAAACCAATGATACGCACCGCGGGCTTCCTCCGGAACAAGAGACGTTTGCGAGCGGTAGCCAATTGCAGATGATTTGTGGTCCCAGTTTTCGAAAGCACCGAGGACATGCAACACCGTGAAGGTTCCAACGCTCTAAAGTCCCATTTATCTTCTCGGTCGAACCCACAATTAAAAAATAACACAGATAATAGTGGAAACGGGGAGGGAAGGCACATGGCTCTTGTACGGTTTTGTTTGTTCGGCCTAACCGTATCGACCAAGCTTGTGTAATGGCCATCGTTGAATCATCGGTGATATACAGAAGGAACATCGTTCTTTTTTGAAGAGCCTGTAGGGAGCCATACGTTCAAATTTCATAGATATTGAAAAATGTTTTCGAGCCTTTCCGTTGAGGCTAAAGGGCATTTCACTATTAGGAAAATAATTTGAAATCTGATGAGGCTAATGCTTTTTTGAGAGAGTTCTGCGCTGGTAGCAATATCACAGCATATCACAGCAACATTAGTACCTCGTTGATTTGTCGTTGATGCACACGACGTCGGACGACAACAAAGACCGGGCCGTGACATAGACTGACCCGGATTGTTCCGCGTCTTCCGAATTTTTGATCGCGAGGCTATAAGAAGCGAATTTTTTTTGCCAACACACTTGTTTCTTTACCTCTACGGTTCACCTTCCCAAAACTCCCCTCTCACTTTTTATTCTTCCTTTTCTCCCTCAAAAATGGCTGCAGTCAAGAAGGGAAAGACTCCTCAGGATTTTGCCAGTGAGTTTTTGCTTGCTTATTGGCAATGAGCTATTTTGTTGAAAATTTTTCATAGTCGACTTCATGATGGGTGGTGTGTCTGCTGTGAGTTTTTCCTCGTTTTATTCACGTTTAGTATGTTGAACATTTGCTTTAAAGGCTGTCTCGAAGACTGCTGCGGCTCCCATTGAGCGTATAAAGCTCTTGATTCAGAACCAGGATGAGATGGTGCGTTCTGCTGGCAACTTCCGATCAAGTTTTGGACTTAAGTTTCTTCTGTAGATCAAGCAAGGTCGTCTCTCCCACCCATATAAGGGTATCTCCGACGCCTTCAAACGTACCAGCGCCGACGAGGGTGTTCTTTCTCTATGGAGAGGTAACACTGCCAATGTCATTCGGTACTTCCCAACCCAAGCCTTGAACTTTGCTTTCAGTGCGTTTCGAATCAACTTTCCGCGTTTTCATGTGATTGACGTGACGTTTTCGCAGAGGACTACTTCAAATCGCTCTTCGGTTTCAAGAAGAACGAGGGTTACTGGAAGTGGTTTGCTGGAAACATTGCTTCCGGTGCCGGTGCTGGTGCTTCATCCCTTCTTTTCGTGTACTCCCTCGACTACGCCCGTACTCGTCTCGCCAACGACGCAAAATCCGCCAAGGGTGGAGGGGAACGTCAATTCAACGGCCTGGTGGATGTTTACCGCAAAACCATTGCTTCTGATGGTGTTGCAGGTCTCTACCGTGGATTCGTTCCTTCAGTCGTCGGTATCGTTGTCTACCGTGGTCTTTACTTTGGTCTCTTCGACTCTCTTAGTATGCCCCTGTTTACTTCGTGCCATGTTTTCCTTTTAATCACCTCTGCGCAGAGCCTGTTGTTCTCGTCGGTCCTTTCGAAGGTTCTTTCCTCGCCGCTTTCGCTCTTGGATGGGTTGTCACCAACGCTGCTGGACTTGCTTCCTACCCTCTTGACACTATTCGTCGTCGTATGATGATGACCTCCGGTACTGGTCAGAAATACGCGTCCATGTTCGACGCTGGAAGACAGATTGTTGCTAAGGAGGGTACTGCTTCATTGTTCAAGGGTGCTGGTGCCAACATCCTTCGTACGTTCTTTTTTTGGTTTGTTGCTGTATTGTGTGTCTCACTGTCTGTCTAGGTGCTGTCGCTGGTGCTGGTGTCCTTTCGCTCTACGACAAGGCTCAGGAACTCATGTTCGGCAAGGTCTACTCTGGTGGTATGTCTATCTTATGCCTTTGGCCTCTTCACCCATTTCTTATGGCATGTCTTTCTCTCTTCCAGGATCTGGTTAAACTGCTTTTTGAATTCGGGAGTGAGGGTGTCGGATGTGATAGACGTTATAGATTTACGTGGCTTTCCTCCAGGCCAACGGTTATACCATCTGGGTTATGTCGCTTGCATAGACTTATTGCTATGCTCTTTATATCTTTACTTTATCATCAGCCGTATTTTGATTGGAGGAATAAAAAATTAGACAACCCACTTGTGTTCATGAAGTAATATGAGAATGCCATGGTATTGCTATCCGGTTTGTCCATGCTCAACGCATGTGTCGTATGTGTAAGCAGTAAATCCTGGTAAATCCAGTTCTCTGAATTGTTGCCCCAGAAATCTTCATTTGCCTGGCTGCTGCGGGCGGAATTGCCTTTTGTTCAATTAATTGCACACTACATTTATCCATCAATCACATACGAACATTGCCAAAGTCTCTACCACCTATGGCTCGCTGCATCCCTGCTACCTCTTCTACAGTTGACCATCGCGGTCGCTCTCACCGACGGAAGATGGAGGATGCAAACTTATCGCGCCTGCGGCTCGCTGCTGACACGGGTGGTGCTGCCTTCTGGAAGTTTTACAAATCCTTACGCAATCCTGACAAGCCCCTACCTAAGGTTACACTGGAGCAACTAACGAGCTGTTTCATTCCTCGCATGAACCCTCCCGATCCTCGTACTACCTCCATTGATCCCCTATCCCCCAACATGAAAGCTCCAGAGCTAAAGCTATCCCGAACCCATCACCTTCTTCACCAATCCCCTCATTTAACTCTTCAATATCCGAGGACGACATTGGCACTATCAAGAGCTATCTTAAATGCACCACCCATTCAAACTCGGCTGGTGTTGATCTTGTCACATATTCGACTATCATGGACATTGATAACGACCGGTTGGCCTCCTTCTTTGACCGCGCATTCACGCACAATGAATGTCCTACATCGTGGCTCACATCACTGATTGTGGCAGTACCTAAGCCAGGAAAGGACGCAACTGACCCAAACAACTACCGAGCGATTGCCTTGGAAAGCTGTATCCTCAAATTCGCCTCACTCCTACTACACCTCAAGCTGAGCCAGGCACTGGAAGAGGCTAAGATTCTACCTGCCTCACAGAACGGATTTAGGGCGGGATACCGTACAAACAACAATGCGCTCATCTCCGCACCCTCATTGAAAAGGCTAAATCTCAGGATGACACTCTTTACGTGGCTTTTGTAGACATCTCAAATGCTTTTCCCTCAACGAACCAAAGCAGCTTATGGAACAAGCTGGCTGACTACAATTTGACAGGCAAATACTTTGACTGGTTATGCTCCCTTTACAACCAGATGACCTATATCATCGCCCATGATGGTGACATCTCTGATCGTTTCCGAGCTATGTGTGGGGTTTTGATGGGCAACCCCTCCTCTCCAACTCTCTGGAACATCTTCTTGTCCACTTTCAATCTCATCCATGACCCCAACGACCTCGACCTACTCAGCATTGTCATATCTCATCTTGAACACGCTGATGACATTGCCCTGATCTCACGCTCATCACATGGCTTGCAGTCCCATCTAAAAGCCTTCGAAACTTACTGCCATGCAAATAACCTCTCCATCAGCGCTGGGAAATCCTGGGTTATGGTCTTTGGCCGCCTACCCTCACCCCTGCCCACCTTATACCCTGCTGGCGAAGCACTATCCTACCGAGATTCTGTATGCTATGTCGGACTCCACCTCCAATTCACACACCGACATCTATTTGCTGCGCATTATACGGTGAAGTGCGACTCTGCAATCACTGCTGCTGGCAGCATCGCCGGCTGCGACCTCATCATTGGACACTGTCGTCTCGACCCGTTGATTGCAAAGCAACTCTACTCGGCACTCATTGACTGTCACCTCATCAATGGCTGTGAAATTGTGATCGACACCGACAAACACCTGCTGTCCATGCTTGAACAGGTGCAGCTTCTCTTCCTCCGGTAGATGCTAGGTCTCTCTCGTCGCTCTATGGTCGCTCCTCTCTTCACTGAGACTGGCATCATGCCCATCTGCGTTCGTCGAGTCATTCTTGCTCTCCGATATCTCATTTACCTTCTGAAACTCCCACCTGACCATTACGCCTATCTCGCACTCCAGGAAAACAACAATCTTTGAACTCAGGCCAAGAAATGTTGGCTCTCGGACCTCGATTGGGCCATCACCCACCTTCCATCCTCAACACTCTCCCTTCCCCCACTGGCTTAGCTCTCGGAGCAATCCGTCCTCCAACTAATCAAATCTATCTCTCACGAGCGGAACGCCCACCTCCAGTCAGAAGTTGACAACAGCCATCGCTTAGCATTGTTACACAGCCGCCGGGAACCACAGAAAGAAGGACCAGCCAAATACGTCACTCGAACGCTGCGCCACTACCTCATACTAATCCGAAATCATGATCATCAGTGGACTCTCACCAGATTGCTGTGTGGTGACATGGTCCCTCTCATATTCCGCGCTTCTCCGGCAAGAACGGACCCCATATCCGAGGCAGAACAAGACACAAAGGGATGTCGGTCATGCCAATCACCATTTCATCCAGAATCTCCCCAGCATATCCTCCTTCAATGTGTAGCTGACGAGACCATCACTGACTTACGAACCACCTTCCTCTTCGACATATCGCCATTCATCCCCCTTCCTCGAAGCCAACAATTTTCTAATGCCGAGGCTCTTCACTACCTCAAACTCTTCATCTTCAACAACACATTTATCACTCGCACAGCACGTTTCATCTACGCTACTGTCGTATGTTGGAATTCACTATGCCAACTTCACATAGCCTGTGAAGAGGAGAGCGAGGAAGACGAAGGTTAGACAATCATCGATCATCATCTACCCTTTCCTCTCTTTCTTGTCAAGGCAATGACATTCTTCCTCTTTCTTCTTCCTTGTGTTCAACTTCACTCTCAACACGACTTTCTTCCGATACCTTCAATTCCTCCTTTCGTACTCTCTTGCGCCGTTGTATCTTCATCACTCGTACCTTTTTGTATCTCTTCTTGTCGCTCGTACTCGTTAATTTACTCTTACTCATCTATTTCTCTCGCACTCTCACATCTCTTGCACTCTCAATCTCTCGCACTCGCTCTTTCTCGTACATTACTCTTACTCGTATGCAGTACATCAGCAGTAGTCTACCCTTCCCTCTGTGCAGACTGAGCTCGCTATTGTTCATGTACTGTAACCGGCTGTTCCGATGCGGGACCCCGTCTCTAGGGACGGAGCTGAGTATCAATCTATCTATCTATCTATCTACAGCTTGTAGTTATATGCCAGGCAATGAATTGATGTCTGTTGACCAATACATATTTTCACGCGTACTCCTTTATATTCGCATCTTCCATCTTCACAGCTTTCTGTAGTAGCCTTATAATGGTGCAATCGTAAAGAAACCTTCATCAATGTTACCATTCCATCTACCCATATACCTCACTCTCCTGGGATTTCATCACTTCCGTGATGCAATGGCCACGGAAGAACCCTTCAAATCGAGTCTATCTCCCGAAAGTACTGACTTTCTTCCTCCGGGTGCATTCGTAGTGGCGGGACTCATCCAGGCCACTGAATTCGCGCAATACCTAGAGGAAAACCCAGAAATCGTGGTTAAGCAACTCCTGCTTTCTGATTCTAGCGTCTGGGATATTGAGAACAATTACGGATTCTTGAACACGTCTAAATATTATCCTCGCCGACCAGTGTTCACAGATTCGGTTTGGGCCGCTTTTGGTGGTCCCGAAGATGATTTGGACATTCCGGATGAAGAAGCTGATGCGGTCGCTCATAATACGAAGCTGTCGAGGAAACGGAAGCGTTCGCTGAGGGATCATCCAGCAGTCCTGGACCGGATCCTCAATCGCACCCATACTTCCCTGGAGACATTTTCGTATCTTCTGTACATTGAGAATTGTCCCAGATACAACCGCAGAAGACCACTTAATCCGGAAGCTGCAAAGGAGTTGCGCCTCTTCAATCGTGATTTTCCACGATTGAGGGATCTGACAGTGAAAGCTAGTGGTGTTTGGAAACCATTAGCGCGGACTTGTAATACTGCCAACGCCGGCCGGAAAGTGCCCGATGATTTGGAGGATGGGCAGATGAGAAGGATGCAGGGGTTTCCCCAGCTAGACACTGTCACTCATTTACATATTATGGGTAACCAAGACACTTGTGATTGCGAAAGGCGTTCGCTGTCTTCGTATCGCGACCAGTTCGAGAATCTTTCTCATTTCCGACTAACTGATCAACGTCTCCTACCCCATGAATTTAATCCTTGTCATGTCAATGCTGCGGGATTCCGGGGCATGGTGGAAGTTTTGATAAGGGGAGTTTCACTAGGAGAAGAGTGGTTACGTCCCCTCTGGAAAAAAATAAAGGGTAAGTTTTTGGGAGTATCGTACGAAGAAAAGTGCAGGTATGTTTCCTTTTTTATTGCGGTACCGGTGGCAAACTACTCAACATCGTTCTAGGCCGTTCCCAAAAGACCTCACTGTGATAGTCCAACCGGGCTTTTCCCCCATGCTTGAGAATTCCGGGTTTCGCGGTACGTCCGGCGTCGCCTATAATGAGGACCTCCACAGATTGGACTCGATGCAAGATATCAATGTTCATCTCAGTTGGCCTGTTCAAAGTGATTGGGTGAAATATGGACGGGACGGGGTGTTTCCGCTCGATAGAGCGATATTGAATTTCAAGGAGCATATTTTTGGAGGGGGTGGTGAGTGGAAGATTGGAGAGGAGCTAAATAAAGAGACGCCTCGAGAGTGGTGGTGGTGATTGGTCTTCAATTCATGGGATCATGCAAACCCATACTGATTTTGCCGTTCTTGTAGGAACTCTGATCGGGAAGAATTCAATGTTACTCATGAAGAGTTGTGAAGGAATTGTTGCACAATCACCTTGTTTGACTAGGTTTCTCTCCATATCTGATTGATACAGTCTTCCTTCCATAATAATATCGCAAATATGCCACAGAATGCCAATGAACCGGTCATGCCAAGGAGGATAAAAAAACTTGCTGGGCAAAGAATTTGCTCTTCCTCTTCCGAATGATGTCAACTAGTTAGAGGCTCCAGCACTCGATGATTACTTAGTCCTTTTTTGTTATGTTTCGACCAGGAAGTACCTAGAAAGAGAGACGAAGGACGACAAGAAATCAGTCGGGAACCGTGACGTGCGCTGTGGAAGAATCTGCTCGAGAAGTACTGTTGTATGCCATGTCGACTTTGGGACAGGTCAACCAGTTATTATCGTACAGGCAACAAACTCTTTAAGCTTTAAGATGGAACTGATATAGCTCAACCTTCCGGCAGAGAGAATGTCGAGCAGGAATATCTTTTATTAGTCAAGGATTAATGCTTAGTACGTGTGAGTGGATAGTAGTACCACAGTGAATGCAGTCAAAGCCTTCTTCAATCTCCATTAGAAGTTAATATTGTCATGAGACCTGAAAGCTTGAAGAGAAACACAAAGAGAAAGAGAGGATCACTCAAAAGGGAACGTGGGTATGTCGACCGGTTTATAGATTGGGCAGACGAGACTAGTCCATTTGGAAAGTGCATAAGGTATAAAAATTTAGGGAAGAAAAGAGGAATGCATACACAGGATCATTTTTTATTCTGAGGAATTTCCGTAACAAAGACTGGAGAAAGCAGAGCGGTGGATAATGGCAAGAAAGCGAAAGACATATTACTATTACGGATGAAACACGTTTCACGCACAGTCTATTGCGTTTACGAAGGATTCGAGGGGCGAGGTGAGTTTGAGAAGATAGAAAACACTTTCTCCGCATTCTCTTTGTATTTCTTGAGCTTCTTGTTCTTATATTTCTCGGGCTCTTCCACAACTTGATCTGCCGGTGTATCGCCGGTCGCAGACGTATCCGAAGAGTAACTTTGAGCACCGACTGAAGCTGCAGACTCTTTCGACTTTAATGAGTGGGACGACACCGGTACTGTGCTCCCACCAACTGAGGGCGCAGGTGTGAACAACCCTCCACTGGACGATGATGAGCTCATTGTAGCAGAATTGGAATGATTTAGCGTTTTGGCAGACTTTGAAGAGAAAGACGACGGCGGAGGGGACCGAGGCCTGAGGAACTGTCGAGGAGTCTTTCTGAATGTAAGACCTTGATTTCTACCTCTACGAATGGAGGGGCTAGGAGACTCTTCTGGAGATGCAGTTGCATCTAGATCTGAGGTCTTCGATAGCCCAGATACGGATCGGGACATAGTACCACTGCGACTCGGAGTCGAAGCTTTCCTGAACACAGCCAAGCGGTACCTATCGACGACCCCTCGGGCGAACAAACTGGCGCCTTTTGCTCCATTGCGATCTTCTCCACCATCTGCTTCGATAAAGTCCCAATCTTCATCGTCATCCTCGTCGCGCGAAGTGGCCTCTGCTTCGTCGGGTCCGTCGGACAAATAACGGTCCAATGCGTGCACACCTGAGCGCTCTTTGCGACGAGCAGGACGACTGGCTTTCGGAGGCTGTGTTTTGGGTGGGAGAGCAGGCTTGAGTTTGTCCGCGGGTGGAGAAGGAGGAGGTGCTGGTTCTGCCGGCACTTCCTTGCTTCTGCGTGGCTTAGCCTCAACGATGGCTGCCGGAACCTCGGATAAAGATGCATTCGAAGGTTCGCGTGAAGGAGTGGCAGTCGGCGGGACACCCTCTTCGTCGACAGGAAGAGATACAGGACGAGCTTCGGGTGTTTTAGGCTCAGGTGACTCCTCTTCTTCTTCCTCGGGTATCTCCGTGGTAGCCTCGCCCAAAAGTGGAGGTGCAAGATCGCCAAGCAAGCCACTGGCGATATCCTCGTCCTCGTCCTCGTCTTCGTCAGTCTCTTCCTCTTCGGATATTTCTCCATCCTCCTGCTCATCATCTATGAGGACAGAATGTCTGCCCTTGAATGAATAACCATCAAAAACATCAACCGAATCATTCTCTTGCTCATTCTGCCTTGATATTGGATGTAGGGAAGAGCTTCGGGATTGGGAGGGAGTGGTGTTAGTCTCCTCTCCGTCTGTGCGATCAGTGTCAGTATTTTCATGCTCTAGATCAGTATCGGTATTCTCGTTCTCGTTGTCATTGAAGTCGTCAAGAACAGGTTCCATATCTAGAAAAGTGTCATCGAAGTTCTGGGTATCGCTCGCGTTCGAGGGATCGATGGGTGGAATATACGGAGCTGAGAATTTATGAGATTAGGATCCGCTGTACAAAAGCCAGGATGCTCCTTACGGATGTAGCGTTTATAATACACATGAGACCAGTCTCTGCAAAGTAGGTTGTCAGAAAGTAGAAAAGGAAAGAGCGAAGTGACAGTTCAGCTGACATCATGGAAAAATATGGATGCCGTTTTATTCGGGGCTCGCATATTCTGAGGGCGGGATTCCGTTGAAGGAGCTATAGACAGTTAGCAACCGACGTTTGACTATTATCTGAACTTACTCCTCGAATCAGACTCTTTGTATCCTGATCCATAGATCTCTCATCTGGGAACTGTAATTCGTCCTGTAGTACCCGGACATACATGTCCGAATGGTTGTTGGCCCAGAACGGTGTCTGCAGTGAATGTTAGATATAGACGAAGAAGAAGGGAATGTAGGATAAAGAGAATAAACTCACTATTCCAGTTAACATCTCATACAACATCGTCCCAAAGCTCCACCAGTCAATCTCATAGCTATATGGCAGTGCTTGAATCACTTCCGGTGCGAGATACTCTGCCGTGCCACAAAAGGTGGTGGTTGTGTCTACTACTGGCACACCATTCCCAATCTCGGAGCCGGTATCTTTCATCCACGGGGGTTGCGCGCCGACAAAATCTTTGCCAGACGGCGTTGCCGGAGCAGTGACAGCATCTCTTCGTCTGGGAAACTCTTTTGAGAGACCGAAATCGGTGAGAACGATGTGACCATCGGCACCGATGAGGATATTTTCGGGTTTCAAATCACGGTAGATTACACCAGCTGCATGTAGGCCCTCAACACCCTCGACGATTTCGGCAGCGTAGAATCGTGCACGATCTCGGCCTAGACGACCCCATCTTGCCAACTGTGTCGCTAAATCACCACCAGGGTGGAAGTCCTGGAAAAAAGGAATAAGTGCAACGAAGAAGATACAAAAGATCAACGAACTTACCATCACCAGGAAAAGATTCTCCTTATCATGGAAACTCCACCATAACTTCACCACGAATGGGTCCTTCACCACTCCATTTGGATTAGGCTGCCCATTCCCATCAACTGCAGCCATCCTCTTCAAAACTGCCTGTTCCGTCAAGGTATGCTGCAGTTCTTGATGCGCTAGCACATGCCTCTTGGTGATTGCCTTCATCGCATATAAATCGGCGGTGGCCTTGTGTCTCACCAGCAACACTTTTCCAGCGCAGCCTTTACCCAGGACCCGTAGCATTTCGAAATCATCCACGACCACTTTTCGTTGGGACTTTTTCTTAGTGAGCTCTTTCTGGCTTCCACTTAGAGAAGCAGCAGCAGAAGAATTGATTTCCTTGCGTTTCTTACGCGCGGATTTGCTCATGCTCCGAGCAGCGGTAGAGATGCTGGATGATTCGTCGCCGGTTTCGGTCTGAGAAGAAGAAAGATTGCCTTCGTGGACTGAAGAGTGATAGGCGCGCGATATTCGACGGTCAGGGTCTGCCGATTGAGAGCGGGGCACGCGACTAGTAGCAGTAGAGGGAGGTTCTGGAGTGGGAGCAGAAGTGACTGGAGCGCGCGGCTCTTCTTCACTAGCACGAGGAGTTGAGCTAAGGTCTATGACGGCGGTGGAAGTGGCGGCGGTAGGAGATGTTGGCTCGGTTGTGGTAGTTGGAGAGGTAGGTTCGGCATCCTCTGGAGCGGGCGAAGTCAGAATTTGGTTGTTGCTAGCTTCAGCTGAGGACCCGGATCCAGATTCGGGTTTAGCTTCAGGTACGTCAGGTAATTCCTTCCCTCCACCTTCCTCGTTATTAAGCTCGTCCGATTCTTCCTCGGCATTGACCTCGTGGTTTTCCGTTGGCAATGCCTTTTCCTCTTCATTGTGACCAAGTTCCTCCCGCTTTTCGGCAGTTTTGGAATCCAGGGTTAGACTTTCGATGAGTTTGTTCATCTTCCCGCCTCTCTCCGTTTTATCTCTCGTCCCACCAACATGCGCAGCTAAGTCTGATCTGACTCTCTTAATCGCCCTTTCGACTCGGGTACTTTCAAGATCGTCAGTTCTTACACGGACGAAGCGTTTCCAGGCCCTGGCCTGGCGGACTGGCTGTAGGTTGGACAACGTAGTGAAATAGGCAGCGAGGGCGGTACTGGTGGCAGATGGAGTGGGAAGTGCAGCATTGAGCAACGCACTAGAGGCCGTGAATGAAACAAAGGGATCGTTTTGTTCAATAGATGGCGACGCGGCTGGGGTGGGTAGTCCGGAGGGTGTTGTCGAAGAAACATTGCCGTTAACGACTGGCCGCCGAGTACCAGACTTGGCAGATGTCGGTGAAGCTAAACGAGAAAGAGTGTTTAGAAACGCAGATTTGCGTTTGGGTACAGCAGGAATCGAAGCTGGGTCCAAAGGCAGAGTAGGGAGTTTGGAGGTAGAAACGATGGAGTCGCGAAGCTTGTGATCAAGTTCGACAATCTCCATGACCGTTCTGGTGAGGGTAAGATTGTGTGTAGGTGCTGGAGAAGATGTAAGAAATAAGAAGAAAGTCGAGAACACGCCACTGACTCTTTATGTAAAGACTATACGACCTAGAGTCGTGAGGACTTTCTGCTATGCTGACACTCCATGGACCATCCTGGTCAATCCGCACAGGACCCCTCCGGGACGGTGCAGTATCCATATGATGATTCTTGAGCATCTCTCGATCGATGAAAACTGTAGACTCTGGTTCTTCAAAAGTCAATGTTGAGCCACTGGACCTCCCTTTTCCTCTTCCCTTTCCACTATTAACTTTCTTCAGAGAAGAGGTGCGACGAGGTGCAACTGCGTTCAATGCTCCTGGAGAGCCAGTCGAAAGACGGCCGAAAGGTGTGTTAGCTTTCTGCAACGGGCTACTGCTGCTTCCTGATTGACGGGCTAAGATAGTACTTGGCATGAACTTGAGCTATCTTGCCGGTATATTTGTGAAGCAGGATATATGACGGTCTGGTAGAGAAAGAGACGTTGTTTCTGGAAAGCCACGAGGAATGGGTCAGCCAACTGGGATCGCCGATGCCTCGAGGCGTTCAACGGAACATGACTCACACGAGCAATTTACTTGAGCAAATTGAAGTTGAGATAAAAAAGAGTGTAGACTGAGAAACTTGAATGATTAGAAAAGAAATGTGGGTGTGAAAGGCAAAGATATTGGACGGTGACTTTAGGGATAATAATGTTCTGAACTTTCCTACGCCCCCCAAATCGGATGTATGGAATGATAATCTTTATTTAGTCCCATTCATACGACGACATCGAAATTGTACAGAGTCTATCGACAGGAGATGCCTTGGATGGTCTATTTTACTATATGAGGCTCACTCGAGTCAGTTCGGTGAGTGTTCGGTGAATATTTTTTGGATTCAATGTAATTGTAACTTTTTCTTGTAGCACTGAGGCATCCCGCACCTCCATCCGGTGGGCTGAGACTTTGGTGAGCAGAAATTTATCCGGAACTTACCGCGTAACGGTGACTCAGGACAAATATACCGTTGAAACACAACAAGATGTCGATGAAGGATGTCGATGATCGATGATGTCCTAAATGCCTGAGATAACCTCGGTTGTCCCCAGACTGTTCCCTGCATACTATACAATACAAAGAGATTTGTACAAAAGATATCACAGAAGTTAGGGACCTAAAGTAGCAACAAGAAAATTCGGATTTTCAGTAACAAGTCTCAAGTCATCACAAAATGCAGAGTAAGGAACGCAGAAACGGCAATACCGAATAGGACAATCTGTAAGAATGCACGAGGGCATATACTTGTTTCTACGAACAGATCGGCGGATATCTTGTTATACGATTTATCTGATCGTAAATCTTCTTAGGCCTCGGTATGCAACGGACTCGGCCACGGAACAGTCTGACGGGATGCGGAAACCAGTGAGGAGGCGATAAATCTTGGATGTGACAAACTTCAAGCCCGTTGGCGGCTAGTCGTAGCCATGAATAGTGTCGATTCTGGAGTTGTGTATAACCTGTTCCATGGCAGAAGGGAAATATCTGCCAAAACTCAATAGACGACTTGCCAGCTTGTAGGGTTTGAAAAAAGACTCGAGCGGCCAAATTTGTTGATGACCGGTAAACACTCAACTCGCCCAATCATGATGCATGATGGAGGAAGATATTTGTATCATTCAACAAGATCAACTTGAAAACGAGAGATATACGGATATGTATTCCAGCCGAGCTGGTATGTAACCATTAATAACTAGGTCTCACCTCGAAAAGAAGCAGCAACTCACTTTGGTCAAGAGCAACGTAAAACAACTTCCTGTGTAGCCTTTCCACTACCGACTTGAAATATAAATTTGCCTCCAGCTGCTTTCAGGTAACCCCCAATGGAATTCTCATCTATTACCATTTTGTCTCCCACAAAATTGATGTTTGCTTTCACCCGTCCGTAATATGGACCGGAATCTTGCTTTCGGATTACGTTTTGGCCGACCTCAAAATCGAACCCTTGTGTTATGTCCGTTGTCGCACCAATGAAGGATTGCTCCGTGAAAGTATCAACATGAGCGCCGATTTTGAAGAGCTTTTGAACAAGCTCTTTGGCAATCTTGTCTTTTGCTAGCAGTACCTGGTAGTTTGCATTCCCGCTGTCTAGGTGGCCTGAATGGGCTGCAAAAGAGTATGGCATCGATTTTGAGCGAAACCAGGCGCACTATACATAGAAAGATTGGCCAAAGCCGGACTCAAGATGATTTTGGGAAACCACTTACTAAACCATTCGAAATTGGGCCCGCGTATGCAGCAGAGGCAAGAACAAGAACAAGACAGACGAAGTTCAGACGCATTGTCGCAGCTGTCTATTTCGCAATGAGGTAATGCTGGAGAATGCGCATGCGAGAATGGAGGTCAGGAAGTTTTTCTCGAATGTGAGATAACTTACAGGGCTGAGGCTAATTTGCACCGAGAATCTGGCGGTCGTTAAAGATGTGTCGACAAGCTCAATGCACTGGCTTCCTCGACCAGCAAGGAAATTTTGTAGGTTTGGAACGACCACATCCGGGGGCAGAGTCCCTTATATACTTTTTCGCCACCCCAGCAGTCCACTGATTGATGATCGTTTCATGTTAAATCATTGAGTGCTGATGCACTGATGAGTATCATCCCGGTAGTTCCCTCTATCATCTATGCAGCAACTTTTGAGGACCAAGGCACGCAACGATTCTTTGTGCCATTGCGGAAAAGTAATATCTGCTCTTCCCTACTGTTCTGAGATAATCGTGATGGGTGATTGAGGTAGGGGAGCGGGTATGCAACGAGAGGGAGTGCCAACGGGTCGGAATTTCCGGATTTGGTTTGCTTGTACGTAACACGATCACATGACATGTGCGGAGACACCCGCTCCGAACCTTCTCCGGACACAAAATGACCTGCAACTTCCCATCCGCGTCTAGGAGGGTATATATCCTCACATCCCCCCACTTTTACCTGCCTTCACTGCAACTCTGGCACTTAGTGCCTCTCTGACTCATCCTCGAGCATCCTCCCTCGTACCTTCATTGAAATACGAATCTGGAAACACTGGCAAGCGACAATCAAGGTATAAACATTTGACGTCGAACGTATAGCTTTCTCTCTTTAGCTCTCTTCTCAGTCTCATCTCACTCGTAAACCTATCCGGAAAATTATCAGTCATCCCGTTTATCCCAATGTCTTCCAAAGAGACCGCTGATGTTGAGAAAGCAACAAGCGGGAACAACCCTTCTCCTACGATAACAGCTAGAGCTGTCGCCTCCAAACCAGTCGTAGCATACGATGATGATGAAGGCGAAGAAAGCGATACGTATGATGATTTTGACCAGGAGGTTAGTACTGACCTCCTCAAATTGGCTCTGTGAAAGCAGTCGTTGCTGCTAGACTCGCATTGCTTTTTCTTTCATTCTTACGGTAGAAAATGCTCTCAATTCTGACATTCGCCGTCATAGGAGTACCAAGATGGCTCTGAAGACGAAGAAGAAGACGACGAGGGCCACGGAGCACCTCCCAACAAATCAAGTTTGACCGCCCTCTTACTGGGGAACGTTCGTCTTTTTTTTCCTTTTATAGTATGATTCCATGGTCTGATTCATGAACCAATCACGCCATGTCAATCTCTTCGTCGTTAGTCCGGTGTCACTAATGGCATCCCCGAGGTTAATGCAGAAGAGGACGAAGACGAAGACGAGGGGGAAGACTATCATGAAGGCGATGAGGACGAGGACGAGGACGCAGACGGAACTTTCAGCGCCCCCGCATCCACTACAAGTACAACCAATGGAAAAAAGCGCTCGATTGGCGATCTCCGCGAACATGATGATGACAGTGAAGGAGCCCAGACGAAGAAAGTCAAAGCCTAGGCACTTAGAAAGTTGTTCCTTCTTATCTCTTCGAGAAGCTCAGGCTACAGATATATATAAAAGTATGGATGACATCGTCATTCAACTGCGAACTTCTCAACCGTATCTTTATCTCTACTTACTCTTCTATCTCGTATCCTCTGTTGTTGTAGTAGTTGAATACATTTCTTGCACTCGTTAAATGCCTACTGAATGTTGAACGTTGAACATATATCAGTGTAGAATGTACTGAAGCGCTCGAATTCTCAGCGCCAATCAGACCGAACAACCTTTACGCTCTACTCCCTCATGAGATGGCAGATCACTCCAGACTTATTTCCGGGACGCTAAATGCTTCCCTATGGACCGAGGAAAACGAGTCGGTAAGCTGTGATCGACACTATATTCGAATCGTAGCTCACTAAATCAATGCATTTCGCGTCGCGATCGGAATGTCGACGCGTTTTTCGTACCATTATTAGGCTATCCTTGCCCCATACACCTACCTGACTTCCGCACCCAGTAAAGAAACCCTGCGATATCTGGCTAATGCTCTTAATGATTGGCTCGACGTTGAATCCACACAGCTGGAGCTCATCGTCAAAATTGCTCAAGCACTGCAAAATGACTCTTTACTGTGAGTATCACTGAAGAATACTTCCCCACCCTGCCTGATCGGTTGAGGGAGTGACCTGATTTGTGTGACGGAGTGATTGTTTTTGGTTCATCATTCGTTACAGGTTCGATGATATCGAAGATGGCTCTGAGCTTCGTCGAGGACAGCCAGGTGAGCAAACTTTATCGCGTTTCCCGCGTTTCGGCGATCTATATATGGGGACTAGCATTCACTTGATACGATGACAGTTGCCAATAAGGTTTACGGTGTACCGCAAACCGTCAACGCAGCATCGTATATCGTTATCAAGGTATACAAGGATGCTTTAGAGCTCCGTGGCATTATGAAAGATGATACTTCGATCAAAGCTGGTTCGACCCCAGAGGAGATCATAACAGGTTACACAGCTTGTCGGAGTAGATCATTGTTCCTCCTGCTGATCATTTCATTTCTGTGCAGAGGAGCTTCTGAATGCTCATCGAGGCCAAGGAATGGATATCCTGTGGCGGGATCATGTAAAATGTCCCACTGAAGATGAATATATCGAGATGATCAAGAACAGTACGTTTTCCCTTTATTGCACTTTTTATGTTGCTCGTACATCAGTCTGTTGTTGAACACGGATCTGATACAATCTCCTTCTTCTCACGTTGCATTGACATCTTGTCTCCAGAAACAGCCAGTCTTTTCAGGATTCTAATAAGATTGATGATGGCTTGCGCAACGAAACAAAAAGATGTGTACGTGTATATGTTGTTTCACAATTCATTGATCCTATCAAACTGATCTTCAACTCGCCGTCACCAGAAATTATATCCCCCTCATAGATTTGATTGGGGTGATGTACCAGATCCGCGACGATTACAGTAATCTTCAAGACGCCAGCGTGAGTACCAAATTCCCTTCTTGAATCAACAGGGTTCTGTTAACCTTGAAATTCGTGATTGTCGTTTTTATATTTTTTTTTTCGTTCCGGTCATTCCTGCCACTGGTTGTTCCTTGCGACTTCATTTTCATCAGTTGGCCGGTAACTCGAAACTGATGACTTGAATCCATTTAGTATAGCGATACGAAAGGCTTCGCAGAAGATCTCACCGAGGGAAAATTCTCCTTCCCCTTGGTTCATGCCATACGCGCTGATACATCAAACACACAGCTTCTAGGTAAGTCTTCAGGAAGTGGCTTCCACCGAGTCTCATCATTTGTCACAGATATCATTAAACAACGCCCTAAATCTCCTACATTGAAGAGACAGGCTCTATCGTACATGGAGAAGGAAACCAAGTCGTTTGAGTATACGTTAGCGGTGTTGCGCACGTTGCAAACGAGGATAGACGAGGAAATGAAGACGTTGGGAGGGAACTTCAAGTTGCAGAAATTATTGGATAAGCTTCGTGTCAAGTAACAAGCTGTGTATGAGATGCGTCAGTCCGGCGCTAGCCAGTGGCATAGAACATATCAATTTTGGAAAGTTTTTTCTTAGTATCCATCAATGTCGAAGACAGGTAGAAATTCATCTTCGAGAGTACAACCTCCTCCTGCATTTTATCATTTATCGATTAAGGTATGAGATGTATGATACATATATTGTATATATAGCGACTGAGTTAGCAGCAATAGGACGCTCAGTCATCCAATTTTTCCTCATCCTTTCGATGCGGTATCGAATTCGAACCCGAGGAACTCGAAAGCTCAGCGGTCGTAGGAGTTTGACGAGAAAAATCCGGAGAAAAATGAACACTGGTTGTTGGAAAAATCGAAGTGGTTCTGTCTCCACCTGCAGTGGTGGTGTCCAGGCCAAAAGTGCTTTCCTCCCCGTGATACGCCCGTCTGGGGCGACCGAATCGCATGGCTGATTCAATGAGTGAACGCGTTTGGAGACCTCCGTTGTGATCAACACCAATGCTGTGAGTAGGCTTTTGTGTGGAGAACGAACGTCCTGAGCCTACGCGGACTATAATGGATGAGAACTGGAAATGGGAAATTGAATGGATGTAAATAGCATAGCATGAAGGGTGCTTACCACAAAGCCCTATCGATTCCCAGAACACAGTCAGCGGGACAATCAAGAAATGCACAAGAACATAAACTTACAATGATGCTTGGCATCTATGGCACAACAAGTGTTAGAAGACAGTTCGAATAGAGTGATCGTTAAAACGCACCGGGTTGAGAACGGCATACATGAGCGGATTTTCGAGAGCGGCACTTGTGATGAGGATAATCAAGAACACTGAATACAGTGCAGCTGTTGCTCATGACACAATCAGAGTCGCACTGGGGATTCTAAAGAAATCCTACCTACCTGATTCAGTGATAATGGTCATAGTGTTTCTCAGAAGGTGCCCGCTAGTACCGGTAGATTGCCTCTGAACGAGCCATATTCGAGTCGCGATGGCCACTGTGCAGAACGTGTATATTAACATAGATTTCGAAGTCGTTAGTCTAACACGTACAACTGCAGTATAAATTGAGGCAGAGGGTTGTGATGTACATGTACTTGACTCTGGAAATGACCTGGAAATTTTGAGAGAGAAGACAAACAAATGGGCTAAACTGACTTACCTCGGCCACGATGACCACACCAGTGGTTGGATCTTCAGCCTCTTTGAATGTTACGAGTGCCCAACATGCAGTTGCTAGAATACCCAAAGTTCAGACAGTGGTTGGATAACCTATGAACAGCTATGAACAAAGACTAATACTGACCAAGGTTTCCGATATACAAAGCGGATGGGATGATGATCACTAGATAATTTTGCCCGAATGCAGCCCAGCAACGAAATGTCTATTGATCGATACGTATCATTTAGCACGAACGTTAAAGGAGACTAGCTATGAATACCAAAAATGCGTCGGCAATGAGCGTAATGGTCACATAGGCCGAGTTTTTCGCCAGTGCTTCAGCGCCGGAAAGGATATTGAAGTAGTCCTTCGGATAGTTCGGGGTTCCAATGTTGCTGGTGAATGCACGGAATGCACGATCGACGTCCAAAGCCAGGTGCTACGGGTTATTAGAAGGGGTAAGTGTATTTCACAAGTCGTCTATTCATACAGAGGTGATCAGACAGAACAAGGCAACGGTCGTGGACATGAGGAAGAGAGAGGTCCGGTCGTAGATTTTTCGATTGAGCAGAACTTGCATAGCGCGAGCGAAGATAGAAAGAAAGAGTCCTATGATTGTGGATTAATTTGACGACTGGGCAAGCACTTGGTCGACTTACCGTATACTAAGCAATCTATAACGGTTCCTCCCAGCTCAGCCTTCACAGTCGTTACAGCCATAATGCAAGCCCGGGAAAAATCTAGAAGAAATAAGATTGGGGTCGACGACTCAGAAACGAGGACCACTTTATAATTATGTGTACCTCCGGGTTGCAGCGTCTTGGTATGAGGACTCACATCAAGAAGCAAGCTGGTTTAATGAACACCATCACGACCGCATTGAGAAGAAACTCCACATGTAGATGGTGCGCATGTGGGAGAACTTAAAATTGCCGAGGAGATCAAGATCACTACGTCTTTCGCTCCGTCTTTCCCGCTCACCCGCCCATCTGGATTCCGACTACTTACCCTCATTGTAAATTATTTCCCTCAACACACTGCTTTCTGCCACCGCAACGACCATGATGCGGGTTCTTTCCTGAGGCATGGATTGGCATATGCCCTCATATGCCATCAATTCTGAATGTCAGGATACTATGTACTAGTATTAGGCCGGGAGCGATGAAAATCAGGTAAAGAATCTAAAGATGCTCAAAATGATAGGATTTAAAACCAAGAGAGACGTGACACAAGTGACAAGATAGTCAGCAGTCGATCCTCATTGGTCTCGGAAGCCGCGCGCACAAAGAACAATTATTTGCTTCAAGTTATGGGGCTTTGAGGCATTCTAAACTGATTCCAACCGTCAAATACACTTCCGAAATAATTTTTACTTATTTACCCGCCACTTATAGCCAGCTGCTGCGGGCTGTACTTCTGCCTCACACTTTCTGCTATGATTTGGACCATATCTTGCACGAGTGTCTCCTGACATGAAGATGCGTTCAGTTCCTCACTCTTTTTCTCTCGAAGGCTATGAAGATGCGCCACCGCTGCCAATGGGTTTCACCTCGGACGAAAGGTCATTGGATAACTTCATTCCTGGCCAAGAATACAAACATAGCAAGGCTCATGACGAATTTGTTGAACAAAGGGAATGGATCTCCATGGTGCGTTCTGATTCAAGACGGCTGAAAAAAGGAAAATATATCAATACTTCATTTGCAGTGTGTTACATGCATACTGATCCAACCCACTTGAAATTCGCTCGTAAATTCCACGAGCAGATTAGGAGGAAGTTTCCCGAGGTATGCTCTCTTAGAACTTCCCGATGTCAAGACTGACAGTTGTGTCAGCCTCGTATATTTACCCAATGGGTCTCCATCCTACAGGTTTTTTCGAAGTCAACATTTCTGACCCTCATGAAATAGGTACGCTTATGACCTAGCCAGTAGTACATCGTGGTCTATTGTCGTGGGTTCAAATATATTGTCATAATCTCTCTCACCTTCTGTATTAGTCTTCAAATTTACCCCAACCCCGACAACGAGCTCAGATCCCACACGGATCATGCGACCTAGATAGTTAAAGAATGGCCTATGAATAGTGATATGTTGCAACATCATCGTCAGAAGACCCTTCCCCGTTCTGCCAGTATAAGCCCATCCGCTCCCAACAACCTTGGAAAATCTTGATGAAAAAGATGAAGGAAGTACAGTATCCAGTGGCCATAGAGTACCCCTGCCAATAGCACTTTGATGGTAACATGCAACTTGGTGATTGCCATGATTCGCGATGATCAGGTGTTTCGGGATCGATAATTACCGGTACAATTACACGGCCTGAAACCTTTCCTTCCTTCCAACCATAATGACAATTACGAACGTAGTCCTCGTCACCGGCGCTGGAGGTTTCCTCGCTAGCTTGGTACTGCCCCCTTGTCGCTTCTTCGTTCATCACTTTTTTGATCTCATATTGACAGGTAGCCCGCGCACTCCTCGAAGACCCTCAGACTCCAAATATCCGCTTGATCCTCACCGATGTTATTCAGCCTAAAATTCCCTCCGGACGTGGTACCACCGATTCCGAGCACGTATCGACCATCAAAGCCGATCTGACAGATCCTAAAGAAATTGACGCACTCTTCAATACACCGTTTGGTATTCCGGATACAGTGTATTGCATGCATGGAATCATGTCTCGGGGATCAGAGGATAACTTTGATCTCGGGTTGAAGGTGTGCACAACATCTCCCTTGAAAGCTTTTCTGCTGGCGCCCATCCGTACCGTGTAGGTGAACGCTGACTCCGTACGAGACTTGTTACAATGCGCACGTCGATACGGAGCACAGCTAGGACGGCTCATTAAATTCGTATTCACGTCTTCTTGTGCGGTATATGGAGGTCCACTAGTAGGTTTTCTTCCTGACTTTAACCATCAACTCAGCCAAAACCTGTTCCATGTAGCCTGATATCATAACACCAGAAACCATCGCCACCCCCGAAGGTGCATACGGACTGGCCAAATTGTCGTCGGAACTCTTCATTAATGAATTTTCAAGACGAGGACTGGTGGATGGACGTATACTTCGGCTTCCCACCATCGTTGTTCGGCCAGGCCCTCCAGCAGCTGCGGCTTCTTCATTCTTGTCAGGTAAGAGTCATTCATTAACAAGTATTCAAGAAAAAATATCAACATTTTTTGTCCCCTCTAACCTAGGAATCATTCGTGAACCGCTGAAAGGCATTGAAGCTACATGTCCTATGGGAACCAACATATCTTCTCCAGAACTTGACCTTCCCGTCTGGCTTTCTAGCCCCCAAACCGTCGTTCGCAACTTAATCCACGCTAAACATATTTCAAGCTCTGCCTTTCCGAGGCACAGTCGAGTTGTATGCGCACCTGGGTTCACGGCCACTATCCGCGACGAGATCGACGCATTGCGGCAAGTAGGTGGGGAGGACGCGTTGAAATTAATCAAGTTTGAGGATGATCCGACCACGAAGAGATTGGTGGATTCGTGGCCGCAGAGGTTTGACAACACGTATGCGTTGAGTTTGGGGTTCACGCTTGATAAAGGCGGTATGATTCCAATTGTTGAGAGTTTTAAGAAGGATGTGGAGGCTGGGATTGCCTAATATATCTGGGCTATACATAATCCCATTGTGCTCTTAAAAATTGATACCTTGATATGAAAACCAAATTGAAAGAATGTAATGTGGTACCGATATCGACACCCAAGTTTTCAACAAAATCATTTGTCAAGAAAGAAGCCGCCGGTTTGATGCACTTAGGTGTTTATAGCAAAGAATGAAATCTATTGTGATCAGTTACAGCAGGTATTATATATGATCAGTGAATGGTACAACAGTCCTTTGTTTTGATATCAATAACTTGTTTGAATTGGCAGTTCACTTCTTGAGTAAGGCAGGTGCATTATGACCAGCCGAGAGCCCCTTGTCGCCAGCAAAGAATGCACCAGAGCCAGCAGTCTCCTCCCTAGAGAGATCAACAAGATAAGTTCGGCAGAATATCAAGATAATTAGAAAGAACGCACTCGATCCGGAGCAGAGCATTGTATTTGGCAACACGCTCACTTCGTGCAGGTGCCCCCGTCTTGATTTGGCCAACACCCAGAGCTACGACAAGGTCAGCAATGAAAGTGTTCTCAGTTTCTCCGCTACGGTGAGAAACCATGACACCCCAGCCATCAGATTGGGAGAGCTGGGCACTATAATGAATGTGTCAGAGTGAGTAGGTACCCTGGATTAAGAGGATGGACATACGCCTGGATGGACTCGGAGACTGTGCCGATTTGGTTAACCTTGAGCAGAAGACCGTTGCAAGCCTTCTTCTCAATGGCAGTCTTAATACGCAGGGGGTTTGTTACAGTCAAGTCATCACCGACAATTTGAATGCCGCTGTTCTTGGTGAAGTGGGTCCACGCTTCCCAATCATCCTGGTCGAAGGGGTCCTCAATAGAGATGATAGGGTACTTCTTAACGTAGCCGAGATAGAGGTCAGCGAGTTCGACGCCAGAGATCCATTTGGTCGGGTCGGAGTTGGGGTTCTTGAAATCTAGATCGTATTTACCCTCCTTGTAGAACTCAGATGAAGCGACATCAAGAGCAATTTTGACCTTGCCCTCGTACCCAGCCTTTTTGATGGCCTCGGACAAAAGTTCGAGGGATTCATCGGCACCGGAAACGTTGGGAGCGAATCCTCCTTCGTCGCCAACATTTACAGCTACAATATTGTATCACCAGTCAGCGAATTTGAGGCGTAAATATGATGTCAATGACAACGTACCATCGATGCCGTATTTTGCGCTGATGACTTTCTTCAGGGTGTGATACGTTTCAGTACCGATCTTCATGGCTTCGCTGAAGGAAGTAGCGCCAGTAGGAAGGAGCATGAACTCCTGAAAAGCGAGCTTGTTTCCTGCATGCGATCCACCGTTGATCACATTGAAAGCAGGGCAAGGAAGGACGTAAGGGGGCTTGACGCCCGCAAGCTCAGCGAGGTGCTGGTATAGAGGAACTCCCTTCTCAGCAGCAGCAGCCTCAGCGACGGCAATCGATACACCAAGGATGGCGTTGGCGCCGAGCTTGCCCTTGTTCGGAGTGCCATCGAGCTTGATCAGGAAGTCGTCTATTTCTTTTTGCGAGGTGACGGACAAACCGGCCTTGATCAATTCGGGCGCGATGGTGTCGTTCACGTTTGCGACGGCTTTGAGGACACCTGTAAAAGTGTGGTAGATACCGGAAAGTAGATTCCAAGTAGTAAAAACGCGTACCTTTACCGACATATGAAGATTTGTCTCCGTCGCGAAGTTCAACTGCTTCATGAATACCGGTTGATGCACCAGAGGGCACTGCGGCGCGGAAGCGGCCTATATCGACAGTCAATCGACAAAAAAAACAAAGAATAACGCGAACGCACCTTTTGCGGTGTGCAGATCGACCTCAACAGTAGGGTTACCGCGAGAGTCAAAGATCTATCGACGATCATCGGCAGCGTCAGTGCTCAAAGAACGTGTTGATTGAAAGGCTGGTTATACCTGACGAGCGTGGATTTTAGTGATAGACATTCTGGAGCGAAAAAATGGTGGTTCGGGAGGAAGAAATCGATTTGCGCTTGCTTAAAGGCTCGGCTATATTTCCCACGCTCTATCAACACCGAATCGAATCCTGGAATCCAGCCTCACCCTGGGTCTCGATGTAATCTAGTGGCAGTTTCGATTGGGGCCTCAAGGCCTCAAATCTTAGAGTTCAGATGAATCTCTACAGGCATATGTTTTCACTTGGTGAAGGGAAGATTCCCGGCGTGAGAGATTGTTACAGTCCGATACGGAGTAGCACAGGGGTAAGCAAGCACCGAGAAACTAGCAGCTTGAAGGTCTAGCTCTGTTTCGGGATGAAGGCCTTAGCCACTACCACTGACTAACAGCAATCTATGGTATATGTTTACTCGTCCCGCAACGAAGAAAAGAACTTGCTCAGTCCAAGCCATATGCATAGACACCAAGTACATGTCAACCACAGCTTATCTCCGTCTCTGTTTTTTGCCAGTGGGTAAATTCTTCATATGTGCGGCCTTACCTCGATTTTTGTTTTTCACGTTGGCGGTCGAATAAAAGTTCGTGGCTTTGCGCTGCGTGTGAAGAGTCAGTCAGACCAACTTGAGTCTTGAAAAAAAACTGATTGGTTATGAACCTTGTTGGTGCGCATACGCGGTTCTTTACCCGGTGCTGCCTCCTCCCCTTCCTCATCCTCTTCTGCGTCATTCCCAGAGGTAGAACCTGTAGACATAGTTGAGTTTACAGTGCAATAGAAGCAAAAACAAACAATCTGCCTACCTTGTGCCCCCTCAGGCGTTTCATCATGATGTATTCCTTCGAACACATCGTTCCAGGTAAGGTCCTCCTCTTCTCCATCGTCAACACCTCCTGCCTCATCCCCTGAGTCATCCTCACTCTCTTTCTCCTCATCGTCCACGCTCACTCCAGCAAATTCCTCCTCAAGAGGTTGGATATCTTCCGCCAAGAACTTATTCTTCTGCATGATGGACCCAAGGTTCTGCTTAACTCCGGGACGATTCTCCTCTGCCTCCCCTGTCTCATCAACAACCTTACTTTTGCCTTTAGTATCATTCTTTGCCTTAATTTTCTTTGCTTTTTCCTCTGCCTTGTTCAGGGCCTCCGGACGCTCAGGTGGTGGAACGAAGAAAGGTATCCGTCCACGGACCCAATCACTAAGGATGATCTTCGCGACGGAGTCCATGTCGGGTTCTCCGTGTTTCAGTAGACGCCCTTTCATCCGTGCAAGCTTATCAAGTAGGACTTCGGGCTCCCAACTTTGAGTTGGGTCCTCGGGATTGGGGAGGGGAACGCCGTATGTTCGTGAGATATAAAGAGGTTTTACGCGTTCCATGAGGGCGGGAATGTGTTCGGAAGGCGTGGCTAGTGCTTCGACACGTACAACCCCTTTGAGCACGGTAGATGTCTGCGAATCGTGCGCAGAGGTTGGAACGATGCCGGGACAATCGATAAGGTATATTCGGCGCGTTAACGTAATGTATTGCCAGACCTTGATGAGGGACGAGATTCAGATTACATTGACAATTGTGTATATCATCGTACAAACCTTTGTCTCTCCAGGAACTGGGGCAACTCGGCAAACTTTGCCACTTTTCAGTGTGTTGATCACACTACTTTTTCCAACATTTGGGTATCCCACGAATCCAACAGAAATTTGTTTCTTATCGGAATGCAGCTGTGAAAACTGTCTAAGCAGCTGTATGAGTGAACCTTTCCCAAAGGAATGATTTGGCGATGCATGGAACGCGATAGTAGGGTAACGTGGTGTCAAATGTTGAATGTATCTTGCCTAGAGTTCACGATCAGCTACCTGAGCACGGAACATAGATCCAATTACTGATACTGACTGTAACCCAATTCGGCACCAGATCGCACTTGTTGATGACGAGTACTACTTGTTTGTGTGCCTTTTCTTTCTTGATGTATTCTAGTACGGATTCACAGAGAGTACCCATGGGATCTCTGGCATCCAGAATGTGTAGGATAACATCAGAAGAATCTATGACTTTGTATAGTTCGCCATAAATGCGTCTAGACGTTCCTTTGGCGTAGATAGGTTCATTGTAATCAGCATGGGTCTGAGGCTCGACAATGGAGGACGCCAGTGGTTCTAAAATCGTTAATGACGACCACGATCTTAGATATAACAAAACACACACACCTATGACATTCCCAGTAGCTGTAGCAGCCTCATCTGCGTCCTCAAACGCTGTTGCGCCAAGTTTGCTGAGTTCCTCAAAGTCAGCAGCGTCTACCCTTGCCCGTTTACGTTGAGCCTTGGGACCAAATGTATCAGAGAATGGTTCTGTTTCCACGATGTGAGAGCGCTATGATTTCGTCAGAATATATTTCTTCGGGTAATTCCAGTTCGAAATACCTTCTGAGTATGAGGATTAGCAGCGTCATCTAGCAGAGCCATAGGAAGTTTGTTTCGCCGCAGAAGCACAGAATAAGGATCATCTTTCTTTGTTGCAAGACTCGTACGAAAGTGATCAAGAGCAGTTTGGGAGATGACTCTGGTGTTGCCTGAATGAGAAATTCAGAAGCAACTTGCGAGATGTCGAAGCAGTACTAACCGAACCACCTTCGGTCAGGCTGCACTCTGCCAGGTTTAGTCTCATCTTCACCCTTCTGGAAAGCAGCAGCTTGGATGATCTTTCCGTCTTTATCCCGGACGGGCTTGCCCCCATTGAGCATTTTAAGGCGAGATGCTTGCTTTGCATTCCGGTAAAAATTTTCTCCTTTGACTCTCTTGAGAGAGATATTTGCAGAAGAGGTAGAAGACCTAGTCTTAGACTCTCCAGACTTTTTTGAAGGAGCCATAGCGAAGGAAAAGATGAGAGAAGATTAAATGCAAGTTCAGGAATGCGGAAAATATGTTGACGCCATCGTTGCACACACGTGCTTCCGAATCCAGAAGCCTAGTTTGTTCAACTCTCCCGCCAACGGCCCATGGAATGTACGAGCAGCACCATCATAATATAAGGACCGGCCCCAAGTTTGCTACAGGTACTATGAGCTCTCTCTCAGCGAAATAATTTCTGATGATATCTTGCTTGAATGTCTTGCCACCAGGCGCTGGCCCATGGCACAGAGGTCGTTCATCGGACACAGATACAGAAAGGGAATTTGGCTCCCGTTCTCGTACTCGTTCTGAGCGAGGTCATATGAATGGCAGATCTCACAGTCCAAATGCAACAGAAGACGTAGCCCGTAGCGCAGCTGCACTCGAAGGTTCACTGGATTCGGCTCCTCCAATCTCCTATTGGTCTGCCAAACGACACTCATCTTGCGGCAATCCTACTCCTGCTCCTCCATGGTCAGCGAAACCCATATCATGGCGTCACACATCCTCACTTCCAACAAAATTGAAAACCGCAAATGCCGCTTTGGTTCTCTGCTTGAATATCGATGTCGACCCTCCAGATGTCGTGAAGACATCTCCGTGCGCGGTGCTCGAATGCTGGGTCGATCCACGCTCTATGCCATCAATCAAAGCACTCGAGCACATCGGTGCCAATTTGAAATCTCAATTCGAAAACCTCAGTCAGAAAATCCAGTACAAGCCGATCTTGGATCCGTCATTTGAAGACTTGCGCAAGGCTTGCCAGCAGCTACGAAAGCAGGCCAAAGATGACGCTGTCCTTTTTCATTACAATGGACATGGGGTGCCCAAGCCTACTTCAAGCGGAGAGCTGTGGTGTTTCAATCGGACCTACACTCAGTACTTGCCGGTCTCATTGCAGGAAATACAAAACTGGCTGGGCTCTCCGGGAGTGTACATCTGGGATTGTTCTGCGGCTGGCCATCTTTTACATAACTTCAACGAATTCGCTAAAAGGCGAGATGAAGATATCAAACGTAAACATGGCGGACAGTTTCCTGAAGGGATGCTTCCTTTCGCGCAGAGCCTACAACTTGCAGCTTGTGAAGCTCATGAAACTCTACCTACATGTCCTGACCTTCCAGCTGATATGTTTACTTCATGTTTAACCTCCCCCATTGACATTGCGATTCGGCATCATATGTTGACGAATAAAATCGATCTCAATATCGACGGAGCCGCTCACATGCCTGGCAACTTGAAGGATCGCCGCACACCTCTGGGAGAACTTAATTGGATCTTCACTGCCATTACAGACACCATCGCATGGACCACCTTTACCCCAGAAATGTTCGCTCGGTTATACAGAAGCGACTTGCTCATCGCCTCACTATTCCGAAACTTTCTCCTTGCAGAACGGCTGATGAAAGGCTACAACTGTACTCCTCACACATCTCCTCCTTTACCCTCTACAAATACTCATCCGTTATGGGCTACATGGGATCTTGCCCTGGATTCTTGCATCAGACAACTTCCCGATTTACTCGCTGCTAATGAAGCCCAGCAGAATTATGACGGCCAAAAGTCTCCTCCGTACCAATATATCCCTAATAGCTTTTTTGCCGACCAGTTGACTGCGTTCGAAGTGTGGATATCAAGGGGGGGTTCCGCACTTACTCGTAGGGGCCCTCTGGCACTCCCTTCTGGCACCGAGTATGAAGTCGCTCTGACAGCCGCACAAACTACACCTCTTTCTCCCAATCTCGCTGCTTCCTGGAGTTCTACTCCCCACCTTGTGCCCCGAAAGCCCCCTACACAACTTCCAATTGTTCTCCAAGTCCTTCTCTCTCAGCCACATCGACTGAGAGCTCTTATCCTGCTTTCTCAGTTTGTCGACCTTGGCCCATGGGCTGTCAATCTCGTCCTTACAGTGGGAATCTTCCCGTATATTTCCAAGCTTTTGCAAGCTCCCGGGCCTGATTTGAGACCTGTACTGATATTTATATGGGCACGTATTTTAGCTGTAGACCCAAGCATACAGGTTGACCTATACAACAACGCGCAAGGGTATAAATACTTTTCCAAAATCCTCACCATGCATCCGTCTACATCTGGACGCGACGTCGTGCAGACATTACCAAATACCTCTGAACATCTCGCGATGTGCACCTTTATTCTCGCATCGCTTGCTCGTGACTTTTCAAAAGGTCAACAAGCATGTTGGGAGGAAAATGTTTTTGATGCTTGCTTCAATTTGCTTGACGAGGCAGACTTTCTTCTGAGGCAGTGGAGCTGTCTCTGCATAGCTCAGATGTGGTGTGGTTCTGAACAAGGGAAGATGCTCGGTGTCACAAGAGGAACACAGGATAAGCTGGTCAATCTGATGTCCGATGATTCAGCAGAAGTAAGATGCGCTGCGCTCTACGCCCTGGGCACCTTCATGGGTTCTAGCGGTTCCAAGGTGGAGACTGAGGGGACTAAAGGAGGTGGAGGTTCTGGCGGAATGTATGATCGTGACGAACGAACACATTTTCGGATGGAAGTTGCTGTAGTCACGGGTGCAACCCTCGTCGTCCGGGAGGATGCCAGTCCCATGTGTCGGAAAGAGCTAGTGGTCCTAGTAAGTTGTCTTGTAAAGGAATGGCGGGGGTATTTTGTGGTGTGTGCCTGGATTTATTGGGAGGAAGAAAGGAAGCGTCGGCATGCTACAGTTTATCCTTACGTTTCTGCCAATGCGGATGAGGTATCTGAGCAAGCCGTCCGAGAATGGCTTGACTCCATACCAGACGCTGGTTTACGCGAGGAATCTCGAGTTCTGCTTTCGTCGTTCTACACCATATTCGTTGTGCTGTTGGACCTCTCTGTAGACCCTTACAACGAAGTTGCAACACAAGCACAGACAGTGGTGGATTATATAATGGCCTTGTTATTGGAGTCCCCTTTCACCAAACTCGATGAGGCAAGTCTAGGGAGCCCTCCACTAGCACCCATCAACTACATCAACCCAAATCACCCAGATTCCCGACCCGAAAATCGTGACGCACGATCTCGTATAAGTTCTGGTTCTCAACAATCATCTCCGTCACTCTCTTATCCTGCTCACCCTGTTATTGCACCCCCCTCCCCTAGTGCCAGCTCTATCCGAAGCGATGCTCCTCCTGTCCGGCCGAGTCTGTCACGCGCGGACACCATGACGAGCACAATATCCAATACTGTCACTAGTACCGTAAAGCGAACGTCGTCAATCGCTAACGCTCTAAAGAATTTAGCTGGAGGGATTAACTTCCCTCCTATGGAAGACACACGGACTGCATCGCCCACACCATCCGTGTACAACTTTCACCTCAACGGCACTTCACATCATCTCAATGGTGACGCGCTAGAGCAGATGGAGGCTTCACGACCTCCCTCGCCAACATTTAACGTAGCACAATATGCTTCGCCGTATTCCAGACCTGTCACTCCTACTCAAAGTGACGCAGTGTATTCACCATATCCATCCTCATCTTCACGTTCTCCGTCCTTGCAAGAATTCACGCAACAGGTGCATGATTTCCGTCCCTCAGATGTCATGGAGGCTTTGATGGAGGAAGACATGGAGCGTCTGCGTGCGCGAAAGAGGCTAAAAAGAGGGATGAATGGTTATACTCAGCAGTATCACAATAATGGGTACGGTACAGTGCCAAGTCCGAGTAATAGTACATTCTCTGTCGATTCTGCGGGCAGCAGCGTCATTTTGGGCCTGGGGACGGGTATGGGTATTCGTGATGTTTTGCCTTTAAAGAGCACGTTTTTCGATTGGTGCTCAGAGTACTTTACCGAGCCTCAGATGAGGGTAAAGTCTTATTACCACTTACGTTTTGTGTCTCCCTGACAATTTCTTTCAGCAAGCGGAGGCAGACGAACCTGGAAGTATCCAATACAACTATCAGATTTGGAGGCAGCAGCGCAATGAACAAGTCGATAACGAGACTCGGTCACAGGCGGAGGTTGCTTGTACGCTATCTCTTTTTTCATTTGATATTGGTGTTGAGATCTCTTGTAGCGGATCGTCGTTGGGATAGGACAGTCGCACATTTCCATGGACTACCCCATCCACTCAATCTGGCTTTTCATTCCTATGACCAGCACCTGGTAGCGTCAAACGATACTGATATCATAACGTCAGTTATCGACTGTTTGTATTTTTTTTGGTCACTAACGTAGGATTCAGTGTTTGGGACTGGACTCGTAATAAGCGCTTACGATCGTTCCGGAACGGTAATCCCAAAGGAACCAGCATAACGTCTCTCCATATCATTAACCAAAACGTAGGTGGAATCATCACCACAGGCTCAGGTATGTTTCGTTTGACTTCGAACGCTCAATGTACTGACTGAATCTTCGTCGTAGCTGATGGTGTGGTTCGCCTGTATCGCAATTACGATCCTCTGCTAGATCCTGGTCCAGTTCAAATGGTCAGCTCGTTCAGAGGGTTAAACGAAATTGTGCCCATGCGTCACGGTTCTGGTGTTGTCATGGACTGGAAGCAGTCTGCGGGTATCTTGTTAGTAGGCGGAGATTCGAAGGCGATCAAGACCTGGGACGCTCAAACTGAGATACAGGGATTGGTGGATATCCTGCTTAGAATTTCTGATCTTACTTGCTAATTGAGCTTCTCAGGATATGGATACCGCATCTGATGCTCCTGTGACTTCCATTGCATCAGATCCTGGTTCTTCGCAAATTTTCGTTGCAGGATTCGGAGATGGTTGGATCAAGGTATTCGATCGTCGCTTTGAAGAGGATGAGGCCATCGTACAGACACATCGGGGTCACAATGCATGGGTTCAAAACGTCAAGCCTCATCCTACTATGATTTACCAGTTCCTGTCTGCTAGGTGTGTCCTCTGTGTGCGAATTGTAACCGACCACTGACTCCTTTTGCAGCGTGGAGGGTGAAGTTAAGTTATGGGACCTACGTGGCCGAAGCGACCAGGCTGTGACGACGTGGAACCTTATGCAAGACGTTGGTCTTTCCGCCTTTGATGTTCATGCTACTGCAGAGGTCGTTGCTGGGTCCGAACTTTTTGCTAGTTGGTGCTCAAAGGGACTCGCGCTCACAATTCTTGTAGATCCTCGGCTATAACTAATAACAGATATCGCTCCCAACGGCTTTGTTTCCAATCATTAGCGCCTGGGCATAACGAGCCTTTATCGCAATATAATGTGGCTTCTGGGCTCATTACCGCTCCAATCAAGATTAACCCTTCGCCATACATTCCGCGTGCCACCTCCTTTGTTTTTCACCCTACGGAGATGCTGTGTGGTGTTGGAGAAGGCGATGGTACCAGTGAGTATCCTTTTTGCTCACTCTTCATTAAGTCTGTTCAAGTGGTTATCCTCTACTTTCAGTTCGGATTATCGGTTGCAATTTTGCTTGAGATTCAAACTCAGCTACTAGTACGCGAGGGACACTGTCACTGTAACTAATCGTCGATACTTATCTACAATAATTTGTATACATACTCTGCTTCTCTGTAATCCATGAGTTCAAACCAGAAGTCGAAGACCAGGGCCTAGAACATCGTCTTCGTCGGGAAGCGCCCGGAGCGAATTCCACATTCAATTCTGAACTCATAACTTGTCGACCTTTGCGGTCATCATACAAGTATCCTTGAGGCTCGCTTCCTCTCATTTACGATGGCGAGATTGAACGCAGAAGGCGAGGTAAGTCCATGTATTCCTCTAATTAACAACGTCGGATATTGATCGCTCTTTGGATATGTTCGCAGTCGAGTGCCAGAAAGGAAACGACAACTACCAAAAAGAAAGTCGCAGCCAAGGCAAAAAACCAAAACAATGGGGTATGGCCTTGTGAAATGAATGGGTGTAACAAGCAGTTCGCAAGAGAGGCGGATCTGAAAAGGCACCAAAGGACCACAAAGTTGCACTCCATAGCCGGATTGTGAGTTGTAATATCAAGTCGTGCCGTACGATTCGTTATATATACGGTATTTCACAGTGCCTGTCCTCAATGTGAAGCCAACTTCACAAGAGTAAGCAATGTGTTGTTGATACACAGCAATCCATTTTGTAACAATTATATAGACCGACGCTTTAAGGAGGCACCAGAAGTCAAGGTGCGTTCTTTCGTAGAAGGTCTGAATCGCACTACTAAACTAATCTAAAGGCACAATGGCTCTGTGTGCGATCCAATGGAAACAGAGGATTCAGGTGAACATCCACCGAACGGTGGCGCAGTTATTTCTACATCCAAAGAGAATGGAAGAGACGCGGTGGTACCTGAGACGATACAAGGGACCCCTAGCGCTACTGGGCCTGCTACTGGACATTCAAGCTATTATCGAGAGTCTACCACTACCGGCTGTACGTATTTATCCGTGATGAAATCAGTCATCCTCAATTATGTTTCGACTTGCAGCTTATGCTTCACCCCCTCGCACTGTATTTGGGACTGAGTATGAACCATGCGCTCGTCTTTATCCGGGACAACACTGAATTTCTCTTCCAAGATGGCCTCATGGAAATCCTCCACATCCCTTCAGTCAAACAGCCTACATGTATGTTCCTCCGCCGTTCTATCGGCACGACAATGCTGGTGCGTCTTTTCTCTGACTACAGACGAACCTCTACTCATTCAGAGACAGACACTGCGAATACTCACTCAGGCACTTCATCTTCACCATCAACCTCTAGCTCCCATTCACACCAAAATGATGCTGAAGAACCAGCTTCTCCCTTTTTGCTCTCATATAAATCTGCTTCGATCCTAGCATCAATTCCGCCACTGCCGCCTCCAGTGCAGCTATTAGAGCCCTTACTCGTGGACGCCGATACTACTCAAGTAACCAGATCAAGTTCTTCAGAACCTCCATGCAGCCAAGAAGGTTACTTCCATAACCCTTTAATGAAGCATGCCCGAACGTGGAGTATGTCCGATGAAGCTGATATGAGTGGAGGAGAATCTAGTCTGTTTTCGTCGACGTCGACGTCAAGTTCGTCTTCCTCAGTAGCAAGTAGCGGGTCTCCTTCAGCGTCTAAGGGCAGTCATATTATGCGCGAGCATGGGTACGGCTCACGTCTGATACGCCCTGAACCTTTGGAACCCATCATGACTGAGAATGGAGAGCCGATGTTGGATCCAGGTGTGACTTGCTCTACCACCTTTGACTTATATGATCGTGCTCACTCAGTATGTAAAGCGGAACTTCTGACGCAGGTCGGCTGGGTTGCACTCTATGACGGTTCGGACTCGTTGTCCGACGATGTACGTCCTACGCCCTCGCATGAATCTCTTTCCCCAGCACCCTCCTAAAACCGCTCAGGCTGTATATTTTTTTATTTTTTATTTTCGCATTGCTCTCCGCCCGCTAAATCATCGTTGCATTTTCGCTTGGTCCTTTGGATGTATATCTGTACTATCATCACTTTTCTTGGTGGTTTCTACCCACCTTTGTTGTTCCATCAAAATGATCCTCCCTTCCTTTTACGTAGTATGCTCTGTCGGACACATTTCTATCATTATTTCTGGAATTATTGCAAGTTTGAAATCTCATTTTAACCTCTCGTATTTCTCGTTTCGTCCCAAGCCTCCACATTTTATCATTCCTTCGATTGCTCTGACTATTGCTAAATACCGTGACTGGAAGTGATATTTTCTTCATGTCATCAAAGCCATCAGCAATCCTATTTGCGCCAAATAGAAAATACAAAACTCATGTAATACAGTGTAGCGTTACATGTACAGAAAAGTTGAGGCGACAAGTAGTTGAGTGTCTATATCGAGGTAATCAAGGAACAAGTTCTTGCTCTTTCCAAAGACCTTGCGTAGACTTATTAAACAGCGTACGCCGATTTGGAAACACCCCCAATTCGACATAATCCACTTCCGTTGGATCAACCAATATGAGTGCAAAGTTCCGCAAAGCAACATCCCAATTCTTCCGATTTTTCTTCTCCTCCTCGGACTCGTCTGATTCATCACTGTCCTTTGGCTCATCTACCCTCTCCGGCCACGTCTTGGCTTCTTCCTGACCACCAATCAAAGGGGAACCTGGCGTAGGTCGACACCAACTTGCTTTCATATGCGCACTCATGGTTTTGAAAACCTCTTTGCGTTTCGCTTCCCAGTCAAAGTTCTCTCGACTGAGAGCTGCCATACCGGTGTTGGGCGATGAGATGGCAGAAGATGTCGTGGAGTAGATAAACTGTTTGTATAGAGGGTCTTGGGGAGAAGGAATGATACTGCCTACGCCTGAGATGCGAAATTGTTCTTGGGTTCCTTCAATCCACCAGGCAATGTTCACGTGAGGATTGGCGATGATCTGAGCAGTCTTTGGGCTACGAACGTCGGTTGTAGTGAGAATAAGAGGAAGAGCTGGGTTCGATCTGGGATCAAGGAATGAACGAAATATATGCGATCGAACATGTGGTATGGGAGATGTTGCATCTATAGAAGCGAGTTGAATCACTGGAATAAATTTGTAAGTTTCACGGTGAAATTAAAGAAGAACCGAAGAAAGTGATACTTGTACCGAACGTACCCACAGATTTTTCGTACTTTTCTAAAGCACTATTTATCGCGGACTGCCAGCGAGGAGATTTCTTTGACATAACGGATGAATTTGTGAGTAAATGGGCAGCGGTAAGCCGGAGCCTGCTGGAAATTGAATCAATGATAGTGGGAGAGATGATAAGCCCAGATAGGCTAATGACGTAATTCGGTATTGAAAGGAATAGGCGCCCACTGTCCACACGAACAAACATCGGCGATATGGTTGTGTAAAGAAAAACTTGGTGTAAAACCGACAGTGTCGGCGATTCTCTCTGCATAGTAAGCTAATAATTGCCCGGTACTCTCCTGTAGGTATGGCTATATCTCATAGCCAAAGACGCGTTGACAACTATTAGCATTGACCGTGACCGAATCAATTGGCCTCGGATGGAGAACGGAGGAGAGTCAAACGCGTCCTGACTCCTGAGGCAGCCATAGTAATATTCAATGACAAAAAACTTATTCATACTTCAATCCCAGCAATCGATCACAATGACCAGTTTCACGAGAACCCGTATATAAAGGTTCCTCAGATCTTCACAGATAAAGTGTCTTCCTTTATTCCCCACTTTTATCACTTCCAGTTGTATCTGAACAAGCACAATCGCAATGTCTATCTGGCAGCCAGCTCCTGATCCTCCTACCAAGCTCGGTGTTTACAGGACTCTTTCCTCGCGCGCAGGTGTGAGGGTCAGTCCTATATGCCTTGGAGCAAGTGAGTATCGAGTCTGCGATTTTGTGTAGAATATATGCTGACACCAGTCCCTCATCTCAGTGAGCATCGGAGACCAGTGGAACGATGTAAATAAATATTCTTTGAATTTATGAATCATTATCTGATCATTTCGCAGATCATGGGCTCGATGAACAAAGAAGCCAGCTTCAAGCTGCTTGACGCGTATTTTGATATGGGTGGAAACTTCATCGACACCGCGAACAACTAGTTGCGTCCTTTCCCGTTCTGATCCTCCTGCACATAGCTTATACCTCAATCGTCAATGATAGTCAAAATGAATCCTCAGAGCTCTTCATCGGAGAGTGGATGGAAAAGCGTCAGATCCGTGATCAATTGGTTCTCGCTACCAAAGTACGCCTTCATCTATGACTATATGCGCCACTTTCTGATTATACCCAATCTAGTACACTACAAACTACAAACTTGCCGACAAAAACATTCAACAGCGAGTCAACTACACTGGCAACAATGCTAAATCTCTGCATCTCAGTGTTGAAGCTAGCTTGAAGAAACTGCGTACGAGCTACATCGATATCTTGTATTTGCACTGGTGGGACTTTGATACCTCGATCGAGGAGGTTATGGATAGCTTGCACAATCTCGTTGCATCTGGCAAAGTAATTTACTTGGTACGCACTTCATTTAATCAATGGTCTCAATACCAATAAACTCATATCTCGAATTCGATCATAGGGCGTCTCTGACACCCCAGCTTGGATCGTCTCGCAAGCCAATCAATATGCCAAAGACCACGGAAAGACACCTTTTGTCGTCTACCAGGTTCGTCTTTCCCTCCCTCCATTTCTTTTCGAACGCTGAACACTCATCATCCACCGCGTTCATGCTTACAGGGCAAATGGAGCATACTTGACCGTTCCTTTGAGCGGGATATTATCCCCATGGCTCGTGCTCAAGGAATGGCTCTTGCCCCATGGGGAGTCATCGGAAGCGGAAAACTTCGCACAGATGCTGAAGAAGAACAACGTAAGGCGACAGGTGAAAAAGGACGTGACATGGGTGCCGGATGGGAGAGAAACGAGAACGAGGTGAAGATGTCTCGCGCTTTGGAGAAAGTTGCCAAGGACGTTGGCGCGAAGAGTATCACTGCAGGTAACTGTCTTTCAATCGTTTTAGCCCTCACCTATATTTTTTAATCGGAAATTGCTCTAGTCGCCATCGCGTATGTCATGCAGAAAACCCCATACGTTTTCCCTATCATCGGCGGTCGAAAAGTCGAGAACCTCGTTGCCAACCTCGAAGCGTTGGATATTTCTCTGAGTGACGAGCATATCAAGGAACTCGAGAGTGTATTGCCATTCGATGTTGGCTTCCCATCGGACTTTATCGTAAGTCTAACTGTTTGATCCTCTCTCCATATTGCTGATATTCTTTCTCTTTGCTTCCTACTCAACAGGGTGATGGATCAGAGCCCATGTTTTTATTGAAATTTTCAGCTAAAACGCAAAGGATACCATATGCCAAAGCTCTTCGTCCTTAATCGATATAAAGCATGTAGTGATGAAGCGGACAAGTTCGAATCTCCGTCATGTTCTAGTTGTATGGAATACGGAGCATCATAATCACATTGTGTAAAGTACAAAGTACAATGAGACATTTCCCTTGTTCTTATCAGAAGAATTCAGTGATTTGGCATGCCTCAGCCTCACAGCGGTATGTAAACGAGATTGTACGAAACGTCGAGAGATAGTACTCCAGGAAGCTCCGAGTTTCCGACTGTTTGCAGAAGGTTGCTATTATTTGCAGGACCGCGCAGTCACACTGAAACGGACGCTCGAGCGCTCAACTTAAGTTTCATGTTTTGCGCGTTGATCTGCTGAAACGATGTATGGATAAGTATGGATAGCCAAGTATATGAAGTACATTGCGATGATATGCGGTATGTATGTTAACCACTGTTGAAAGTGGCTGAAGATATAGCTACAGGTTGAACGTTTTATGTGAGTGAGTAATACATCGGAAAGAACACCATGAAAGCAGGAGTAGCATTTTCATCCTTTATTATCTACAAAATGTCGATCTTGGGCCACTTGAATTGAGGACCGACCTAAAACTCAGCAGGTCAGTCACCAGCGCCATGCGGGTCCAGAAAAAAAATTTTACCTGCTGAACACACATTGCACCCATCTTGTGCCCAGCCTCGACGCACTCATCCAAACTCTTACCGGATACGAAAGCACCCAGGAATCCACCTGCGAACGCGTCTCCCGCACCATTCGTATCGATGATATCCTCATACTTCAATGCGTGCACAGAGTAAATCTTGGGTGCGTCGGGGGCATCGGACGTGACAACGACAGTGGACTCTGCACCATGAGTCAAGACGACGATGCGAGGACGAGAAGCATTGGACTTTGGCTGAATCGCGATAGCTTTGGCGACGGCGGCCAAATCGGTGGGTGTAGCGTGTCCATTAGCTGTGGCCCATGCTTCGGCTTCGGATTCGTTAGCGATAACGATATCAGTGAAAGGGATGATTTGCTGCAATTGTGCGCCAAAGAATTGTGGGATAAAAGGTGCCGATAGGTTAATTGCGAAAACCTGGGATCAATCTGGACATTAATGTGAGTCAAAAGCAATCGGCACACACGCACCTTTGCGTCTTTGGATGCCTTCTGACTTAATTCAAGGGCAGATTCTAGACCGTGGGTGAGGAAAAAGCCTTCCATGTAGTAAGCCTTCGCGCTTTCAAGAACAGCGGAAATCTCAGGCGAGGACAAATGAGCCTTGTCGAATTTCTCAGCAGCACGGAGAGTCGTAACGAGAGACCTTGAGAAAGATGGGATTGAGCCTAGGAAGTGATATAGAAACAAATTCCAATGGAAGGCCATACCGATTATGGCCAGTAATGACAACGGCGCAAGCACCCGTCTGCTCGCCCTTTTTCACATAGTACATGTCCTGTAAACCCTCACGTTTGTTGGCGGCTTTGAGCTGCTCGGCAAGTTCATCGTCGCCGACACATCCTGTGTAAACGACAGAATGTGGCGGCAAGACATACTTTAGGACCAGAAACCGTGAAATTTCAGCGATGTTGATTTAAGGTGAAGAAAAAACTGACTGCAGCACCACGGGCAGCGTTCTGAGACGCGCCTCCAGCAACATAAGTCACTTGGTAGTTTTTGACGACCTCTTCATATCTTGGGACATCATCAGGATGGTGAAAAATCGTGCTATAAGATAATCATACATCGGGGCGTGCTTTTCCTCCGCAAGGATGGCATCGTTTGCCTTGAGCTCGTACTTTTTCAAGAGCTCCTCCCCACTAGTCACCTGCATGTCAAGCAGAGGATTCCCAATACAGAAAAGTGAGTACGACGACATTGCGAAGGATCAGTGGTGGATCAGTGAAGATGGCGGCAAAGGTTGGGTAAAAGAGAGGAAATCGATAATAATGCCGGCCGGCATAAATTCTTCAAGTCTGAATGTCTGATTATCATGACTTGTCCGCAATCGCAGCAGTGAACTGTCCATTCAAAATGATTTTCAGGTTACAAGTCTACCAGCCTTCAATGACGCTGGACTGCTAGCTTATATGGCTTTGCTACAAATCCAGCCCAAAGGATACCCAGCACTCGTCAGTATTGGCTACTACTGGTGGTGATCGATCCAGGGCCATTCATTCTTGATGTGCAGAAATAACTCAGCTGGAGTCTGCAGTCTGCTGGGGTCTTCGCAACCAATCTCTGCCGTGTAGCCGCGCTACATTTACTTGGCAACATCATGATGATAAGTGTAAGCACGAATTTCTTCACCATCAAGAAGGGCATCGTACTGCCTCGTAGCACTGTGTGATGCTCCGAGCTCCTGTAATATATATAGGAGAGGTATTTTGAACACATTGAACTGATTTACAAGACTTCACAGCCGAATTTTAACGAAACATACAGAAGGAACCCTCAGGGAACTTATAGCAACGAAGCAGGTTTGCCGACTGAACCAACCATGCGTTGCGCGTAAACGCGTGGTTTGTCCACAGCCATCCGAGAGGTTGGAGGGGCTTATCAAGGCTTATCACTGACTATAAATGGACGTATAAAAGCCAGAGCGATGAATGAGGCGATCTTCCAGAAACTGCTGGCCAGTTGTTCCATTTCGTCCGCTGTAAAAAAAAAGTCCTCCTGCCCGTCCCCTCTACTACGCGTATCGTTGTTCTATCCAGCGTTCTTGTTCTATCATTAGCCAACGTTATCATACACTCGACTCACTATCCGACAATCCGTCGACATGTTCGTGGACCCCATCTATCTCCTCGCAGTTCTTCTTACCGCTGTGCATGCCGCACCTTTGAACGTGTGTCCCTAATTTCATGAAATGAGCACTACTACTAATGATGTGTATAGACCACTACTTTTGAAGCTGCCTCCGTTGAACCCCATATGGACCCTGGGTCGACGTCCCATTTAGAAAGGCGAGCGAGAATAATGCAAGTCACGATCACCGGTACTTTCGGAGGTCCAAAATTGGCTCGACCGTACATTTATGGCTCAAGCTCAAAGCTTGGGAGCACCCCTTTGCCGAACGCAATCATGGAACGGATGGAAGAGGCGCTTGCTGCTAAGTGGGGTATCCATAGTTTCGACAGCATCTTTTTCCAAAATGAATGGAAAGGCACATCTAGAGCTGCACAGGATGAGACATTCACTTGTAGTTATTCAGGGGTTGGGATTTGCACTGCCAAGCAGCCATGCATTGGAAAGGTTGGCCCGGACGGGGTATTCATCGAGACAAAAAAGTAAATACAACGATCGTATTCAAGAATAAATTCAGTAGTGCCTCGAGGCGCAACCAATCAGCTACTAAATTATCAGCCAGTGAAAATATTTGCTGTCAGTTTCCATCAATAATAATATTGTGTACGATATCCCTGAACGTTTCCTCTTCTTACATATCGTAGACACTACATGGTAGACACCATCTAGGACACGGCAGCTAGAATAATAACCTTCACTACCATTTAACGCCATTGTCATTCACTGCTTGCTGTTTCTGGTAACTAATGCCTCGAGAAAATAGTTTCAGCGACTCGGATGGTCGCTCGTTGACCCCTGACCTCGACGAAGAGGTCTCTGGAGGAGGCATTTCCCCAACCTCACCCACCTATTCCATTCCTCGCGACCAACTTTTGGCAGAACCTTCATTCAGCTCTGCACCAAAGGAATCTACAGAAATTTCTGCGCATTCAGCAAGTTCAATTCGCAAGAAGGATGCCACAGGACCATCGACTACCTCTTTTCCAATGGCTACCCGTCCAGAGCTAGGCCCTCGAGACCGATTCAGGTCGTCTGTGCGAAAAGTAATGGCCATGCGCCGGAGCACCACGTTGTTGCAGAACAACAACATTGGGGCCGAGCCTGGTGTTGATCCTCGTCGAGCAACAGCAGACCTTCAATATGGAGGAATCAAACAGGATTGCGTTATCGAGCTCATTGACTACTCGTCCACCAGTATCAGTTACGGTCGTATGACGAACAAGGAGCTCGTCAATATGTTGGGCGACAAGAATGCCAGCGCGCGCCAGAGTTGGGCAAAGGTCAGATGGATCAATATCGGTGGGTTGAGCTGGGATGTTATCAAAGCTGTCTCCTTGAAATACGGTGTGCCGTCTACTTTTACCTGGGTTGTATGATGACTAAATATTTTATGCAGATATCCACCCATTGGCTCTCGAGGACGTCTTCCACACGCGTAGCCAGACTCGTTCAAAGGCAGACTACTACAACAAACATCTTTTCCTTCGCATTCTCTGTCACGAACTCGGTGATCCTGATGCAGAACCTAAAACAGTTGATTCTGCCGCTTTAGGCTCGACTTTGACGGATGCACCACGCTCATCATCACCGTTGCCTTTCGAAGATGGCGAAGGGTACGAAATGTTGGAGAAAAACGACAAAGCATGGTTCGGCAGTCCCTTCGGATCACGCAAATCGTCGACCCTCCGACAACGAGGGGGAATTAAGAAAAGGGAGAAGGATTTGGAGGAGGGATCTCTGAAGAAGGCCCCCTCGTTGTTTTCGTTGACCCAAAATGTGAGTTCCTCCTGTATCGATATGATCTGGCCCTGATATCCAATCTCATTGGTAGACGGAGACCCGGCAGCAACGGCGTGAGGAAGAAGTCAGTATTGCAGCCCTGAAGAAAGGCGCGCGGGTTACTGTTGATGTTTCACCGATGCATATTTTCTTATTCCGTGATGGTAAGTTTACTCTGATGCATCCATAATCTCAACTCACCCTCTTATGCACTGTAGGCACGGTTATCTCGATGCATCCAAATTCCGACCTTAGCCTTACCCAACCCATCACTCGCCGTCTTCAACAACGAGATACGATGCTCCGTACATCTGCTGATCCCTCTTTACTGGTGCAGAGTCTGCTTGATCTGAGTGGGTTCTGGTTTTGTCGTTTTGGACTTAATAGCTCGTATCCTGATCTTCTTACCCCTCTTTCTCAGTCGTCGACAAAGCTTTGGAAGTCATCGACGAGTATCACCTTAAGATCAAGAAATTCGAGAGACAGGTCCTTCTTAAACCCGAAGTCACGACTGTGCGCAACTGTGTGTCTTCTTAGTTCATTTAGTCGTATCATTCCCTACCTGTGCTGATCCAATGAATGTTTCTTCCTAGTACACATCTTGTCCGGAGATCTCATTCTGCACAAAAGGACGCTCGAGCCGATCAAGACAGTCGTCTATGGCTTAAGGCGGTACGATCTCGACCGTGCTGCAGCGTTAGTGGATCCAAGCGTCGCAGGCAACAAAGATACTAAAGTCGTTGGTTTTATGAGCCACAAGTCAAAAATTTACCTCGTAAGCTCTCTCTCTCAGTTTCATGTTTATCTCTGGTCTTTAATTCTCTTCAGGCCGACGTGTACGATCATATGGAGTACATCCTCACCAGCATTGAAATGTTTGCGGGTATCACGGAGAACTTGATCAACTATACGTTCAATGTACGCCCACCTTTTTACCTTACTGCATTGGTTTTCATCTTCTGCCATTTCTAGATGTCATCGTATGAAATGAACGAAGTCATGTAGGTGTTATCTTCTTGATACGGATGATATAGATATATTGGATAATGACCCCTCGTGCAGGCGACGATTAACTCTTGCCACCATTGTCTTCCTCCCGTTGACGTTATTAACTGGTTATTTCGTATGTCGTCTCGTTCTGCTTCTAAATCGTAATAATAACATCTACGCAGGGTATGAACTTCGAAGCTATGTGGTCCGTACAAGAAAACAGCGATGTCCTGTATGTGTTTTCAAGTTCTCCGTCGTCTCGTGCTCAATGTAATGTATTTCACCAGTTTCTGGGAGATTGCTATACCGGTCATGCTAGTCGTTATCCCGATGTTCTTGATGCCAGACTTGAAAAGAATGCTGCATTACATTCAGAAAAGAATGGTGTCCCAGAAAGCACTCAAGGTCGGTTATGTCTACTGTCGATCGCTTCATTGGCTGAACGAACTTGTGATCTATAGTCTTATAAGGGATTGTAAGCCTGATAAGAGCAACCATCTGACTTTGCGCACAAGTTCCTTTCCCTTGCCCCATCTCTTCCATGTCTACACTCATTCACGATATCATGCATCTCTTCTACATTGCTTTTAGTACATTTCTAATATTAAAACCAAATATTCTTTGGCTCATACATCTTCAATTCGTGCTATCCTTACTACTCAAGCCTACAGGTTGCACCAGGCTATCTTCACATATACATATACTTGCTTTCACTGCTTTGCCATTCATCTTACGCGGATACATATCTTCATAATTATCTTGGGTTTCATGTCGTTCATATCACGTTCAGTAAATTTATATTGAGTGGTTGAAGAAAAACAAGATTGCTCCTGGGATGAAGACTACATTGAAAACTACATGAAAGACTCGGCCTCGACGACGTGTATTGGTCATGGAAGTGATAAATGGGCTAGTGCCTGCAACTGTTCGATAAGTTTGTCACCGTGCGGAACGAGTGTGATGATAGTCACCATCGTTGTGCTTCAGTTCTTGCAGTTGCATGCGTTAGGCTGGCATCCACAACTAATAAGGATTCATTGTCAGCATACGTTCATACTTGACAAGAGCAGAGCTTACGTGGACGAGCAGCTGCAGCCTTCTGAGCCACAAGCACTGTTGACGAGAGTGATGGTTTCGGTCTATTGGTGCGTGAGTGCACGATGACCACTCATGAGATGAATGTGTACTCACAGCGTACATGGCTTTAGAATCTGATGAATATTTCGATGCTGGGTGTATGGCTTGGAGGTGGATGGTTACAAAATCCTGTAAAAGCGCAAGTCTTTATACCGTACCAGAATGGCCAATTAACTCCTGTGAGCTTGTGCGGCTGCGAAAGTCATGCTCTGAGATTGTACTGCGGATGATAGGCTTGAATGCTAGGCAACGCAATATGTCAAGTAAAGTTTGTGCGGTGTGCTTGATGTACCTCTAACGCTACATTAGGGTCCTTTGCAGTTTTCAGTGAACAGGGCCTGCCTGTGGCATCCGAAGCTTGTGGACAGAAAGATCCCCATGAAGGTTAGTACTGTCCCTGTGCCGTCTCTAGTTACTGAGCTGATTTAAAATAAATATTGGAATGGGCTCACTCTGGGCTCACTCAGGCAACTAGTTGGAGTCTACAAGCAATGGGTATAGATCGCGGCGAGACTGAGAGAGTAAGACTAGATAGATAGATAGATAAATAGATAGTATCATGCAGTTGATTTGAGAATACGATAAAATACAAATGATACGAGGTGTAGTGGAAAAGTAATGTATCAGCGAAATTTTCGACATGCCGTTTTCTCTGATTGTCAAAACGACACTTCCTAAACTGTTGGTTGGTCTTGAGATATCAGCGACTCTAGATGAGTCTCTGGCACTGTCATCGACGGTCGAGAGTTCTAACATCGAGCAGCGTGGCATTATCTCGTAAAGAAAGAAGAGGAAAAAATAGCTCCTTTTATAGCTGTAGAGGAGTTCCCACGGCATAACGGTCACGAGTCATCACTGATCACTAGTCCGTTATAATTATTCTACATATTAAACCATTTCCACGGGGGCAGTTATCTCCAGGCCCTTCGCCTTCCAGGAATTCTCGACTACCATAAAGCTGTCTATTCCGTCCAGTACGGTGTCCTTCCACGACGTCAAAGATTTCCGCTTGAGCCCTAGGTCGCTTTCCATTCTGGCGTAATCGATTGGCTCAGCCTTCCTTTCAGGCCATTTGGGAGCGGAAAGCAGTGGGGACAAACGATCCTTCAAGAGTGGACGCTCTGCGGCGAGCAACTCGATAGCTTGGCTAAAATCGCTCTGATTTGGATTCTTCAATGCAAAGCGCTTCCGGCCGACAACGGAGCTAGGTTGGCTGTTCAATGCAAGTATGTGAGCTCGAGCTACGTCTCGAATGTCAATGAAACTATCCGCCATTGGAAAACGTGGATTTGGCCCGTTGAGCAAAGAATAAAGGTAGAATGTTGAGCTGAATGCACGGAAGTTGACCGTAGGGACTAAATGCTCAAAGCCTGGGGCCACTGGACCGACGACAAATGTAGGACATACTAGGATTTCGTGAGCTGAAGCTTTTTAGATATCATTCGCATTCTGCAACGTACTAATCGTAACGTCCATTTCAGGGTGCTTGTCAGCGAATTCCAAAACCGCGATTTCCGCAAACTTTTTTTCTGCAGAGTAAATCACGCCGGGATTGCCCGAGCTCTTAGCTTCCTCAATAGTGACAGCGAAGTAATCTATTTCTCAATAGTAAGCTTTTATGGAGCTCTTGCTCCGTTTTGGGCTTACCATTTGGCCCATAAGGACCGAACCTTGGGAATGAAGCCAAGGAACCAGTTACAACAACTTTCTGTATCCCAGCGTCTTTTGCTTGCTCCAAAACGTGCAAAGAGCCACATATAGCCCCCTTGAAAGTTTGAGACGTCAGTTTATGGTTTGGCAATTGGACCGACCGGATTACCTTTAGCGCTGCCTCCTGGTCAACTTTATCAGATATCATCGGCGCGGCACAATGTATGACTGCGTCCATCCCTGTCCTGAAGTCAGTCGATCTGTATGTAGTTATTTGGGAATCATTCCTACTACCTTTCATAAAACTGAAATCTCCAGACGCAATATCTGTAATCTCGACTGCCTCAAATGCTGGATATCGCGCAAACGCATTCTGCAAAAACGAAACTTTCTCTCCACGTGCGACGCTATCGAGAAATTAGTCGTTCGTCCATTGAGAAGAAGGCTTATTAACCCTTTGACCTTATACCCGTCTTCTAATAACTGGTATGTGATGTAGGACCCAACATATCCTGAGGCTCCGGTTACCTGAGATCAAAATATTTCAAGACAAAGTTTCAGACTTCCTATGCGCAGCGAACGTACCACGATTGCTTGTTGAGTGGGAGACATTATTCTTCAGAGATGAGTTAGGATGGGAATCAGTTGAATGATGAAGTTCGTTATCCTTTTAAACTTATATTCCAAGTGAGTTATCGGAGAAACTCATCGCATATCGGAAAATATTTACGCAGCGATCGGATCCGTCGCGAAGTTTCGCAAAATCGACTAATAAACACTCCACAACGTTTTGCATTTGGATACTCGCTCGCCTTCGGATGGGGCCTTTAGGCCGTTTAATTAAACGAACTTCCTGCCCCGGACTTTGTCCAAATATGTGAAGGCTGCGTACGGACACCTTTTTGCACACAGTACCTCTTTCGCTCAAGTACCAACGTCGTTCGAATATTTGAGGGCAGGGCTCTTTTCTCATTATTATTTGGCTATCCCCATTGCCACCAACCTCATGTCCTAAAGCCTGATTGACGGCGGAAACATATTATCTTGACCGGCGCAAGTTCTGGTATACGTCTTCAGGAATTCAAGCACCTTTTCCCGCATGAAATCTATCGTAACACGCAGAGACAGGAAACGAGATAAGTGTAGAACAAACATTTCAAAGAGAGTAATTATTTCCGGCTATGGATCACAAGTCAACGGACGAGTGAGTGCTTCTAGTTTTTTCATGGCCCCTTCGGGGTCCTCCCACATATACTGCAGAATCAACATGAATGAGTTGCAGCTCAGTTGAGATTTTGCAAAACGTACGAAATGACTGGCTCCTGGATTTTCGGCAAATATAATAGCAGGATGGGGAGTTCCAGCGAGCTCCACCTGGTCTTTTAAGTACCAAGTTGCCATATGCACGGTATGTGTTGCCTTATCCCCAACCAGATGCCAGACATCCATACCAGACCAAGTCGAACGCGTTGTGGAATCGAACAGTGCCTTGTAGACGATACTGCGTTCGACATCCATGAATGTAGGCGCTATAAGATAGTTATCGCATCGAGCTCCAGGTCGCAAGTCGGTGAGTGTAGCCAGCTCTTCGGGGGAAGTTGCATCAAATGGGCTTGTCCTTCTGGTATTGTCATTTCCCTGGTCAATTTGCGACATGTCATGTCGAAGTGACAGGTCCCCATGATGAAAGTGCAAAGCAACCCACTTCCTGAATACAAGAGGTCTCACATCAGGTGCCAAGTTCTCGTCCAACAAAGGGATATATGCCGGTGGAAGCTTTACGCCTAAACAGTGGGCAGGAGGTTCTTTTCGAAACTTCAACTACTTTGAATGAGTTAAGGAAAGATAGGCAGCACTGACCCCACATGATCATCTTTTTCACGGAACCTCTCAGTCTTGCCTGTACAGATGGCGAGAGAGATGTGATACTGGCCAACATAGACAGGGTGAATATAGTCCCCAACGACCAACCAATTATTACTATGTTAGGCGGTAGGGAAAGTGACTGCACGAGTCCATCCAAAAGAAGGGCTAAGTGTGTCCCTTCACCGAGTAGTAGACGAGAACGTTCTTCGTTCGACCCCTGAGCAAAGATACTTAGCTCGGCTGAGGTGTAAGGAGTAGAATTTGGGTATTCGCGACGATTGATTGCGATTATTCGGTGGGAGTGTTGACGTGCAACAGGAAGCAGTCTTTGAAATATGCCTACGAGCAAACGATAAGATTTTGCATTGGCAGTAAAGGACTGCTGACCTGCATGATAAGAATGACCATGGACGATAAAGTACGTTGTGTAGTCAGATATGCTAGGTACACCGCTGTCGGCGTAGTAGAACTGGATGTCGCTGGCAGAGGAAAATATAGGCATGACTTGAAGGGAGAATAAAGAGCGAGAGTTGTCTGCATTATAAATAATTGCTTAACCATGACTGACGCGCTGTAAGTGGCGTACAGGGGAAGGTTGTATATGGTGCGGGAGTAGATGGGGAATACATACGACGATTCGACCCAATGTGCGAGCTTTTCAGGGATCCAATCGACTGTAAAATCTTAATTGACGGTCAAAGGTATGAAAGCTTAGCTAGATAAACTCTAGTCATTGTCAAACTAGGGCACGTCGCTTGACTGCTTTGCGAATTCCGATTCTGTGCCACATCAAGTTTCAAAACTTCTTTTAGTTCGGAATAGCACGAAAATATACAGTTTCATCTAAGATGAAAATCGCATCGCAGAGCCCGAGCCCGACGTTTCCGCTGTTCGTTTTGCATGAGTTCCATGCCACTGCGATGGAGAGAACGGCAACATACCAGGTAGGACAGTTCGTTCATGATCTTCTCTTTCCTTCCACATCCTCATACTGTCAAGCATTTTCTGGTCCTCGTTGGTGAAGTTTGGATTGTCCGCCAGTTTTTTCATCTTCGCTGCCAAGACCTCGTTTCCTTCAGGATCGACCTTGCCTTTATTGACGATGTCCCGAATATCCTGAACGTCGTTATCGTTCATGGGAATTAGTGTAGGGTTCCTCCGGATCATTGATGCGTTACAGCTTGCTTTCACAGTTTCAAAGATTAGGTAGGAACAGTGGACCAAAATGAATGAGATCTTACCAAGTTAAGTGTCAGTAAACCCAGGTAAGATGCCGGCCGGTTCCTAGTCACTAAGTTGCGCAGTTTCACTCATCCCAATTCCTTTTCTCCTTTTATAATTATATTCGTCTTCATTATCTACTCTTGCATTGTCCTGGATTACGCCTCTCATTGTATCCAATGACCGCCCAATCCCAGCCTGTCTCACAGCAAGAAACTAACGTACACACAATTTCTCAACAACAAATTCAGGCTTCCGTGGACAACTACCAGAACTCTGTATCTGATGTCTGGTATCTCAAGACGATAGAATTCGGAGAAGGCGACAAGAGGAGGACGACCAAGATAATCACGCAGAATTTCAATGGGTCCGTTTCTTATTTCCGTTTTGATTTGGGTAATTAGCTAAATTTTGATCATAGGCCGTGTTCATTCATTGCTATATGTGCGTGGCTTTCCTTTCAGAGACCGCGCAGCTGACGACGCGCGTGGAATCAGGCAATATCCTCATATTACGTGGCGCCTTAGAGATTCTGCCTCCTGAACGGAAAACTGTGTCATACGAGTTCCTTTCCCAATTAATAGCTGAACACCTCTTAATAACCTGTCCTGACGTGGACATATCTGCCGCCCTTGAAATTATGCCCTGTACGCAAAGTTAGTAAGATCTCCGGTCCTGCGTACGCGGCTGATGCTCTAGAATGAAGAGGGTATGGACTTAAATCCACTATTCACTGGTGCCAAGTCTTTTCGACCAAACGGTACTGGTGGCGAACTCAAACTTTTTGAACAAGTCGGAATCGACCTAATTCACGGATGGCTTGTCGACCCAGAAAGTCCAGAAGCGGAAGCCATTTCTCATACAGAAGACTACGACAGTGCAGTCATGTTAATAGCAGAAGCAGATCACGTCACGAAAGGTCGGTTTGTCGTGGATGATTCAGATATTCCACAGGCCGAGTCGAGTAAATCACCAGTGTACTCAGATGAAGAGAGGGCGAAGATTGAAAACGGTGTGTATGGCGCTGCCCCATTTGCGAATGCTCCCTAAGCTGTGCTATAGCTACTTCCATACGTCGCTTTCTTGACAGCACACAATCCCAGCTCACCTATCATGGTCTCTTTCACCTAGCCTCTACAACCAAGCCCGGAGCTCTTATGGCGCTCTTCCGCAACCTTCATCTTTCAGTTTTATACAAGCGCGATACCCCGGAAGACACCTCATTATATAATCTGGTTACTGACTACATCTTTCTAAACGAGCCGTCAATCGTCTGGGAACGAATAGAAGACGTGCAGGGAAGCATGTCGACTTTTGTTGATTCTTCGTTCATCAAATCGAGTCCTGCCGGTGGGGACTTTGCTGGACAGACAGCCGAGGAGGCACTAAGAGCTGCGGAGATGGAGCAGGGAGAATTTTATCCATCAGATCCAGCGGAGTATGTCTGGCTCCATTTACCTTTCTTCAATTGAAACAACTAATCCTTACCTAGTCTAGCGTTGGCACAACAGCTTCAGGCTGAGGAACAGGAAGGTGCCCGGAGAGAACGTGAATGGTATGCTCGCGAGAAGGAGCGTCGTCGGTTAGAGGAAGTACAGAAGCAACAGGAGAAAGAAGATTACAAACAACGTAGAGGGAAAAAGGAAAAGAAGGAATGCATTATAATGTAGTCTAGTACTTACTTACATCGCCTCATACATCCTGCATCGATCTCACCTTTGCAAGCTCCTCCCCAGCAAGTGCTATGAATTTCACCCCGGCCTTATCACATTCTTTTTCGGTCTTCTTCCAACCCTGTTCGGTTGGATCAACAGCTTTGGTGGCCTCGCTGATAACATAGGTCTTGAAGCCCTCGGCGACAGCGTCTATCGCTGTACTTTGAACACAATAATCCATCGCTAACCCGACTACGAATACGTCTGTCACACCAGCCTCTCTCAAGCTCTGAGCCAGTTTGCTACTGGCTTCTTTGACAATAGGGTGCCGAAACGGTGCTTCAAAAGCAGAGTACATCTCCACTCGTGAATCTTGGCCCTTTTCTATTACCAAGTCGACTAGGGAAGTATCCAATTCAGGTATTAGTTCAGCACCAGGTGTTCCCTGAACACAGTGTATGGGCCACAATCGGCTGGTGTGAGTTTCATTTGGATTATTGGGATTAGGTATAGTTACGAAGGATGTGAAAGGTTTGTTATGTGGTTCGGGATGATTGGAGGCAAATGAAACATGGTCTGGTGGATGAAAGTCTTTTGTCGCTATCTTCTTGACGAAAGGAAGTCGAAGGAGATCGTTGATTATGGGTGCAATTGACCGCCCTTCAGCCACCGCTAGAGCGCCGTTCTACGAATCGATAAGAGGATACCCTGAAGAATGGCGCAAGCATGAATAAACTTGCAGGTGGACAAAAGTCTTCTTGGAGATCCACGATAATGAGTGCAGGCTTAAACTCATTGTCCATATCGAGCCCCGGATGATTGAAGGCAAGATGTTGTTAGTGAACAAGCGCCGATGCTGACTAAAGTTTAACCATCAGAACCGAAGAACTCGTTAATAACCTTCACTGTCGTCCTTTTCAGACTTTTGCTTCTTAGTCTTTAGAGAGCGCTTTATCGAAAGAGCTTCGCTACCCCTAGCTGAATATATCTGGCTGCTTTTGTGTGGAACATGTCGAGTTTCTTTGGTTACAGCAAGAAAGAAAACAACGAAACTCCGCCGAATACTGCAGGCACGACAAAGAGTACCTTCTCCACCAAAAGCTCTAAGGTAATAAAGGGATCGGCATCGCCGCATTCAGAAGATACTCTCAGCCAGACAACAACGAAAATTCACACAAAGCCAGCGCCGGGAACAGATATCGGACCAATTCACGAGTATGATGAGAAGCAGAACGAAATGATGAAGCAAGTGAAAGAGGTACCGCAACTCATAACGTCTCATGAGTTAGACACTCACTTCTTTCCATAACAGTACGCATTGTCAATATCTCTAGCCCCTTCGGATCCTTATGCCAAATGGGAACGAAGATGGTTGAACAAGCCGGACACTATTCCTCGGTATTCAAGAGCCTCAAAATGGCATTTAAATGACGCAAAGAAAAGAATCAAAAACACAATGGAATGGCGAAGAGAATTCAAACCAGAATTAATAACTCCGGACGAGGTGAAGATTGAAGATGAATCCGGAAAGATGTACGTATTGAAATTGTCCGCTTTTGCGTCGTACTACGCGCTGAACCACTTTTCATAAATTAAATTACCAGTGTCATCAATGGCTTTGACAATAACGGACGGCCTATCATCTACATGCGTCCTGGAAGGCAGAACACGGAAACGAGTCCGAGACAGCTAAAACATTTAGTGTGGTGTCTGTTAGTGCAATTATTCCTTGATTGCTATCGAATTTAACATACTATCTATCTTTTCAACTAGAGAGCGAGCCAAGGACCTCATGCCTCCCGGGCAAGAATCTCTTGTGATCATTGTTGACTATAAGACCACAACCCTTCGAACAAATCCTCCGATCTCGGTTGCTAGCAAAGTTTGTGTTACCCAGTTTGACCTGAATTTCCGATTTACTTATCCTCAATAGGTTCTTACAATCCTACAGCACCATTATGTTGAGACTCTTGGTCGAGCAATCGTTACCAATCTTCCGCTGCTTTTGAATTTTTTCTACAAGGGTATATCTCCTTTCCTAGACCCCGTAACCAGAGATAAAGTAAGGAACTATTCTGCTCCGTTTTATATCGAACTATTCATCCATCTCACCCTCATAGATGCGATTCAATCCAAACTTGCTCGAATTAATACCAGCATCCCAACTGGAAGCAGAATTCGGCGGCGAATACGAGTACGAGTTTGAGCATGAACATTATTGGCAACAAATAATCGAGTGAGTTGGCATTCCGAATGGATACCTAGTTGTGACCTTTTTTACCCAACTGATCTATCCATTGTTGAATAATGTAGAACCTGTGGTATCGCTCCGGACGGCACCCGTGTAAACGAGGTAGTACCTGAGATCGATGGTGAAGAACTTGAGGATGAGCTTACTTCGGAGCCAAGGAAAGAGACCGGGGAGGAGGAGGAGGAGGAGAAAGAATCAACTTCTTCAACACCGGCCACTGCTGTAGAATCACTGACAACTACGGCTCCAACTGCAGAAGATGTAGCAAAGAGAGTTGAGGAGATATCACTCCGGATGCCAAACGATGCTCAGACGGTTACTGCATGAATGGGGTGCTGGTTGAGGGCCGAGGTTACATTACGGCCGTTCTACATACAGTCTTAATCACTGTTGCTCTGTTATCTGATGTTTTGTAAATTCATCCTGTAGATCTATCAATAGTATCCGCTATCTGTGCGCATTCTTTGCTTGCGATCCAGTTTTTGTCGTAAAGTGTGCTATTGATAGAGAAAGAGAGCAAGTACATTACATCGTTTCCTTTCCATACTTTTTTCATTTTTATTTTTTTTGATTTTTTCTATTGCCTTTATGTATGGATCCCCCACTATTCTCATTGTGAAGGTTTGGGGAGAAATTGTCGGCCGATATGATGATTCCTTGACAAACGTCGGACGTAGATTCGTATTTTTGCAAGTACTAGGTAAGTAACGAAAGTCCACGGCGAAAAGTGGTCCTCAATAGAGTCCACAATTTCAAAAAAGTCACGAAGTAAGGAAAGTAGTAGAAAGAACGACAAAGAAAAAGCCTTTATGCAGGTATCTAGCTCGTATAATTATCATTGTTTCTATTGGCTTCGACCAACGAAAAGGGTGAACCACGGACTTGGACGTTTTTTTCATCCTGATTGATGAACCGGGAGGGCCAGAAGAAACAGTAGAGAGACATAGCAATCCACAAAGGCAGGGTATCAAGCAAGAAAAAGTACCCTTCATGCGTTGCCAAGTAGCCATTGTATCTGGAGATTAAACGAGTGAGCTCGGGATTGGCTGGTACTGCTGTCAGTGCTTACCCGCCAGCAAATTCAGCAATACGAAAGGCGCATCGGGTCTGGAAAAGTATTACTTATTTGCTTGTATAAGGAACGTTGAGCATACCAAAATCCCTGTGCATGTGAGACACATGGTGTAGTACAGAATTTTCCAGTTGGTAGTCGTGGACGTCTTGAAGGGACCAGCAACTGACAGCACTGAAGATTGTACATCCCAAGCGTCGGGATATTTTGTGCGTCTTATGAGGGGGGCAGAATCAGTGCGTCATTCTAAGACCCCAAAGGAAAACATTGGAACGTACACTCTGAACCCGAACGAGATCAATAGACAAGTAAAGAGGGCGAAAGAGACGAGTTGTAGGACTAGTCCCACCATTGCAACCTATTGGTACTAGGGTTCCAAACAAAGTACAGATGATAAATTTGGAATCAGCTTACTGTCGTTCCGGCCGAGGACAGACTTTCAGATGCTGACATTCCTCCACCAGAGGCCTGGACCCAAAAGGTGATAACGTCGCTCCACACGAATATTTTGGTGATACGACGAGAAGGTATTAACAAACAGTCGTCGGCAATGTCGCGTCCTAGACTGTTGGCCAATCGAGATAGAAGTATATAATCTGTGGCAAGGAAGGCGCAAGGCTATTTGTGATTTAATGCGACTGCAACGTAAAGACGAATGCACGATCGTACCGAAAGCAGGACGAGCTATTCAAGAAGAGGTTGTGAGCAGCGCGTTAGAGAAGAGATTAAATGACATTATGTACCAGGTCTTCCACGATGTAGAGTGTCAGAGAATACGGTGAATGGGAGACACCAATTCGTAGAGCCAACCCAATTGTCATTACTTTCGGTTCAAAGTCAACTAGAGTAGTACAAAGTCGGCGAAAAGAACTGACATGTCATTCCAATCGTCAAAGTCAACATGTAGCGCTGGCCAACCCGAAAGAAATCTATGTTGAATGAAGGCAAAACACTAAGCTCAATTTTGACTTGGGAAATCGAAGCACTCACGGATCCAATGCAGGAGGCCAGAAATTCCATACAAGGCTGCTCCAATAACTGCAGGCCATACTTTCATTATGAAACCGGCACTGTTTCGAGTTTGTCGGCCATGTATTCTCAAAAACTCAAAGTTCATGGACTTACATTGGTCGGGTCGAGTCCCGTGTCTCGATGTCGCTGATACTCCGCTACACACATGGAAAATATTGAGTTTCCTGAAAGAGCAGCGATAGATGAACTTACAGAGTTCAGATTTGAGCCCTCAGAGCTCGCGACGACAAGTGCGGCACCGTAAAACATCGCCAATACAAGGGAAACCTGCTTGCAGAACATCTCTCTGATGTCAAGTGACGATTGAGGGAATTGGTGTTTAGTAGTAAAAGGCATCCCAGTTTTCAATAAAATATAATGGCAGAAAAAGAGCGAGGTCTTTGGAGAAACGTATGGACGCAGCGATCTGCAAGTTAGCGAGGTGGTTTGAACATCGCGTACGCATTCCTACTATCCGTGGTGGAATAAGGTAAATAAGGGGCTGTACACCTCTGTACTACACGCGCAAGATCAAAATCCTGTGCAACGTTCCTCTGGGTTCTTCAGACGTAGCTGCGGATTTCCAACGATGAGCGTAAACTTGATCGTTCTCCTAATTGATTCGACAGCTTTTTACACCGGGCACAGGAGACACAACAGTTCCAGTATTGGGATATTACCCAAAAAGCAGAAAAGCTGTTAACGTAGAGACTGTACCTGACCATTCAGTGGCAGCCTTTAGTCTTGACCCACCCACACTGAAGATGCTGCTCCATCGACTCCACAATGGGAAATACGTCTAATTCCTTGATACCATGGTCAGTACCGGTCAGTAATGGGTATAGTCTGAGACGCATCCTGAGACGGGATCCTAAGACCTACCTAAGATGATGGCGAACGAAACGTCGAACGATCAATATGGCTTCCAAGACGAAATTATGTCAGGATTTTGATCTTGAGCACTGCCTCCTTGAATTTCTATCCTCATTCCAGAACCTACAATGCGGAGGCAACATTCAAACCAAATCTCGATCAAATCACCTCGCTATTCGGATGATGCTGCGTTCAATGTTAATCCAAGAACCTCGCTCCTTTTCGCTCATTAGATAGATAGATAGATATATACGCATTATATTTCGACCGACTGAGATTTTCTTTGCCTAAAATCCAATTCTCCCCCTTCATCATTTTTTCATAATGTCGATGTTCAACCGCATCTCCCTTCTATCAGCTATGTTGTATGGCGTCGCCCTTGTAGTTGCGAGCTCTGAGAGCCCCAATCTAAATTCCGTAGGCTCATTCACCGTGAGTATGCCCTTTCAACCCACTTAATAATTTTGCCTGTCAGCGGAGTATTCACGACATTGAGACACGGGACACAACCACAGAGCGACCAGTGTATGTCCATGGAGTTGACTCCTTCGACGAAAATACTAATATTATGGTTGACGAAAAACAGTGCTGGTTTTGTAATGAAAGTGTGGCCCGCCGTTATTGGGGCAGCCATGTACGGAGTTTCCGGCCTCTTGCATTGGATCCGTGAGTGCTTTGAATGTTCAGGTCGAAATCGAGCCTATATGCCTTACCACTACGTATACATAGATTTTTTCCGCGTCGGCCAACGCTACATGTTGACCTTGACGATTGGAATGACATGTCAGTTTCTTTTCCCACTCAGCTAAGCTCTAGTTCGACTGACTTTCCATTTGAAAGGTATGACAATCGGGTTGGTTTTACGAATTGCCGTTTCCCATTCACCGTATTCTTTGGCACTTTACATCTTGGAAGACATGGTACAGAATATTATTTATTCTGCTTTGACGCACTGCTGACAACTTGAATTTTTTGAACAGCTTGTTCTGCTTTCGGTACTATCGTACACTCATCTTCACGTTTCACTCAAATTAATGCACACTTATACAGCCATGTGCCTTTCTCGCCACGGATTATATACTTCTATCCCGATTAGCCAATAGTTTGGGACGCGACATTGCGGACGACTGCTTGTTGATTCCATCTCGTCGTATCACTAAGATCTTTGTCTGGAGCGATGTTATCACTTTTTGGGTCCAAGCATTCGGTGGAGGAATGTCGGCTTCGGCAAAGATGGCAACAATTGGAACGACAGTAAGTACATTTCAAATTTATCATCTCCACTATTTCCAACTAAAGTCCCATTAGGTTTCAATGGTAGGGCTGGTCCTACAACTCGTCTCCTTCGGTCTCTTTACTATTCTCTTGGTCACATTTGGATTCAGAGTGTACGTTCCGATTTTCCGTCAAATATTCGAATGGTATATTGATTCTGCTCTGTTTGAAAGGCTCACCAAGTATCCAAAGGCTTGGGATGTACAATCTTCAGTGCTATCAGTTGCCGGCCCCTTTAAGACGTCTACAACTACCAACTGGAAAATTTTGTACTTCACTATGTGTTTCACATGCACAGGCATTTTGGTATGTTTAACGTTTCTTCTCCAACGAAATAATTAAGCTTCTCCTAGACCCGATCGGCCTTTCGCATTGCTGAATTCGCTGGAGGGTGAGCGCTAACAGCATAACACCAGTCAATCCGCGCGCTGACTCATTCAATTTACAGATACAACGGCTACTTGGCAACGCATGAAGGGTACTTTTTCTTGCTTGATGCTCTCCCTTTGTGGATTGTTATGACGACGTACTGCTTTTTCTGGCCCACTCGGTTCATTAACCAGGATGACGCAAATGCCGCAAGTCGGTATGCACCTGCTTCAGTACCGCTAGTTGAAAGCAATAAGTACGGTAGTCAGTCTACAGGTTCTTTATGATGAGCGCACTGGACTTCACTATTATTCGGACTTGTAGTAAACGCATTCATTCGTTAGAAGTGCAGTTATAATACAATTTTCTTATCTTAATACCATAGATATAGATGGTCAGGAAACAGGAAGTATGACCCAAACATCCAAACACCCAAAACCCAATCTTCACCAAGTAAAATTTACATGCGGCAAATAGGACTATTTATTGTAAGTCAGCAGGAAGAGCGTCGTACGCAGGACACAACGCATCCCAAGCTTTTGTTGGGTTAACTTCCTTGCGCGTCTCTTCAAGACCCGACGCCATTACAGTCGCAAGCCCGGCTTGGAAATGCCAGAAAATGTGGCAGTGGAAGAACCAGGGACCTATTTTTGATAACAAGTTTAATACAATTTCGGTGCACGAAGAAGAAATCGATTAACCCGGATTAGCAGTTGAGAATCGCATGATGGTGCCCGTAGACCCGACACCAGCAACCTTCAAAAGATAAGTATCGTATTAGCGACTACTTACACTTACAGGAGGAAAGATCTACTCACATCACGTTTAATGGGATTTTGGGTGTTAATCTCTTCAGAACTGTTGGACTTGATAAGCCAGAAGTTGTTCTGTGCAAAAGGCAGTAAATTAGTATGAGGAAGGCCGAGAATCTCTGAGACGTACACCGTGCAAGTGGAAGGCTAACAAAGAATACAGGTCAATGAGATCACATTAAGACTCAGGGCTCTAGAGAACTCACGATGCGCCTCGTCGTCAATGCTAGGCGGGAAAATGACCTGTACAATCTTGTTGGCAGGGAGAACGAAGGTGTTTTCAGTGACGTTGAAGTCGTCAGCACTGTTGGCGCCTTCAAGGATCTTGACGAGGGTAGGGACTTCCGGTGCGAGGTAGCTGACATTGTTGACGTTCCATTGAGCTTTCCCAGCAGTCTGATTGTGATTGTCAATATAACCTTTATCAGGTGATACAATGATGATTGTGTACTGACAACCACGAGATTGAGGGTGATATTTATGTCGGCCTCAGGAGCAGGAGAAGCGACCAAAGGCTTTGTGTTGAACCTTAGTATTAGACAGATATTGCTTTGATGAATCGCAAGCTTACACGAAGATTGGCTTCCACAAGTGCATTCAACGCGGCACCAGCAGGGCCAAGTGACATCGGGGCAGAAGGATCTTCCGCAGGCGCACCTTTGTATCGTAAGATAGCACGGGAGAGAGTGGCGTTTTCTGCAGCAGCGGAATTCTAATGCTGAATCTAGGATATAAGGAAGTCACGCACGGTTCAAGTTCCTGGTCGGATCACCGCCAACGTAAGGAGCGTTGATCCAGTAGTTGGCTACGGGCTGGTTAGCTTCAACGACAATGGAGTGGCGTTGACCAGCAAGCATATCGATAGAATTCACGGTCATGGGTTGAGTGGGGGTACCATCAGTTTCAATGATCTGCAGGTTTTGAGTAAGCAATTGGTGCGGTTAAAAAGATAGTATACATACAGTCATGTTGTGACTGTCGATTGAAATTGTGAATACATTCCTCGCAGATGTGTTGATGATTCGGAATCGGTATCGAGTGCCTTGAACGACGTTGACGACGTGGAATGGGACATCGGGTCCGCCGTTGTATCTTCCAACACCGTTGAATGTTCCGCTGTCGGAGACTGGGACAATACCAGTCGCAACGTAGCCAGCGAGCAGAGGGAGGGTGGTGTTGTGCCACCAGTCACCAACTTGCCAAATCTAATGGGCAAATTAGGGATCCAAATGGACGAGGCCAAATAAGAATACCGACGGTATTTTCGTCATCAACATCGTATAGATGCTTAAGAGGATCCTCGGGGTCTGCAAAGAAATATTGAGATTTTATCCAACAAAACAAGGGCCGTCGATACGCGCCATATACAATAAGTGCTCCGCGTAGACCCTAAGTTAAACGCAAAGATCAATCCCAGTTACAAATTTACAGAATTTCAGCGCATACATCAACATATTGTACGCTTAGTTGACTGTCAAGTCGTCAAATCAGTCGCAAGGATATCGAACGCTTGAAGGACTATCAGTTTCACCTGTGGTACCAGAATGTTCCAGCTTGGCCGTCTACCAGAGGGATAGTATATGTATAGCTTGCATCAGGTGCGACAGGGCAAGTTGTCACAAAGGAGCTTCCTTCATCGAACGAGTTTGGGGTATTGACGAATATTCCATCAAAGTCCTGTTCCCAGAAAATCAGCACCATAAAGAGATTATAAGACAACTAGTAATAACCAGAGAAGTACTGCGACGCATCGTATCGTCATCCTGCAAAAGCACGAAAAGATTAGTGTCATTGTATTATATTAGAGTCGGGCTTGCACGTACGAGCTTGTTGTTGATTGTGACAACGAGAGTATCACCCTTGGTTGCAGTGATCAAAGGACCGGGATACGTTCCATTTGCGGTGACCATGCCTTGAGAGCGGATGAGCATCACCAAAAAAGAGCATTTGAAAATATTGAAATTTACTTCGGCTGAAGCCATCAGGTGCGCCCTGGGCATTCACAATGTCGAGTGTAATGGGTAGGGTCTTTGAGAATACCGGAAGAGCTAGGAGAGCAGCAGAGACAGTAGAAACGAGGAGCTTCATCTTGGATTGGAGTAGCAGGCTAGACGTGCTGAGCTTTAGAGTGTCAACCTATTCAGCTTTTATACTCGTGCTTTTGGGTTGGAACACTAGGTAAAGGATGCACCAATAGCAGTGAGCTTGAATAGAGGCAAGACGAGATAGCTCAAGAAGCCCGTCGCGTGAGGCATTTCGTGAGCTGGATAAGTTATCCATACTGCGTTTCATAGCGGCCAATAAGCAAAAGACTCGGATTGGGCACAACGCCTGTCATGCACAGAATGCTACCCCTGGATGATTGTTAGGCCAAGACTTTCACCAGTATGTTGATGAGCCAGAGGTGAGATATCGACAGTGGTTTGAAGGAGAACAGCGACCAAGTCCCGGGCGGAATGAATTGAAAGAACCGACAGAAATCTAACTTCATTGTGACCAAAATGGGCATGAAAGTGGCTTCGGAAAGTTGGTAAAGCTTGGCAGAAATTTGGCATTGGAAAGAGTCGCACAGGCAAGGCACATAGGATCAGCTCGTGCAAGTACAGGATTGCATGAGAATAAAAGGATGAACTATATGAGAAACTGGGTCCACGTGCCAGCTCTCGAGATAGAATCTTACCCACAAAATGGAGGAAGAACTACCAGTCAAAGAGTTGCGCTTAGACATGACTGTGGAATAGTTCATCATGAATAGAGGAAAAATCGTCTACTACTGCAGGTCTGGCAGAAGAAGAATGACAATCAATCAAAGATTTCTTCCGAGTTTTCCTCCAGAGACAAAGGAATGCGGGGTAGCTAAGTTTACACTGTACAGGTTGTAACCTGGTCGTAGCAGAAACACCGCTGCTTCACCACCGTGGTACTCCAGGCACACAATGTGCTAAAAATATACAACGCCAAGCACGACGTGGATTGCTCACACATCTAGGTCACATGGTCCTCCAGAATTATTGAATTTGCCAGTTGTTCGACAGCAGTGAAGCTCAAGTTTTACCATGACTCGCATTTTCCGAATTCTGATTATAGGCCTATTATTTCCAGGACTACCAACAAATCTGCATGGGATGAGAATTATTCAGGTGGAGAGTGAATTTAGAAGAGATGCTGTGTCCTGGTGTGTCACGAAAACTCCCCGCACACTCGTCAGATACTTAAACTTTCATTGACTATAGCTTATTTAACATTAACCACGAACCTACTCCTCCATATAAACACTCCCTTCAATTTCTAATGACTGTGACTATGAAAGCCCAAAACTCGGAGTCAGGTTGAATTCGTCATGCCTATTGGTATGTCCGCCGAATCAGAAATTATGTGGTCACGAACAGCATAGATCCTCTTTTTACACTTTCTGTATTCCCTGTTTGATTAACCTATGAGCAAACAAGTTCAAGAAATCGAGAGTGCATGCAAATTCATGCACGCGGTTCGCATTACATCCAAATTTCCAGTCAAATTTCAATTTCGACATTTTATTTGCTACGTGGTTGACACTATCAGAATTCGGAATTCGGGATTCGGAACACCGTTACCTGGTGTGCTAACAGTCGGGACACCAGGTCGGGAGTTGGTATCGTTGATTGAAGTATCGGAGCCTGCCGCGGCTGCAATCTGGAGGGCACTCACATGCTTCCAATTCTTCTTTTCCTTCCCGCCCTCATCTGACGGCACAACGACTGTTATCTATCTCCTGCTCCCTCCGATCGTTATCGATTCGAGGTCAGTATATATGATTTTCGAGCTTGTCTTACATCTAACGTCCTCAATAGATTTACTTGGTGTCTTTCGTCATGTCGAGTACCGTCTCAGTACCTGCAACAGCTACCACAGCACAGGAGAGGCCTCATGTTGTCCCAACTGGATTTCAACATCCGTTGGATCCTTTGACTGCTGATGAAGTAACTTTTTTTCCAGAATCTGAATGCTACCGCTACTTACATCTATACCTATACCAGATTGCAGCTATCACTTTTACCGTTCGCCACTATATCACATCCAACTCAGAACTCGACTCGATCAAAGCTGTCAAGTTCATAACCACGTACCTGCTTCCTCCCCCGAAGAAAGCCGTCTTAGCTTATCTTGGTATCCCTCTGGTTCCCGAAACAGCACCTGAACCCCCTGCGCAGATCGTTAGGAGGGCTGAGGTCGATGTGAGTATCACTATGCCCTTGTAACCATTGACTGACCTCGACTGCTTCAGTTCCTTGATGTTGTCAACGGTTTTTCCTACAATGTCATATTGTCCCTTCACTCGGAAGGAAAATGGGTTGTGGACACATTCGATAAACTTCCAGATGGTGTCCAGCCTCAAATTTCAGTCGAAGAACTTATCCGATGTGAAAAGATTGTCAAGGCAGATCAGAATGTACAGGATCTCGCTAAGGCTGTTGGTATGTATTGACTATGGCTTTGTTCAAAATTCCGCTTCATGCTTACTCCGTGCTTACCAGGTGTACTTCCCGAACAAATCTACTGCGACGGTTGGTCGATCGGATATGACGACCGTTTTCCTCAGGCGCGGAGAATTCAGCAAGCGCTGCTCTTTGCTCGGTTTTCAGAACATGACAATCTCTACGCACACCCTATGGTATCTCTTCCTCTTATCTCCCCTCTATAATCGTTGAGAACCCGTCACAGGACTTTGTCGTAGTAATAGATGCCAACACCGAAGAGGTTCTCCAGATCGACTTCCCACCACACTATAAATCCACTGCCAATGGACCCGTACTCTCAGTGCCCAAGACGGAAATCCCACCTCTCTCGAGTGCCGAGGAGTCTTTTAAGATTTCGAATCGTGAACGCATCCCTCCTCCTAAGAAGGCGTTCGATTTCCTTCCCGATCTCATGGCAAAGACAGAGGAAGTGCTTGGTCCGGCTGGTATTGAAGCTAAAGAAAAGAAGCAGTTCAAGCCGAGAGAGGATATCAAGCCGTTGCACATCCTACAACCCGAGGGTGTGAGCTTTAGCATGAACGGAAATGAGCTTGAATGGCAGAACTGGAAAATGCACATCGGCGAGCATATTGTGTCCTAGAACAAAAACCTTGATTGCTGATGTTGATCTGTGTAGCTTTCAGTCACCGAGAGGGTATAGTCCTCTCGACAATCACGTACAACGACCACGGTGAAATTCGACCCATTATCTACCGTCTTTCCCTCGCTGAGATGGTTGTTCCTTATGGTGCACCGGAGTATCCTCATCCCCGTAAATTCGCTTTTGATTCGTGAGCGTTCGGAAGCGTTTATTTCGTTCGATCATGTTCTGAATAAGGTTCCTTAGTGGCGAATATGGTATGGGGACTATGGCTAACGAATTGTCGCTTGGGTGTGATTGCGTTGGTCAGATACACTATCTCGTATGCCCATGCTACATCGTAATGCACTGCACGCTGAACATCAATTATCGTTTAGCCTGGTGCTTATGTTTCGCATTCTGGAGCTGCAATCGTGATAAAGAACGTGATTTGCATCCATGAAGAGGACAACGGAGTTCTCTGGAAACACACCGACTATCGTCCTGGAGGAAGAACTCAGACCACTAGGCGAAGGAGGTTGGTGGTCAGCATGGTCTGTACGTTAGCTAACTACGGTGAGTAGTGATCGTTAATATTATTTGATGACTGATGGTTTCGATTCAGAGTACATTTGGAACTATCTCTTTTATCAGGATGGTTCGATCGAGATTGAGGCTCGCCTTACGGGGATCCTGCAAGTCTATGCCCAACAACAAGGCGAACCAAATTCATTCGGTACGACTGTCGCACCTGGCGTCAACGCGCATTATCATCAGCACATGTTCTCTTTCCGAATTGATCCCATGGTGGATGGCATCAAAAACAGTGTCGTGGAACAAGATGTCATTCCTATCGGAGGTGAAAAATCGGCTACTGGAGAGGACTTTAACTTTGCCGGAAATGCGTTCACTACGACGGAGACCGTTCTAGAGAAAGAAGGTGGAAGAGAGTATGATTTCGCCAAGGAGAGACGGTGGAGAATAACAAATTCAGCTAGAAAGCACTATGCTAGTGGGAAGGATGTTGGGTACTCGATTTCGATGAAGGGTGGTATTACACCTATCATGGCGAGGTCAGACAGTTGGGCTCTTCGTCGTGCTGGATTCACCCAGTATCCTATCTGGGTTGTCAAGGACGTTGAAGGTCCGAAGGGAGGCCGTATGTGGCCAGCCGGGAAGTACGTTCCACAAACAAGGGCCCAACCGGAAGATTCGGTCGGTTCGTGGGTCGCTGGAAAGCTTCCTGTAAAGGACGAAGATCTGTTGGTGTTTTTGACTGTAGGCACCACTCATATTCCACGACCGGAAGATTGGCCTGTGTATGTTCCATATTGGTTTCCTGTTCTACATATGATTGATATTGAGATTTCATTCATTTAGGATGCCTGTCGAGCATTTGAACATTGCTATCAAACCTCAGTCGTTCTTTGACAAAAATCCTAGCATGGATGTACCAGGTACTAAAGATGGCAAGAGTGTGTCCGCCTTTTCAGGACAGAGTTCAGCAGATGCCTGCGGATCTTGTCACTAGGAGTTCTATGCATATTGCCGAACACGTGTAGCAAATTAGGGTAACTGAGAATATGATATTAGGAAACAATGTGCTGCAATGTGTTGCCACTGACATGCTCTATGAACTGGTTAACTCTTTGACAGGTCAAATCGGCAGTTGAGAAATGACGCTTTGACCCGCGAGAGAAATCATCAAGGAGAGTCTATAACGTAAAACGGCGAAGATAATTTCTCTGACACTTCCAGTTCAATCAATTCCGTTTATTGCGGCTATATCCTTGCTATATAGTATACAATCTTGATTTTTCACAAATCCCTCATGGCGTCTCTCCCTAAAGCCGCAGCTGTTCCAGTGCCATCTTCTGTTGTTAAAAATTGCTGTCCCCTCGAAAACGAACCAATACTTGAGCCAGAAGCGGATCACACGGATTCTGTTGCTCAGAAGAAGAAGAAGAAGAAGCCAAAGAAATCCGCAGCAGCCAAAGCGAAAGATACAGCCGCCAAAAAGGCCGCTGAGTCTGGAGAAGCAGAGGGGCGTCCATCAGTGCTGTGCATCAGTAGGAATAAACACTGGAAGTATATCAGCTCGTATCATGTGCGTCTGCTTAATTTCTTGCTCAAAGTTTTATCTACTTACACGGATTAACCAGGGACCATGGCTTCAATTGCCTGTGGAATTGCTCGAGTCCCTATTTGCATTAAATCTGGATCCAGCAACTCTTACAGTTCCGGAACCAATTCCTCAACCATTCAGTAGTTCCAGGATTCCAATCACCGGTACCACAAATCTAAAGCTGCGTGACCGAGGCTTCGAAAGCCTCAGATCCGAGCTTGACTCTCCCGGAGGAGGCCGATTCATTGACCATGAACACTATATGTTAACTACCACAACGCAGCTTCCACCACCATCTCCTTTACCGTTGCTTAAACCAGGTACCGCTCCTCCCCCTCCTATAGACCCTGGAGTGTTAAAAAATGTAGCTTCAATCCGTCGTTTGATTGACGAAGCCGCGGAACTATCTGTACGTGCCTCGTCCGGACTTTCTGCAGCAGAGTTATCTTCCCCCGGTGTATTTGGTGGTATGAGCGGTTATGCATTGAATGGAAGTACGTGGGCCGCTGCCCAAACACTTGGAATCAACCCTTTGGGTGGAAATGGTGGCAGAAACGTCGCGATGAGTGCGATGAGAATTCACAGACTAAGAGCACTTGCAGTTCAGAAGTTGGCACAGGCGTACAAGGCAGACGAGATTGCGTCTAGTGTGATGGTGATGCAGGGCGGTAGTGTTTTTGACGACGTCGCGGAGAAAGTATTGAAAGTTGGTACGTGATGTGCGGTAGTTCATGTGTCTTTCGCCACATACTAAATCCCATTTTCAGATCCAAATGACGCTGATGCAAAATATGTTCACTTTTTCCATGAAAAGATACCTTCCCGGTTGGTACTGTTCCTCAGGCTAGTACGCCTCTCTGACATCACTGTATCAGGCAATTAGCCGAATCTACAACAACACAAATTCTAGACGAATTAATTGCGGCAAATCCCCAGCGGCTCGAATTCTTCCGCACCAGAGGCGTCGTTCACTGTTTCCGAGATGAATATACTCAGGCAATCAAAGACTTTACACATGCATTGAAGGAGGCGCGAGCAGTCCGTAGAGCTAAAATGCTGAGGCACGATCACAAAGACTTCGACAACCCAGGTGGGAAGGGCAACATGCGGGAGAAAGGTGGTCGGGGTGCAGGTGCAAGTGGTAAGAAGAAGAAAGGTAGGAATACTGGCGGTGGAAGAAGGCGAACAAATGGGCAAGCTCCTCCCAATGGAACTAGTGCAGCCGCTGAAGATGGAGATGAGGAGGCCAGTGGCGAAGGGGATAGTGCGATGGGTGATGTTGGCGACCTCCCACCGCCGCTTCACCCTTCTGCACTCCCTGACGCTCCTGACCCCATTGAACCTCAACTCCTATTTCTGCGCGGCTCAGCATATCTACAAAAAGCCGTTCACTTAATCGAACTCACTGTTTTGGACGTCGAGGGCCTCGACGAAAACGCAAGACCCAAAGAAGTGACTTTCAAATCCAAACATTATTTCAAAAATAACCCACCTAACCACTACGCCTTCGATACCTCCGAGTTGCGTCTGTGCTATTTACAGGATAGCTTATATGGTGGCGTCGAGATCGGAAACCCGGGAGGTCCTTTAGGATCATCTGACGGACCGAAATTGAAAGCCTATCGAAAGGCCTTAGCAGCGGATGGGTTTCGCGAACAAATCACGTCGTACATTAAGAAAGGTATACGGGATCATGAACGCTTTCTAAGCCATTTCGATACGCTGGAGGCTGATCCCAGTCATGAGAAAGGGAAAGGTGGTACGGGGCGGGAGGATTTGAAGGAACAGACGCAGTATGCTTTCACGTTATCAGAGTCTACTAGACCAGGTAACTACTCCACTTCTTCTGGCTCTTCTTCTCCTTACACGGGCTATTCCACCCACATCCCTCCTCCTGTTACGATGTTTACGACCTATCATCCACTCGTTGTGGAGTCTCACTACACGATTCTGCTTGCGCTCCTTATGCTAGGAGACTTTTCTCGAATTCTTCCTACTTTCATCAGAACTGCTTCTCTGGTGGATGGACTCGAAGGATATCCTGTATTTTTACCGCCCCGGTCCATGGCTCAAGCAGAGTTCGTGGAAGTCCTAGAACGACTGGCAGGCGGCTGGAAGAAGGGCCACTTTGAAGATGAGTATGCTCTGGTACTTCGTGGAAGGAACGCAACGACCCCTCCTTCATCGCTTCCCGTCAGTCGGGCTGCATCAATATATAGTCCGGCTTCAACCTCAGGCTCCTCGAGTCCTACTACCACGACCACAGACCTTTATGACGATGTACTTGGTACTGAGTCCTCAGCCACTGACGTCGGTGAAGGCGGGTCTTCTACCTCTGAACCCGGCTGTAGCGCAAGTGCTTCAACTGCTACTGCAAGTTCGGCCTCAGTGGACACTTTTGCTTCGTCGACAATCTCCTCAAACGTTTCTCCAAGACCTGATGCCGCTGATGCTCTTGACAGTCTGCGTATCCTTCTTGCTCCGGTGATTGCTAGGCAACGGGAGCGTGCAGAAGCGGCGGCGGCGGAGAAGAAGAAGGAGAAGACCAAAGGAAAGCGGAAAGGAGGTCAAGACTCTCCAATGCCACTCAATATTCCCCTGCATGGTCCACGAGTGGAGGTTGTTCTGGCGTGGTTGGCAGCTGTCCATCTTCCTGAGTTGGATGTCTAGAAGTGTGTGCGATGTTGATAGATATGCTGGTCATCTACTGTATGTATTGTCTTGTCTAAGGATTCCAAACCGATCCAGTATTTACATACGGTATTAATTACAATCAATTGACTTTTTTGCTCGGTCCAGAACTGATACATATTATTATGTCAGGACCTGGACGTATGAGCCAAGCTCCGATATCGTATGAACAGATATGTAAATGCCTCATGACGGCTGGAGCTCTTCCCTTTCTTTCTTTCCTTCACTATCACCTCATATACTCTGAATTCTAATGGCCGTCGAATTCGTTCCTCTACCTTTGCCAGCTTCAGCAGACGCATCAAAATTCATAGACTTTGGAAGAGAAGTTAGGGGCGTAGATCCTGGCTCGTTAAGCCCAGAGTTGTTTGAACAAATCAAGGATGCTTTATACAAGGTATTCACGCACTGACATATGGATTACCATATTCTTGACTGTGTACTATACAGCACGACGCGCTGTTGTTTCGCGATGTGAAGCTCACGCCAGAGCAACAGTATGCTCTCACTAAGGTGCGTCGTGATGAGATAATTAATCACACTGGCTCGATAAGAACTTTGTTTAACATCTATCGATAGGCTTTCGATCCTCAGTCGGAAAACTATGGCCATGGAAACAACAAGACCGAAGGCACGAAGAAATCCATTCTGCATCCTGATTTGAAGACCATTCCTCGTGTTCCACAAGTCCAACTTATCGGAAATGGGACCGTTTACAATCACGAAGGTCTCGCCGAAGCCATGTTGAAACACCCTTCGCACAGTACTTTCCATAAGACCCGAGTCACTCCCGAAGACGAAGCCAAGGGCATTACTCGGTTCTACAGATGGCACATCGACGCTGCTTTATACGATTTATCGCCGCCCAAAGTCACTACTCTCTATGGCATCAATGTCCCTAAAGGCAACCACCAGACATGTCGATACGACGATGGAACTGGTGACGAACTCGACGTGCCTTTGGGGACTACAGCATTTGTTAGCGGGAAAACCATGTTCGATATCCTACCTAAAGACCTGAAGAGTCTCGCTGTACGAAGCCGAGTACGATATGCGCCACACCCGTATGTGTGGATGGCTCCTGCACATGCCATGTCCACTGGACTGGGCATCGAGAGTGAGGGTTTGGAGCTGCCATTGGATGAACTTCCTCCATGGGAGGAGGAGCGTCGGAAGGTGCTTCCCGTTGTGTGGAAGAACCCTGTAACGGGCAATTTGCACTTCCAAGTTCATCCTTGTGGTGCTGCGGAGCTTATCGTCGACCCTCTGCCTGCGGGAGCGAGTCGGGACGGCGCCTTGTATCCCGATGGAGCTCATATCACTGATCTGAAGGAGGTTCGGGATTTGTTATACAAGATGCAGCGACCAGCTATCGCTCCAAAAGTAAGCATTTATACACCTATTGGCTGCTTGTCTCTCAAGTATTCTATTAGCTTGTGTATCCACACGATTGGCGCGAGAACGATCTTGTCCTTTTTCATAACCGTGGAGTTCTCCACTCTGTTGTAGGTGCGTTCACAAAGGAGCAGGTCCGTGCTTTCCATCAGTGTAACCTCGCTGCTTCGGATGACCCTTCTGGTCCCACGAAGGAGGACGTCGAAGCTTATGCGTAGAGGGGGAAGTAGATCCACAATGTTGTACAATAAAAGGTCACGGATAATGTATATTGTCGTTTCTTCCACGATGATTGATTTATGGAGAGTGATTCTACAAACATGATGATGAAATACAATTCTACATTCTCGAGGGGATACAGATTGTTTTCATCAATTACTCCACTACATGCAGTCGTTCTATGCGGCGGGGGCTAAGCTAGCAGCTTTCTCGACAAGTTTCTAAATGAAGAGCGATTAATACATGACGCTCAAAGCTTTCAATTAAGAGACGGGTATCTACCGTGAGATTAGCTGGAAGTGCGCCTTTAGTTTCTTCGATCTTCTCACCATTGCGGAAGACCATGAAGGTGGGCATCTAGAAAGGATAGACAAACAGTGAATAGTCAGGTCGAGCTTGATCACAGACGAATGCAAAAATAAACACGTACAGCAGTAATGCCGACTTCCTGTGCAATAGCCTCCTGTGCATCGGTGTCGACTTTGAAGAACTTGACACCAGCAAAGTCGGGCTTCGTAGAAAGTTTCTCGAATACGGGTGATATCTGTTTACAAGGCCCACACCATGTTGCCCAAAAGTCGATGATTACAGGCGTATCGCCGTTGATCTTCAATGGGCAATGCCAGACATTGTGAGTTCAGTTCATGACAATTAGATGGAGGCAGGTTATATATTTACAATTTCCATAAACTCTTGCTGTGATTCAATGACTTTGACCATCTTGATAGTGTAGAACGCAAAGTGGTTGCGGCTGGATTCGGAACTGAAATCGATGACGATTCGGATATCTCAAGCTTTGACATATCACGTGGAAATTTGAAGCCCTAACCTTAGCTGCTGTCAGAAATTTGCTCTTGCGCCGTGGGGGTTGGACTTGTTCGCCGCGCCATTGTCACCATGCATTTGATGTACGTCCTCGATGAGTCGGGCAATAGAATATACACGCTCAAAGTGCGCGCTCATATGTCTTTCTCCTAATTCAATTACTAATGCGAACTCTTCCTCTAGAAAATAACAGACTCAGGCAAAATCACTAAATCTGCTCATCCTGGTAAGTATTCGCGTATCCCACATCTCCGGGATCCTTTCTGGTAGCATTTCTAAAGCCCAACTTCAACAAGCTCGCTTTTCTCCTGACGACAAATTCTCAAGACATCGTGTCACTTTGAAAAAACGCTATGGGGTGTTATTGACCCAGTTACCTGCGAAACCGATGTGATTTGAATACTCAACTGGATTGCCGGAGGACGTTTCCAAAGTCGACCCCACAGGAGCTTTTTGTTTGCTGTTGGATCAGACATGAGATATGGGGTAACTAGATGAGGTGGACCTAGTTCAGTGTCGGTTTTTTTTTCAAAAACGTGCGGACCATGATGGAATTGTTGAGGCTAGTTGCGCTTCGACAATCTTCTGAGTGTCCAGGACTGGCTCTGTGGTGTCCTTATGCGTATTCGTTGCCGAGAGCTGGTCCCGCCGACACGTTCCTTGTCTTCCTGGTGAATCCGTACAATGTTGGGAGTGTATGCTGCTGTTTTATCTATCCCTTTGTTTCTTATGGTCCCCTACGCGTCCTTCACAACTCAGACTCAAAGCTTCAAGAGTGATACCGTTCAACAATTCGCACACGAAAATCTTGGGCTCTGCCACTAAATAATGCCTGTCCTTGCCTGTCGTTAAAAATTCGCGTATGAGGATTCACTCATTAATATAACTCATAATCATCAAGCACTACATGCACGTGATGTATAATGATAATAGCGGATGACTAATAGTAACTGGGTAATCGTTTCGAAGTTCTCTCATGTAAAATGCCTTCTCGATCTCGGTCGCGTTCTCGAGAGCGCTCAGAGGAAGATATACAACTACCGAACAACGCAAAACCGATAAGTAAGGCTGATTACTTCCAGAAGAGCGATGAATTCAGGGTTTGGCTGAAGGATGAGAAAGGAAAGGTGCGGTTAGGGCTTTTTCCATACAAGGATGGCGTCCTCATCGAAAGAAAGCACAGTATTTCGATGAACTCTCCGGTGAGAAGGCGAGAAGGTGAGCATTCTCATTGAATCTGAATATAGCTGTGAAATTTGAATGTTCATTTTACAAACTAGCTACTTCCAAAAGTTCGTCAAGGTACCGAACTTTGTACATATGGTACTCCCAAGCTATTAACGCGTGACAATTATACTTCTCTGCACAGTACTGGAATAGAGGCAAGCTTCCCAGTGAGTGGCAAATATCTCTTATTGTATTCCTGTCGGTACGAAAGATATATCTTCCATCAGAATCACTTTACGCTGGCATAGATAGTTCCACAATTCCTTCACGAGCTCAAACTGGATACAAATGGTCATTTGCCTCCAAAGTGTCGCGTACTGACGATGAGGCCCTGAAAAGAGCACGCGCCTCTGTCAGCGCGGCAACTTTGAATCGTGATTTTGATGAATCCCTAGAAGGACCATCCAAAAGTAGTCGCGTTCAAGGACCTACCCTACCTTCGTCTTCAGATATGCAGCTCGCGCGGGAATACGCTGCAGAGTCCAAAGAAGATGACCGCCGGCTGAAGCGAAAACGTGATCGTAAGGAAGATAAGGACCGGATTGAGGATATGGTTGGGCCGAAAGAGGGTGGCCGTGAGGGAATGTTGGAGAAAAAGAGGGTCAAGAGGGAAAGTGACCGAGCGTTCAGAGACAGAGGGGATGAAGGACTTGAAGTGGATGAATCCACGCTCATGGGCGGTGGAGATAGCTTCAAACAGCAGTGAGTCTCGATTCCCAGAGAATTCAGTCCTCGAGCCTCGAATCTCCACTTAACGTCATCTTAGAATTGCTCGAAGGGACGCCGCTCGTCAGCGATACCAACAAAAGAATGAAGAGAAAGTGACTACGATTAGGGAACGGGCGTCCGCGTTTAAGGAGAAGGAAGATGCTACTATGGCCATGTTTCAGAAGCTCGCAAGGGAACGATTTGGCTGACTGCCAAAACGGCTCTTCTCGATATTTCTCACTGCGAAGGCAGGCAAACGTTCCTTCGATACCGTGTTCAGCTGTCATTTATTCTCCATCCAATCTCAAGGTACTTATCACACTCTATGTAGAATGTATATCCAAACCTGACAGTAATAATGCAATGAATAGGAAATATTTTCTCTGGCACTTAAATGACGAAATAAAATATGTACACAGAAGTGGGGTGGCTGACTTTGCTTCTTCCTGCTAAGCTATTCACATCCAGCTCGAATCGTCGGGGTCCAAAACTTCAGCCTGGGGGAGTCTGGTCAGTTGGCTATGTATAGTATGCAACATTCTCAACACACCTCGGGGAAACGGGCTCTTCGCTGACTATTATTAGCGCTGTTGGTTGGCTGGGAATTTTTCCTGAACGAGAAACCGAGCTTTGAGCTGAGCTTGTATCGAGGGGCATCCCAGGTTCTATCTTCCGGATCCAGCATTTGGCTCCGGTCAACCATTATTCTGGGCCCTTTGTCCTTTCGGGTCCGTAATGCCTGAGAGGGTCGACTATTAGTTGCACTACGACCACCTTCCAATGGTGCCCTGCTTGACAGATAATCATTCCCCCCCTGATCGGTGAAATAATCGTTCAAATCTTCCGAAAATCTTTTCAAAAAAGTTGAACCTTAACTTACCCATAGAGTGATTGTGTCGTCTTCATCGTCTTGACTCATATCAAAATCGACCTGGAACAAAATCAATCCTTGGTACCTTAACGAGAAGCCAACACGAACATACCAGAGTATTGCACTCCGACTGAAGGTTTGTAGGCGATATACGTGCAATTAATGCAACTTCAGCCTCGGCACTGTATGTTGATTGCTTCTACGAGTCACCCAAGTGAGTTGACATGATCTTCCAATGACGAGCAGGAAACACTTACTTTACTGCCCAAAGCTCGCGCCATTACGTTCCTCAGTTTTCTTCCAGACGGCTCCGAAGCCTCGATGTGGTTATAACTATTCTGAGAGTTCAATGATGAGTTTTTCGAAACGGCGGTCTACAACCTCGATTTGCGCATACCTGCATGTTGGGTGGAGATGTGTAGAGGTAGTGCAGGAATATTTGAAGGGTGAAGATCTGTAAATGTAGAATAGTATCTGACCATTCTTTATCCTGAGCTATAAGTAGGTTTTCCGAGTTCTCCGCCGTCAAACCTTGCCAGCAGATGCATGATCAATAAATAACGTATTGTTCGTAGTACCTTCCCTTAGTCACTAGTTCCAGACTTGTCGCATGATGTTAGATGTTTCTATAAGAGGATGTATACGCGTTGTTCCTTGAGAATGATCACGATCGATACAAGTAGCAGAGCTATCTCACCAATTTTAGGTTTTTGCCCTACATACGAGGAGCATTTGACGACCCGAAAACTTGCCGCTGGTGATGCGGGACCGTCGAGGCACCGAAAATATGCCGCTATGACGCTCCTGATGACAGGAATACGGTTGACCAGAAAAACGAAGATAATCATGATCATAATTACAGAGAGAGCGAGCTCAATTAGGAAGGCATAGTAGCTTGAACCGCTTCATCTCCACCCGGTGCAATTACGTGTCAATCTAACCTCAGAGTTGCGTCGCTGGAAATAGCTGCTAGGGGCCTTATTTCTGTACAGATAAGACTCGAAAGCAAATACAGCATGTACGTTGATGCTACACGAGGAACGATGTCAAATCCCTTCCACCCCGAATCAGTCAGCCCTTGTCATTCGGACCTGTAAACTACATCGTAACGGTTTATGACAAAGATAGAAATTGGCCTAAGAATACGGAACACATCTGGAGCACATAAACCGCAAATAACGGTTTATTCATATGCGTCACAGTCAAAAAATACGTCCTCGCTCGACTCGACATCTGAATCCGAGCTTGATTTAGATTGCGATCCCTGGATCTCTAGCGACGCAGGACGAAGAATGTTACCCAAGGTGGTCAGTAGCATCCTTGAGGTCGAAGAATGTTCCCCTGCAGGAAGCTCCTGTTCATGGTACCTTTTCAATTACCAGCTGTGGTCAGCAAAAAATTCAGATTTAATCACCTTCAACCATTTGAATACTTCATTTACTGACTCTAGATCGTTGTCCAATCGGCCGTTGCGTATGTACTCTTCCAGAGATACCATAAGATCATGGCGCGGACACGCTCGAGCGAGATGCTTGCACCAGTATCTCTCGGCATATAGAAAGTTATCGTTGTCGTTTATAAGGGTTTCCATGCAGCGCACTGCAAGTGTGGCATGACAGTTGGTCAAATCGACAAATACTGTATGAATACTTTGTGTACCAGGGGATGCAAAACCATTGGAGTAGTTGGCACTTGAATGCGGAGATGATTCTGATTCAGCTGAAATCCTTAGCGGACAAATGTGTCTCAAGTCAGCAAGTTGTGATTCATCGCAGCCGATGATCTGGCAGAAGACTTTCTCGCTATTGTAGAGGTCGAACCCCAGGTCAACGTCAGGAATTATAGCGTTGAATGCCAACAAGTTCCCCAAGGTAGCGAGTTGCATGTTCCAATCATGACAGGTTCCCACAACAGAGACATAGAATCCGAGAGAAAACTTATGAAAACGTTGAACAAGATCTTTTGGAGGATTTTGTTTATTCTATCTCATGATGAGATCGTAGAAAGATATGAGGGAAACATTGAGAGCTTGTGCTCACCTCAGCCCAACGTTTAACACGATTCACTTCGCCAATGAAAGTTCCCACTTGCGTAATCGATTTCCAAGCTGAATGGTAGAGATGTGGCCCGAGAAAAACTAAACGATTAGCATAAGCATAGATGTCTGTTGCCCGTAGCTCATGCATCAACTCTGGAGTCGTTATAGCAGAGGTACAATGATATGCCCAGTTGCAGTGATATACCAATTCTTGACCAAGAGCATATGTGAAAGGTTTAAGCCTGACCAGCGGGCGCAACCCCCAGGCTTGCATCCTTCCAGCAAAGGATGGTGAGAGACTTTTCTCCCGCATGAGTTTCAAACAACGGCGCGCCAGGTAGTTGTGATGGGCTGAACGATCAATGAAAAATCTATCAGCGCGGTTCGGATCGAGTGAAAAGTCGGAAAATGATTTATGTGCGAATTCAATTGGGAGGAGATGAGGCGCTACATGGGTCAAGTCAGGAGTGGTCTTTAGTAGCGAATGCATTCCTGAAAGAGTGGCGGAGACTGCGCCTGGTTGCAAGGCGAGTAATTCCTCGAGCATCTTTGTTGTGGGCGTCATGATGTCATGAAAGACTACGATGCTTCCAATAATTCGTACAAGCTGTTCGGAATTTGGATTGGCGGACAGTATACCCTGGTATAATTTATCCAATTCGCCAAATGGCCGATCGGAAGATGCATATTCTGGCTCATCAAAAAGCGGTACTCCCACTATATTATGTACATCTTCAGGGTCTGTCAAACCCAAAACAATACGCAGACGTTCAGAGGGAAGGGAGTAATCGTCATCCACAAACTGAAGCACTGTGGAGGCAAAGATGAATTGGCCTGATGCTTTGTAGACTAGTTCATCTAACTGTTTCGAAGTGGGCCAAGGTTGATGAACTTGATACATAGTAGTCGAACGACGAGAATATATCTGCGCGAACCCATCCGAGAGATATTTTCGAATATCTTCGTCAGAATCTTCAAGCGCAACCCGGGTACAGATGTGTGCAAGTGTTTCAAAAACGTTTTTGATCCGGGGTTCTGGTCGACTAGTCACCAAAAAGATAAGAGGTATCCCGCCAGATACCAGTCCCCTAGCAATAGAAAGGAGAACGCGTTCTTGGCTGCGACCATCTATGCATTCATCCAGACCATCTAGGATGACCAGAAGTGGAGAACTCTCTTCGGAATTATTTAGGCCTTGAAAGGGCTGCAAGATCAGTTCACGGAACTGTTCTTCGAGAGGAGCATCTAGAATCATGATGTTGGATTCAACCACAGCGTTTATCGCTGTGCGTAGCCTCGGAATGGCATTGGTTAATTGGAAAACGAGACTAGGAATTAAGCGCCGAATGCTATTACGCGCAGGGTCGTCTCGCCAGAAGAAAAAGGTAGCTGCCAATTTCCCTTCATGCGCAAATCGTTCTGCTACTGTTTGAGCGACGGACGACTTTCCGACTCCAGCGCCGCCGTATAGCCAGCATATCTGTGACTCCTGTTTGGGATTAGCGATCCATTGTGACAGTCTGCTGAGGACCGCTTCACGAGTGCCTCCATGACACCTAGCAGGTGGATATTGGGTTTCTGAATTATACATAGCAGACGTGGATGCCGACTTGTACAGTCGATAAAGGCCTAACAAAAGATGTCATAAAGCTAATGAACGGCTATTAATCCTCAAATAATTTGTGCACCTTTGAATTGATCGGCATGGCTGATATTGTATATCAGATCGCGGCCAACGCTGTTGAAGACGCTGTTCATTATCATGAAATCTTTGGCATTTTCGAACATCGGAGTCGCGATGGACATTTCTTTCTGAGGCTTCGGGTTAGGAGGGTCCATAGCGCGCAGCGGCTATGTACAGACAACAAGATCCTTGACCTGACTGACACAACGAGGCAATTGGGATGATATACACGTGAGTTACCTCGGAATGCACCGAATTCTATGTAGAGCTTGACAAAGTCTTTTGTGGGGCAGATATGAACAGTTTCGCAATCGGTCTTCACTTGAACCTCATACATTGAACTCGAGTAATCAGATCAGCACAAGAGAAATTCACAACTAAACTCGACGTTAACAGGTATCAGGATTAAGGGTTGAGAAACCATACCTATGTAATCCACACTATCCCATAACTACCCGTCATCCAAATCCTCTTCATCATCCATTCCATCGTTATCCTCATCATCTTCATCATCCTCGTTGTTCATGCTGTCGTCCATGTCTTCCATACTAGCGTCTAAATCATTCTCTCCATCTCCATCGTCCTCGAGAACGGAAGGAGGACCACCAGACGCTGAGGCTGCTGAGACGGAGTCTTCCGATTCATCTTCATCGGCCTGCAACACGGAATTGAAAATGTCTGACGATATAATCAGAGGGTGATGAAACGTACATCGTTCTTCTCCTCTAAGACTGTGAGCGTCTTCCCAATCGGCACTAGAAATGAGAATCCTCGTTGGTGTATTGCAAGGCTCTATAAAGAGATCATATTAATTGAGTCAGTTTAGAGCGCACAGCAGAAATATAGTTCGGAGCCCAACAACAGCGCAAATTCAAACGAAAAACTCACCAATTCATCCAACTCATTCTCCTCCTCACTCAGATCGTCCATCTCGCGTTGCAAGTTGCGTTTAGCATTCAAATGACCATGTATTCCCACCGAACTTCTTCCCGAGCTACTGGTTAAGTCTCCCCCAGCATTTGATTGTCCTCCCGAAGTCCATAACGACGCCGAATTCGCGGGGAAAGAGTGGCTTTTTGGCAATGGATATGTTTGAGGCGGATGCGGAGGGGTGGGTAAGAGACGAGGGAAGAGCTGGGGTCTTGGGATTAGGGTTGGTGTTGACACCGACATCGCATGATAAAGTGTAAGATAAGTATGTACGACGAGCCAGAGGGGAAATACGCGTTGTTTGTCACCACCATCGAATCCAAATACCAAGATCACGTGGAGACTGCAATTCCGGCAATTCCGGCTCTGTAAAACCACACACCAGTTCTTATTTGTCAAAAAACTCGAAATGGCTCGTCGCGCAGCTACCTCACCCTCAACCGCTCCTGCACCCACATTCTTGTCGAAATCCCAACCAGGTCGACGAGGTCAACTCACAGACCCGAATGAGTCGGCGTTTTCACGGTTCCTCAGGGAAGAAGTCTTTGCGCCGGAAAAACTCCCGGGAAACATTAGTATGGTGACGGGGCTAGGATTATTCGTTGGTGGCATTCTGGCTGTTAGGAGCTGGGGAGATTTGTTGATCCCTGCGTAGAGAGGAGAGTGGAAAAGACTGAAGATGGTGATTGGTAAATGTTGCTGTGTTGTCGCTCATGAACGTGGCTTGTTAAATTTTTTGGTTTTGCAGAATGCTTTTTGTGTTCCACCCGCTCATATAGATAACAACTGCGGGACTCGCTCGAATAGGGCTGCACAGAACGCTTATGACTTCGTACATACTCGTGGTTATTATATTCTTAATGTGTATCATCTGCGCCGCAAATACTTCTTGGCTTGACTCGGAATCGTCAAAATACTTCCTCTTACTGTACTCTGTCGTACCAAGGAATTACAATTTTGCTTTAATCACCCCGTGCTCCGCCTCTGTATCCCACATACTCCAAATCCAACCCTTATCCGGACCCAGTCCTCGAGAACTGCTTGCCATCGCCTCGTAGGCCTTCTGAACCTGTTCTCCGCCATAAACGTACTCCAACTTCACCCAAGAGGGACAATCCTGCATCAGAGCACCCCAAGCTTCCTTTTGAGCGTCAAACATCTGGGTCGGAGTAAGTTGTAACCGACGAATTGCTAGCCATTCGGGTAAGAAGAACTGTTCTGTGCGTGGCCAGAAGCCCAAAGAAGGGGACGAAGAGATGGGTTTAGTACCCCCACCGTTTTCTGAAGTATTTTCCAGATTCGCGGTCCATTCGATAGTGTCTGCCTTTGCCTCTCCGGGAGCTAAATTAGTCATACCCAGGGACACGGCGGCTACCAGCTTCGAAACAGAATACGGACTTGCGAAATGTGTGTAGATCTTGGAGTTGAGCGTTTGGTTCCCTGCAACGTCAATATATATCCATCTAGGTTGAGGTTTGGATTTATCTTTGGTGTGGAACGGTTTTGCGGAAAGAAAAGAGTCGTAATCGTACACCTCATGATATAATCCGAGTTTCTCCGTGAAGTGCAGATTGCCTTTCGATGTTAGGCCGATGATTCTGACGTTGGAGGTAGACTCCTTCAGAAGTCCCCTCTCGATCCTCTTCCGAACGGAGTACGCAAAGCAGAATGCCGTCTTGCTACTGGCGCTCGAAATCAGGATATATTCGCAGCCACCTCGGTACCCGCTACTCGCTAACCAGTCTTCGCACCAATACGAAGTCCAAAACAGTGGTCGGTAGAGCATCGTGAGATCTTCCGTCTCTCGAGAGTATAAAAGATCAGTGGAACATCGTTGGATCTGGTTGTAGACCCTGCGATCTGTGACCATAACCCATTTATTGAGTCCTTCCCACATGCAAGAAACGAGAAAATAACACGGACCAGCAGGCAGGTGAGGTCTCGGGACATACATCGAGTACTTGTTCACGTCCCTTTCGTCGATAGGTAGCACTAGATATTTCGCAGGGGCAAAATACCCATACAGCCGCTCGCCTATGGCTACTTGAGAATGCGCCGAGGCAACAACAGTACCAAATCCCCATACTGGAACGACCCCGTGCGATTGAGGTGATACTGAGGCTGACGAGGACACTGGTGCAAGGTGAAAATCGTAATATCTAATGCAAATGACGCGTCAAAAGACGTCTGGAAGAAGTTGTTAAACGTGTGCGTATGCTCACCTGAAGTGTGGATGCTCGCCTAAAGCTTGATACGTGACATTATTCGCGCTCCAGCCGAATTTATCTATCTTGAGCAGTATAGAGCCTTTTTGAAGCTCTTTGGATGTTGGAATGACACTGCTGACGATCAAGGATTTCGATGAACTTGAAGATGGTGCAGAGGACGACAAATGTCGAGGAAAACACAGGGTTGTATTCGTTGTTGTCGTTGATGTTGTGTTCATCGTGATAGAGAAAGATGTAGCTGTAGCTGATATTCAAGTTGCTTTTATAATTGACCGGGAGAGGATCCTCCGACGTAGATCGGTAATGGAGAAAAGCCATGACCGGCACTTTAGCTCAATGCCTTGAAAGAATCAAAAGCGTTGGAGCATGCCACATATAGTTTCTAATAGAAATCTTACCCTATTAGACATCGAGGAGTAATATAATATTGCAAAGGCGCCAACTTGTCGTTGTCCAGGGAGTAAAAGCAAGTTTATCTGCCCTTGCCAATGTCGTCGTCGACGCCCGACGCCGGGAGCCAGGTGTTTATTTTTGTCGTGCCAACCTGATGCCAACAGTGGCAGTGTTTCCGGATCAGTAAAAAGGCACAACACCGCGTTCGCCGTTGAAACATTGAACAGAGCGTCGGCCTCTCGGCCCTCTCCATACTTGAAAATAATATCCCTCATGATTATCCCTGAGCCAATCTTGCCCAAAACTTCATGTTCAAGTTCGCCTCCTCATCGAGCTTGAGCTCCAAATCGAGCTCTTTCTCCGAATTTTCGATACCCAAACCCGAACCAATACAAGTGCTGGACACTGATATTATCACCCTGATATGCGAAGAACTACAATTCGAAACGTACATGGCACTTGACCAGCAATTACGCACAAGGGACCACCTTGCTGCTCGTCAAGGTCTCTTATCCTTTGGGTTAGCGTCAAAGGCATTCCTGGAGCCGGCTCTGAATGTCTTGTGGCGTACACTGAGCTCAGTTGAACCATTGCTTTCGGTACTCCCCGAAACCAGTATCATAGGAGGAAAAAAGGTGAGCTCTTAAATGCGGTTCTTACTTACACGACTTACTGATATATAGAATGAGTAGATGCTTGTTAAGCAAATCGCACCTAAATCCTGGGATAGATTACGATTTTATACGTCCAGAGTGCACATATTCGACCAGAGAATACTGTTAGAAGAGGAAGAATCGAGTATACACACTTCGGTGTATGCGCGTCTTGGACAAATGCAACCAATCTTCCCCGCGCTGAAAGAGTTCCATCCTGCTGCTTCGATATCTACTTCAAATTCCTTGATGTTCTTTCTATCGAGAACAATATCCACAGCTTCCTTGCCGGCTTTCCTCCCTCACGCGCAGACAATAGGAGACGGAGATGAAGGGTTAGATTTCGGTCCTTCACTATCCATACTGGCATGGAAGTCCCCCGGTATCCAAACCCTATATCTCGAATCCGATGCACCATATTCAGGTTTCGCTGCGTCCATATCTTGCTTCCACGACCTAAGAAACCTCAGGATCGTTCAGATGTCTCGTTACGACTCGGATTTCCTCAACGGTATCGCATCTTTACAAAACCTCTCCTACCTCAACCTTACTCTACCGGAAAACGTCTCCTTCGACGTTTCTGGTATCACAAGCGGATTTTCCTCTGTAAAAACCTTGCGCATTGCAGGTCCCCCCGGTGAAATACACAAGATCTTGAAATTGATGTCTACTACAACTTTGGACGAGTTGCGGTTGACTTGTAATCTGCATTCCGTATGGGAGGAGAATAGGACTGGAATGCCTGACCTGACCCGATGCCTTGACCGATTCTCCTCCCTCACCGTCTTAGAGATGTCATCTATCAGTGAGATAGATTTGAACCTATTCGACGCACAATTCCTTTGGTTACTATTCTCCCCGATCCTTCGCTTACCTCAACTTCAAAAACTTGGCTACGAGTTACCCTTATTCTTGACCGACCAACGAGCTGCAGAAATGGCAGCCGCCTGGCCGCGCATCGAGACACTCTCGCTCACTTCCGAGACATGGGGCGAGGGAATACCGCCTATCGAGTCCTTGAGGCACTTTGCGGAGCATTGCCCGCGGTTGAAGAGTCTCGAGTTTCCCGTTCGGGTGAACTTTGTTGTTGTTGATCTCAAACCACCTCCGCCTCCGCCGCCAACGCTTTCCATGCATGCGCTGAGGAATTTCAGATGCATCTTGTATGATGAGGTGAAGAGCCCTGCTGTTGTTGCGTTGCACCTGTATCAGATCTTTCCTGGACTCAAATGGGCAGATGGGCCAGGGGCTGGCTGGTCGGAAGTACAGTCGACGTTGAATGCTTTTCACTTTTTGAACAAGCAGAATCGACAGATTTCTGAATGATGTCAGTGGGCACTGTGTGTTATTACGTTGAGGTATCATAGTAGTATCTATCGCGTCGGATGTTATATGTTTTCATATCTGTAACAGACTGTAACTGAGGACCGTGTATGTAGAGTAAGGTAGACATAATAGTATTTATTCTGAGGGCAGTGTATGCCTTCTCAATTCCCCTCGATGAATTGAGGATTCTTGATCCGATACACAGCAGAAAAGACAACAGGAAGAACGTGCTTCAGAGAGATGAAGATGGACCAGATGTCGGTGGTGCGGGGTGTAGTGACTACTGTTGGAGATCAGGGTTCCGTGGCGTAAACAACTCCACCGTTTGCTTCGTCATGGTAGTATGACTTTCAGGCGTATCCAGATCGACTTGACGCTCCATGTACATCTCTACACCGTTCTATCGGGTTATTATCAATATAACTACAACACCCAACAAAGAAAGATTCACGTACCTCGTCTCCGATATGATCAATATAAATTGAACTCCTGCGAGTAGAACCGCCGAAGTTGGGTAGCATCGAGATTGAACGTTGCTCAGTCTCACCGTGGACCTTGTATGCATCGCTCGTTGCTCTAGGCATCATCAAAACTGGGCGATGTCCCGCAGCGTATCGATGCCGATACCAATTGCGAAGGTTGAGACTGAAATCGTGATGAGTACAGAAATTATGCCGTAGCCGACAACGTACGTAGCGAGCACGGAATTGGAGTAAACTGCGATTAAGGCGAATCAATGGAATGGAAGTCAAGCTGGTGAGCTGTGTGAGAAGACATACATTTGGAATTAATAACAAAGAGGCCCAGGAAAACGAAGTTATTAGGCATCGCCAGACACTACCAATGCCAGCTTGTCATGAGTACAACTGGAGTTCAGTGCAGATTGCGAGCACAGTTAAACGTACACAGACAACTGCAGCAATTGCAACAGCACTAGAGATGGTTCAATACTGGTAGTACAGCGAATCTCAATTTGGGAAAACTCACCAGGTCATTACTCCATCGTTGATGGTGAATACCACAATGCCATCGACAATTTCTTGGGTACTGTTTAAAGGACCGAAGGACCCGTGGAGGATATGTAGGCATCGATACTAAAGTATATCGATAAAACCACGCACGGTAAGTATCCTTGACGTTTGATATCCCGTAAGTAGTAGTCACTGAGGGCGCAGCAAAATTTCCCACCCGTGAAAAAAGGGGGGGAAATTTTTCGTAAAAAAAGCTGTTTATTGATTCGAAATATTACCCATTATTTGTCCGTAAAGCTATGAATATCCCAACTGATATTTGTCAGTTAATTTTGACCGAAAAAGGATTCCTTTTGCCTTTGATAATAGTATATATTTGCTTTGGCCATAAATAACCTTTGTCGCTCGATATAGATAATCTTTCACACTAGAGATAGATAATCTTTCGCGCCTAGATTAAAATGTCCTTTCACTACCGTCTTTTCTTTCTTTTTACGGTCGCGAAAGTGAATGCCCGGTTTTTTGTACATAAGCGCTCAAATGTACTCTATTTGAAAGTGAGATGTCCCTACTTATGCATCTGCAACTACAGTATCTACAAGTTGATACTTGGTCCAGTGCATTGATGGTCAATGTGACCCAGTCAATTTACATTATTTCGGGCCACTCTGGATTGGTGTGCTTACAAATCAAACCTCAGCGCTTCCGGAAAACCGGGCATTCACTTTCGCGACCGTAAAAAGAAAGAAAAGACGGTAGTGAAAGGACATTTTAATCTAGGCACGAAAGATTATCTATCTCTAGTGTGAAAGATTATCTATATCGAGCGACAAAGGTTATTTATGGCCAAAGCAAATATATACTATTATCAAAGGCAAAAGGAATCCTTTTTCGGTCAAAATTAACTGACAAATATCAGTTGGGATATTCATAGCTTTACGGACAAATAATGGGTAATATTTCGAATCAATAAACAGCTTTTTTTACGAAAAATTTCCCCCCTTTTTTCACGGGTGGGAAATTTTGCTGCGCCCTCAGTGAGTAGCGAGCCACAGCGATGATAATATCCGTGACTGCCGACACAAATAGATTGGTTACAAATATAATCTTTGGGCTAGATTGTTCACTTCATTGACATGGTGGATCATTTTTGAACCAACTTACTTGAAACTTTTTTGCAATATCGAAAAACGTCTTTGTGTTCATTCTGGAAGGAGCGAACACTAAGTGAGTACCATGCATGACTCTTCTAAAAAGTGTAAGACGTACAGTACAGCAGCATTAGCTGTGTTGAAATAGAAACATGTCAGAGATAGGTGATAGGTCTCAAGATTCAGATCATTCGCAAAAATCTTACTGAACGCAAGCCCTGAGAACAGTTGTCAGTAACATCAGCGGTTACTTGAGCACAAATCACATACCCACTTGAGCAACAGAAAGGAAAGCCTATGAAATGGTCAAGACCTGATGAGATACTTCGGAAAGTTAGACGTAACGTACAATGGGCCCAGTCAACCACCAGTTTTGTTTGCTCACTAGAACACTAATGGTAAGAAAATGTTACTCATTCGACACTGGGCTCTACTTTTATGTATTCTCCATCCATAGAAACTAGGACGGGAAGATGTTACTAGGTCGAAAGGATGTTTGAAAGAGATAAACAGTACGTACCCGTTGACACTCAGAGCAGCAGTGGCGGTCATTGCAACTGTTACCTGAAGACATTCAAATCAGAAATTAGATTACCGGGAGTTAAAATAGCTATACATACTGCAACTGTCCTGTAAGCAGTCAGTTGGGCCTCGTGAACATTCCAGGATACAATGTTCAAAGCTTACGGGAGAACTTCCACCATGATTTCTAATTTCTCAAAGCTGAAAATGAGGTACTGCCACATTGTAGCACATAATAGAACAGTGTGTACGGCGTCAGTAGCCCTCGAGAGTATGGGTCAGTTTATCTACTCTAGTACAATGTGACCGCATATTGTACACACCATATCCACCCAACCTGAACAATTGACTGATTGGCTGAAATCCTGAAAAAGTAGAGAGGCCACGAACCAGAATCTTGTATGATAGGGTATCGGAAGGAAAAATGCGATAATATAAAAAGACCTGGAAGCCTAGGACCGCTGAAAGTCTGTCAAAACAAGTGTTGATGAATTTTTGACTTGAGAATAAGAAGTAGAAGGTTCAACCCTACTGCCACCAGACATCCAGCAAAAGAAGCTCCAACCGTTGAAACTACGTCAATGGGCATTGTGAGTTTGAAAATGAGGTGGGTGCTGGGAGATTCGGAAAAATGATGGTCAAGGATAATTTTATGAGGCAGCGCGTGTCTAAGCGATGTCGGATATTTTGGTTCAGAAATGCCTTGCGACTGTCTATCTGAATCGCGACCTATACCTGTTCCGAAGGCTGTTGGTGATTCAGACCTCAAACCCAGGGGTCAAGGATAAATATCTGATCTTGATGATACAAGATCGAGAGAGCTGCCAGTGGCGTTTCTAATATACTCATAACCCTCAGCAGCTCTAAGCCAGTTTGTTAGAGCTTATTAGCCGTAAGATTGGCCAATCGAAACAAAGACACGTACACATATCCATTCGACAGATAGATAGAGTCGATATTGCGCCGCGACGTGGCCACCGATGAAGCATCTTTGCCATTCATTTCCAGTCTGTTGAGCCATCGAGAATTAGGTAGGTAGCACGGTTTAGACTTAGATCGTATATCAGCTCAGATGAGAGAGTCAGCGTCTGATTCGACCCTGGGACAATATCAAGGCGCCTATGATCAGCTATGATCGCTCTTTCAGTTTGCTCTCAGGTATGATTTGGGATTACAATGATTCCAGATTAATAAGCTAACGTTCAGTTGTATCAACAGTGGGAATCAATGAGATTGTCGTACTTGAATAGCTAATCGTGAATATCGAATACTGGTCAATCATTCGAGTTTTTCTCCTGGTCTCAACACGAACAGATCTAGCTTGGAACAGGCAGCTTTGTTCGTCTCCCGTTGCCTCTTTGCGACATCCCGTAGACTCTCCCATTTCTCATTCCAACGCGTCTTCGGTATCAGTACAACAGTACGGAGGTTCCGCGCACGCAGTGGCCATACGTGAGTCGTCATTTGGCTTTTTAATGACAAGTCTTGAGACAGGCTGTCACCATAAATTTCAAAGACACAGCCAACATCCCATGTAGATTCATTGGCATTGAGAGCTGCCAGGGCTTGTGCGGGCGTAGACGCAAGGATGGTCAGTTTCGTGAGGGAAGGAAAGTATTTCGGGTAGGGGGTGTATTGTGTTTCTTCGAAATTCTCGGATGCTAACACTTGTGAGGGCGAAATATTATCGATAACAGTCATTTCTAAGTCTTGTATCCTATGGACCTGAAGTGTCTGGCTACCAAAATCGAGACTAAGAGGAACCTCAGTTTTTAAAGGTGAGTCCGAACTACAACTGATTGTCAATTCCTTCATGTGAGGACATGAAAGATATGCTAGCGTCGACGAAACAGTCTCGTCACTGATTGGACACGCAGATCCAAACAAGGAAGTAAAAAAAATCATTTCCAGGCGGGGGAAGAACAGCAGACCCTTGAGCGAAAGATACGTCAGAGGGTTTCTGACGTGTTCAATGGCTTGGAATCCAATTTCTAGCTCATATAGATCATTGTCGACCGTTTTTAGGATAGTCGCGACAACATTTAGCAGTAGCAGCTCTACCCTTGTCTTATCCAAACCCCTTTGTGAGAGTGAACCCTCAGGCAAAAGCAAAGCTGGATCCTTTGGCAAGTCATCTGCAATGAGTGTCAAGTAGCATGTGTGACTATGAGCACATGCACCGACCCTCTGCTTGGACAGGATATGATCAAAGGCGTAGATTTGCCGCCATCCGTATAGGACGACGGTTCGATGTCGGGCGGGAGCAGAGGTGAAATTGAAGTACTTGGAAACTAAAGAAAGGGCGTTTCCAGTAAAAAAGGCGATATAATGAGAGGCAGTGGTACATCCTGTTGCCGAGGATGGACTACATGCCAACATGAAGATGTGTGCGTGAAGTTCGGGAGGGAGAACGAAGAACGCATGATTGTTTGCAAGAGCCATAGGTATCATTTTGAGGAAAAAACTACTATATATACCGTACATACCATAAAGATGGTCAGTACCAGTCATCCACCCCGATTCGATGAGAACAGATGACCCAGTCTCTGTCTGCTGGTTCCAACTGCCTCACAACTGCCTCAGTAGTATGTCCAAGTATGCATCATGATCATCTAGTCGAAGTAGGTCCCAATCACCTTCATCCTTCACTAATTGTACATAATTGAAACCCGCAGTTCGAATCACCTTGACCTCTTCCGATGAGAATTTGCCAGACTCATACATCTACATGAAGGAAACACATTCAGTCTGAACCCAGAATCAATTGAAATTTGACCTGGTGGTCTGTTCATAGATGAAGCTACATCATAATGTGTACTAAGACTGAAACTAATCATTTGAAGAAGTCATAATTTGATGCACTTGTGATGATGGGCTCTCAAAGAAAGCAGAAGATTGGATAAAAGATCCGTACTTTAAGTCAGAGCCTGAGTCCCGTGGTGGATGGGATCTCTCCTGATTTATGTGAGTGGGTTTCGAGGGCATCCAGATCCTCGGGAATGAGTTCTCCGACGTTGTACTCTACTTGATGCTCCACATATACTTCGACTCGCTATTGAAATCAATTGATGTTTCAGAGAAGGGTAGCTCAAGCTGAAGAGACGCACCCCATCATCGATGCTCCTAGCGTGTGCATGCTTGTTAGGGGAGCCACCGGAACTTGCCAACATCGTATTTGCACGCTCATGAGCATGGACTCTACTCCCATCGCTAGTTGTTGCACGTATCATCGAGAGCCCGAGTGGGCGATTCCAGGTATATTGATGACGATACCAGTTACGGAGATTGAGGCTATTGCGAAAGATTGTCAGATCAGAATGCATACCCATATATGTATCTGTAAACCCACGTTGCGAGCACAGAGTTTGAGTAGACTGCAAACATTGGTCCAACATTAGTCCAATGTCCGAACTGCAAAGCATTGAAAGGACTCACACTTAGATATGGTAAAATATATGCCCAAGTAAACGAAATTATGCGGCATTCCTAGCCACTAAGCAAGAAAAAAATGGAAAAAATTTGAGGGGCCGCGGATACTAGATGGGTACGAGTTATAGGCATACACATGCAATTGACGCGATCACGACAGCACTGAACAGAAATTTGAAGTTAGTGCTTAAATAGCAAGAACTATGAAAGCGACCCCACCAAGTCAGAAATCCATCATTGATTGTGAACACCACAACGGCGTCCACGACTTCTTGAGTCCTGCCACAAACTTAGCGGGTTTTCACTGGAAGTGAATTGGACAAATAACGCACGGCAGGTAACCTTGCTTGAGATTACGAAGATAGTAGTAGCGGGCCACAGAGACAACAACATCTGTCACGGCAGACACAAATAATCCAGATGTGAACAAGATCTGGTTCGAATCAATGCATAAGCTTCAATTTTTTGATATCTATGCTGTGGAGAGTTTCCTACTAACTCTGAATTTTGTGGCAAACTCAGGAAATGTCTTCGTGATCATCCTATCGAGAAATAAACAAATTTGGAAATAATGGTGGAAGGCCAAGCTTACATTTCAGCAGTAGTGGCTATTTTTCAAGTTCAGAAAACCAAACCTGAGTCATGAATGCTCTTTTATTGATGTATCAACTCACTGAATGCAAGCCCTAGACAGAATACAATGAGATTTATGTAAGGTGAGCAACGCAGGGTGAGAGATGAAAGAGAGATACGGACACACCAACTCGAGCAACAGACAAAAATGCCTAGAATATGTTCATGTCATGGGTAACCCATACTGAATAAATCTGACATACGATGGGACCAGTTAGCCACCAGTTGTGCTTGCTCACTAGGAATTTTCATTGAGCGAAAGTGCTTTGGGTACTAGAGAAGACTTTACTTTTGTGTATCCTCCATCCATAAAAACTAGATTTATCAGAGGATGTTCAGGGAGATATATGAAGACAAATTTACAGCATTGGATATGTACCTGTTCACACTCAGAGTAATGACGGCCGTCATTGCAACTGTAATCTGAAGCATCCAAATTTCAACCAAAGTTTCATCAGAGAGTCAGTGCAAATATACCGCAACAGTTCTGTTTTTCCATCATGTTAACAGTAAGCTAAAGTTCAGATAATGTACCAACGAGATGTCACATACGGAAAAATCTTTGTCACAACGCCCGAATTTTCGAAATTGACGATGAGATACTGCCATACCGTGGTACAGACGAGAATAGTGTGTACGGCGTCGGTGACCCTAGCAGAGAAAATTGGCGCTTTCAGTATCGGATCACATGCTGTACATACCACAACCATCCGACCTAGTGCGGACAACCCTAACTCAGTCAATTTTCCGATCAGATAATGAGAGGACGAACGAGGATTTTGTAACGCAGTGAATCTGAGGCAAAAATGCGAAAATACAGAAAAGTCTGAAAGCCCAACACCGATGAAAGTCTGCAAATAGACGATTCGCGATTAGCGTTAGACGGAGAAGCGCTAGTAAGTCATTGATGCAGTGATCGAAGAATGTTCAACCTCACCCTACAGCGACCATGCATCCAGCGAAGGTGGCTCCTAAAGTTGAACGTATATCGAGTGACATGACCTAGGGAAAGATACTGAAGGATAGTAGCGAAGAGTTCAGAGGTCTATTTGGCTGGATTTTAATTTTTAAGAAGCGTTGATGGTCAAGGCTGTGAGGGCCGTATGCACCAGGACTGTTCGATGTCATCATGAGATCAATGACTGGGCTTAGCACTTGGTACCAATGCAAGAATACTAATCACCGACGTATCGAGGAGAAGTATCAGGTTTTGATAAAGCAAGGATGTTGGAGATGGAGAGTGAAGTAGATTCATGTAAGTTAATGCAGATGATCATGATCAGAACAATTGCAGTGGTGCCCTCCATTGGTTCTTGTGAAAGTGCGGCGACATTTTCCCCAGCCTGAGACAAGTATGTGAGTAAAATTTGCCGAACATACCAGTAGCCTGTGTATTAGTTCTGACCCACTTGACCAGTACTGACCCACATATATCCAGGTTGATGAGTCATGCATAGGAATTTTGTTTACGTTGGAGATGGTAGCAGACATGGAAGATCATGGGAGACATTGAAAGAGATTGAAAGTCGCCGTTCAAACAATTCAGTGAGATTCAGTGCCTCCACAGGTCTCCGCTGGCAGTGGGAAGTAAAAAAAAAGTTGACGAAGCAGGGATCGTATGTTCTGGTTGGCCCAAATTGTCTTCGCGTCTCCACAGTTATCTGTTGATTTTTTGCCTTAGAAATCGAGAGTTGGTCCGGATCCGGTGACCGGATTTTTTGCACTTCGTCACCACCGCTTGTACGCTTGTTCCCCGGCAATCACCGCAGCTCTTGAAGTTAAACTCGTTTCACTCTTCTCAAAACACCCTCAGCTCATGCATGATGAGGTTACGCCTCCGTTGAGGAAGACAATGGTGACTACGTATGAGGAGGAAGACGTTTTCGTTGCAGGGTCTTGCGATGATCAATGACGACTTGGGGAGTATTCGAACCGATCCTCTTGAGTCCTCTTGAGCGCGCATCTGTAATTAAATGGCTCACCGCCTTCATCACTCGATCCGATATTTGGGCCACCTCAAGGAGATGGATGCATGAGTGTTGATCAGGAAAAACAAGAAGAATTTTTCGTCCCACGTTCCTTCAATCCCGCAGCTCAGGGTGGTACCGCCGTCGAAGTTGAACGTCAAGTGGAAATTGTCGCATATCTCTGCTTCCGCATTCGCTACAAGCTATTCTTTTGACATCCCGCTCAATCTGTGTGCCAGTTTTGTCACCAACTTTCCCTTTCCACTCCCTCGCAATCCCTGTCTACCAGTTGGATTGGGGACGTCCCACCTATTCCAGGGTTCTGCATCCCCGACGCTGACCTTCCCTGTCATTACAACCACGCATGCCACGATGGATCAAAGCTTATGTGGAGCATTTGCATTTGCATCCTGTTTATTGCAAGTTACCCTGATTCTATCTGGAGTTGCGGGATCTGTCTTTGGAGCTCTGGAAGGGTATTATTACCATTTCCGCCAAAACTGCTTGAACTCACCTCCGGAAAAATGCACCACCCGAGAACGGTACTATATATATCGGGAGACAAGTCGATGTCTGTAAAATGACAGGACATATGTCGGATTGAGTCTGAATGTTTGAATGCTAAATGTCCAGCATGACTCGGATGGTGTTGAGAATAGTGGATTATATGAGGCAAACAGAGTACATCTTTGGTATTTTTTTCTCCTAGATAATCACAATGATCACGCGCTTCTCTATTCTCTAATTCTCTGTATTCGCCTGGGCGTCATTTGTGATTAGATTGGAGATGTCATACTCGACTTGACGCTGCGTGTGTACTTCGACTACCTGTGGGATGGTGTTTTATCCTTTCAGTGTGGCCTTAAAGCTAAACATGAAAGTAAAAACTGCATACCGTGTCATTGATCTTATTAGGATAAGCATGTTTGCTTGGAGAACTACTATGATTGGGTGGCGGTGAACGCCCACTATGGTGTACTGTCTGCCCATCAATAGTTAGTGGGCGCATCAATGAGAGCCCAACTGGATGGGCATATCGATGTCGATACCAATTGCGAAGATTAAGACTATTATATCATGATGAGTTAATGATCACATATAATATGAACATTCAAAACATCTATACGTACGTGGCAAGTACGGAATTTGAATAAACTGCTGGAAATTTAGAAACAATGAGTATTTCACCTTTCGAGTTCTTGGACATACACTTGGAAATAGTAAAATAGATGCCTAGGTAAATATTATTGTTGTGCATTGCCAAGTCCTGTATGAGGTAGATTGATGTTGAAGACAATTGGAAGAGATTCAGATGAAGAAGACGTACACATACTACTGTAGCAATTGCAACAACACTGAATGTGAAAATATATCAGAGGTCAATCAAAACCTTTCTAAATTTACTGGAAGGGCTTGCCATGATAGAAACCCATCATTAATTGTAAACACCAGTGTTGCATCCATGATTTCCACGATTTCTTGAGTCCTATTGAACGTTCAACAAAATTCGAATCGATGTAGACAGAAAATCTACGCACGGCCAGTGTCCCTGTTTAAGATTCCGTAGATAATAGTAGCGTGCCACGGAGATGAGAACATCAGAGGTTGCAGATACAACCAAACTGGCTATGAACACATTCTAATTTATTCATAAAACATTTACTTGACTCTACATGTTTGGGTTGGTGAGGTTGCACTTACCCCGATTCTATGTGGAATATCACTTATTTCGCCTGCAGAAATACTAGAGTATTTATCAGCATGCTTGTTGCATGTGTGCTCATATAAGGAGACCTACAATCCGACTGTTGAAGCTGCATTTAGATGGGTAGATTAGAGCTCCATGAGACTCCAGAGCAAACTGCATAAAATATTGACTTACTCAATGAAAGCCCTGAATAACATGAGCATTGACAACAAATCAGGAAGAGAGTTACATTATATGTAGACATACCAACTTGAGAAACAGAAAGAAAAGCCTATAATGTGTCCCACGGGCATGAGTGGATGAAATCAACAGAATAAACCTTACGTACAATAGGCCCAATCAGCCACCAGTTATGCTTGCTCACTGTGAAATTTTGGTTAGTATATGCATTTGGAGCTTGGAGCCTTATGCTCTACTTTTGTAGATCCTCCAACTGTAAAAACTGCATACATAATACGTCAAAGAAGGAGCTCGAAGAGAAAAGGAGTATATTACCCATTGACAGTCAGAGTGGTGATAGCGGTTATTGAGATTTCAACCTCGGGAAGCATCTCAGTAAGAATAATTCTCCCAAGATCTCAGATATAACGTACTGCAGTAGTCCTATCAGTTGGTTGAGCTAGTCAGTTGCCGTGAATATCATAAACCATACATAAAGAACGTACGGGAAAAGTTCGTTCACAGCAGCCATATTACCAAAGTTGACAATGAGATACCGCCACATCGTAGTACAGAGCAGAACAGTATGCACAACATCAAGAACCCTATGAGACATTGTAAGCGTGTTTGCCAATGCTTTACTTTCTGCGCATACCAAATCCATCCAACCTGGCATAAGGGACCGTTGAATCAGGTTAGCCCAGCCTCGTAGATAATAGGAAGGCTACGAACCAAAACCTTGTACCGTAATGCGTCGGAAGGAAATATGCGAAAGTATAAAAAGACCTGAAACCCTAAAACCGCTGAAAGTCTGAAGGCGAAATTCGTCGGGTTAGGCTAAACATGGTAATTAAGCCCGCACCCTACAGCAACCATGCACCCCGCAAAGGTAGGTCCTAGCACTGAACGCACAATGTCTGAGTCGACTGGCGCTGGTGATATACAGAGGGACATGTTGATACAAAAATATGGGTGTTGAAGGGCAAGCTTTTAATGCACAATGAATCATAATGGCTGTGAGGGGATTCCGAGATACTGGACAGTTCTTGCTATGCCCATCACACTATAGTTGACAACGGGATCCCATTATACAATACAATGTGAAACTCAGATAGATAGATGGATAGATGGTGGTCGAGGAAGTGCTATCAAGCGGTCCGGTGATTCCGACTTTCTTCTAACCACCACCACCACGAAAATGCCTGTATTCGGGTCTTAACAGGGTGGGATTAGAGGAACTAATTCCACCCTGTGCGACCAGTCTCCTACTAGAGCTACTGATAGACTATAGAATCAACATAGAGGAACCATAGAAGATTTCAATCACGATGTACTCGGCCTTAAAACAATCGTTCAATACATGTGTCTGTGCACCTTCTGCCAGTCTTCCACCACTTCCAAAACTTCTTGTTCTTTCATCTGTTGCAATATGTGAACCGCTCCATAATATACAACAGTTGTACGCTCCTCCGCCCCCGACTTTGCCCTCAAAACTTGTTTTACCCATTCGAAAACACCGCCAGCTCATCCACGATAATTCCGTTCCCGACTCCGGTTATGCCTCTGCAGAAGAAGAAGACTGTGACTACGAGGTGGACGACATTGTCGTTGCAGGTTCTTGCGACGATGATGACTTGGAGATTCTCCGAGCCGATCCTCTCGAGCGCGCGTTCGTAATCAAATGGCTCACCGCCTTCATCGCTCGATCTGATGCATGGGCCTCTGCAGATGATCTCGAGGAGATAGAGGCAGATAGACGGGCAGAAGCAGTAGAAACAGCGTCCAGACTCCTCTCAGTACTGTTGGGTGTTGATCAGGAAGAAGAAGAAGACTGTTCCGTCACACGTTTCTTCCAATTCCCCACTCAGGGTGGTACTTTTGTCAAAGTCGAATTGAACGATGCACCCCTTTCGAACGAAGACCATACCTGTGTCGGGCTGCAGAGTTGGGCTAGCTCGGTTGTGTTATCCGAAAGGATTTGTGCAGATCCTGCAAGGTTTTCGTTATCAAGCTTTACGAACACCAGCGGTTCTCCTTTGCGCATCCTCGAACTCGGCGCGGGTACAGGACTGTTGAGCATCATTGCTCGCAAGTTGCTCTCATCCCTACATGCTTCTGCTTCCATTTTTGCGACCGACTATCATCCCGAAGTCCTCCTCAACCTCTGCGCCAACATTGCCACTAATTTTCCTTCTTCTGCTCCTCCTCCGATCTCTGTCCATCAGTTGGATTGGGAACGTCCTCAATATTCTGCTCCAATGAATGAACCGTTCGATCTCATTCTCGGTGCCGACGTTATCTACCATCCCGACCATGCTCAGTGGATCAAAGCCTGTGTGGAGCGTTTGCTCTTGCGTCCCACTCCCTCTAATAGCTCAACCGGTACGGGAGGTGTTTTCTGGCTTATGATGGCGCTCCGCATTAGTGGTAGACACGAGGGAATGTTTCATACGGTCGAGGATATATTCCCGGATGCGTCTTCGTCCTTGACGGCTGGCGATCAAGCAGATGATTGGCAGCTGGCTATTTTAGAGAAGTCTGAATTGGGTAAGTTGAAGGGTGTAGGACGCGCAGATGAACGCGGATACTTGTTATTTAAGATTGGATGGGTGCCTTGCTGAGGCGCTGTTGTCTACATCGAACTTATAGATGTCTGGGTAGAAATACAGTATGTCATACCGTAGATACATACATAATCGACGATAATCACAATCGTTGACCATGATCATGTAACTTGCCTTGTCGAGAAAATTGACGACCTACCTTCCCCTTCGCAACGAAACCAGCGCTCACTAACAGCTTTACTCACCATTGTAAATTGTTATTCTAAAAGATCTACTGTACAAGCCTTACAATTACAAAAAATCATTAACGGGTTGTAAAGTGGCCATACGTGGACGGAAAAAACCTCGGAGTAAGATACGAAAGTACGCATGGTCAACATAGCAAAGATAGTAAGAGAACACTAATATAGTTCGTCAACAGCATGGATAAAAGGACATGGAATGAAGACATGAATGGGTAATCCGAAGGTATTGATGTATGATTTGTTAGATGAGTATAAGAAAATAAAGTAGACCACGACCAAGTAGGGGGTCCGAACCGTGGAACTGCGTTCAGTTCAGGCCGCCAAGAACGACATTAGCGTAGCTAGGAGTGGATATAGAGAGTGACGCGTCGGATTCATCACCATCGCTGTGATAGACATGTTGCCATTCTTGCTCCAAATCGCGGGGAGCAGGCGCGTCGTGCATGAAAGCGAGCTCGTCGAGAACAATAACGGGCCGCACCGCAGGAATCAATTCAAAGTCAGCTTCTGTAAAAGATGACAGAGTGAGAACAAAAGAAGACTAACAACAGAATAATACATACCCTTGTTCTTCCGAGCTTTGCGTACAGAGACTGGCTTGATTAAGTCTGCGAGTTTCACCTCAGAATTCTGAATAGGGCTCGACTCCTGCCTTGTGCCTGCGCTTCTGACTCGTTCCAACACATTTAGCGTGTTCACTTCATCTTCCGAACCGCCGAGGCCTACAGGTCTAACCTTCCTCGCGTTGGTAGTCCTCCTCTGATGCACAGGTGATGCAGGACGCCACTTAGACAGACCTTTGGAAGCCTTCGCTTCCTGTGACCTAGCATATTCTTCTGTACGTTTGGCACATTGGCGTTCGTGTTCGAAGGCGCGCTGGTCTTTGAAACTAGCGAATGAGGGAAACGACGAGGAAAGTGATAGGGCAGCGTCACTGGTAGGATCGACTTCCCGGTCACTGTCGACAGCGTCGAGTGTAGCTGTGACCTGGGTAGCAAGAGCAGGGGTAGCTTGTCTCTTAGGAAAAGCAGCCTGGGTCAATGACTTGATAGCGGAAGAAAGGGCCATGATGTTTGTGAACGAGCAGTAGTGATGGTGGTGGTAGTAGTAGAAATAGCTTGATAGTAGGAATGGGCGTATAAGTCAACGGCCAATTGAGATAAGATAAGCACTGACCGCCCCACAGGAACCGAAAAAGGATGATAAGGGGTGATTCATTGCAGTGTCTATGTAGAGTCATCTTAAACCAATGACGAATGCGGTATGCCTCCTCTGCGAAACAAAACAGGAATAGCACCAGGTGCGCAAATGGATTGGTAGTTGGAACGTTGCCCCATCCAGAATATTGACAATTGATTGTAAATCGTCACGAATTACGAAGCAACAAAGCGCCATCGCTAAACGTGCGTAAACGAGAGATAAATATCCCCCTCGCAATGCAATCGCAATGATGATCAGGAAAGCCAGAAGATGGCCAGTCTACCGAAAGATTGAGCTGATAAAAGGTGTAAAGAGTTTTTTTTTAGCCGTACTACGTTCGCATCTCCGCCTGATAGTCTCCATTATGGTTCACCACAAAACTCTATGCGCCATCGCACTCTAGATCAGTGAATGAGGATCGCGTCGTTCAAGAATTACAGAAAAAACTGATATGGTTCTGTACAGGTTGAAGCGAGGAAGCGAAGCGACTCGGACAAGACACTTGACTTCCTGGACGCTTCGCCGTCAGTTCCCACGTTCGCACCTCATACAGTGACCCGACCCACTGTCCTCCTTCAATCCAAAGCCTGGAATACCATTTTTCCTGCCTTGCCAAAGAATTTGCGTTATCATCGAAGGTTCAGAGCAATGCGCGCACTGCGTGTAAAGGTTTCGACGACGTAAAATCTGCATTACTGCAAAATACAGCTTGGTGATTGGGCGACCATGTCGGAGTTCGCTCTTAAATATAGAGGGACAGTACCAATTAATCACACATTGTGCGTCTCCGGTTTTTGGTCTTCAGTATTTTTATTGGGACGGATCCAGAGATGAAGATGTGTCTGTGATTGGCCATGCTCTCCGGGTGTGTGAGTCTGTGACAAACCATTATTCTAGCTAACGATTGCTATTTCGTTCTCTTCATCCAGGTACTTATTGAATTTAAGTGTGTTCCATCCTAATCCCGTCCGTCATCTTTCGCGGAATCGGATAACATTGGCCATCCCGGTTAGGAGGATGTAATAAGCCTTCTCAATTTAAAATGTCATCCCATCTCATAGGCTCTCATAGGTCAACGATCCTTCATAACAATTAATCATCTCTTCATCGGTGTGCTCTTTCTTGTGCCAATAATCATTACCCTCATCCAAGATTACTCAAATTTATCAGAGGAATCAGCAGACACCCTTGCATGTTTGATTCTGGCTTCGTTCAAGACAGGTTCAAGACTTTTATCTTACTTATTTAGCGTTGCGGCTCGGCTCAACACAATAATTTGATCGTCTAAACTGCGTCCTACCCTGGTACTACTATGGTTCACAGGGTACTTCCGATTTCTTGAATATTGCGAATAACATCTTAAATTTTTGAGTAAATAAAAAGCTGAGTAGACAGTCTTATTTAGAATCATGTTAAGCTTGTCTTTTGTCTTACATGTTAAAGCAGATAAGGCATAAACAGAGCGTCGGACCATGACCGAGGAAAAACAGGGTACTTCCGCATCTTGGGTCACACTGAGTCACATCAATGCCGCTGCTCGGCACTCTGGCACACTTGGCCATTTGATGCTGGGTTGAGGCAGATAGGCAGCTTTGGGGTTCGAACCCGAAAGGTAGGGACTTTGTGCGGGTTTCGCCCTTGCGAAGGGGCTCATCAGAGGGCTTAACCGCTGCCCTAACCCGCCGGTTCTACTTTGCAATGATAGATCATGACTCCCTATTCACGGGGTGGAGTATGCCATGTGGTGCCGTCCACATGGTTACCCGATCCGATTTGCAACATCGGCATAGCATCGGGGACCACGGCATATGTGTAGGTGTTTTTGGTGTGGGTGATGGATCTGGGGGGCACCCTCCCCATTAAGCCAATATCAGAGTGCCTGCCGCACAGCTCTGATGAGAGGCCGGTCCATGGCCACCTGACGTAAGCCAGGTGGACTTCTGTGTCCGTCTATCTGTATATAGCCCAAATATAGCCGCTTGCCTATATTTGTCAACTAGTCCGGCCGTCTCCGAAGATAAGGCGGAATAAGTCATACAAAGTACTTGTGTTGATCAAGCTTTTGGAGAGTGTCAGAGGTTTGCCGAGGCTACGGCATGAAGCTGGAATCAAATATTGTCACGTCGCATACCCTCTTCACTTTATCTGCTTGTCGAATCTCTACAACATATTGGATTGCTTTTAAATTTGCTATGCTAGCTAATGAGAACCTCTACTTAATGCCCATGTCATTTTTACAGTTATCTACCAGCTCTTTGTACGGTTCCTGAGGCTTCAATCTAAAGTCACGCTTGTATATTACAGTATTTTGGTCTTGTACATATGCATCCCCTAAATACAATCTATTTCATATAGTACAGTATGTTTATAGAGAACCTAGAAAGTACTACATAAAAAGTCTGAGAGCATTTATCGACCTAAAACGTTCAAAATATGAGATTTTCGAAAATGCGGAAGTACCCTGTGAACCATAGTACCACGTTGGTACCATGTGGTGACATGGTTACACACAGCGCTATTTCGCGCTATTCACGTTGCTTTGATCCTCAAGTTTTCGCTCCATTTCGTTGCAGAGATCATATTTATCCTCAGTGTGTACCTTCCGACTGCCGGTTATTAAAACTATGTTGAAACAATCACGTTGAGTGCTATAAACACCGAAGTTCGATGATTTCGGGCGCCCCGCCAGGGGCTTTCATCGTTTTCCCGGACGGCGAATACGGCTCTTCTAACGGGAAACTTGTATTTTATCAAAGAGAACGTTCCCACCGCAGTCGCCTGCAGGAGAGACCTTGGCTGCTGGCAAGAATGAAGGATGTTAAATGAGCTTCGAATTGTCCAAGTTTAACTGTTGTCATTGAATGAAGTTCAACTTTTTCCTGCCATCATAAGGCACCGGAGTTGCCGCTAACATCGGCCCATAATCAGTCGCCGTTTTTGGTTTCTGTAGCAGGCTCTTCTTCATGTACCTTCATGTCTTCAACATTCCTTCAACAAGCTATCGCTGAACATTCTTCTAGACACACTGAACTTCTCAATTCGCTAGTACAACTCGAGAGCGTACCAGAATCGCTGAAGGAGCAAACCAGATTGGTGGATGATTTACAAGCTGAGCTGGAGGAATGCGAGGCAAATGTTGCAAGGTTATTTGAGAATACGAGGAGTCAGAGGAGGAATGCTGACCCAGGCATCATTTCGGGCGGCTTGAAGTTCTCGCAAGTCTTCCGTTCACGGAAAGAGAAGGAAAAGGACAGAGAGCGCGAGGAAAGAAATAAGAGGTTCGTGCTGATGGATATGTTCTGCTTGGAGCAAGACTGATTCCTTCATTCAGATTATTTGCGGAGGCTATGGCAGAAGAAACCAAAGAAAGAGACAGACGAGCTTCGCTTGAACAAGCTTTAACCAAGGCACAAGCATCGGTCAGTCACCAGTCACATTTCATACTGTAGTTCTCATTTCTTTTTTGATTAGAAAACAGATTTCTTGAATAAAATGCAAGAATACGACACAATCAAGGCCAAGATAGATGCGCTATATACCTTGATCTTCAATGGGCCAACGCCAGGCAGGTACCCAGATTTTGGATATCCGTTCCCTAGTTGATCGCGCTCCTCAGGCTTTCCCAAGGAAGATGAGCTTGAACAATTGGTTCAAGCAAGCTATTCAGTCGTTGAACGTGCGAAGGCGGGATACAACTCGGAGAACGAAGCACTCGAGATTCTCTCTCGATCGGAGAGGACCTTCAGAGAATGCCAGGCAAAATTGAAAGACGCAATATACTGGGCCACTGCCTGTAAGTATCGAACTGCTTGTTCTCTTTTCATTAACTTTGCAACTGTTGTCAAGTAGCTATGCTTGCAGGAGGACGGTATGTAACCGAAATGTTGTTCGGTACCCAATACTTGACCTTTTTGTAACATAGCACGGCCGAGGCAAAGGAAACCGCATCACTACGACTAGCACATTCCTTGGCACTTAAAGCACAAGGATTCGTACGAGAAGCTCAACAATTTTCGACACATGTACGCACGCTCGAATATCCGAGTATAGCAAGAGAGTGAGTTTTGCCTTGCATTGATATCAACGCTTGTTCAAAACATCTATCTGTTCTAGGATGCCAACCCGTAAAGAGAATGACACAGAGTTCCATGGTGGGTGATAGATTTGATCATCTTTAAGAGCTGTACAGATATTCTATGCAGAGGTGTTGAAGGCGGCAGCAGCGGAACTCGGCAATACATATTCACAGGTGCGAATTCTTCAAATCTGTTTCCTCTCGATCTGTTGACGCTGTTGCATGTAGTTATTATCTGAGCGAAGGGCATGCGCGGATCGTACTGCAGATGCTAAAGCTGCTGTTCAAAATGCAGAACAAACTGTGTTGGATCGTAAAAAGGAGCTTCATGAACTTCGGAAAGAGTTATTCCTCGATGTTGTGTCGAAGCTCAAGTCAGGCGAGCTTGCAGAGCCCACGGACCTAGATTTTGAAGGGTTACAAGATGCACCTCCCAGCTATGAACTGCAACACTCAGTTTCACATTCACACTCATACACCCATTCCAATTCCCACTCTGGCTCCCACTCCCGTTCTAACTCTCACACAATTTCCCTTTCTTCTATCCCTCCAGATTTGATCATAGTAAAACAACACACTGGAGCATTGAGGCAGCTCTCGACGGATTTCGCCGCCCCAGCATATGATAGTGCACTATCGTCCCCTGTAGGCTCATATACTGCTCTTAAGTCTCATATCCTTGTTAACGTTTCGGTTTGCGTGACACAGATATCTCATCCTTTTTCGTCAACTCCGACTCCTCCAACACCATCAGCGTCACGGCCTGGTGGTGCAAGACCTAGGACGGCAAGGCCGTTACCTCGTCTACCGCAGGCAAATGCTGGATAATTTCTTCTGTTTGTCGAGGTCCTGGTCTTCCCCGAGTTCCAATTCATGTTGTGTCGTATACTTTGCCAGTCTGTCTACGGTAACATTCTCGTACATCTGCTTCATCTACATTCAACGTTTAGAGCGGGTCCTATTCCTTTCCTTCATTATACCCTCTTTCCGGGTCCCTGGACGATAGTAATCTGTATTTGTTAAATAATTTTGTTTTTTTACTTTCCCTCATCTATCTTTCTATCTCGCATCGAAGCTGCTCTGTGTCCCACTCGTATATTATACTAATTTGTTCTTCTGGTATAAACTCAGAATCTGCAATCACTATTTTTGGCTCTCATACTGCATTGTATACCGATCTTCAATATGTTTTTCCCTCTCGTGGAGACCTTCCGGCCATAACTTTGCAGTTTTTTTAATAGCGATCACGATACACCTACTTCGAGCCACCACTTACTTTTCTGACCGCTCTAACTAAACTCTCTTCATGCAACCACTGTACTATCTTCCAAGTAATGACAGAAAATGAGCAGACAAAACGCAAGAAACCGCCAGCATGCGATTACTGCAAAGCGCGGCGAGTTATTTGTCATGCACAATCAGAAGGGCCTTGTCCTCGCTGTGTAGAGAAAAGCGTACCGTGAGTCTTCTTTGCAATGCAGTAGCAATGTCAGTTGAACGGTATATATCAGATGCACAACTACTGCACCGGCAGCGCGTCGAAGACGGAGAACAAAGGCTGAAATGCAGGAAGAACGTATGAAGAAAGCCAATAAGAAAGCTGATTTAACGTTGCGCACCTCTGGATTAGAAACATCTTCAACTCAATCGAATGAAGGACCAGCAAGACATCTTGGGGCACCACATCCTATTCCGCCCAGTGTTAACCTCTCAGCAGAGTTAGTCGCAGAGCTGATTCAAAGTGCGCGCCATCCACGTCGTTCTCTCGTTACAGGATAATCACAACCCTCCCCAAATAGTCTTCCGTATATTGCCCCAATCCCTCCATCCTATAATTCCTCTCGACGAACTAGAATCTTCTCTTCGACTAGCATCATGGAGTTTGGCATCTCTTCCTCCGCAACTCAGAGTACTTGTGCAAATCATCATAACCCTTGCTTCGTTTTTCTCTACAAACGCGGCTATTATAGGTCCAGGTGGTTGCGGACCCGAAGTCACAAGTATCGCCTTATCAAAAGCTCCCCTGAAAGAACTCGTAGTCCCCGATTTGCGTGAATATGGCGTGCGTAGAAAGCCTGTATGTTATCAACTATGGGCGGAAGCGCTATCGTTAGCACACCAGCAGGGCATCACTGCCCACGTTTCCAGAGAAACTGCTGCGTGTTGTTGGCTGCTGGACTTTTTGGAATGTCGTACGCCGTTTTCCTGGACTTAGTCGGACACCGATACTTATCTACCAAGGATTTTCGGGCGAGGGAGTGTCTACATATGCATCTGCGTACAACAGCCACCTCCGCCGTCTCGCTGAGACCAATGACAGTGCTATTCCTGGTGGTGCTGCTGATAGTCCTGAAACTTCTGTTTTGTATAGGGCGTATATGGTGGGTCTGCGACTGCGTTCATCACTACATGTTCCAGTTTATTGTTATCGTAGATGCATGACGCTGTTTACGCGATTACTGGTAGAAGGTCAATTCCCTTGTGAGCTCGTTTAATTCACTTTCGACCGAGGTCCACCTGACATATTATAGCTCACTCCAGGACGAGCTTTTGATAAGTGGTCCGTGTACAACAACTTTGGAGCAGTTGCTGCAGGAGTTCTCGTCGAATGTCAGCAATAAGCAACTTTTTCTCTCAATGAATGCCTGTGAGTGATCTCTCTCGAAAACTCCCATCGCATTTCCATTTCCATTGACATTTCAGTTGCTTCTCACACTATTCGTTTGGCTCGAGAAAGCTCGGAGAGGTTGACAGGAGGTAATTTTTGTTGCGGAATGACCAGTCCGGCACAGTGACAGACTCAAATTTAGTATATGCTCGACGCCAACCCCTCGATGAGGTCTTTCTTGCAAGCCACTGTGCCTCCCTTGACCTCATGCACTCAATACTACTTGCTGAAAGAGACAGAGCTTTATGGGTGGTCGATGATCCCACCGAGTCACATTTCATACGCTCATGTGCATATGCACTGCACATCAGCTGGGGTTGTTTAGTTCTCAACCTCTATGAACTTCTCCTGCACCGTGTCAACAATAGCCTTCGCGACTTCAATTTCAGCTTCACGGTTCATTCAGCAGTTCCTAGCGCTACAGACTACGATGCTAGGGAATGGCTCAGGCTTCACTTTTCGCGCGTGAGGCAAATGGCTTTGAGAGTTGCAGTAGGAATCTCTGAGGCGTTGAAAGACGTGCCTTGTATCTCCCGAGTAACCCATTTGCATTTTGAAGAACTGGAAAAATGGGCTAATTTGCTATTGGGGGAAATTGGAACAGTGGTAATCAACCGAAGTGATCGTTTGAGGGCGTTGCAATGGTTTGTCGTCTTGCTCTAATGCTGGTCACAACTACTGTTTCTGATTCTCTGGGACTGCCATATAGTTATCGCGACGCGATGAAAATTGCCGGATTTTCTTGGGCAAACCGCTCCGCCGGATTGGTGGAAATTATTGATGAGCATCTTGCTGAATTCTAGGATAATAGAGGATAATAGATAACGCAATTACATTCTTTTATTTTATCCTAAGGAAAGCATATTGGAAGACGAAACTTATGTCTGCAGTATATCCCCTCAGGCAGTCGATAGAAAGACAGAAATACCATAATTGAGAATTATTTCAATGTGGGTCGAGAAGATCGAAGTGTTTACATGACGCACATTCGTGAATCGAGTCTCGAGTGCGAAATTGAAATTATTGAATATCGTTTGCACGTGGACTTGAGTAACAGGGCTTTCAACAGCTTGGCACTTCAAACACTACTCTGTCTATTTATCTATCTGCGCAGTACTTTCTCACTACGAATTTAAGATGGTCGACAAGCCTTCGCTCAAGAAATACAAAAAACTTCCAGCCTGTGACTACTGCAAAGCAAAACGAGTCCTTTGTCACCCTCAACAGGGTGCATCTTGTCCTCGTTGTATAGAAAAAGGGGTAGTGTGAGTTTCGCGTCGTGCCTTTCTCTTAGCTCCATACAGAAGTTAGGATCTCCTTCAGATGTGTAACAACACCTGCTACCAGGCGAAAGCGTAGAACGAGAGCCCAGCTTGAACAAGAACGAGTTGTAACCACTCCAGGAAACTCCTCCGAATCCGCAGAAGGATTCGGCTCTCCAAATAAAGCAAACCACCAGTCATCTAATTCTCTTGAAAGATGGAAGTGGACATCTACGAAGGACTCAAATCCTATAATATCTCTTAACATGGCAACGCCAGGTTTGGATCTTCCGCCTTCGCTAGTAAGAGAACTATTTCAAGGTGAGAATACCATAGACAAAAATTATGTAGACTGAGCTATTTTGAGCCTAGATTTTCGCTTACTACCTCAGTTCTACTATCCACTGTTACCACTCAACGATCTCGAAACTTCACTGAACAATTGCTCTTGGAACTTGCACGCCCTGTTGCCGCTGGATCGCGTCCTAGCTCAGTGCATCATCGCTACCAGTTCTCGTATATCAACGAGTTCACACCTTGTCAACCTTGAAGGTTATGATCTGCCTAAAATATCAATGCTTGCACCTTTGAGAACACGATATCTGGACTGTCGTGAGGTTGGCCGACGTAGAGAGAACATCTGTGAGAAGTTGAAAGCAGAAGCGGTTCGGTCAGCACAGTATGAAGGTGTGATGCATAACATATGTGTTTCAAATGCTGTTTCACTGGCACTGCTGGAGTTTTTGGAATACAGCGAGTCCTTCTCAACCCATCTCTTGAATGTTTTGCTTACAACAAGTTCAGAAGACTCAGAGAAAGGGGCAAATATCTATTCTACTGCTTACATACATCACCTTCGTGAACTGAGTGAAGATGCCATTCATGAAGATACGATTCACGACGATGGACTTGTAGGGGCTAATACTATTGTCTACAGTGCCCTTCTTGTCTGTAGTTTTTACTTGCCATTTGCTTATGAACTGACGTTGTTTCCTAGATGGGTCTAGCTCTTTGCGCAGCTACTACGGGAAAATCCATTCCTTTGTGTGTGATCCAGGCCTACGTTCTAAGCTCCATCAAATTAAATAACCAATTTGGCGCAGTACATATAACGATGAACTTTTGTTGTGCGGAGAAGACAGAACTTCATTGGAGCAGATCCTGAATGTACTGTCTATTGACTCGGTTGTGGCAACGCCAATCTATGCTGTCTTGCGTCCTAGTGCGTTTAATTATCTTGCTCCTTCCAATTGACAAACAATTATTTCCATAGTGTGCATCCATGTCATACATTTAGCCCGAGAAATTTCCGAAACGCTCACAGGAGGTGAGTCAAGATATCATGGAATTTCAGCGACACTACTTAAGGATGATATCGTTATATACATCAGCGTTTGCTCGTCGGCATTCCCTCAATGAGATCAAATTATGCGACCAACTCAAAAACCTAGACCTACTCCACTCCGCTGTCGCTTCTGGTGTGGGACAGATGCACAGGCTTCGAGATACAGTCGATGAAGATACGTATCAGAAGATGCGATTTTGTGCATATCCACTTATCCACGCGTGGGGCTCTCTCGTACTGCTTGTCTTCAACGAACTCAAGCGGCGTCGAGAACTTATACGTCTAACAGAAGTCGATCCCGTCACTGGGTCGAGTAGACCATCCAGTCGTTTCGATTTGTTATATCTGAGAGTCCGAAGTATGACATCGCAAGCAGCTCTGGAAGTCGCAGAATCACTTGAAGAAGTTCCTACACTTACACGTCTGACTCATATGAATTTTGACGACCTGAAAAAATGGTCGTGGTTCTTGCTCGAAGATGCGGATGTGAATGATCTCAGTGCGGCCCAGCGAACATGGGCTTTAGAACGGTGAGTGTCATCCTTCTGTTGTTGGTGACAATAAAACCAATTATGATCTATGTAGGTTTCGAGATGGATTGAGCCTGGCCGGGTTTTCGTGGGTTGATCGAACTGGGACTGTTGAAGCTATAGACCAATATTTGGCCTCTTGCGCGATTCAAGAAACCCCAGACTGCATATCTTCTATTATTTGGACACTGCCAACCGCTGATACTGAAAACGAAAGGTTCATTTCAGATTGGCTCCAGATAGAATCTCTTCACAATCCAGTATTATCGAGTGAAGTTGGTGTACACATAAACCCTTTTCTGTAACAACTACATATCACAGGTCATGAAGACTCATTTCTCATTATATACCTACAGTACAGTAAACCACAATTATAGCTGTAAACGATACCAATATGCAAGAATCACCTTGCTTGTCAAGGTCTATCTGCCACCGACAATTGAAGCAGTTTCTGGTGTCTTTTGTACATATGTACAAACAAATCAGTGACTTTCCCACAATAAAAGTGCACTATAACCTGCTTCAGCTTTTGGCCTCTCAACAACCCAATTACCATCTCAGGCTCAATGAGGAGATTTGTATTATGCCAAATAGCAGCCTAGCACACTTTACTGAAGATGAGTAGTGCTATGTAAGTAGACCCAGTAAGATTTGAGAAATAATTCCGAGACTCTTGACTTGAGAAATATATGATCTCATCATGTATTGACTCTTCCAGTCCCAAATAAGATAGCCTTGAGCAAGGAAGGTGAGTGCCTCGGAACGAGGCCCTTTTCCAGTTCGTAAGCATTATGTACCAGCAATATACGGTCAAACTATTTGCAAAGACAAAACAAGAAACATAGTTTATGATTATAGGAAAAGAAATTTGACAAGAAAATTAGGAAATGGGTCCTGTGGCTTAGACCTGTCTCAAGCCTTGGTCTTCTTCGAAGGCTTGGAAGGTCCTGAATCATCCAGCGCCTGATTGGCGGTGCGCTTCAGAGTGTTATAGGACTTTGTGGAGAGAGAGGTCGTGAGACGTTGGACGTGGATGTTGAAGAAGCGCTAGTAGACGGGCCGCCCTTCTTACTAGCCTGTTTGTCTACATAAGCCTTCTGGGGTTCTGAGGTGATAGTGACAGAGGTAAAAAGCATAAGCTAGATATTGATATCGCGGTCAGTACGAGATAGGATAAAGCAGAAATAGCGAACAGACAGATTTACGCGTCTTGTTGATTTTGTCTTGCTCTTCACGCGTCAATTTGCGCGAAGTAGTGAGGAGGAAATGTTAATTGATAGTCAAAAAGGTACAAGACGCGACCCACGTGCAGCCGTATCCCTTGACGAATTTGTGAAAACGCGTCTTCATGTCAGGAACGAGATGGAACTTGATAATTTCCTTAGTGACAGGGCCTTTGCTCGCGTCAACAGAGGCCAAGTGCTTGAGGAAAGCAGCTTCAGCCTGTTTATTGATCAAAGAAGGGGTTCAGATATGCACGAAGATCGTCGCCATCGCCGTATGGATCGAAGGCACGTCCGTAGGAGCGTCCAGAGGTAAAGATGCCATATGTATCAAGGTAGGAGCTGGATATGCGGCCGTATATGGTTGCGAATCGGGAAACACATAAGAGACATGTGATCGCACAACTCCGGCCCGTTACTGTCACCGTTCATCATCATCACGAATTCTGGCATGGCGAGACTATGTCCAACGCTTTCGAAAGGGTGATACTTGAACTATATCAAGGACTCTTTGCCAACTATAGATTCGTGCGTCTGCGTCCCTAGCAGCATAGGAGCAGGACTTTCGAAGAGAAGGAAGAGGACGTTCCGGCTGTCCCATATGAGACATCGGACAGGGCGCTATGCATTTTTTCAAGTTGCAATGCGGGGTTGCAGTGAGGTAAAAGTTTTGTTAAAATGCATCCTTACTGTGAGTTCTGTGCCAGTTTCTGTGACTTTCCAAATCATGGTACATCGTTGAGGTGTCAACTTCACAATTCAGAATAGTATATCATGGTTCGAGGACATCTCACCCTATCCCACCATCATCTGAGCACATGTAAGTGCATATGTATATGTATACCATCGTGTTCACGATTCGGCCATGAATCGGAGGCGAATCAGTGAACTGCGGACTTTGGACATATTTCGACTGTGCTCGTTACCTTGGGAAGGAAGAAGGGAAGTACATTCAATTGGACTGGTTTCGAAGATATGTGTTGGATGTCGCTACTTGTGCGGTTTCTCGCGAGAAACTTGTACTTTCGGGGTCAAGGATGGCATGATCAAGGCATGATGGCAGAGGATGGCAGCCTGCGCTGCGGCGTCATGCTTAGGCTGAATACACATAAGAGAAAGGGTTCGTTAGGTACATGATCAAGCTTCAAGATTCAGGATGCACTCAACTGCACATAGTCTGTGACCGGGTATTGGTATTTTCAAGTGGGGGAGATCAAGTGGAGATCTTCAATACAGCTTGAGAAACACCGCATGAGTTACCTGGATACAGTGCATACAACTGACAATATACGGGACGACACTGGACAGCCAGTATGAGGGTTTAGGTGAAGTCATTTACTAAAACGTTTTTTGCCACGTGCTCAAGCCCTGCTTCCGGTCGTTTCGATCCATCGACCCATCGACCTTTTCGTTCTTTACCTTGTTACCTCACTCATTATTCCTTGTTCATCACCATCTGATCACATTAACGTTGCAACGTTCCACATCTTGCTCGGAGAATCGCTTGACGAATAGCTTCACTCTGAGTGTGGTACCGGAAGCATCACATCTTGTACGTGCTTAATGTGCTCCAAGTTCTACTCTCACCTCTCTTAACTCCAAATTTTTCGGATTTTCTTTCAAACGGTCTTGGCTCAGAATAGTCAGAAGCTCGACTCATGCCGCTACGAGGTCTTTTTTCCAAGAGGAACAAATCGCGTACGGATGTCGGCCAGTACGCTCCGGCCAGTCCTACTGCAACAGAGTCCACAGTGAACTCGCCCACCGCTGACTACATAAAGCCGGACTCCCTTTTGCCTTCCAGTCCAAATGGACGGAGTACACTTCACCCAGATTCTGCCTTCACGTCACCATCGAAGTCTACCAAGAGTAGTGTCTACCCATCCATAGCCGCTTCTCCTCCTAGTTCATCCAGTAAACTGCGACTTCCTTTTGGTCGGAAAAGAGCCGCGAAATCATCTTCCTCAAACAATGGCAGAGACGAAGATTCGGATATTACATCATCATCACCCCATCCTCCGTTTACTGGTCGCCTCAGTACGAGTGCCGCCTCGGAGTCTGACGCAGCTTCTTTCCGACGGAAATTAGGGCCGCCACCTAGTCGCTCAGCCATTTTTTCTGCTTACGGGGATTCACATAGTGCTTCTTCCACGAGGTCCTTACCAAACGAATATCCAGTACCTGTTCCGCCAAACCAGACAGTCGTGGAAAGTCAAACATCGGCGCCGAAGAGACCTCTCTTTCCCTGGTCGTCGAAATCTCAGCCTAGTAGTACTAAGGCTAAAGCCAAATCAAAATCTTCGCCCCTGAAAGCGGAGGACATATCTACTGCACTCGAAGATTCTTCATTTAATCTGAAATCGTTCCGACATCTTGGTGATCCTGTTCCCCTACCTGAACTCCTTCCTCGCCCTGTTCGCAGTCACTCTACTATTCCCGATTCTGCCAACTCCTCTTCTACCTCACTTGTCCCTCCAGGTCCATTAACAGGCAGTCGTTCACGAAATGCCAGCTTAAGCTCAATAAATGATCCTTCCGCGTCGCAACAGCGTATCTCAGTCGCGGCATTTCGAGAAGCACAGGCTCGGCGCAGTTTGGCAGGTTCCCCTGTTCCTAGTCCAAGGTCACCTAGTCCAGGGCCTAATCTCTCTGTCCATAATCGTTCACCTCCCTTGAACCAGGCAAATGATGTTCGCCAGAGGAGAACCTCTTTGGTTGCTCTGGGGAGTATGAGATACTCTTCAGATGAAGATGATTCCTCGGAGAATGAGGAGGAAGAAGATTCGGACACCAGTAAACGGATGAGAGGACGTCCTGGGAAAAAGAACACAGTCAAATCCAAAGCCAAGTCCGAGGCTGGACACAATTCGAGTTCATACAAAACCGTTTCTTCCGCCTTCCCTGGCTTGAATTCCAACCTGAATTCTAGTCTGAGACCAGATGCAGCTGCGAAAATTGCTGCTCCTCGGTCACGGTCGGATATCTACGGTCGGGGTGTTTATGGAAACCAGCCAATAGTACCAGCAAGTACCTCTACAGGTGCAGTTGCCTCGGAAACTGGCGGTGGGAGTAAGTGTTTTTTTTTATTAGTACAAGTTTTTCTAGGTCTGACGTCGTTCGAAGCACCGCAAAGGTCAAACCCTCGTGAAGTGAAGCCGGCTATCAGTACCCGCCCGCCATCTAAAGCTATTTCCCAGAGTGACTCGGATTCTGACGATTCCGATAATGCACCTTTGGCAACTTTAGTCCCGCCCAAACGTCCTGGTAGCTCTGCTTCCAATCGTTCGAACCCGCAATCTGATGCGGCTTCTATACATACCGCTGGAAGACCAGGAGGAATGAGGGCTAGAATCAACTCGAATGCCATGCCAAAGCCCTTAATCGATATCAATGAACTCACTGCACCAAAGAGACGTTCTATTGATGCTGGGAAACTAAAGAGTCAAGACGGATTTACTGGCGGAGCAACATTGCTTTCTGCTGGAACTACCCAGGGCGCCTCTTCAATGATGGCTATGTCACCAGTGCCTTCTTCCGTTACGTCCACCTCGCCTCCAGGCAGACGTTTTGTATCCCCTCCCCCTTCTCCCGTTTCCAATCATCCACCAAAACTTCGATCCGAGTCCACGAGTCCACGATCCCCTTCACAGGCTCCTTCCGGACTAGTGCAGAGAAGAATCCCGATGGGTAGAAATGACCCTGATACGTCGAGTACAGTGAGCAGCACGACTGTAGGCAGTAGTAACGATGGTAGTTCAGGCGGTAGAAAAAAGGATCCGCTCAGCGAGAGGTTATCGAAAGTGGTCGCGCAGAGTGTCAATTCTTCCCCGACTGTCTCCCAACCACCGCCGAATCCACTTTCCGGTCCTCTACGACGAGGGAAAGCTCCAACATATGGGAGCAACGTTCGTTCGACTTCTTCTGGTGATTTTGACATCCCATTCACTTCCTCGCCGTCACCCACCTTTGAAATGCCCACCGCCATTGATCGGAAGTCCTCTGGTGAAGCGGGCGTTGATTCGTATTTCCCTAAAGAGCCTGTTGTGCGGGCTTCTTCTCCGAAACCGGTGGATGCCCCCGTCAAAAGGAGCGTACAGGTTAGAAAGAGTGAAGATAGCACAGAGGCAATGGCAGATCTTGCCGATTTACTGGGAGCTGGGATTAAATTAGTCAGTGTCAATGGTGAGGATCAGTCGGATGAAGACATGCCATTTGGGCGCCATGACACAGAGGAGAAAGAGGATGTAGACTCGATCGTTCGCCTTGCTTATGATCCTCCACCGTCGCCAAATCGTATCACCCCGGTCGTAGTCAAAACAAGACCTCCTGCATCATCTTTCAGTGTTACTTCGAGGCCTCCGCATGCAAGAGGTGCTAGTATTAATATCCTCACGACGTCCACTTCAGGAACTATCATGGACACTGCAACTGGGAATATCACTACTGCAACTACCACGACGACTACTACCACACAAAATCCAGCGCGGGGTCCTCCCTCAGCGGGTGTTGCCCGACCTAGAAGCTCCACCCTCGTACCCGTCAGTCCAAGCAAAACCATCTCGTCAACATGGTCATCGACCAGTAGAAAAGCGAAACCTCCTTCATCCAATACCTTGCATATACCTGGTAGTTCGATTGCTAGCAGTAGCTCAAGTTCCAGCAGTAGTACGAATAACAGCGGGAAAGGCACAAACAGGAATGCAAGTAGCAGTCATGATTCCGGCCTATCACATAATCGCGGACAGCAGGTCACTAAACAGCGACCAACAGCATTAAAACCACCTCCTCGATCAATGAGCGCCAACCAGCTTCCACCTCCTATGGCTTCGTCTTTTCCGGCACCGTCCAAGCCGTTTGCGTCGCAAAGTCCCGCAAGCTCCACAGGCGATTCAAGCAGTGGAAGAGGCGCACCAATAACTCCTCGAGATGGAAGCGATATAGGAGATGGAATGGGCAATGCGCTATCAAAGGAAGAGCAATGGGGCAGTGGTGTGAGCGGATTGAGCTTTGCCACAAAACATGGGCGGAAGAGAAGTATAGCGTTTGATGAGGATGCTGGGAACGAGGGCAAGGGAAAGAACAAAAGCAAGGAAACACCGGAGGATGAGGAGGCGAGACGTAAGGATAGGCGGAGAAGTGAAGCTCGTGCTGCAATTGAGGTGTGTTAATCTAAATTTTCGAATTCTGTCACCATGAATAATCTATTGTCCTCCTTGAGCTTGGGAACACTATTAACGGTCCAGGTCCTGTTCTTGACGATGATGAAGAGGAAGATTTGCCTGTTAGTCAAACTGCTGGGGCTAGGATGAACGGAATGAGTCCGATGATGATGAATGGACCTATGCCAGGTATGCCAGGTATGCTAACACCTCAAATGACTGGAAATCCAATGTGGGGATGGACGCCGATGCCATCGATGCCCCAAATAGCACCTGGCCAAATGCTTTCACCTGCCCAATTTATGGTCCCGCCTCCCACAGACCCTACCTTCTTCGCTGCTCATCAGCAGGCGATGATGTACGCCAAACAAGCGTATCAAATGGCTGTCGCACAGCAGGCCATGGCTGCAGCAGCGGAAGAATGGGAGCGTGGTTCAACTGTTGGTGGATTCAGCAGCAGTCAGAGCATGTATGGCATGCCGCCCTCTACATCGTCTATCATGGGCTCTCCTTATGGTATGGGTGGTGGAAATGGATGGTCTACTGGGTCGACTCTCTTTCCGTCCTCTGCTTCAAGGTCTCCCATGTATGGGAGTGGCGCCATGAGTGAATATGGCGGCGGTACAAGAAGCGGAGGCTGGAATTCTTCGAGAAGTGTTTACGGAGAGTCTTTCGGTCCCTCTTCTCCTTCCCCCCGTAATGCTGGTGCAGCTAACAGAGGACGATTATCGTCTTACACTCGTGATTCTGGCCACTACCCTCCTATGCCACCTATGCCACCTCAAGGGAACAACAAAAATATAGCACATCGACAAGCTGCGAATCCGAGAGCTCGTACGGTCAGTCAACCTGCTAATCCTGTCCGCACTCGTAATGCCGGCAGTCCTGCTGGCAAGGCACCTCCCTCAAGTTGGAGACTGAACGATGCATAAACATTAGGTATTGACAAAACAAGGGTGAATTCTTATCTTTGTTTTCATTTTCATTTTTCTGACTTTTTGTCTTTACCTTGTTTTGATACACATTTGTAATTCAATCAATCATTTGAACCTTCATATTTCTTGAGCAGGGGACAGGATAATGTTTTGGAGTACATATACCCATTCATGATCAACGCTGTATCCTCCAATCGATGATTTCTTTTTTCTTCTTCCTTTTTTCTTCGCTCCTTTTCATAGCATAGAGATCGTCTCAGGAAATATAATCTTGTAGTTCTAGTACCCCATATATATTTTTTCATACCTCCTTGAGCTTATGTTTGCGCGTTACAAAAATGTGGCAATTCGAATCAGTCTTTCTGTTGCTCGTCCATCAAGTATTTACGTTCTCTTACTCATACTACCCTGTGTACTTTTGCATATCTCGAAACTACACTATAAGGCAAATTGCAAGTATAAACTACAACTGTGTAGTATTATTGAAATAACGTAGGATCTTTGTTCACTCAAGATGTGATGCCGTTCAAACTCTGCCAACGTCAACGTTCAGTCCGCTCAACAGTGCGGTCGCGAAATCGCGGGAGGTAGCAGGAGGTAAGTAACAGAAATGTTGGCTTTCCGGCCGCGGTCTTAGTCCATGAGTCACTACATATTAATCAGGACTTTTTTATGCGTCCAACCACACTCTAAATTTACGCACTGTACTAGTTTGACTTTTGCGGTCAATTGCAAGTTACCTCTTGCTTGCCAATAATCAATCCGAGGTGGGAAAATAGATGGAAAAGAGTGTTGTGGGTCGAGTGTCTTGTAGCCTCTTGTAGCGTGGATACATATCTAGCTAATCTGACTTGAGACCCAGGCCTCAGTTTTAATTAACTGTCCACGAAGGGCTCAGAAGGCCTAACGAATTTGTGTAATCGGAACCGGTATGTACGGGGGTAAAGAATATCACCAAAGATCAAGCTCGGCGAGACAACACATAGTTTTCCCTGCTCTTGGCTCCGAAATGGTGGTCTGTGACGACGACATTGACACACACTCTCTCAAGTTTGAAGATCGTAAATTGAAGTGGTCAAGTAATGATAGTAGTGCCAATTAATGAACACGCAACAACGCGCCATATAGGATTTGGAATTACTATGATCAGAGTCAGTCAGAGTCGGAATTCGGCTTTCAATGAAGATACTAGTGCGTCAGTGGTTCTTTGGGAGAGGTTGTAAGAATAAAAATGTATGTGAATACCCATGAGTGGGGAAAATAAACTTGAAACGGAGTTCATAACAGGATCTCGGAAAAAAAAATAAACTTGTTTTTGGTATAATTTCCCAATTTGGATGAGTTTGTCATTTGGCTTTGTCCACCGAACTTGCTTTTCTCCGTCATCGCCCTACGTTCACACTGTTCTTTCCTCCATATTCATCGTTGCACGGCGTCACTCCGTCTTAATTCTGGCGCAGGACGTCTTCTACCATGGACTTCCAAGAACGCCGTCCTCCTCGTGCCTCACGCCCGGGTCAACCTCAACCTCAACAACAGCAGCCCCCAGCTTTTTATGCAGACCAGGATTACTCTAATCGTCCTTCATATACTGTCGGTAATGATGGCTCTCGAGGCGTATCTTTTCAAAATCAAGAACGTGGAGACCGGCATGGTCAACTCGATGCACAGCGTCAAAGAGCTTTATATCAGAATCAGCTTTCACCTGGGAATGAAGATGTGGAGTACGGTGGACTTGACCCTGCCAGAGTAGGGAGAAAGAAGAGCTTGGTCAGACCTGATCGTGAAAAGATTGAGCCTGGCCATCGGCAATGGTATTACCGAACCCACGTCGCACAGGCAGAAGAAGAAGGCGCTCGTGTCGGAGTCCAGCCTTCAAGTGTGTATTTGGACATCTCCTTCGGCTAATAACACTCATTGATGGTCATCGCAGCTACCGGAAATTATCCTCAAGGCCTCAGGCGAGGAAAATCCATTCTCGCTAGAGAGGAAGATGTCGCCGAGTCCGGTCTTGCTCTGTTCAAGAGAGGGAATACGCTTAGACGCAAACAAACTTCCTCCTCTACTCAGGCCCCGATTCCTGATTCATCTGAATCCAAGAATCGAAGCTGTCTAGGGAATTATGCTCCTGGACCCAAAGGCCCTTGGATGTTGTATTGCTATCTCCTCACCGTCTTGGTTCCTCCTTTTATGCTGAGAGCGTGCGGTGAGTATTGTGTTGCGCTGTTTTCTCCGTTTAGCTCATGCTTTTTTAGGTATGCGTACTCCTGAACAACAACGTGCATGGCGAGAGAAAATGGGGCTCATCAGCATCATTCTCTCCCTCATGGCTATGGTCGGTTTCATCACTTTTGGGTTCACTGAAGTGGTCTGTGGTACTCCTGCCAATCGCTTTCATGGTGGCGCCATAGGTGATGATCGCATCGGAACTTCATCCGTGGTCATCAATGGTTACGACTATGATTTTTCCAACTTCAAACATCCTGCTGCCGGATCGACATTTAACGGCAGCACTAATCCTCTGATTACCGGAAATTGGGGCCTCGGGGGCAATGACGCATCGTTCTTGTTCCAAAACGTCAATCAAAAGTGCCTCGGTCTCATTACTAAAGCTTCCAATTCATTGATAACAGGGAGCGGAAACGATCTCGACTGGTATTTTCCTTGTAATGTCAGAAGTCAATATGGTACGTCGAATCCTAACACAACCGGCTATGACTCTTCCACCAACTGCCACGCCTCGTCAACTGCTCGCACCGATTTGAGCAATATGTCTCCCCAAGGTCAGGTTTGGCTGAGCTGGGACGATGTGCACCAAAGTAACCGGAGCTTGGCTGTATATGAAGAGTATGTCTATATGAACAGAATAACAGAATAAAATCACTCTACTCATACGCATCTTTCTAGCAAAGTACTGGATCTCGAACTGCTGAACTGGCTCAGCGCAAGCGAAGTCGACTATCCCTCTATTTTCGACGACTTAAGACATAACACAGACGGCCTTTATAACGGAAACGATCTTACGATGCTCTTCTACCGTTCTAATCAAAGGAACATCGGTGCATGCCTCCAAGATATCATCACAGTTGGTTTTGTAGACAGCACGAGTATTGGCTGTTTGGCCTCCGATGTGGTCCTATATCTTTCCCTCATTTTCATCATCGGTGTCGTGGCAATTCGTTTCGGAATGGCCTTATTATTTTCGTGGTTTTACTCCTGGCGAATTGGAAATTTCCCGAGAGAGACCTACGAACAACGAATGCAGCGTTCAGAGCAGATCGAGAACTGGACGAACGATATTTACCGACCAGCACCCAGTGAATACCGGCCGAATGTTACTAAGAATGGTATGAAACTCGGCAAAGCTAGGAAGTCTTTCTTGCCTAGTACTTCACGGTTCACTCCGTCTGATAATCTGCTGAAGAGTGGCAGACCGTCGACTGCTTACGGGATGCTTGATTCTTCCTCAACCAAAGGCTGGAAGAACTCAGTTTATGCTCCTTCATTACACAAGAAGGGTACCCCTCCTGATTCACCCGGGTACAGGCAATCTAAGAGTTTCTCATCTATCAATGATGGCTTCGCTCGAGGTAGCTTTGTCGATAGCCCATGTCCCTTTCCTCTCAACAACGTCGTGCCACAACCCCCTCCTGACTATGAGCCTTTCAACTTCCCCCTCGCGCATACCATAGCACTTGTCACAGCTTATTCAGAGTCTGTAGAAGGTCTCAGAACCACGTTGGACTCTCTGGCGACGACCGACTACCCAAACAGCCACAAGTTCATATTAGTCATCGCCGATGGTATGGTCAAGGGTGCAGGGAATGACATGACTACTCCGGATATCTGTTTAACGATGATGACGGACCTTATAATCCCTTCGCATGAAGTTGAAGCGCATTCGTACGTTGCCATCGCAGACGGTCATAAGAGGCATAATATGGCTAAGGTCTATGCTGGATTCTACAAGTATGACGATGCTACTACCGAGAGGTCAAAGCAACAGCGTGTCCCCATTGTTCTCGTTGCCAAGTGTGGTAATCCCCTCGAGGCGAACGACGCAAAGCCCGGAAATAGAGGAAAACGTGACAGTCAAATTGTTCTTATGGCATTCCTGCAGAAAGTCATGTTTGACGAGCGGATGACGACTTTCGAGTACGAGTTCTTCAACTCGATATGGCGAGTGACGGGAGTTAGTCCAGATCGATATGAGCTCGTCCTGTGTGTCGATGCCGATACCAAGGTTTTCCCTGACTCGTTAACAAGGATGGTCAGCTGCATGGTGCACGATGAAGAAATTATGGGCCTTTGTGGCGAAACGAAGATTGCGAACAAAGCAGAAACTTGGGTTACTATGATGCAAGGTTTGTTTGTCTCGCTGCTGCTCTCTACACTCATTGCTCATTTTCATGTCAAGTATTCGAATACTACATTTCCCACCACATGACAAAGGCTTTCGAGTCAATGTTTGGAGGCGTAACTTGTTTGCCCGGTTGTTTCAGTATGTATAGGATTAAAGCACCCAAGGGCGACTCTGGATATTGGGTTCCTGTTCTCGCCAATCCTGATATCGTTGAGCACTATTCCGAAAACGTCGTGGATACCCTGCACAAAAAGAACCTCCTACTGCTCGGAGAGGATCGATATTTGACCACCTTGTTGCTCAAAACATTCCCCAAGCGGAAGAACATTTTTTGTCCTCAAGCCGTTTGTAAAACTGTCGTCCCTGATACTTTCCGCGTGCTCCTTTCACAGCGTCGTCGATGGATCAATTCGACCGTTCACAACTTGGCAGAATTGATATTGGTTCGGGATCTGTGTGGTACTTTCTGTTTCTCCATGCAGTTCATCGTTGGTATGGATCTGGCTGGTACACTGGTGCTACCGGCTGCTATCAGTTTCACATTGTACCTTATCATTGAGTCTATCGTCCCAAATCACCCCAACACCACCATACCTCTAATTCTGTTGGCCATCATTCTTGGTCTTCCGGGTCTTCTCATCGTTGTCACTTCGCGCAAGGTTGCGTATGTAGGATGGATGGTGGTGTATCTCCTCACATTGCCCCTCTGGAACGGTCTCCTCCCCGCTTATGCTTTCTGGCACTTTGATGACTTTTCATGGGGTCAAACTCGTATGGTTTCCGGCGACAAGGGTGGTAATCATGGTGATAAAGAGGGAGAGTTTGATTCAACACATATCGTGATGAAGAAATGGGCCGAGTTTGAACGTGAGCGTCGGTGGAAGAGTGGCACTCAATCGAGGGATTCGAATTCCTACGAGAAGAAGTATGCTTTTACTGCGACTCACTCGGGTTTTGATGTACTGACATGTTATAGGGCCGACAGTAACCGCTACTCCTTGGTTACCGATTCGGACACTTTCCATCCACCTTCGAACAACGGATTTGATTCGAGTACGATCGAAACGGCGTCTTATGCCTCTCCACGTCAACGTCATGACAGCAATGCGCTTCTTATGCTCCCGGCGCCTTTATCAGTCAATCGACAACCTCAACCTCAACCCATGGCTTCTTCTTCGTCTTCATCTGTTGTAGGTCCACGGTCCAGCGAAGATCACCAATACAACGATAATACTTCAAGCTCCAATCTTCGCTTGGTCCCGAGCTTCCAATCTCAGTCTGACCAACAACATTACACCGATTATGATGCGCCACCTTCAGGCATTGCACCTCCGTCACGCTACTCTTCTCCTGTTGCTCGTCCAATGGAATCACCACAACCCCGGAACAACTTGAGAAGTCCTACGGGCTTCAGCGACGTATCCAATCCATTCTCAACGGCATCACCAGTTTCTTCGGATCATGGCTACACTGCTGAACCTGAGGAAATGGTTTCTCCTGGCTATGCACCCGGTAGGCCAGGTGGACGAGCTGCTGGAGTGCGGCTTACGGATGGCGGACCAGTACCTGGACCGGAAGGTGTGCGGCGAGTAGCGAGGCCGTCGGGTCGACGTCCGCAGTCGCAGAATAGATATTCAAGGAACTCGACCGCCTTCAGTCTACCTCCAGGTGCCGCGCCGCCTCAACCAAATTATAGTGGTTCGACAGGTTTCAATTAATGACATGAGTTTCGGACTAGCTTTGACAATCTTTCTCGTCTCTTCCTTCTTCGCATGCAAGTACCCACGTCGAGTTATCTAGTTTTCCTCAATTTGTGTCAAGTTTTGCGGACAATAGACTTATTTTTTGACATTCTTGATTTATGTTATGATCATTTTGTTTTCCCTTCTTATCAGCGTACTTTTCAGAGAGTATCCTTGGGTTGGGGCATATTCTTTTCAGAGACACTCTTTTTTGATTTTGGATAACTCTTTTTTGGCTCTCAAGCATGCTTCACAATTATGATACCTGGCGCCCTTCCTTCCCGTCTCAATTCACATTACCGTATATTGTAATGCCACTATGAAATGTACCGAGTTCAGTTTAAGTACATGGAAAATGTAAAGCCATGACTTTACCTTGAAGCTTCCAAAATCGATCATTGTAACTTTCACACACTCATCAGGGTTCGTGCAACTCTTGTTAGACGCGCTTTCTCCTCTCCTCTGCAGACAATGGCGACTAGTTCTTCACCAATCACACAGGTTTCACAGACGCCAGCTCATGTTAATCTTCATCAACCACAGCTTTTAACGAGGCTGTTGCTTGACCTTCGTGGAAAACGTTATGAAGTCGATCGAGAGACCATTATGAACCTGCCCGAATCGGTTTTGCTTTGTTTGTTCCCGAATGGACTCGTTCTGAGCCGTCAGAGTGCTGCCCTGGATGGAGGTGATGAAGACGAGGAGGATGTCTATGCTGTGGATGTATGTTGCCTCCGAGTACAAAGTAAAGACCGCGACCGCTGACCTCTGAAGACATCTTTTTTCCTGTCAGTTTGACCCAGACTGCTTTCAATTCGTTCTCTCCTTCTTCCGCACTGCCTCAGAAACCTTCTATGGCACCGACACCTTCCCAGGCCTGTTCGCGGCTCAACAACACCTACTCGACGCCTCTCCAAACGACTTTTCCAACCCACCACCGTCGCAGAACCCTCTGATTTCAAAACAAGCAATCATCGTTCTCCGCGAAGAGCTCGAGTACTTTTCGATTCCGCCAAAAGATGGCTCAGTGAAGATTGACCAGAACGGACTTGCGGGAGAGGCGTTGGCTAATATTAAACGGAGATGCGGAGATTATCTAATGGAGAAGAAGAGTATCTTTACGGCGTTGCAGAGGAATGTGAACAAGGAGAATAATGTGGCGGAGCAGCATTTGATTGATATGCTTTGCATGAGGTGGGCTTTATATTATTTCATCGGAAATTTGAAGAAGTGATCTGACCGGGATTCCCGTAATTGTTATATTCTTACAGTGGGTTCGACCGCGAAGATGAATGGGGATTCAGAGCGTTGGAACCTTCACGGTGTTGCATATCCTCAATAGCACTAGTCCTTCTGAAAACTGGGATCACGCATCACCCTGGAGGTGAGAAGGCCGTTGAGGTAGACTATCAGCAAATGGCTACCGCTCAAAAACTTCTCTTGTTCTGGAGGAAGCCCGCGGTGTGTATCATTGGTTTGCCTGGATGTAATCTTACACATAACTTAAAATCATTTCACTCTGCAGCGGAAATGCTGGTGGGATGGTCTTGATATTGAGCTACCGCCTTCTGGCAATGATGAGGGTAGGATTATCAAGCTATGGGCCCGTAGAGTCTGGACATTGGAGCTCAGTCTGGTATGACCTGATCGTTGACCATTTATCGTCGTCTTTGGTACTTATGCGCGCTCTCGTCTCCAGATTTGATGACCTTGTATCTACTGCCCGAGTGCTCGACCGACTTCGATTGTTGATTCTGTCTAACTTTCAACCTGAGTTTACGAACATCCCTCACCTACAATTATCTTTCGTTTCTACATGCATCGGATACGACTCGGATACCCATAATAATATCTGTCATCTTACCTTTTTTCGCCGCGTATACACAATCATCATCATTCATTATATCTTCATCTGAGTTGCGGCGAATATGCATGGGCGCTAATGAGTGCGCTCCTTTATTTTCCATTTTCAATCATACGTTTCTGCTAGGGAAATTCGATCTCAATGATTACAGTACAACCTTTATGGATAGGAACATTGTAAGGTCCATATAATGCTCATTCGGTCACCCTACGAGTACTCCGGCAGGACCAGCTCGGCCTCAAGCACTTCAATCAGGCATTTGAATTCCCTAGAATCCCGTGCTTGTTGATTATATTCTGTGTAGGCTTCAACAGATTCAATGTGGCTTGGATCATTCAATGATCACGAACGATGAGCGCGGACAGCAGCAACTGGCGCAGGCGACAGGATAAGTGACAAAAATCTGCACTAGTTTATAATGCACATATTGCGGTTGCTCAAACCTTTGCGGACTCGTTGGTCGCAACTCGCTTGCTCCGCACACTCGACTCAACCTTAGCTTCTGCGTTACCTTAACGAGGATTACGACGAGAGAAGATGATAAAGAATTTTCCGTGTGAGTTTTATCCTCATGCAAAGCAAAGGATCTTCATGTCATTTATGAGGACCCCGGAAGCTCCTACCAGACCCCATCCGAATTAGCGTACTTTAGGACCCAATTTTGCCATTTTCCTTGGCCGAAATTAGCGTACTTTAGGCCTCAGAAGGCTCAATCCCTGTCCGAGATAGCGTACTTTGGGTATCTATTGGCTGACTTGGTGGCCCAATGGACGTAGGTGGAGCTCTGGCACCAGAGTTTGGGTAAAGAAGCTCAGAAGAGCTCCGGATGCAGCGATAATAGTCAAAAAAAATGGACAGAAAGATGATTCCAGGCTTGGGGAAGAAAATTCGGTATTTTCAGAGCAATTTTTACGATTTCACGTGACATTCCTTATCCGAATTAGTGTACTTGAGGCCTGCTTGGGGCCAAAATCGTAGCGTACTTGAGGCCGCCTGGGCGGGTGGGGTTTGGCAGGAGCTTCCGGGGTCCTCATTTATGTAAAAGCTGAAAGGTCTCGGGTCTTTCTCAAAGCCGTTCTCTTTCATCGTCTACACATCGATGGGCATGTTGTTTCTCAGCTCTGCTGAAACAGTTCTTGCCCAAGCACCCGTGAACGATGTTGTCTCTTGGCCTTCGGGCCTACTTCTCCTAGCCAGTATCCTGTATGCAGCGCTGGGAACCTCCCCTGATCGATTATGGGAAATCGAGCCATCTTCTGGCATCTTCTTGTTTTCCGGCTTACCAAAAATTTCTATCCCCCTGATGCAACGGGTTACCTGGGCATCAAATGCGTGTCATTTTGTGCCAGGTGTACGCTCTGCTAATGGAGTTTCCAATTTCTGGATTCGGGCAGAAAATGTTACTGCTTCTGCGCGCGCAGAGGCTTTGCAAAAGGCTCTGAGTCTTTTACAGTGTGTATCATGGGATATCAGAGCAGAGGCTGTTCGGGAGTTGAAACTCGATACCAAAATCTGGAAACTCTCGCCGGAGGGCTTGATTTATCCCACTAGCCAAGTGGCATTTCGTCCCAACGCCAAACCTCTTATATCCACACCTGATATTAAACTTCCATCGCTATCGATTCCTCTCGCATGGGATTTCCTTCTATTCGCCGCTATCGAATACCATGCAATTCAACACTGGGTGGTTGAAGTACGCCGCAAAGAACATATTTTCTCTACATATGGGATGCCATTCCATTCCGTTGTCAATGTAGACAGCGAAGAGGACGCTCTAGTAGTCGTAGCTGCACAGATGGTTCGTCGTCCACATGGACAAAGTTCTCTCCGCGCTCGAGCCCGGGAAATCATGGATCCACAAACAGAACACTTTTTCCTCGACCTTGACGCTATTGATCTTGACGTGCCCATTTGTTCTATCGATTTTCACGCTTACGCACCAGAGCGTTCGAAAGTGTCTGCTTCCCTTCGGGAACTCGCTCACTCCTATTACGCGGTAGCACAGCATATCAGACGGCATGTTCCTCGCAATAATTGTGATATGACTGGCCATATTGCGAGAATCAACTTTGGACAAACGCTATGGGTCGCGCTACTGGGAGGTGCGGTTTTAGACAATGGTCGAATGACTTTTATTAACCTCCCTGAGACGAGAGCGAACTGGAAAGTGTCTGCCGATCATGCATACTTGACGCGTGTGGAGTCGGTTCTTGCGCAGTTGGAGTCGGTCGCCAACACACCGGCATTTGAATCCACTGTTACTGGTGCCGGTGGGATCTCTCGTGGTACTGCCATGCCATTCCTTGTTGCAGGACTTATTGGACAAATGATCATATGCTATTTCCTCAGTGTCGGTACAAGCGCAGGCGTATGGACTAGTGTCATCCTAGCAAACTCGCTATATGCTGGAAAATTGCACGACTGGCATAGTATCTATTTCGGAAAATCTGACTCTTCAAGCCAACCTGGGCTCAAACTGCGTGTTCCGGATATGAAGACAGATTGGATGTGTATAGCAACTTTTGATCGTTCATCACCGAAGGAAGGGTTACTCCGCCAAGGGTTTCTGTTGAATATTCTTGGACTCACCGCCGCTCTTCTTGGTGCGATTTTCCAATCTCAAACACGGGATGCTCTAGGTTTCAGTCCATTTACTCCTACCCCCAGCTGGGTTGTGTATACCTCAATCGCTCTCTGCGTTGGGACGAGCGCTTTCATTGTATTGATGTTGGTCTTACAGTACATCAGAGAGAAGACGTGGACGGAGGATGCAATGTTTCCTACGAGGGTCATGGCGTATACTACACTATCAGCTTCCTTGATCGTCGTCGCCCTCGCCATTCTATTCAGAGTCCGAAATATGCCAGAACTTTGGCCTATCCTTGATGCCTTGACGTGGATATCGGGTTTACCGTTGGGGACAATAGAGAATGGAAGACTGTTTTCGGTGGATGACAATATTTTGCATCTAGTGCTGCTGAATAGATGGATGATGGGTGCTGTGGCGAGTGCAGTTGGGAGTAGCGGAAGGATGTAATGATGTGGGTCTTCTTCTTGAAAGAAGTTCTGCTCGATGTTCAATTTTTCTGTTCATTCGTCTTAGGTTATAGCAGTACAGTGCGTACTGTTGATTCCCTATAAAAGCTTTCATTTCGAGCAGCAGATTTTAAGAAACAGTATGTATGTTGACAGAATATACTCCAATTCGACGCTTAGGAAGGCTTTCTAGCATTCCGCAATGACAAGTGACTGCGTGCCTAGTGGATGACGGGAACATTCGGAACGTTTACTCTCATTTTCTCCAGGGTGTCCTTCTCTGTCTGGCTGAACTTTGGTTTCACATTGTACTTCTTCGCCATCATGTCTAACGGTTTCTGCCAAGACACATTGGCCGTCTGTCCTGCTGAAGTTTCTCTAAAGTCCTTCGCATACGCCAGCTCTCCGCTTGCCCAAGCTGCGTCTATGACAACTTGGAGATCCTGAGACCGAGACGTCCTCGATCCCAAAAGAGAGCCTACGGCATTGTTGATTTTGTCGGTGACATGATCGTAGGGACCCTCGATAGTCAAATCAACATGGGCTTCTTCATGGGCTGTCGAGAGATCCAAGGCAAAGTACAAGCCGAATCGCCTGGACAACATAGCTGTCCAATAAGCATGCCTGAGAGCATTCTTTCTCGGGAGATCAGTGCTTATAAGCTCCTTGTGGAAGTCCCTAGCCTTGTTGTTGAAATCCCTGATTTCGAAGGCCACAGAAACAAACATCATGTTGTAGTAGTCAAAGAGCACACTGATCTCTTCTGGTGAGCAGGGAAGAAATGGGATGAAGAACCAGTAAGGTGCTTCATGAACAAACTTCCAGGCTGCAAGATCTTCTCGAGGAATCTTGTTAAGTTGTCCTATGTTTTTTCTGTGGTGGAGAACCCAATCCTTGATATAGGTTTCAAAGTTTTTTTGAGTAATGTCTGGGAGGAGTGAAACCACATCAAGATTAACATCAGAAATGTAGTACTTCCCATTGTTTGGCTTGATGACCAGCTCATTGCTCTTCTCTAAATCACTACTGTGAACATAGAAGCTGGAGGTACCAAATGAACCGATTGGTATATCGTCATATCCTGCCTCAATCTGATTTCCATTAAGGAAGACATCGATGGTTGTTCCAGACTCCCTTCTGTGTTGAATCTTCATTATACAATTTCCTATTCCTAACAGCTCTTCCCTGACTGTGAAAATGATCTTGGACCAAGAAGCACCCCCCTCTATGGAGAGGTATGGATTCCCCTTCCTGAGACTATCCTCCAGGCTCCCACCATTATAGGATGAACCAGAAGAGAGTCCGACAGCATATACAGAATTCTCCTGTTTCACGTATCCATTGTTATCTTTGAAAACCAAAGCAGCATCAGAGAAATAGTAATTCCCTTGTTCTCCCAGTGACAGTGAGATGGATAACGTGTTCTCTCCTGTCAATGAAGATAGGTGCAACGAACCCAGATTCTGGGCCTCGAATTTGGTTGTGGTATTGGAATATCTCGGAAAGAGCAATCGGTTGTTCAGACTGATGTCGACGATGCCTCCAGTAGCTTCCCTCATGTGATTTAAAATCAACTCCATAGTTCCGTTCCTTTCCCCATCCATGGAGTAAGGAATAGAGAAGATAATATCAATGGTTCCACCGTAATTTTTCAGAGCCAAGTAATTCCTTCCTGGCCTGTAGTTGTCCTCGATCGACACATTATCATAAATGATAGCGGGGACGGACAACGACGTTGTCATGCCCTGACCACAACCAACCAGTCCCAGCACCATCCCACATGCTTCCTTACACCTCCCCAAGACATCCGACCTCCCCAAGACAGGACCACGGGTACTACGCACCTCCCCAAGACAGGACCACGGGTAATACGCACCTCCCCAAGACTATCCTGACAACCTCCCGACACGCGTACGAAACTCCTTAGCACCAGCCCCATTAAGTACAAATCTCGATCACCTGTCTCCTTCGACTACTGCCTCATGTCCCTAGGTTCCGATGTTCCCTTGTTCACTTCCCATACCTATTTAAGTAGCTCCGTAACGTCTCCAAGCGCCAGCTTGGTATATTTTGAACACACACCCTTTTGCATAGGTCCAGTCCCTGTCCCTTTGTACCTGCTAACCATACGGATTTCTCTTTCCTCTCTATTTCTCTACCTCTGTTTCTCTCTACTTCTGTCTATTGTCTCTCTGATCGTCGGTACGATCGAATATACGCTTTTACTTCAAGTCTAAGCCTTCCGAGTGAGTCCCCGAGCTCCCTCGAACATTACTAAAGCTCCCCAACGCCTACCCGCTTGGTGAGCTACTCTTCCCCAAACCTCCCAGAGCTCCCTAGCTACTTCGTAAGCTTCGGGACCTCGATCTAGGTAACGTCGAAGCTACCCCTCACGTCGAACTACGTACTGCTTCTCCGTTACCACCTCCCACACTCGAGGACGACCATCCTCCAACCTAGCCCCCAGGGACCTACCCTCCCTGGCATATCCCTTCTCGGGAGCTTACACCCTCGAGACCCCGTTGCATAAACTACCTACTCGACTCTATATTGACGTTCTAGCGAGTACAACTCCTACTACGCAATATCTTACGGTCCCGCACTCGTCCCGAACCTCCCTACGCATTAGGGACCTCCCTGGACCTCCTAGGAACCCCTCAAGGGTCACCATCTCGTCGTTCCAACCACTACTAGGTCATTCCCGTCCTCGGTCGCGGTTCTCGTAGCTCCCTTCGAGCTCCAGCCTGCTCCTAGCACGCTACAACATAAACCTCCACATACCAAAACCTACCCTAAGACCTATTTTGACCCAGGTCTTACATTATACCAAGCTCTCCCGTCACCGAACGGACTCGTCGCGACGAAATGTCGGCGACGTCAACGGAACGACCTTCTATTTCCAAGACCGAATCAAAGAAACAAAAGAGCGCCTTATCTCGTGGAAACACGACACAAGCTCAAAAATCAAACCCGGCTGCTAGCTCCACTGTCATCACGGTGGCAGCTGGTCAACACCTGATGTCCATCCCAGAACAGTCGTTCGGGGATGAAACCGCCAGCAACATCCGGACCCCAGAGGGACGTCAACCGGAGGTTCAGGGGCCCCCTCCAGTGGAACCTGGGATGGGACCACCACAACGGAGGTTTACCTCCATGGGTTACGCCCAACCTGCCAGTAGTCCCATGGGAGGTTTCGCATACTCCCCTACCTGGGGAACGAGAGGACCTCCCCCTGGACCGATACCGCAGCTAGACATGGAGTCAGCTTCGAACGCGGGTGGAAGAGTCAGCGGTCAAGTAGCCGCTATCGAAAGGGTACAAGGGGGGAGTACTGACCCTCTCACAGTACGACAACAGGAGAAACTTCCAGAGAGGAGGGTATCCCCTGCCGTATCCGAACAATCTCGAACGTCATCCCGGAGGTTACCAACACCTCCAGTACAGTCCCTGAACCTTCCTCCCCCGAGACGAGGAAGTTCACTCTCCAGTCTCCTGAAGAGCCCAGCTATGAATACGCCCAACTGGGAGCGTACGCACGCAATACACCATAGCAGGACCAACTTCCCCGTACAACCCTTGTCCGAAATGACATTGCGTCTGGAAGACGTCATTCGAATTCAGGAGTGTATCCCGGAAGATGTAGCTATGGTCCTAAGGGAGGTATTGGAGTCAATGGGGATCGAAGTATTGGGAGACGGTCTCGAATTCTCAGACCTACGAGTACAGTTCCTAACAGTGGGAACTCAATTGGAGATAGACCTCCCAGAGAAGGCCCAGCAGTGGCTGATGACCCCCGCGAATCGATCAGATTTTCTCTGGCTGTACAACGTCCTGTTGGACCCAGAGAGGATGTTGGAACTGTTAGAGGCAGAGGCACGTTACGGACGATCGTTCCGAAACTCGAGGGGAATACTTCCCCTCCTCCCTCATACCCATGGAAGGGAGAAGGAATTCTGTGGCGAAGCAGGGCTACGTATATTGTACCGAGCCTCTAACTACAGATCAGGAGCCGTACGGTTTGAACCTCCCCCTTCGAGGGTGAACATACCGAACTACCAGGCGATCCAAATACTTCGGAACGCAAACCTAGCGGAAGCAGCAGCTAAAATCGATGAGGAAAGTAACGAGGATGCTAACGCAATCGCTGCAAAAAATCGTAGACGCAGGAGGTACACCACGGCTCACCTCCTGGCCCCAGTGGAGTCAATGCCTGATCAGGATAGTCCCGTCCGGGTCCGTAACGGACAGACGGTATACACGTACACGCCCATGAGGCATATGCACCAGCTTCTGGTGAGGAGTGAGGAGTCTGAAGCGATGTTGTGTTCGCAGGAGACCCGACATCGGACGCTACTAGCGGAATCAGACACTCTGATGCTGTCGGAGGAACTTTCTGGATCGAATCTAGAAAGAGCTTTGGAATTCCGTCGCAGACTGGTCGCGGATAATCGGGGAACCTCGTATATGGTTCAATGCGAACTCGAAAGCGTAGGGGAGTTCCCTCCGGAGCAATTTGACCAGAAAGGGCAGCTCCATGGATCTGATGGTCGTTTCCTGGCACAGAAACATTCATCGCCCAGGAATACCGAGGTTCCGGAACTCCTTAACCCCGGTAACACGGCCACGAGGAGCCCCCAGCTACGCTCCGGGACCTCCCCCACTGTACATGCCTTGGCTCAAAATGCGACTCCTCCCCCCAGAGTTAACCTGCAAACGAAACCTTTAACCCCAGTCTCGACGCAGCGATACCAGTTTGGTGAGGTGAGGATGGATGGCGCACAACATTCATCCCGGATCTCCGGACAAGATCTGACAGCTCGGCTGGCTCCCAACCCTGTACACGTTCCTCCAAGACTGAGCAATCCATCAGTCATTCCGTATCAAGGGTCGGTATCGATGCAATCTCAGGCAGTGGGAACGGAAAGTCAAAGGGGTCCGAACCAACGAAGAACGTTGGCAGTTCACGAAGAGGCGGTACCCCCGCAGGGAGCTCCTTTTGGAACTCCCTTTGTAACGGGAGCTCAGATGAACCGACCTGGCATGGCTTTCGAGTCGGCACGCTCTCAGGAATCGGTAGCAATGATCCAACAACAGGCTCGGGTCATTGAGACGCTCCAGGAACAACTCCGTGAGGTAAAGAAAGGATTCACAGAGGGGGAAGTACCGACTGGAGGACCCCTTTCCAAAACAGGAAACACGGCGGGATTATCCGGGCGAGCACCTAGGGTAATGAGAGAATATACGAGGGGGGGTCCTTCTCCTGTAGTTCCCCAGCCAAGGAGCTGGCAAGCTACGGAACCAATATCCTTTAACCGAAACACTCCTACAGGAGCTAGGGGTGGAAACCCCCAGGTAGAACAAGCAGGACAGATCCCGGATACTCCGAGTGTGGACCGACGACGTATTCACGAGTGGGGAGCCCGAGTGCAAAGAGCTGAACTAGGGGAGTATGGGAGGCCAGAAGGAGGAGCGTACGCGTTGGAAAATGAGGGAGAAGGCAAAGGCGGTTTTAACCCCCCTACTAGAGTACCTCCCCCACATTTTTCTAGTCAATCGAGAGATCGAGAACGACCTCCGAGTCAAGGGGGACAGGGTCAAAGAGAACAGGGAGGAAGGAGCGGGGGAGGGGCACCACCTCCGCCTCCTCCTCCTCCACCACCTTCCGGGGGACCGGGTGATAGTAATTCGGAAGGTTCCAACGAGGGGGAACAGAACCAATCGAGTAGGAATGGTGGAAGGAGAGAGGAAGACAGAGGAGAGCTCCCCACTGGAGCTCCTGACGTACCTCCAACACGCTATGACCCGGACCAACCCTGGTACTACGATCCAAGACAAGGTTGGCATCGTAAGGCAGCTCCTAGACCTCCCAACGAGGGACGAAGTACGTGGGAGAGCAACGAAGAAAAAAATCGGATTACCATTGAGTCGAAGCTCGACGTCGGTAAGATCGAAAGCTTCGCAGGTGACGACCGGTCTGCATGGAAGACGTGGGTCCTCAGTTTGGAAAGGATGTTTGGAGTGCGTCCTACCATTTATGCTCGGGAAAAGGACAAGTGCGCTTCCGCAGCTAGTCATCTCACTGGTGCAGCACTCTCCCACTTCGACACGTTGAATCGGCAACGACTGAGGGGGGAGTACACCTGCCTCGAAGACTGGACAGAGTTCAAACGAGAATTCGGCTCCAAATTCGGACCCATTGACGAGGCGGACGAGGCAAGGAGGAGATTGGCCTGGATGAAGCAGATGCCGGAGGAAAGCTTCGCCAACTTCTTCATTCGCTTCAACGAATACGCTCCCCTGACCGGATTTAACGACGAGGCTCTAGTAACATACCTCAAGAAAGGGGTAGCTCCTTGGTTGCCTCTACAGGTTGTTACCGGAAGGGAGGAACCTCGATCCTACGACGAGTGGACCCGAGTGTTCACGAAGTTGGACGGGGCTGTACGTGCGCAAGCGGAGAGTTTGAGGAACCTCCACGGTGAAAAAGCACTGCAAGGATGGCTGAGTCGTTTCCCCGGATTGGAGTTAGCACCGGAAGCTCCTTACAAGTCCCCCTTGCGTCGGGAACGAGATCCAGCTGATGTCTGGACCTCCAATCCGAAACCAGCAGCGACAGGGAGGTTCCCAAACAGGTCCAACTGGAAAGAGGGACGACAAAGGGCGTCTGCAGCTTGGGGGGAAGGAGAAAGTTACAATAGAGATAACCGAGAGGAGGACGAGGACTGCTGTCACT